GATGACCTGCCAGGACAACTGTACAACGAACAAAAACTGGTTGGTTGCACACTGCGCTTCACCCTGAAGCACAACAACGGTGGTAAGTACAGCGCCGAGAACATCCAGGACCCCACCAGCGTGCCCACATTTCGTTCCTTCGTCAAATCCTGGAACGCAGCCAAGGGCTTTGGCTTCATCGAGTGCCCACCCGCGCTCGACAAGCTTGCCGGGGAAAAGAAGGACATTTTCATGGCGTCAAGTACTAAAAAGACTATAATGTTTTTCATGATGTTTTTTTTTTTTTGTGTGACGCTTTTGATGTTGTGGTTGTTTCTTTCCCATGGTTAGTGTTGCTTTGATTTATATTTTTTGTACTTTAACTGGGCGCCTTTGTCTGAAGGATGAAAATTTTGATGATAACTCATCCATTTCATCCCAGGGCACATCATCGAAGTGGAGCATCAGGGTCTGGATTTGATGAGGCAGAATGTCATGTTCAGCGTGGAGAAGTCGCCGCAGGGCCTTTCGGCCACTTTCATCCGCTTCCCGAACATACCGGTATACTACTGTTGTGTGTGATTTTTTATTTCCGCCGTCGAGCTCGTCCAGCCATAAGTGTTATGGCCATCCAATGATCGAACTTGATTGATTATGAATTTTGTCACTTGAAGTATTTTGCCCGGGCATGGAAAGAACGAGAGAAGTATTTTGCATTTACTCCTTACAATGAATAAATCAACAGACGGCAATGGAGCAGAAGATGATGCTCATGCAGATGCCGGGGATGCTCATGCAGACTCCTGCGGCAATGGCGCCGATGGTGCTCCCAGAAGCAGCCCGCCCCCGGGCTATGACCAATCCCCTGAAGCGCCACATGGAGGAAGAGGAAAGGAAAAACGTCGACTACCAAAAGAGAAGACGCGGAATGTTGCCCAGGGGCCGAGTCAACGGGTAACATCATGATCTTTTCTTGCCATCTCCGAATAAATCGATGTCAAAAACAAAAGCAAAAGAGTAGAACCACTCGTGCCCGAGATCGAGATGAAAGAGGCTTATTTCATTTACTGTTAGAACACTAATACCACCATGTAGGGCGGTGTACACCCTACAGCACTAGTATCCACGTAACTGTCAGCATGGGAAAAGGCACAAGAGCATCATCATCATTTCATCATCATCGCTCTGTGTACATCGCTCTTCGCTCATGATGTGATTTGTGGATCGTGGATTTCAGGGGGGATTTGCATCGTATTTCAGTCGTGTCATCAGATCTACGTGGTGATTTGATCTGCATGCCTACATTTACTCATGTGTATTTACTACTTCTATCTTCTGCTGAGGATGAAACGAGAAAAAATTTACCACAGGTTGATCGCCAGCTTCGTGAAGGGAAAGTATGGATTCATCCGTAGCGAGCACCTGGAGGCTGAAATCTTTTTTCCCGCTGAGGAAGATATGGAATGGCACAAGAACGAGCCTGTGTCCTTTGAAATCGGACTCGACGAGAAGAGTGGAAAGCTCCGAGCCAACGACGTTTCGGTATGTTGAACAACTTTGATTTTTTCAAAAATTGAGACTAATCGCCAGCTACTTACTCTGAGGAACAACTTAGCTAGTGCGTGCAACAGTTAAAGTTCTTCGCTCGGGTCGGCGAGCGGTCGATTGGTTTTTATGATGAAAGTCAAAAGAGGCATGTGCTGATACAAGAACTCGTGTAAGGAAGTCAACTTCGAAGCTGTATCGTTGAAAATTATTTCCACACAGAACGTCCTCGTCTCGGGCACCAACAGCATGGGAAGCTCCCCAAAGGAGCACATGGAACATTCAACATCGGGAGCGACGACTATGTACGGAGGCCCCCCGCCGCCGCTGGTGGACTCGAAACCGATGAGCAACCCGTTTATGCACAACAACCACCGCAGCGAGCACCACATGCCCGAACCACATTCGAGCTTTTTCCTCCAAGCAAAGGACTCCATCGCGGGGTGCACGCTTGCGGAGCTTCAGGAGCTCAATGTCTTCATGGCCCAGCAGCTCAACATCAAGATGCGGGAAGCCGCACAGGCTGCCGGCGCCAGCCCCTCCAGCGTTCCGCACTTCTAGATGAGTTTCAGAAATTGCAGTGTCACCGAAATGAATTCAGTATACGTCGTACGACCGTTCCACTGGAAAATCAAACGAAACCGCAGATCAAAACACCAAATGTACTCAACGTTCCCTAGTCTAATCGAAATCGGAAAAAAAGTATATCGACGTCACGCAACGCGACGCATCGCAGGAGATACTCTCTACATGATGGTTCCGGAACCGTAAACAATCTCTGTCTCGAAGCGTGTATAATTTAATCAACTGAAGAAATGAAAATGTTCTTGCGCCACCCCATGGTAAAAACTAGAGGATGCAGTTTCGTAGTTAGTGCAGCGGATCGACGAGTCACCGCCACGAAAAACGCTATGGTGGGGGTGTAGAACTTCGAGAAGAGAGTACCAATTTAATTCAGCAGCAGAACACAAAGTTTGTTCATTCACAGTACGAGTATATTACAAGCAGGCTGAGGCAGCAAAAAAAAAGAGGAACGATTCAATGTGGTATCATCTGCGCGAGCAAGAGATTCCGTCGGAGTACCGCATCTCCTTATTGCGCTTTGCAGCTAAAATGCTGCATCTAGAGGCAAACACACAAAATAGTGAAGATGACACGCAATGCCGTGTGCACTATCCGACTTGGGGCTCCGACCTCATTATGACGTTTGATTACGATGCCTACATTATCTATCAGCCCGGGAAGCAGGGAACAACGAGTACTCAGGGACGTCGTACACCGTACTGAAAAAACTACATCTAAAGAATTCTCAACGACACTCATGCTCTCCGTCTCTCCGCTCAGAGCTCGCTTAAGTTTAAGAACGCTAAAGAAGAAGACTAGTCTCTCTCGCTATCTAAATCTCGTTTACCTGATGGAGCGGCATGCTCGCTCCGTCCATGTTTTACACTGCTGCAAGTAAGTACAGCGACTTTAACAACACCGCGCAGTAGTGTTGATGCCTCTGGCCAGGTTGGTGGCGGTGTGATCCACCTCGGGTCACTCAGGTCCTCAGTCACGGCGGAAGGCAGCAGCACACCGGGCGCAGTAGCTGCAGCACTAGCACTCTTTTTTTTTTTCTGTTTGAACATTTACACTTTTCATCTTTATTTTCACAACCTTTTCTTCTGTTTTGCTCTTGCTCCTTTCACTCGTGAATTTTTCATGCTTTCTGTCATCATAGCTATCGCTGTAGTGCTCGGTCTTTGTTCATTACGTACAACATTCTTTTCGCGCCAAAAATAAAGATCACTTCATAACGCTTTCGATGGCTGCTCTGCCGTTTCGAACCCACGCAAAGTACTTTATAATGTCGATGCAAGTAAGTAGCGCAAAGTAAGAAGACAAAGATGAGGCTCAACTCATCAGGAACAGGTAGTGATAAAATGAACACGAAAGGAAAAGTTAAAGCACCCCAGCTTACAACAGCTAAAACCCTATATGATTGTTTGTATGACGGATGTTTGGCTTTGGCCTGGAACGGCCAGTGCAAAGACACTGGCCCGCTGTAAAATGAACCTAGTAGTCAAGGAAATGAAAATCTGAAAACATCACATCCTACTTAAGTCGAACACAACTTCCGACATAGATTCATCATGTGGCACACATAGAGACAACTTTTCACAGTTCACGTTTCAATATCGATGTTGTATCGCACAGTGCAGAAGAACAACTCGATGTTGCAGTGCCCATTTTATTGTGTAGTATGCGCCGGTAGTGTCCATGTTATTCTTATTTCCTTCTCTTCATTCATCTTTATCGATGCTTTTCTGTGCTTTCTTGCAGTCTCTGCGGCAGTCAGTGCGTTTTCAGATAAAATGCACAACTTGCGCTTTGTCTTCCATAAACTCCAGTTAATGGTAGCATTGCCTGAGTATCTTGTGGCGGGTGTGGGTGCGATGAAGCAGCAGCTAGTCGCACAGCAACAATTAGGGAAAATTCGTACTCTAACCTCTTAAAAACCGCGTTAGCGTTTTCTTTCGTCGGATCCAAGATCTTTATCAGATAAACCTTTGGTGCGTATTTGAATGGTAAACCTCTTCTCCCTGCATATGAAGCCGTTTTCTCGTAATGTAAAGGCACGCGCGCTGAAAAAATATTCACCCGAAGAGGGCTGCCTCTTGGCAACGCCACAGTCTCCGGTCACTTTGCTTTCCGTCTTGTTGGACTGTTTTTGTTCGTGGGCGACCCTGCCCCCTGTGCCCGTGATAAACAAGAGTTGAAGTTTTCGCCCAAAGCAAGGAAGGACACAAAATAAGAATAACTGCACAATGAATTGGTATCGAGGTCGTCAAAGTTCTTCGTGAAATCGGTCCCGAAAACGACGGCAGTGCTGAGAAATCAACGAAATAACAAAAAGGAAAACTGCATCTCCTGAGCTTGAGGTCACTGAAACTGCTATTCACTTACATCGATCCTCATTCAAAAAAATAATAGTTGAAATTTGACACGCAGATACGATTTGCTAGAGATAGTTGCTTTTTATCCAACGATACGACTTCTCACCTTCACATGAAGAAAGCAATACAGAAATCTCAATTTGCATTGTCGATTGTACAACTTTCTTAAACATCACCCTCCATCCACAGTAATGACGATGAACATGAAAGTCGCGACGGAAGGTTGAACGAAGAAAATTCTTGCGATAAGAATCCGCCGTCCAAACCATTTGTTGACGATGAAGCGTAACAGCAGCAAAAAAGGCGAGTCAGGGAAAAGTCCGGCAAGAAAGAATGCCGCGGGTAAAAGCAGAAATCGGACGGGCAGCAAATCTCCTTCTGCGAAAAAAAACCCAGTGGGTATTAGTGCAGCGGAGGAGCAGAAGATGAAGTTTCTTGAGGAGTACGTGTCTAAGAATACCTGGGTGTGCATACGATACTTTTTATTTCTGTATACCCTCGCCGGGTGGTCGAACGTCCGACGCTTCTACGGCGAAAATGTGTTCGCACTGGAAGCGCCAACGTCTCCAGCAAGAGCGCACATCACCTCCTCGCACCAGGACATCCTTGTCGAATTCCTCCTGTCTGCGCTTTTGGCTGTCGGCTACATCCTGGGTGAGCAGAACTTGAATCGACTCCCATTGCCGCCGCCCGACTTTTTCACACACAAGGTGCAGCTCTCGCGGTTTTGCCGCGCGGTGTTTCTCACTCGACACGGCAACTACCTGCAGTGCATTCATTTCTCGGTGAACGCTTTGCGGTGCGGTTTGATGATGGTTGATGTGTCTATAGTACCCGTTTCCGTTCTGCCGGTGCAGCGAGCGCTGATCCAGAAATTAACACTTCTGACAAGCGCGAACGCGATGATCTGTGCCGTTCTGGGCACAACCGTCACCGTGTTGTACCTCGCGTTGGTCGTTCCCAGCCCGGCTTTTCAGCAGAGGCACGAGGAAGTTTGGGCTGCCTCCAAGGGGACCCTCCATCTGATATCAAAAGGAAAAATCCCCCCACCCCATATCAAAAAGAAGTTTCTGATGCTGGATTTCAGCACACGAATCAGATTTGTCTTGCAGTAGAGGACTGCAGGCATATGCCAAGCCTGAGCCGCGATGTTTTGGCGTAGGCTCCTACTAGCATGAAAAATGTTGATGGTGTAGGCCCAACAGCATCACAAGTCGCCTGCTAAATGCGGCGGATTCTCTGGATTTGCCTGCATACAAGACAGACAGGATTTGTGGCCACAAATCCGCATCACAGATTTTCAGAAGGACGCGCTTTCAATATGGGCAGGGGGATTTTTCCTCACAATATCTGAAGCGGGCGATGCACACGCAGCACGTGCTCGGGTTGACTGCGGCCCTGGTAGATTTGCTGTTCCTGCGAAGACCGGGCATTTGTGCCGTGGCGTTGCCACCAGAAAATATCTGGTACAACGGTGCGTTCATTCTCATTTTCGCCTCCTACTACCTGACCCTGCTTGTCTTCGTGTATCACGAGACGGGCGCATTTCCATACCAGTTCATGCTGGTACTGTACGCGAAGGGATGGAGTTACTGGTTTGCCTTCGTCGCATTTTTGGCCTTACTGGTTAACGGCTTCATGTTGCTGCTGACTTTTTTAGTGTCTAAGACCTGCGCGTTGTAGTCAGTGTGAATAAACTTCAGTGTAGCCCGCGTGCTCGAGGATATATTTCTTTCCTTAGTGTGTGGCACGAAAACGAATACATCCAATTTCAAGGACTCCTTTCAATTTGATCCATCACGACACCAACATCGGAGATGTTTTCACAGCAGTGATACCAAATGCAACTTGATTTTGCGAACTTGTTCGGCGGCCACAGGTCCGGGAAATCGAATGAGGGATCAAACAGATGACGAGTCATAGAGAACAGAGGTAAAGAGTGGACGCTAGCGCTACTGAAAAATTGAGAGGTAGAGTCGATGCGAAGAAGCCCTTAATATGGAGTTTCGGAGCGAAGTAGGTGTGGAGGTGCTGTCGTGCTGTAGTTTGTTCGTTTCGTTTGACTCTGGCAATTGTCGTGCGTCGTCGACACCAACGAAAGAAAACCTTTTGCGGATTTTTGAATAAAATCGAACCCATCTTCGCACGTGATTTATAGAAATAGAAAGGGTGGCGCGTTGGACGTGTTGCTCCACAGAAGCGTTGCTCGCTCTTCAAATCGAAGTCGGTTGGTAATAAAATACCAATACGGCAAACAAAAATTGCGAACCATGACGCGTCGACGCCTGTCGTTTTATCACGGAGCAGGATTCCTTTTGGCTTCGCTGGGAGCTGCGTCCTCGTCTTCCGCACCATCATTGTCTGTCCAGTCATCTTCGTCGTCTTCGTCGACGGCGCAGAAAGAAGATGACGCGAAAAAGAATTCGCAAGACGAGCCGCTCACGCAGGGTCCGCCGGAGACCACGCACCTCCGGCGAACCGCAGCAAGTACTGCGGACATTGATCAAGAAGGTACAGCGTACAGTCCGCCTCACAAGAAGAAGTTTTTCGCTGACAGTACGTTGTCTGCACAGCACGCCACGAACGCTGCTCTCGGAGCCGTCGTGTCGGAGTGGGATCTGCGCGGCCAGACGCCGCACATTACTAGACCACAGCAGTTTTACCCCGGGCCACTTCAGCACTGGATTGACCAGCACGAACAGGAACAAATCGCATCCGCCGGGGTGGATTTGGCCAGTGGCCAGCAGCCAGACCGATTGCTATCCGCTTCAGGGCGGGACATCACGGAAAAGAACGCTATTGCAGCTCTAGATGTTCTTCATGGAGGCGGAGCAGCTAAAGGAACAAAACCTGCTTTGATCAATCAAAAGAGCAAAGCCGAGGAAATCTCAGCGTTTTTTCCAACTCAAGCGAGCTCCCCATACGGGCACACGCGCATGCTACAGTCCGGGACCTCCGCGAGCGCGCAGGCCGCCCGGGTGTGGGGTATTTTCAATGCGGTGGACCAACCGGACGGCTGGCGGCTGTCCGAGGTGGCCTTCTTCGAAGACGACGGATGCAACATGCAACTGACTCCCATCGACCTGCGCAGCGGCCCCACGATCAACACCATGGCCTCGAGTTCTAGCGTGGTTTCCGTGGGCACCGCGGGAGAAGGCTCGGGTTCCGGGTCCTCGGTGCAGGTGGACTCTACCTCCTGTCTCACCCCGCAGATGTCCACCGGGAATCGGGCGAAGAAAGCGCTGGACGGCTTCGAGAACACCATGTGGGTAGCCAACTGCTGCCCGTGCCCCCGGGGGAAGGCCTTCATCGGGGCAGACTTTGGGAGCCCGGTGATCGTGAAGTGCGTTCTGATCACGCAAGTGCCCGGGTACCACGCCACGTCCATCACGCTGATGAAGGAGACCGGGCAGCTACAGGTGGGGACCAACTCGCTGTGGGTGCCGGTGATCACCTGGGACGACATGTACCCGATGCTGAACCGCGTGTACAGTGGCATCAAGCTCGACGACCTTGCGGTCACCTTCGTCAAGCAGCCATTCGCGCAGTGTTACGGCGGAATGTACTACAGACTCGATGTGGTCAATTCTGATTTATTGCGCGTGATAGAAAATTGAATACTTTTCATGATTGCATGATCCTGGTTCAAAATGAGCCGGTACTGTAATCCCCGTCGAGATGAGAAATGAAACCAATAAAAAACACAACCTCAAGGTACGGTCCACAGTATGTGGGTGCTCGTGCCTTGCAAGAGGCTGAGAACGCCTGCAAAGGAGACAAAAACTGTCAAGGCGTGTATCAGCAAGCGTGCGAGCCGCTGATCTACTCAGTGTCCTTGATGAATCGGCTGGACTTGCAGGCAGTCCACCATGCGCTGTACCCTCCATCTGCGACGACCATGCTGCCGGTTATGACCACCGCGCCCCCACCGCCGCCACAAATTCCCACCAACATTTTGCTGCCCGGCGGCGGCTTTGTGCTCGAGGGAAGCACCACCCAGTACAACCAGTGGAACCTGACGGCGAGCAGCAATTACCCCATCAACCTCACCTTCCAGACTTTTCCAAAGTACGGCATCGTCCGAATGTGCAGCCGAGCCATCTTGGACGCGGTGCAACACAGCACTGAAGGCTCGTGCATCTGGAAGAAAACGGTATAAAAAATCTATTTTTTTTGGTGAGTACTCAAGACAGAGTAGTTGGTTCTATATGGACTTGCGTGTGGTGCCATTGCGAAAGCGAAGCTTAAGCATGTGTGAAGGACCAACCCACGACGACCCGCAATAAACTAAAAGTAGATAAAGCTAGAGGAAGGGACTTCTTGAACATCCAAGTACTAACTGCTGCAATCTTTAAACGATATTCTAAACAGGGCGCTATGATCAACTACTTGCCGTACTCGAACTTCGAGGCGATACGGAATTTTCCGGGTCTCACGATTCTGAGCTTGACCTACGTCATGACGGCCGCGGATTGCGCAGAACTGTGCCTGCAAACGGCCACTTGCAACGCGTTCCAGTTTCTGATCCGTCGGGAAGCGCGAGTGCCAACTCTGAATTGCGAATTGTTTTCCTATCCCAACGATTTCAAGCCTCCAGTCGGGCTGCGGAAGACGGACGGTGTTGTTGACATTATCGACTTCTACCAGTACGACACCTGGAACAGCACCCTCTCGGCGGTCGCTGAGGGAGGGATGGTGGCCACCAGCGCAGCAACCAGCACGACCACGGGCGGCATGTCACTTCTCCTTGGAGTGGCTGCCCTCTTCGTGGCCTCCACTATTTTGTGGTGAGGGAAGTTGAGTATCCTTTTCACCACTGCAGTCCGTCGATATGAAAGTAAGATGTAAGTTTGAAGTATTTTGATGTACGCACCAGAGCTCTTCCGATAGTTTTGATTTGAACAGAGAGAATTTTTATGTATGATACGGAACACGAAATTCAAATTAAAGGATCCAACAAGCGACCTTGTACACGACGAACTACAGCGGAGCCCACTTGTAGAATGTTGTACCAAGAATGTAAAAAATTCCTAGAATGGTTGTCTCGAGCCACTGACACTGTACGTAACATCTTCAACGACCCGTACGTACTACGAGTTTCACATTTCACGACTTGTCCTTTCGGGACTCGTTTTGTAGATCTTCTAGAGCTTTTTTCCTTTATCCACGCATGCGATTTCACGTAGGCGTAGCGAAGGAACCTAGTTTCACCTTCTCTCTCCAAAGAGATAGTCTCTCTCCTCTTCACCTGCATAACAACTGTGCTGCAGCGTGCTCCCAGAACTACCACTTCTACGTAAGAAGAAGAATCGGGTGCGGACGGCGCGGGCAAAGAACGCCCGACAGGAGCCGATGCGCCGTACTGAACTTATCTTCAATGTTTTGCTCCACTCGATGACTCTTACGGAGGTCGTATTTTCCGGCTCTGCGACATGGACATGGACAGGAGGTTAGCCATGCATTGTGTCCCCAGTTTGAGTGTTCTGCGCACCTTTATTTGATGGAGATCTTTCGTTTATTCCGAGAGAGCAGGTAGGTACGACTACGAACCAATTTGTTTATCAAGGAAAACGCAAGTAGTCCCTTGCGATTGCGATAACCGTGCGAAAGCGAAGCTTGCGTTTAGGCTGCTGACAGATCTTCATACTGCACGTACTCCTAGGACGAGAAATGAACTCGAGCAGGCTACATAAGAGATGCGTCCTGAGTACTTCCTCCTTGGCCACAACACGCTACATTTTTGTGGATGACTTGCATCGCTTGGTGATCTTCTCCACACGACATCAAGGACACACAGTCACAGAACACAAGACTGGCGTGAGGCTCTAGCCGAAAAAGAGTGCTCCTGATTGACGGAAGAGCACACCAGTTGAAGAATAATGCAGCAGGATCCACCTCCGGGCGGGGCTCCGGGTCCGGGGCAGCAGACCCCAGTCGCGATGAGCGCCAATCCGAACAACCCCGTTGCCCTAACCGGTGCATCGCCGACGACGTTTTCGATGCAAAATAACAGCACTCCCGTCCTGGTTCCGCAACAAGCGAGCGGTCCCATCTACGTCGCCCAACAGCAGCAGCAGCAGCAGCCACCAATACAGTACAGCAACCAGGGCACTCCGCAGCAGCAGCCACAAATTGCAACGCAGGTCCCGCCCCCGGTGGTTCAGTTGGCATCAAATAATGTGCCACCTAATCAGCAACACCAACAGCTGCCAATGGGTGGTGTCGGAAATAATCCTATGAACGCGACACCGCCCCCGCAGCAGGTCGTGCCTACGGTTCCCATTTCCTCCGCTCAGATAGAGGTAGAGCCAAAGCAGGCATCCTCCTCTAGTACGACGCCCCAGGCTCCCGCTGCGACGGCCAGCAATCCGACTCTGCCTTTGCCGATCCGGGTAGACGACTGGATGCCGACAACGCCTCCGCGGGGACGGGCAGATTCGGGAACTGAGGGTACGATACAGACGCAGCAAGTAGCGTCGAAGCCGCCTGGGCAACCGCAGCAGCCTGGAGGGCAACAACAAGCTGCAATGGTTCCTGCGTCGCAGATCCAAGCACAAGCTCAAGCACCGCCGAGTGGTCAGGCGACACCGTCCTTGACAGGAGCCGTACCCGGAACTACAGGCTCATCTTCCGCGGCCGTGACCAAGCAGCCGGGCACGGCAGGCGGGATGGCGGGGTCGTTTCAACAGCTTGCCGGCTACGTGAGTGGTCCGTCCGTTCCGGTGCGTGCAGCCGGGCCCATGCCGGGCATGGTCTCGAATCCTTCTGCCGGTAATTTGCTGACCACCGCTGGAGGTACGCCGACGCCAAACACAGTCAACGGTCTGTATCAGCAGCAGGCAGGAGGTCCGGGCTCGGTCTCCACTGCTACGGGCGGAGGACCACAGAGTAGCACGGGCACAGGCGCAGCCGCGAGTGCTGCACAGCTCACACCCGGCGGCCCGGGACAAATTGCCGCGCCGTCGAACCCTTCGCAAGGAACAATAAATGCGACTGCGAGCGCTGCTCCGCTTGGTAATTATCGCCGGTTTGCGGTGGAGCACAACAATCGGCGGCGTCTGTTCCGCTGCTGTCTACAGGATACGAACGAAGATGTTCTAGACACGATCAAACAGGCGTTTGGGCTCTTTCACGTGCTTATCAAATGTAAAAATGTCTGGGTCTGGAAGATTCTAAACTTGTAATGCTGTCTCTGGATTCGAAAAAAATTTGTATTGCATGACCAACAAATACAAAAGGACTCCAGTTTGTGCTACGTGGAGAGGGCATTTCTCATGCGGTAGAGGCATCACAAAGTCCTCTAAAAATCTGTGATGCTAGGGCATGCATCACAGACATCATGGGTCATTCAAAATATGCATGACAATGACAAACCTGGCAGTCTTCCAGACCCAGACATTTTTGCAGTTGATAGTGCTTTCCAGCAAAGCGCGCATACGCCTGCTCCTGCCCCAAACGCGTGAAACCTTATGCAGTTTGCGCGCGGAGGCGCTCGGGGAGGGAGAAACGTATCAGCTCCTCATTTACGACCCCGAGGGGACTATTCAGCGCGGCATATCCAATCCGCAGCGCATGCAGCAAGCTGCGGCCACTACTGGTGCCCAACAAGGTACAAGTACTGAGATAGAAGAAACAATGAGCGTGGTTTATCTTCTGTGTAGTCGGTAACTGATACGAACATAGTTCAGCTTAGGTACTGCGTCGAATTTGTGCGTTTTTTTGAAACACTACTCAGGTGCTGGTGCATCCGCGCACCCCGCGCCTGTGCGCACCACGGGCTCGTCTTCCCAAGCGCAGGCGCAGCAGCAAGAATCCGCGACTGCCGATGGCAAGGGGCAGAGCCAGGTTTTCAGGCCGTCGGAACGGACGACGCAGAAGATTAGGCGGAAAACGGAACAGCAGTTGGATGATGCAGAATCCAAATCTGCTGCCGAAGTGGATGACTCGAACGAAGACACGGAAATCGAACGCAGCCCCGATGGTCGCTACATAAGGTACCGATAACTCACCTTGGAAGCGAGCAGGACGATGACGGCTTCGTCCGTACCTCAGAATAATTCAGCTTATAAAAAAAGCTGCACGGAGCCAAAGGCTAAGCGCAAGTTTTTTTTTTGCGAGAACCTTTGCTGTAGTATAGCAGCTTTGCATCGGGGAGTCACCTCACGGATTTCCTAAGTATACCTTGCACGCACGCCTTTTGCTTCTCAGGTACAAGGGCGAGCCACGCGGCGGCCCGGGATCCTTCAATCGTGTGAACATGGGGTATGACTCAAACACGGGGCGTCAGATCGCCTGGAACGTGTTGGACCACGTGCCGCCAAACAAGGACATGGCCGCAGACGCACGTAGGGAACAAAGCGAGTGGTACTTCTATCTAGAACGAAAGTAATATGCACCTCTTCACAGAGTCGTTTTCGACGTGTAAGTGTATTTAATTTGTTCTACTTTGCTACCGGTCCTGCATAATTTTAGACGAAATAATCCGCTTCTAGGGTCGTCCACGGTCTGGCCTCTTGGGAAAATGCGGGGAGCACGACGGACCCCTTCGTCGTGATAACAGGGCGGGGCAGCTCGCACACAATCCGGTCTCACATCACGCGGCTGCCGAAGGAGCGGCCTCTGAAGCTTGCGGTCGTGCGGAAGTGGGCCCGGGACTTGGCGGAGGGGCTCCAGTTCTTTCTTTCTTTCAACCGCCTGCACGGCAACGTCTCCATGGACAACGTTTTCGTGAAGCAAAACACGGGTAACATTTTCCTCGGCGACCCCGCTTTCATCGGGAAAACGCCCCTCCACACCGCGACGGAGAAAATCCTAAACCACTCGAAGCTCGTGCCGGAAAGTCGGCGCGACGTAATCGGGTACGGGCTGTGCGTCACCGATATCGTCTACAAAGCGCAGCTCGGCGACAATGTGGACAAGCTGACGGCGTATTTGGACCCCAACGCGCAGCAGAGTTTGCTCGACCGGATCCAGCACGAGAGCCTGCGGGACCTGCTGAAAGCGTGTTTGGTGCAGCCGAGTACGCTCACGGCCGCGGCCATTCTGGAACACGCTTTTTTTCACGAGCCCGACGAGAATGACCTCTACTGCGAGGTGTTAAAGCCTCTGGAACCTAGCTAAGTTCAGTTGTTGGTTGGCAACTTCATCATCTGTTGACGTCGACCTGCCTATGAGTGTACGATGATCTTCTTGTTCGATGTTCGACGACGCGCCATGACTGACTTCTTGTTTCTTGAGAATATGTTGCGGAATTGATTACATTATTGACCTTTATCGGGTTTCTTCTTGCTTCGGAACTAAACCCTATTGCGCACACTATTAATTTCTTGCGCACCTTTGATGATGCGCTTGATTGCGCCTACGCATACCCTAGGTCTCCTACTAGTGGTATCATTGTGGATGATGTGGCAGTTCAAGTTCGATTGTTTCGACCGTCACAGACTTTTTCCAACGATGAGAAGTTTCTCGTCTTGACGATGACGCTGTTGAGGATGTATGAGTCAAAAGATACTTGTTACAGTAAAACTTGCTTTAAGATAATACACATGCCGCAGTGCGCTTAATATACAGCATATTACCGTGGCATCACCTACGCTGCGTGCGAAGTGCATGGTTTCAGTGTCCGCGACATCAAATGTTTCACGCAAGTCTGTACTTAGCATTTCTGAATACAACCGCAGTGGGAAGAACCCGTACGAATGCGCCTGGATTAATGCCACGAAAGCGCTCGTGCTCGCGCCAGCAGCCAAGATCTAAAAGCAGAGGCTTTCACGTGATCATTTGCATAAGTCAAAGTTGGTTTAGCCTCTTTATTTTTCTCCTGCTGCATGTGTCCGAGCCCGAAGTTGGAGTGAGAGGCCTTCATATCAATTCAACAAACGTGCGACCTCAAACTGAAAACTTCGCTGTATATCATGATTTTCTTGCTCGGTCGCTTGCCAGTAGTAGTCCTCTTGTGATTTCTTTTACTTGTGGTCCAGTAGCGCAGCGATCTCACTAAGCTAGAGGACAATACAGTTGATGTCGTTTCTAAGTATATGTTTTTTCCGCCGTAAGAAAACGAAAAGGCAATCGAAGGTATCGGACGTGTTTTAGTGGGCCGCGCGTTCTTGTTAAGGATTGGCATCAGCGGAAAATAAATCTGTGCCAAATAGCGAGGTAGAGGTTGTTTTTACAGTTGTCAAGGAATATCATGACGGGCAGCAATCCATTTTTGACAAGTATCGACGAAAACCTTTTTGCTGCGCTTCCCGAAGAAGAAGAAGATCCCGCTGAATTTGCCGAACAAGATTATCAAGAATATGCCGGCGATGGTGCGAACGACCACGATGGCGATGCCAATGATCAAATTGCGACCGAGGTGCAAGACGCCAAAAATGAAGTTGCGGACGAGCGTGACGCCAGTGAGCGATTTCGAACCGAACAGCGCGATGATGCTAAAAACGAGGCGGCCGAGGAGAACAAAGATGCCAATCATCAAACTGCACAAGAAGAACAAAAAGCCAATACTAAAGTTGCAGAAGAGCAAGAACGGTTTGGCAATCATGAAATTGGTGAAGAGCAGAATAATGCCACGAATAGAGTTGCGGAACAAGGCCAAGATGCCGGTGAAGTAGAAGTTGCGGTGGCAGAGAAAGAGATAAAAGATGATCTACTTCAACACGAAATTCTTGCTGGCCACCGGGAACGGCCCGAAGATCCGCATCCGTGGAGAGTTGCGGAGACTTCTACGCCAGGGCAGGAGGGGCTTGCTGATGATGAACACGAAAAGGACTATGCTCCAGTTGTACTTCGTAATGAGGACGAAGTGCAGAAAGGTGCATATCATGAGCATCCAGCCGAGGCGCTCATTCTAGTACAGCAATTTAGTCCTGGCGATGGGAAGATCGCGAGTGAGGGCTTGGAGACTGGACTAGTTGAAGCGGAAGGGGAAGGAGCTGCTGCCACACTACTAGGTCAGGACGAGAGCTGCAACCTTGTTCCACCAGCAGGAGAGCTGCAGCCGACGGACATCGATAGCACCCTTGCGGAGCAGGAGTGCCTGGGTGATACGAGAAAGCAAGAAGTCCCAGATGAAGCCAGCAGCTCGGGAGCGGCACTCCCATCATCTGTGGGTGGTGCCGCAGAACAGGTTGCTGCTGTGCAAAAGCGAAGCCACGATGGAGGCAAGCAGGAGGAAGGGGCGAGCAGTGCGCAGCGTGAAAACAAACGGAGAAAAAGAGAATCAACCTCTTCAGAGGAAATAGCACGACCTGGTAATGATCATGGTAAAAAGAGAGAGTCGACCTCTTCAGAGGAAATAGCAAGGCCTGGTAAAAAAAGAGAATCGACCCCTTCAGAGGAAATAGCAAGACCTGGTAAGAAGCGATTGCGCAGCGCCGAAGAGAACCCCAGGCAAGAGCAGCTTGCTGCTGTGCAAAAGGGAAGCAACGATGGAGGCAAGCAGGACGAAGTGGTGAAGATCGGTGCGCAGCGTGAAAACAGACGGAGAGAATCTGCGACCTCGTCGGAGGAAATAATAAGACCTGGCAAGGAGCCGCGAGTGCGCGGGCGCCGAAGACGTGGTCAGAATCCCAGGCAGCCGACGACCGTCAAGAGCGGCTATGAGGTTGATTACGCCCTTGTCCCGGAGCAGGAGAACCGAGTACCTCAAGAACAGAAAGGCAGCTCCGGCGAAGCACCACAGTCGCGTCCTGCAGCATCCTCCCATGAGGACCACCGACCCCAACTATCAGTCTCACGCAAGAGAAGCGCTGATCGAAAGAGGAGAGGGAGCCAGGACGAGCTGCAAAATGACCTCACTTCATCGAAAAACATTAGTAAGAAGCCCCCGCGCGGGCGTGCCGCGTCACGAAATAGAAAAAGTGCGTCTTCCAGTAGTAGCTCCTCAAACGCAGTGGCCTCCCCTCCGGCGGGAAAGCTTGCACAACTGGCGCAGCGGAGGAGATCTCGGAGTGCTGTTCGCGAGAAGAGACTCGAGCGACGGTCAGTTGAAAAGGATGAAGATAAAGTGGGGACGAAGGAGTCGAAAAACAGGAAGCTGAATGACGCGGATGTGAAGAAGCTAATCGAAGTGAGCGTCGCTGCGAGCTACAAGGCATCGGAGGCAGAGGTGAGCCGAACAAAACACCAGCGACCGTTCTTCTATCGTGAAGATTCTGTGCCAAAAGACAATGCTGCGTCTTCAAGCAGAGGAAATACAAAGAGCTCTAGCTGCACCAGCAGCAGCGCTAGCAAAGTCGACAGCTCAAGGGACCACAACGCGGTGCAGACAGAGTGCGCGAGACTCGAGAAACTGAAAAAGGAACTGCAACAGCGGGAGGCCGACCTTTCGAAGGGGTGGGACGAGTATTATCGTGAGTTGGAAGCATTGGACGAGCGGGCTGCTCTTGCAGCACGACAGAAGACAACTGCAAGTCGGAATGATGATAAGCCGAAGGGTATTGTTGTCGGGCACCAGTCTGACGAACGGAACAAAAGCGCTCGAAAGAGCCGAGAAAAAAAGAAGGTAAGTCGCAGTCGCAGCAGGAAACCGCAGAAGGAGCGAGGCCGAAGTATCAAACGCAGCGCTTCGAAGAAGAGAGCTGCAGAGCGCCGAAGAAGTCCTGGCCGGCCGAGAGTTGAAGCCCCACGGTCGTTCATACTCCTGAGCCGCAGTCGCAGTCGGGGCCGTAAAGAGAGGAGTGCCGCTCGCAGTCCGAGCAAGCAGCGGAACAAGAGTAGAAGTCCAAGCAGGGCAATAAGCCGGAGTCGACCCGTAGTTCTGAAGAAACGCAGCAGAAGTAAGAGTAGGCCGAAGAAGACCTCTCCTCCTGCCGTGCCATTGAGAACAAAACGAAGTCGCAGCCGGAGCAAGAGTAAGGTAAAGCAGACTTCTTCTGCCATAGCACTGAAAAAAAGAAGTCGCAGCCGAAGTAAGAGTAGGCCGAAGAAGACCCCTCCTGCCGTGCCATTGAGAAAACGAAGTCGCAGCCGGAGCAAAAGTAAGGTAAAGCAGACGTCTTCTGCCACAGCGCTGAAAAAGAGAAGTCGCAGCCGAAGTAAGAGTAGGCCGAAGAATACCCCTCCTGCCGCACCATCCAGAAACCGAAGTCGCAGCCGGAGCAAAAGTAAGGTAAAGCAGACTTCTTCTGCCATAGCACTGAAAAAGAGAAGTCGCAGCCGGAGTGCGAGTAAAGAAAAAAAGATCGGCGTAATATTGAAGAAGCGAAGCCGCAGCCGGAACAAAAGTAAAGCGAAGTGTGTCAGCCGGAGTCGGAGCGGCCACCGAAAAGGGAGCAACGGCAGCTCGAGCTCCAGTCGAAGGAGCCGAAGTCGAAGTAGAAGCCAAAAAAAGAAAAGCATCTTCAGCCGCCGACCTCCATCCGTGCCTGCCAAAAAGGATGTTGAGCCGAGGAAATCAGTAGCGGATGTACCAAAGATGTGTTCGACCAGAAGTTCGAAGGATGAATCGTCGACCACTGCACCAGGAAGTAAAACCGCTGCGACCGCACTTCCAGCGACGAGCCGATATTTCAGTCCATCGCCTCCTCCTCCGCTGAAAGGTCCTCTGGCAAGGACAACGGCAACGACGGCGACTACGCAACCAAACCCACTCTTCCCAGCGGCAAAACCTGCACCAGCCCCCGCGGCGGAGAAAAAAGCGGCCGCGCCGCCACCGGCGGAGAAAAAAGCGGCCGCGCCGCCACCGGCGGAGAAAAAGGCGGCCGCGCCGCCGCCGGCGGAAAAAAAGGCGGCTGCGCCGGTTCCGCCGGCGTCTTCAGCCACCACGAATTTTGCACCGGCGAAGTCTGTCACGATTGCTCCATTTGTCGTATCGACCAAGGCGGGAGCTCCAAGCAATCCGCTATCGGCGGCATCGACAGCTGCTTGCCCCCCGGCTGGCCAGGCCGCAGTTCCAGCGCCGTCAGTGACTGGCTCGTTCAAACCGATCTCCATACACCTGAAGCAGCCAGTTCTGGTGAACACGACGGGATTGTTTCCGACGCAGTTCCAACGCGGCGTGCGCGTTCCCGTGGGCGGGATGTATAACATCGGAAACGCGGTGAAGCCGCCTGCTCCTCCTGCCCGCCCTTTCATCCCCGTCGCGACTGCAGCTGCTCCTGCTGGTACGGGGGTTCCACGACCGCCCGTGCCGGCCACAGCAGCAACCACAGCGGCCGGCGCTGCGCCTGTGGCTCCCAAAAGCACCACGGGGTTCGGAGCTACTGCCACCAGAAACCACCAGCACGTTGCAAAGTTGTTTGCGAGCGTTGCAACAAAAGCAGCCTCCCCGAGTAGTGAAGATGTACCGGGGACGAGCGGCGCTCCATCACTAGCAAAAGCCAGGCCGCAAGCAACAAGCGCGGTTGTGGCCGGTTTCTCCAAAGCAAATCCGCCGAAGAATCTCACCAACGCTGCAGCAAAGTCATCTGCTCCGGTCGTGCAGCCAGCGGTCGTGCCGGGCGTCCAACAAGCACCTCCGGTAAAAACCACTTCAATACCAATATCGTCCGGTACAACTGCCACGATAAGTAGTGTCGTCACACAGCGGGCCCCAAGCCCACCGCGCATCGAAATGCCATTGCAGGCTGCGCTCTTGCCCAACCAGCGACAAGCCGGTGGGTATTTGACTCTGGTCCCCGGTTACTGTTTCAAGGACAAGCGCTACCGTGTTGGAAAGCTGGTCGGGAACGGAATATTCGCCAGCGTGTGGAAGTGCACTGACCTGTCCGAGCGGCAGTGGCTCCTGCGTGCGGAGCCAGCCAAACGGATTCTCCGTGCGGCAGACCGGGGCGGTTCCACCTCGGAAGCCGCGCGAATTGAAGCGTTTGTCGCCCTTAAGACACTCAGAAAGGAACGCTTAGCTGCGTCACGAGCAGCCTCGAATGCTGGGGCAGGTAGCTCCTGTACTACACTGAGCTGCTCTTCAACACAAGTAGACAATCTGACACAGGAACATAGCTTTGACGGCGAAGATGACACTTTGAGCGACGACGGCGACGGCGAAGTTGCAATCAAGTGCATGCGGCAGCTCGACTTGATGACCAGTTCCGGTCGCAAAGAGTTGCGCGTGCTCAAGTACCTGCTCTACGACCATCCGCGCAAAGAAACTTCGTCTGGTTCCGAATCCGACGGAGCTTCGTCTGCGAGAAAAAAGCAGGCACATGCGGGCCGGAGGTATATCGTGAAGCTGTTACGCTTTTTCCATTACGAGCAGCACCTGTGCCTGGTGTTTGAGCACATGTGGTCGGGTCTGCGGGAAGCACTCCCCAGGGTTTTTGATGCCGTGCTCGCTCCCGGTGCCATGGCGAAGGATGAAAGTACACTGCGTTCGCTGCAGGCCTACCTGGAGGCGAGTGTGGACAACATGATCGACGCGCAGCACTATCTCCGGAATGCAACCAACCACAACGAGACGAAGCAATCCGCTCTGTTTTTGCGGCTCGCACGCGCGGTGCAGGGCATCACGCGGGGGCGGGGACCACGGCCAGCAAACGCCAATCACGTGCTGAGTTACGAGGACCACTTGGCCACCAGCACGATGTGCGCGCAGCTGGCGTGCCTGACGGTGCAGGGGTGGTCTCGCCAGCTGCTGAGTGCTCTGGACTACATTCACCACCTCGGGTTCGTACATGGGGATGTGAAAACCGACAATTTCCTCGTCAGCAACCTCACGCTCGACCGACCGGGCTTGTCCAAGGCGGAAGTTGATGACCGAAGCTGCAGTTCGTCGGCCAAACCGCGATGGACCTACTTAGCGCCGTCCAAGCTGAAGATTTGCGACTTCGGTAACACGGTTGCCGTTTCGGAAAAGAGCGGAGTTCCGAGTGTGTCCATGCCGGAGTCCACTGCCGCTGCAAAGCTGGTTATCGGGGAGGAAGACCGCACGTGGCTGGCGCCTCTGTGGTACCGCGCGCCGGAAACCATGCTGTCGCTCCCGAACCATGCTTCCACGAAAGCCGACTGCTGGGCCGCAGGCTGTGTGTTGTTCGAGGTGTTCACCGCTTTTTTTTTCCGGCACCAGCTGCAGTTGGAAAGCAATTTGAGCGTCTGGTCGTCCACCGTCGCGGAACTGCGCACGCGCAAACGATCCCTCGCACTGCCCCTCGAGGCGGGTGTCTTGTTCGCCGCTGCAAGGGGTGCCCCCGCGGCACCGGGCTGTGCAGCTGTCTACGGCGCGCAAACGGCGCAGCAGCAGCAGCAGCCCACGGAAAATGCGCAGTTGAAGCTTATGCAGGAGAGACTGGGGAAAATCCCAGCGCATCTCATCATATCCCACCGAACGGAAACGGCCCGCCTTCAAATGTTGCAGGTGACAAACCCACAGCTCACCTCGACGCAGGCCATCGAGGAGCACTTCAATGCGCAGAGCGATTTTCTCTCGGAAGATCAAAACTCAGCTCTCGGGGGGTTTCTGTGCTTGAAAAAGCCGATCAAAGTTTTTCCCATGGGCAACCCCATGTACGTGCACGCCAAATTCGAAAAATACGCGAAGCAGGAGGCTATCGAGATATTCAACAAGACTGGGGCCGGTGTGGGTGCTGTCTCGCCGGAACACGCGGAACTAAAAATTGCGTTTGGCTCGTTCCTACAGGGATGGCTTGTCACCCAGGGTGCCGTTATGGTTGCCGCCCTGGTGGACTTCGATCCAGGAAGAAGGAAATCCGCACAAGAAGTCTTGGCAAGGAGTGGTTTCCTGCGCTGCCACGACTGAGACCGTGGAATAGAAAGAAAACCTACGGGGGATCGAATGTACATCATTCGTTGAGCTGCTTGACTGGGTGTGTCACACAAGCAGAACCTAACTGAGTAAGTACGTGGACCTCGTCTGAAGCAATTGTGTGAACGGCGTTGTGGTTGTCTTGTGGACGAAAAGCAAAATTTTGCTCGTGCGCAATGAATGTCTATGAAGATGGTGAAGTTCCTATTTTTGGACGTGTTCGCAGTTGGCCTTGGCTTTGATATCTTCTCTTGTATGTCTTGTCCGAAGGAGAGAGGTCATACCTAGCTTTGATTTTGTCTCGTCTGGTGTTCTTGGGTAAAAATCAGCACTTGTTAGGACTTTCGGATCTCGTGGCAACAAATGATCTGTTTGAAACTGTAACTCCATAATGGTAGAAATAACCTCTGCTCCCCCCACGCTTTTATCGGCCGAACAGGCGGAGAAAATTGTGAAGCAATTGGCGCAAGTGAAACGGGAATGCAAGCACGCAACTGACAGCCTACAGAGTCAGGTAGCTTTTCTCACGAAGCAGCTGGCGTCGACAAAGAAAGAGCTTCAGCGCGAAGGCGACCTTCATCAGTCGCGCATTACGGAACAGCAGGAGACGGTAAGCACGCAGGTTATCTTTTGAATCCTTTCCTTCGGCCATCATCATGATCATCTTCATCATTCGGCTGTTTTGCCGCGCGTGTTGATGTATCTGCAGATAGTCTTCAGTTGAGCCCTCTGCATAGGTCTAAGATTTTATCCAGCAAATATACGCTTATCTCAGATTGCGCGTCAGGATGAGGAGCTCCGGGATTTGCTTGAGCGGAAGTTCGAGCTCGAACAAGCCCTGTTGGATTCCTATATTCGGCTCGCTGAGGAAAAGGATCGTGGCGACAAGCTGCAAACCGAGCTGCGGCAAAGCGAAGACAAACGCACCGCCGCCGAGCAGGAAACGCAGGAGGCGTTGCAGTTCGCAGAGGACACCGTCACCGAAAATGTGGCTTTCCAGGAAACAACAGAGCGCATGCGGGAGGAACTTCTCGATGTGCAAGTTTTGTGTCGCAAGTTGACGTACTACAAAAACGTAGACCTCCCATCTGCGCTCCGGGAGGAGGGAATTGGAATTGGAAACGAACACGATGAAAATGAGGATGTGACAAGGAGGGAAACAGAGGGTGGGCTCTTTTTGCAGGAAGGGCATGCAGAAATAACTCCGGAGAAAGCCGAAACGAGCAACAACTCGGCTGTTCCTTCAAAGGAAAAAAATAGTGGCGTCGAAGAAGACAATCCGTTTGGCAAGAGCGACGACTTTGACTTCGTACGACGGGAAGTTCAGCGAATGGAGGAACAGAGGGCAGAAGAGATCGATCGATTGGAGATGGCGATCGAGCGCATGGAAACCGAGCGCTTTCCACGGCCCGTTGTTGGCAGCGGAGAAGAAGAAGAAGTAGTTAACGCTTGTCAAATGAATCCTGTCGATGCAGCCACATCGGCAGGAGACGCAGACCTGCTTCTTGCAGAGAAGCAGAAGAACCCGTCAACAGATTTATCTTGTCATGAAGCATGATCAAAGCAATAACCTTGAATCTGTATCTGTGTAAATGAAAATCTTCTAAATCGTGGTTTTATATGAGTGTTCGACGTGAAAAACGTCAGAAGACAGACATCGATGTAAAAATTATTTGATTTTTTGCAACTGTGTCCTTTCGACTACAGGCTTGCAACTAAAAAGCAAATAAAGTGCCTAGCAATCACTATGCAGTTTATTCACCTTGGGCATCGTCCCTGCCCGCGGCAGTCACGTCAAGGGTCTTGTTCTCTGTCAAAGTGCTTCCTGAACGAATGCAAAGTGTATGAATGCGGATGTCGTCGTTTCAGAGACTGGAAAAAAAGACTTGGTTTGGACTTGTTGATGGTGCTGATAGTCCGACAGTTGTCGTCACTGATGTGCAAAAAGACAAAAACATATTGATGTTGTTGTCGAGTGCGCGAAGTTGATGTTATACGGATGTGTTACAAAAACGAGCGCAGGCTGCAAATCATTCTTCAAAGCGGGTTTCAAAATTTCAGCAGACAGCAGTTTACCTAGTAAGCAAAATACAGCGGTAATCTTACTTCGGGTTTGCCTAAAAATACACTGGAGGTTTAGGGTTTCCATTCGAAAATGCCGCCTACAGTTTCTTGCAATCGAACCATTGCACCAGAGCTGTGAGTCGTGAGCAATCACAGCTCCGGCTAGCAGAAGGAACACTGAAAAACATTTATACGGTAGGCAAAGACAGTAGTATTTTTTCATTCAATTCGTATTCGATCGAGCTTTGCATTGAAACGACAGCATTCTATCTGGGGCGTCCAACATGTTCGCTTCAGGTGGCAGCCCAAAATGTGACTCGCGACAGCGATGAGGGAATATCGAAAATGGTGAAGGATGCCGGTCTTGTCGTTTAACGACCAGTATCAAATGTAAAAATGTCTGGGTCTGGAAGGATGCGAACTTGTGATGCGTGTTGCGGATCATACAAAAATCTGTGTTGCATGACTTGCAAAAGGTCCCCATTTCTAGCCATGCCGAGGGGGCATTTCTCATGCAGAATAGGCATCACCAAGGGGCAGCAGAACCTGTGATGCTAGGCCCTGCATTCGAGACTTGGCGGAGCTTGGAAAAACTGCATGACAAATCTCAGAATCTTCCAGACCCAGACATTTTTACATTTGATAACCAGGCAAAGAGCGAAGCCGCATGTCAGACCTTAACTACCCTCCTCGACGGCCAAAGCAAGTTTGCGGGCGGAGTCCATGTCTTCTGCGCCTGCGAGCCCGACGCGCTCTGCGCGTACTGTCTTTTTTTGATACTGCCTCGTAGCTAATGTTGCAGTAAGTGCTGTGCTACGCCTACCACTTGCAATTCCATTTTCCATGCACAACGTTTTCTTTCGAGTTTTTCCGTGCCGTCATGTAAAGTTTCCGTTATTTTCCCTTCAAGAACTACACTCCCAATGCAATGACAGGTTGAAGATACTCGAGCACATATGCGAGCTAAGGCATATCTCACTCGCACACGTGCCTGCCACCGATTGGGAGGCCGTGGAGGAGCACATTGCGAGGTGGGATGCAGATGACAGCGATGTCCCGGGGCTTCTGCTTTTTATCGGCCTCGGGTCGACTCGAAACCTCCCAGAATTTCTTGCGTCGAAAGAAACACTTCCTGAGCAAACGAAGCTACTCTGTACTTGTTACGTCGAGGTTTTTCTAACAACCGTGAATTTTCAATATTGGTATATAATTGCGTTGAACATTTTCACGAAAACACGATCGGCTGCAAGAAACCACACTACAACAACCGTCAGGTCTTGACGCACACCGGCCAGTGAAGTGGGAGAGCGTGAGTACAGCGAGCGACCGGGTGTACATTATTGAGCACGATCCGTGCAACGCTGAGAATCCGGATTTGGATCTGGGGCTGATTGCCAAGAAGGCTGCACAGTCGGAGACAGAGCTGATGTTCGACGAGGAGGAAGAGGATCCGTTCCTCGACGAAGAGTACGACGGCGGGGGGCGACCGCTGAAGAGGCGGCGGATCGGGCCCGAGGGGTTGGAACTATCCAGGAAAAAAAGTGTGTATAGTGTAACTTTCTTTGAGAAACAGCATCACAAATTTGCTCTACATGACAGAGAAAACCTGTCATGCGTGACTTGTAAGGGAAAACACACGTGAAAAGAGGACTTCGTGGCTATTTGGCATGACAGGTGTAACCCTTTTGCATGTTCTGCAACACAAATACACAGTTTTTTTCTTTCATAGGAACTGCCGAAGGACTACTACCTCTACTCCTGGTACGCCGCTCCGTGCGCGTGCACGGCCTTCCAAATCGCGAAAACGCTAAAATTGGCGGACAAGGAGCTGCTGTGGCACGCGGCGGTGGGCACCAGTATGTACCGGGAGTGGACGCTGTCCCACCGCGAGGTGGCGGAGGAGCACATGGAGGACATGCACAAGTTCCTGCAGGACGAGGGCTGCATCCCGGACCTCGTGCGGGAGGCCCTGCCCAAGCAGCTCCAGGCCGGTGGGTCCTCGTCCTCGACGGCACCTCCGGGTAGAAGTAGACTGCTCGACAGCGTCAAGGACGGGGAGATCACGCGCACGCAAAGGAACATGCGCTACGACCACGACCTCTGCGCGTTCATGTACCGGCACTGGAATTTGAAGGAATCCTTCGGGCATTCCTCCTTCCCCTACGGAAAAATTCGCCTGCACAAGGAGGGCGGCACCGGCATCTTGGAGCACATGTTTTCCGAGGCTGGGCTGAAGTATGAAGAAACCACCGAGCCGTACCCCTCCTTGTCCCAGCGCATAAAAACGAAGGTTGTGCCTTTCATCAAAGAAACCGCACGCAGATTCAATATCGAGGGAATCATGTACTTAGTTGCTGCACAGTTTTTGGCTTTTTTGTTTTCCGCTTTCAACCTTACTTTTCTCGTGATTTTTCGGTATCGGCCTACTTCCTCCAACCCGATGAAGTCTGTCATCATCGCCAAACAAGATGTTGAAACCACGATGTCATCCGCTCTATCTCGAACTGCGTACATCTTCTTTGTGCATGTGCTGCTGGATTGCTCTCTTGGGCGCTCACTGTAAGCTGCGAGTGACAGCACGGTAATTTTTCAACGTTGCAAAAAAACTCGACTACAGAGGGAAGCAATGGACGCGGAAGGTTCATCGGCTGGCCACGGCGAGCGAAGACAACCAGTATCAGAGCCTGAACCTGGACACCTGGACCGCAGAAGAGATCGTGCACGTGATAACCGCTCACCTCGAGTTTGGACTGTCGGACGGATTCAGGGGCGTACTCGAGAACGAGGAGCTGAATCAGCCGGAAATGCGCGACCGCGCGCTGCTCGAAGTGCAGAGGACAAATCAGGTGCTTTGCTTACAAGTTTTTGGCAGTACGCACACATGACTGCACCGCATCGAGCAGGATCGGCCAAGTTTTTTTGCAATCCCTGATTAGTGTGACTACACTAGGTAGTAGTACTTGGCGCATCTGTATCATGCTCCGCCGTTCTACTTAGGATCATAAATAAAATCCTTCTCTTTCACAGCGGAAGAATTTCACAAAGTGCATCGCTTGTCTTGGGTACGCAGACGTGGAGCTGTTTCGTGAGGGCTTGAACTCGGCGCTGACCATTCAGAAAGAGATTGTCTCTAAGGCGAAGGAGCTCATTGAGGCGAAGAAGATCTACGGCCACAAGGGCATCTTCAAGCACTGCGTTTTCGAAGTGGGGACGAACGATTTGTTTCGGCGCCCCATGATCGTTCGCAGGCTGGCGCTCTGGATCATGGAGGTCACGCTCAAATACGCGCTGAAAAAGGAGCACAAGGTCCTTCCGCACGTCCTCGTCGCGCACGACCAAACTCGAGAAAAGTACTTAAAGTTCTTTGTTCCGATCTGCGTTTGTCGACAAGATGAAAAATATATTTTTTCTCTTTTTCATGTATACTGTGGTCGTGGAAGCATTCTTCGGGTCGTTGGCAAAGATTGCGATCAGCATCTCGTTTCTCACAGGCACCTTCTGGTCGGAGTGTCGCCGCTGGCAGACAGGCACGAGAAGAATCGCTGCAGTAGCCGTATAATGTCCAGCCTGCAGAAGCTCCTCGCGGAAGGCGGCACTGCCCGGGCACACAACTACGACTTCTACGATACCAGCGTTGTCGAAATCGTGGACAAGGATTGGAAGCGCTTTTGGTCCGCCTTTCGAGGCGCGTAACGCCGCCGAAGCTCTGCGCTGCCTCCGCGCAAATTTTTCAAAACCCATTTATGTCAATTTAATATACTCATTGTTACAACTGCAGAATGCGTCGTCGCATTTTCACATTACTCATTTCAATCACATCAAGTCATTGTTTTTTTTACACTCTTGTTACAAGCAATCAGAATCACCTTCGAGTTTTGGATTAAATAGTTAAGGACGGTTTCTGGAAATCCGCAGCCAGAAGCAAGCACCAAGTGGGCGAGGTTAAAAGACCTCACGAACCAGCAACAATGAACCCATTCGCGTCTTGCACTCACGGGCAAGGGTGTCTGTACCAATTCTGATGGATTACGTACAGTGCCAGTCCTTCTGCATCTCCTCCATGAATGGTGGAGCTACAACATGAGTTGGTTCTTGAGTTGGCCGTCGCTAAAAAATGTGTCCTTGCTGCAACAGCCAGGTGTGTAAGTAAGTTTGCTGGGACTTTTATTCTTCAATGGAGCGATCAAGATCATGTTAGTTCCATTTTCTCATTCGATTTCGGAATCGTGGCGAGGCTTCGTTTTCGCAAATAGGACAAATTTGGCCCACGTCTGTTATTTTCCAACGTCGACATCGCACTCGCAAAATGAATCCAAAAGGGCCTGAAATCGTAGGGAGTGTTGTTTGTTTTCAAATTTAGCTTCGGATGGAGCGAAAAAAAGCAAAACGGATGCTGGTGAAATGGCATCAGAAGCAACTTTTTTTTTGATTTTCTCGTTCTTTTCTTTATGGTTTTGGTGCTGCGTCTGCGCCTTTCACGCTAATGGATCTGCCGTACCTGTAGCTGCGTGGAGTTTCAGACTAACTCAGATACGCTAACTTGCACAGAGAGAAATGAAGTTCAAACTCAGCAAGAAAAGTGAAGGCGCATCAGCGGGAGCCACGATGCCGGATCAACGTAAAACAAGCCGACCTTTTCCACAATGTACCCATGCGGGTACTACTCGATCCCGGTCGCCGCGGCGAGTGCAGAGCAACTTTGTGCCGCTCCGCCCGGCAAGGATTCAACTGCAAGTTCCTAGGGCGGCGTCATCAACAGCGGCGCCTGTAAATGACCGGTACGTCGACACCGTTTCTTCGAAAGATACATCTCCACGGCGAAAGGCAAAGATACAGCGGCTCAACGAAGTCGAGGATAATATCGTGGAGCCACGAGGCGAAGATAGCAGTAGCAAACAGCACGATTCCATTCCTTCTGGAACCGGCACAGCTCGTGAAGCAACGGGTGTCATGCCTGCTGGCCGAACAAGCAATGGGGCGAGGACAGCAGCTGTGGCGGACACAAATTCGGCAGAAAAGCCTATCTGCGACGAGACATCAAAACAGACCGCTACAGCAGAAGCTGCCGGCACTCAGAGGAAGAGAGCGAGAAAAGTACAGAAGCCTAAAGAGAAAGCGCAGGAGCAGAGCGGCGCGACAAGTACTAGTCTATTGTCACTTCGCGACATATCGAGGAAGCATCAAGCGTCCCGTAACAATACAGCAGATGAGTGGAAGAACTCGAAGCACCTCCAGGAACAACGAGCGCCGGACGAATCGCAGTCCTCTACGACGTCGGATCACAGCAGTATGAGAATCCGAGACGAAAAGACAGACGTAGCCGGCCCAGTTATGATCAACAAGCCCAAGGGCGGTCTTCTCACCAGCACAAGCAGTTCATCCGCTAAAAAAGCGAAAGTCCAAGAACATGAAGCTGATAAAGAGTTGAGCGAGCAGCGATCGGAGCCTGTAGTTGAACAGCCCCCGCCAGGAGAGCCGACCATCGACAAAGCAAAAGCACAAGAGTTGTCCGACGAGGAGGACGCGGATCGTCGTGCGCAGAAAAAGCAAAGCGATGATGAAGCTGAAGTCTTCGTTGATCCCGGAGGTGACGACGCTGCAGCAGCTTCGCATGCAGCAAATCAAAAGTTGCTCGACGAGCTTCTTGCCAACGACGGCCAGAAGCGTCGGCTGGCGTGCGCCATCGCGAAAGCAGGCAGCGTGCGGGAATTCATGCGTAGTTTGGAAAAAGCAGAACTGGTGGAGGAGGAGCCGGAGGACGGTTTCTTGGACAGCGAAGACGAGGTTTGGTCCGAAGACGAGGGGACAAGCTCGGAGGAAGAGGACGACGGTACTTTTGAGGAGGAAGTTCCTTTACCCCTCCCGGAGGGTCCGCGCCCAGGCGACAGCGGGTTCACGCGCTTCCTCCGCCAAAAATTGCACGACGACAGGATCATAACTGGAACGGACCCTCTGTTTCCGAAAAGGGAAGTAGAGACGGAAGCAGTTCTTGCCGGTGCGGCGACACGACAGGACCACGATGAAAAGCAGAATTCTATTGTTGGGTCCTCGGGGTCGTCGGTAGTAGATTCAGGTGCTGCGGGGGCAGACAACAGGAGTGGCCCAACTACTGCGAAGGCGGAACAAGAATCACCTTTGCTGAAGGCTGAGGATCAGGATATTGAGCAAAGCGGCTCTACTACTGGTGAAAAGCGCGGGTCGTCGTGCTCGGGTGTTGCGCCGCTGTTGACGCATCAGAAGATCGTGAGGTACGTGTTCGAGAGGGGATACTGTCCGAGACTTCTCGTGGACCACGCGACAGGCTCCGGAAAGACGCGCACGCAGATCGAGCTGCTCACCGTCGACTACTTGCGAGCCAGAACGAAAATCGTGATCCTGCCAAAAAAAGCGCACGTCGACAACCTGTTCAAGGAGCTCCTCCGGTGGCCGAATCCCTGGCGAGATTTCTTCGCGGTGTTTTGTGCGGACTTGCTGAAAAAGCTGAAGTTTTTTGCCGCGGGCGGCGGGGAAAGATCGACGATACGCAGTGCGAACGGAGAGCGGGACCACGGTGAGAAGCAGGCCCTGCCTGAAGACGGAAACAAGAAAAGCACCGCAGTGCTTTGCGACCAGCAGGCTGCTGAACGTGTTGAAAACGAGGCAACCCCCGGCGCCACGGCGAACAAGGAAAGCGGCGCTGCAGCAGCTAGTACAGGTGCCACAGCTAGTAACGCTGACGCACAACAAGCAGCGGATGGTGCAGAGGGTGGAGCGAAAATCGATAAAACCAGTAGCGTTGTCCCCTTCGCGGATTCCGACTGGTCGATCTTTTTGAACTCAGGCTCGATGAAGAGCAGCAAAAAGCGACAGACGTTGTACACGGCCTTCCGCGATTGTGTCGGTCTGAAGGGCCTCATTTGCGGAGGTCGCTTGCGCAAGGGCTGGGCTAAGAAGTTTTTCCGGCAACACCACGTGCGTCCGCCTGCAGCGCCGCTGCGGATTTTCAATTACACCACTGCCGGAGGGAGTGCCATGGGCTTCTCGCGCGAAGGGAAAGCGACTGGACAGATCGACGCGTGTTTGAAGTTCAAATTGGTTAGCAAGGAAGACGTGTACGCAGGCAAGCTGATTCTCATGGATGAAGCCCACAACCTCGTTCGCCCGGCAGAGGAGCGATATCGGCCTGCCTTGAATAGGCTGCGCGACGCGGTGGCGAACACCTGCGGTTACGAAAGACCAGTAGCGCCGCAGCGCGCTCGCAAAACGGCCGACGTGGGTGGATGCGTAGTAGGCGAGAGCAATTGTCAGTCTAGTAGCAGCGAATCCGCCGAAGCCAACCTGGGAAAGGATGACGCACGGAGTCGAGAAGAAGCGGGAAAAAGTGCCGGCACGAAAACGGACGCTGAAGAAGTGGTTACACAAGCGGACACGACCCGTGACCATCAAGCTAGTCCTAGTGGTTGCATTGCAGTGCAGACAAGATCCCCAGCGACGTGGGTTTATCTGATGACAGCGACTCCGATTCAACCCGGAGTTTCTGCTCGGTCTCTGCTCGACTTGGTGAAAGGGCTGGCTCCAGCGACTGCTAGCGGTACTGTCCGCAACGACGCTGGTTTTTTGAGTGCGTTCCATGCCAAATCCATGGATCTCTATCCGCGAGTGCTCGTGGCTGGTCCCGGCGGCCATCATCTGCAACACAGGAACACGCTGTCAAACGGATTGCAGATGAGTACGATTTTGAGCGTTCCATTAATCGGGAAGTCACTTTCGCACTACATTTTGAAGCACAGTGTGGAAATTCCGCGACAGGACCCCAAGCGCGAGGTCCGGCTGGCGAAGTGGACGGTTTGCGCGATCGCACCGCACTACGTATCCGCCAAGTTGAACCAGGGGGGAAGCACCACGATCGAAAAATCCAAGTCCTACTGTCCGAAGATCTACCGGGCCGCGGCGATGATCAGAAACCGCAACCAGAAAGCGTTGGTGTTGGTGTCAAGAAAAACCGGTTTCCTGGCAGCGCAGATTTTGTTCCAAAAGGTTTTCGGCGCGGAGAAGGTGGCGACGTTTCGTGACGTTGCGCAGTTTAACGACGACGCGGCAAACGCTCGAGGGGAAAACAAGTTGGTTCTGCTCGCCACCAAGGAAGAGTGTCAGGAGGGGGTCGAGTTCCGGTGCGTGCGCGAGTTTCACATCTTGGACGTGCCGAGTGACCCGGCGGAATATACCCAGATTGTCGGGCGACCGGTCCGCGTAGGAAGCCACGCCGCGCTGCCACCTAGCGAGCGGACTGTCACCCTCTACGTCCACGCAGCGACGCTGCCACGCTGGTTGCGCGAAGACGAGGAAGACGAGCTACATGTTGGGAAAAGCAAACCGACGCCGCTGCAGGAGACCCGGCGCTGGCGCGCTGTGGCGCTCTGCAAGACCAAGAACTGGAAGGACGAGAACCTGGTGAAAGGGTTGCAAAAATGGGCAGCGCAGGGGGAGGCGCCAGAAGGCGTCAAGGACCTTGCACAAAGCGATGCTCTGGCACCTGTGGACACCGTGGACTACACGACTTTGTCTCGTCTGAGAACCACGCTTGGGACCCGGAGCAACACCCTCGAAAAACTACGGACCATGGCACTTGAGTATGGACTGTTTTGAACTGTTATTCCCTGCTTGAAAACGAAACATTTACCGATTATACCGGCGGCCGCGCCTTTAACGACCGATCCTCGTTCGAGTGAGACATAAAACCACTCAGGAACATCCTCGACCTAATCTACTTTCTTCACTTACGCTGAGCTGGAGCTTTTGTTTTTGAATGAACCCAGATGATTTGAAAATGACAGTCAAATTATCTAGATGACTTGAAGTTGAACCGACGTTTACCAATAAATATCGTTTCTGTTTATGTTTTTGTCGGAGGAGACGGAGACCGCGCCAAGTTTGCTACCTCGACTTGAAAATGCGAGTCCAAATAAAGAGATCCTCTATTTCTTGTATGATTTTGAAGAAAAGAAAAGTTAGTGGTCTTTTTGCAGAGCTTGATAAAAATCTTAACGCAGAACTTTCAGTTTCACATTTGCACTTTCCTCTGTCGGATGTGCTGAAGTAGACACGAGCTGTTTTTGCTGGATTATCAAAAAGTATAAAAACGCACTGACGAGTTTAACGTACTAGAGCTATGTTTTGATAAAAACAAAAAGAACTGACAAGCAGGATACATAGTCAGCATGCTGAGTCTTGCTCGGTTTTGCCTTCTTCAGAGTTGGCTTCTATCGCTCTGGTGCATGTTATGTCTCGGCAAAGGCAATCAGTACTGAGTAGAACGAGCCGATGGCGAGGATGTCATAGACTCTATGACATCGGTTCGTGGTGTTGGTAAAGTTAAAGGCCAAGAAGTCGCCAAGAAACTTCAACCTCGGTATCCTCGTGCTTGTATTTGTTTCCACGATGAAAAACTGTAACTGATATTGAAAAAAATCTCGGTTCCTCGTTCATGTTAATGAATCAGCCGCACTCGCCCAGTCGTACAACGAGAACCGTAATTGACGCATAATCAGGTCGGCGACAGTGTACCAACATGAACGTCCTTCGGTACCATACAGTTTCTGTAACCGTATAGCTGTGGTAAGCATCGTTCCAAGTGCTACGTTTCTCCTCGTACAAGATTTCGAATTTTGCGCAAGACCAAGCACAAAACCGGACTGTGCTCACACTTAAACGCAATTCAACAAGAACACAAGAACGAACTCTGTCTCTGACCACATCCAGCTCATCATTCTCAAAGTGTATCCCATACCCCCTCATTCTGAAATTAATAAACGCTTATCCCGATATTTTTCACTAAATTCGAAGATGTTGATTCAAAAATTCCAAGCCTGCACAGACGTAGCGAGCACGTTATTTTTCGCAGCACACTAAGTAGTGTAGGTACTAACTTTCGCGGATCGGCATCGGAGAAGCAAGCACCCAGACCCCCGCGCGCTGCAAGCATGCCACCGAAAGTATCCACCTCGCAGGCCTCATCACCGAGGTCATCGTCGCCGGGCACCCCAATGAAGCGGCAGATGAACACCTCGGGCGTGGCGCTGACGAGTTATCCCGGGATGTATGAGGACTACAATCGCGGCATGAACCTGTATGTCCTGTCCGAACCGGGAAGCCACCCGGAGGACAAGCGCATTCTGCACACCACTGCGGCCATGTCGATGACGGGCAAGAAAGTGATCGACATGTACCTGCTGCGTGAGCGGAAGGAGCAAAGCATTGTGAAGCGCGCCAACCCCCGCCGCTACACCTCCAACCTGTCCAACAGCACTCTGGCCAAGCAGAAGCAGATGGGCGCCGTCTGGGAAGACTTTGGCCACAAGCAGCTGACTCGGACGGACTTGTTCCAACTCATGAATGTCGTGATCAACGAAGCCCTTCACCGGCACCGGGACCGCAAGGGGCTGCGCAGGAAATTCGTTTGGAAAGAGTTCGCCACGGACAACCTGGACTACTCCCTGAAGTACTTCTTCGAGGACGTCCGTAAGAACGTAGACTGGGGCGTGAAGTACTACAGTGTCTTCCGGCACTGCGATGTCTTCATGTCCGAGCAGGATGTGAACCGGCAGACGCCCCTGTTGGAGAAGGTCAAGCGCGAACTCGAACAAGAAATTCACGACCGGGAGATGGAACGAAGAAAGACGCCACACGGCGAGCTCGTCGAACCCATGACCGGTATTTACTATTGCAACTACCATACTTTTTTGCTGCGTTTCAAAAAATTTTGCTTATCGCAATATTTGCCGATCCAGATCTGCAGAGAGAGAGCAACAAATACTTCCGCTGGCAGGTCATTGCTGAGTTGTTTGTTTCGTAAGATAAAGTAGATTTTACATTGCAACACGCGTCAGAAACCCGATCAAAGAAATATGCAAATAAAATTTCCAGCCACCCCAGAGACCAAGGCCCGCTTACTGGTGATAAACTCTCTGCCCGTACTCGGGTGGCGGCCAACAAGCCAGAAGATGAACCGAAACCAAAGTCCAGCGGTGCGCACGTACGAGGAGTTTGTAGATCGGGAGTCCCGCCCCCAGACGAAGGAGAGCGTGCGGTCGCTGATGTTCGATCAGTTTCCCCAGCTGCCGCTCATGGGCACGCAGCGCCAGCCCAACGTGGTGGGGGGCGGGCTCACGACGGGCCACGGGTCTGCGCGGTTGGAGAGTCGTCCGGGCACCGTGGAAGGCGTGTTGCCGAAGGTCGGCTCCATCTCGAACGGAATGGTGGTCACGCAACGCGCGGAGGGGATCACGAAGGAGATGTCTGGGCCCACCGGTGCGGCCATGGGATCCCGACCGGGAACCTCGCGGAGTCATTTGATGAATAAGTCCATTCCAGGGTCCTTGACAGGAACAACCGACGGCTTGCGACCGGGAACAACCCCGGCAGGAAGGCCACTCACGTGCGACGCAAAGGCCGGGTCGCTGGAAAAGGTATGCCATATTGCTTGTACGTGCTTCGCGTTTTATTTTAGTTTGTCAAGAAACAGAATCGCATTGGATGGAGGTAAGGTACCTTACTTTTGTGATCACTTTTGTACTTCGTGTCTTTGCATATGCATTTACTTTTGTACAACTTGAGTGCTGTGCACCGAACAGCACACGTTGCCTCATTGCCACGCCTATCTCCATCATCCTGTCAATGCACACAACAGCTCGAGGGCGCGGACTTTCCGTTGTCGAGACCTAGCACGGCTGTGATCGGGACGACGAAGAAGGTGGCTACGAAGGCAGTAACGGAAGACTTCAAGGAGACCTCGCACGGCAAGAACAAGCCGTGCGACTGGTTCGTGGTGGACACGCTGTTCAAGTTCATCATCCGCCGAGCCTGCCACGGGAGTCGCCACTTCCAGAAGGTGTGGGGCGAGTTTTTCGTGGAGGGGAACTGCCGCGACGCGGAGCTTGACGCCGAGGGGTATGTGGATCCGCGGATGAAGTCAGCGTTCGACTGCATGAAGAACCCCATCCCGCGGGAGGTCGTGAAGCAGCACCTGCCGGGGTGCGAGTTCGGCATGAAGTGCAACTGTCCCAACTACCTCATTCCCGAGGGCCCCACCTCCTACGAACGCGCCGAGGGGTCCTTCGACCTGCGGCTCGCGGTCGCCATGGTCGCGGGCGTAACGGGCAACTACGAAATCTACTCTCTGGTCGACCCCGCGGAGTACGTGAAGCGCGACGCCTTATTCGGTCGCGAGATGTCCACCGAAGAGCGCGGCTTGCTCGCCTGCGCCGCAGCGCTAGGCGGGAACGCGAAACTGTTCAAACTAGCCAAGCCAGTCTTCCTGCAATATCACGGTAAAATTCTTCATCTTTTTTGTTGCAAGTGTCTGTCGTTAATATCATTTTCAGTCTCGTGGCTACTGTTGTGCGGAATTGGGATTTTCACTTTGCCGCTTTCCTTGAAGACTGGGAATTAGATGATATTTCCATTCGTGTCCGTGTCGGGTTTGTCCTTGTTTGCGCATCAATCACAATTTCGGAGCTCCAAATACACAACAGACAAAGTGAAGCTTTCGATATGCGCGGCGCTGGGACAGGCATACGAGATTTGGGAAATGCTTGACGCCCCGATGATGATTGACTACATCGATCAAGTAAAAGTGGTTACGGCGGCGAAAATTGGAGGCCACATGGATTTGTACAGGAGTGCCTTGAGTCAGTGCTTCCTGACGGAAAACGATGCCAAAATGCTCGGCGAAATCGAGTACGGAGCGGGTAGTTGGTTGATGAACGTAAGAAATCCACCAAGACCTGGCATCCTTCTTGGGAAAAAATAATGAAAGTTGCAGTTTTATCTGAAATTAATCCTGTAGTCCTTTGGTTTTTTTTTCTCCTCCATGAGTCTGTGAGTTTTGTTTCGTACTATCTTGTTAAGTGAGTCGCGTCCTACTTTTTGACGAACTTACAGTATGTAACCGCAATCGTACAGTATCATTTAAGTGTCAACATGTTCTAGTACTAGTTTCTTTCTCTAGGGATTTTCTGTAGAATTCAACCTAAGGATACAGAACATACAGTAAAGAGGACATGGGATTCTTTGTCACACTTAAGTACTTCTTCTTCAAAATTTTCATTTTCTTACGTATCAATCTAAACAGGGTAATAGGTACTACCCGGTATTAATCTCTGCTCGTCCCAGGATTCTATTCCAACACGACAAAGTATGACCCAGCATCCATGAGCGCTCCTAGCGAGTGCTGCAAAGCAGTACGACGACGAGGCGGGTCACCCATCGTTCCATGATAACATCACGCCTACTGCCCCCCCTTGAGTTGCAACTATCATGCTCGTAGCCACCACCTCGAATTTTGCAGTGCCATCCCCGGCACTCCATGAACATCAACTCTCCTGACTACTACTTACATTAGCATTTTTGGTACGCAGTAATCTTGTCTGCATTCTGGACCTGCAATTCTTCTGTCTGGAACTTGAAATCGAAATCTCCGCCAGAAAATTTTGGAGACAGCGTGTTCGACGCACTTCTTATCACTAGTGATACTTTTTATTGTAGCGGCATATCGCTGCTCCTGCAGCCCATGAATCGCGATCATTTTTGGGAAAAGCGGAAGATCCAGATCTGATCTTACCAGAAGACAATTTTATGCAAACCTCGGCAGCCTTTCGACATTTATTCCGAGTGGTAGAACATTTTTTGGATTTATTTTCACATCATAATCATTTGATCATCGGTTTTTCGCTCTACTTAGGTATTTCTCGTTCTCCCCCGCAGGCGCAGCTATCGAAGGTAAAGATGTTCACAATGAAATTTTTGTTTTTAAGGGAGAGCTAGTGCTAAGTAAACTCTCGGATATTTTGTTAGAGAAGATCTCCAATAAAACATATTCAAATTCATGGCCGTGGTCGTCCCGACATAAAGCGACAATTTCAACGCATGATGTGTGTATCATAATCATTTGCAACGGCCAATCGGCGACCGCGTCCGTCGCCTTGTTCTCGCGTCCGTATTTCTACGCGGAAGACTGCTCGGGCGTGCGTGAACAAGAGTTCTTGTGCCGGCGGGCGCTGCCCGGAGGAGAAGAGCAACATGTCGACGGGGTACATAATAATGGGGGCGATGGTGTGGATGGTGTGGTCCACGGGAAGCCTGATGCCCCTGTTTTACTGTTTTCTCGGCGTGTTCCTGCTCCTCATCTGCCAGCTAATCTGGAAGCAGGAGGAAATGCTTTACGTGCCGGAGCCCATGCCCGGGATGCTAAAGCCCGAGGACAACCCGGCCGGGTTTCGGTCACCGGCCGAGTTTAAGCTTCCATACGAAGACGTCTTCTTCAAGAGTGCCGACTCGCTGACGCTGCATGCGTGGTGGATACCCGGGGCAGGGACCTCCGCGTCAAGTTCGACTGGCGGAGCAGGTGTGTCCATACGAAACCGAACCAAAGCGCCTGCAAACTGCAGCATTCTCTTTTGCCACGCAAACGCAGGAAATATCGGCATGCGACTGCCCAACTTTGTGGACCTCGCGAAAAGGTGTAATGCCAACGTCTTTGCCTTTGACTATCGGGGCTTTGGGAAAAGTGAAGGTATATCCACTTACTCAAAATTTAAGTTTCTCAGATTTTTCGCTTGTGTCCTTGTAGAGAACTGTGGTGCCGGAAACTTAATTCTCTCTACAAGAACGAAAAAACATTTGCGGCAGCGCATTCTTCAGCGTTTCTTCAGATGCAGATATTTATCGACTCATCTGTCACAGGCAAGCCATCGGAGCAAGGTCTCATTCTGGACGGACTTGCCTCGCTGTACGAGATGAAAAGCAAATACGGCATCGAAGAGACTTTCATTTTCGGCCGTTCTCTCGGCGGCGCCGTCGCTGTTTCACTCGTCAAAGCCATAGAGGACTTCACACCCGAGGTTCGAGCGAAATACCCCAGAATAAAGGGCATCATGCTGGAGAACACCTTCACAAGTAGTGAAAATGATAATGATGCATTATTTTGTCTTGTTGTTTGTAGTTTGCTGCTGTTTCAGGAGTGTTAGTTCTTGAGGAAGGATATGCTGAAGAAGAAGCTTGAGATTTAGTGCTTGTGATCTCCATCCCTGTGCGTATGCCCTCCAAATAGGTATAAGCGACCTAGCGGACAAGTTGTTTCCGTTTCTGGCTTACCTGAAACCAATAAAGGCCTTCTTCCTCCGCATAAACTGGGACTCCATGGCGCAAATGAAGACTTTCAGCAAGACAACGACGAAGGTACTTTCAGGAATTATCAAATGCACTTTCATTTTGGCAGACCTTGCCGCAGGGCGTATAAAAAAATCTTGTACTGTGTTGTATAAGATACAGCTATTGTCGCTGATGTTCGGAATCATTTTCCGCAAACTCCCTCAGGTTTTGTTTTTAGTTGGCGAGAAAGACGAATTGGTGCCTCCCGAACACTCACGGAAGTTATGCGACGCCTGCCCTTGCCCCACCACCTTTGCAAGTTTTCCGGAAGGAATGCACAACGACACATACCATAAAGGCGGATTAAAATACTGGGAATATGTCCAGGGTTTCCTGAATGACTAATAAATCGGAGGGCGTGCAACGTGTGCAACGCCCAACAACGCCCACGCACGCAGCGACATCGACATAGTTCACGTCTAGCCGTAATTTTAATACCGATCCGCCAAAATCGAGATACTTACCTACTTCGCAACAAGATCTTCAAGAATACGTTGCAAAGCTGCTGTGGTGGCTGCACAGAAGAGTGTTCATTTTGCATCGGATCTGCCATCGGAGTGCTCTCGCTGCATCGGATCTACCATCCGTTATCGAAATTGGCACATCGGATCTTGGGAGATCAACATGAAAAGGGAGATCCGTTTCTTTTCACAGATCTGGTCTCTTGGTTCCGATGCCTTATACGCTCGCATTTGTTTTTGATAGGATTTTACAAATCGAAATCTCCACGACGCGACTCGTTGATTTCAATTTTTACAGGTCTTCGTCCTACGCCCTCACGTTATGCTGTGATGAATAACGATGTGGATAGCTTAGTGCTGCTGTGTTTTTCCCTGTTTTTCAGGCGTAAGTACCCTTAAATGGAGGAAGTATACCGATACATAGCTGTCAGCTTTCATGTAAGTTGATACTTAGTCGCGAAAATTTATTAAAGGGCTTGCTCCGGAGGGGAGAACTCGATAAAAATATTCCTGTCAAAGCAAAGTCATGTTTCGCGGTATCAAGTTTGGCGCTTCCTCCACTGGAAAGGCAAAGAAGGACAAGAAGGAAAAGAAGAAAGCCAAAAAGGAGAAAAAGAAACACAAGAAGCGACGGGCCGCTTCCTCCTCCTCCGACGGCGAATCATCAGACGAGGATGCGGTTCAGGAACCATCTGTGCGAGCAGGCCGAGCTCGATCAGACGAGGATGATGAAGACGACTTCATGAAGGCCCCTGTTCTCCCGGAGGACGAACTTGAGCTCGGCACTGATGTGAGAAATAAACCGCCCGTAATTGGAAAGGAACGCAAATCTTCTAAAGCGGCAGGCTCTTCGTCTTCTTCCCCCGCTCGAGCCGAGTCCCCGAAAAATAAACCTTCATCTTCTTCAAACCCACCAGCGACCGCCGGCGGCGACGCAACCGCGAAAGAAGCCGCCGCTGCCGGCAGTACTAACCAGCACGGTCCCTTAGACCTGCTTTCTGCGTTTGGTGCGCAAATAACCGACTTGGAGAGCCGCGCAGACCGCAAAAAACGCGAGCGCAGGGAACAGAAAGAGGAACAAGATCCCACGGCGCGAAAAGTGGATCTGGACACCGGCGTGGCCCACGAGCGAGAGTTGAACCCCGCGGCCTACGACCCCCAGCTTGCCGCCGCGCAGCTCGCCAAGGACGTGCACAGTGGTGGTGGCTGGGACCTGCCCGCGCATCTCCGCATCGGGGACGGGGGCCGGGCCTGGGAAAAGCGGGCGCGGCAGCGTGAGCGCGAGGAACAGCAGGATCCGGAGGCGTTCAAGAATGCGTTACCGGTAAAGAGAAGCGGTAACAAGGGCGGCAAGGGAGGTGGTGGCGCGGCGGAGCAGGCCGCAGGAGCGGAAGAGGACCCCGACGAACAGATCGATCATAACGAGGACTTGTCTATGTACGAATGGGGAAGTCAGAAGAAGAAACGACCACAGTTTAAGGGCAGACCCACCGGGCAGATCAACGACGAACACGGAAATCCGATCGAAGACGGGACCACGAAGGGAGGCCAGAATCGCGGAAAAAATAAGCTCGATCACGGCATGTCGCTGGAGGGTCTGATAGGGGGTGGGGATGAGGACGATATTCCAGGGAAAAATAAAGGTGGAAAGAAGGGCGAGAGGAAGGGCGGTTATAGTACTAGCGGCAAAGGCGAGGTCGACGAGAACAACCGGTCTTACCACAACAATTCTTCGCGCAGAGACGACCGCGGGCGACGCGACTCTCGACGCCGACGAGATTCGCGATCGCGAAGAGGTGGAGCACGGTCGTACTATGACGATCGGCGGCGAGGAGGAGGTCCACCCGGCGACGACGGCGCGGAGGAGGATGATTTCGGTGCGTTGCGGAAAAAGTACGGTGCATCCGGATCATCGAGGCACGACCAGCGACGAGGAGGAGGTCGACGCGAAGACTCTCGCAGAGGACGCGGTCGCGAGAGGGGTGGTCGCGCTGACAACGCAGCTAGTAGAGCCGAGGAGGAAGAAGACCACGCCAAAGCTGCAAAGATGAAGCAAGACGAGGAAGAAAAGTCTCTGGACCGCAATCAGCTCCAGGCACGAGCGCTCCAGGCAATGATGAGCGGTGACACGAAGACCTACGACCGTCTCACCGCGATGCTGCAGGACAAGCCGCCGCTGCTGAACGAGGAACCGGCGGACAAGGGCCTCAGCAAGAATAGCAAAGGGAAGAAAGGCAAGCAGAAGGGAGGCGACAGTAGCAAGAGCGGCAAAGGCGCGGAGCCACTGACTATCGAGGAGATGCAGCGGCACGCGAAGCTTGGCGGCGACGACCACGAGAAGCTGTTTGTGGATCACATCCGCAAGCGCGGGCGTAATTTCATGGACGTGACAGATGACACCTACGAGGAAGACGGCTCCTTCAATGACAACTTTGTGGAGAAGAAGCGCAAGCGCGGGCAGCCACCGCCGAAGGAAAAAGAGATGAATAACAACAACGCGCTGGTCACTAAGGAGAAATTGGTGAATTTGAAGCGCTGTCCGCACTGTTTCGAGTCCGCCAAGTTTTCCTACCGATCCGAATCAACGGCAAATGAGTTCTACGACGACGACTCTGAGCAGGGTACCAAGGTGAGAAACATTAACATTATTTCCGAGTCGGATCTCTGCTATGTCGCGGTGGAGAACTCTCAAGTGGCGTTTCTGGAGCAGGAAATCATCATCGTGCCCTGGGATCACGTGGACACTATTTCTGTGAACGACATGGACGAAGACACTTTTAAGGAAATCCGAAACTACCAGAAGTCCCTCGTGAAGTTCTTCGACGAAAAGTTTCAAAAGGCCTGCATTTTTTGGGAGGACGTGCAGCAGGTGCCCACGCCGGATCAGCAGCACCTCGGCGCGGGAAGGCACTGCGTGGTGCGGTGTTTCCCGGTGGAAAAGGAGTTTCTCACCGAGCTGCAGATCTACTTCCGCGAGGCCTTCAAGGAAAACGCCGGCGCCAGCGACGAGTTCGATCGCGTGCACAAAAACCTGATCGAAATCCCACCGCACTCGTCGAACAGTATTCGCGACAAGATCGCGAAGCGTTTTCCCTACGTGTTCGTCGACTTCGGCCTGATGAAGGGGTATCTGCATCCCGTCGACCATCCGTTGCCCCGGGACTTCATCAAACACATCTTCTGTGGTTGTCTCGACTTGGACTTCCTCACCCACAAAGCGTATTCCTCGGCGGAGGATTACGAAGGAGAGGTCAGGCGGATCAACAAGCTATTTACCAGCTTCGACTGGAGCAAAGACCTCGAGCAGCAAGTTGGAGAATGATTCTTGATTCTATACTGACCACGTTCATCGTTGTCGCTGATTTCGTGCTGCAGCCTTTCCCCGGTGCGCCTTAATCTTGATTCGCGCGAAAGACAGAGGCCCAGTACGAAACGACACTCGTTGACCTGCTCTCCGATCTCCTATCAAATCAGGAACAAAGCGACACTTTTCACTTTTTCACATGACGTTTGTCCATTTTCAATTTCAGCTAAGAAGGAGGCGGATGCGGAAGTCGTGACTCATTGACTCCTTCCAAGGGTGGGCGGTCGACGTCAAGCGACCTGTCATCTCTTTCGTACAACTGATTGCACCGCAGTCAGCATATAGAAAAGTGTTCAAATTTGTTTTCTACTTCTTTATACGTCGAGGAAATACGTCAAATGTATCTCTCTCTGTCAGTCGCCGAAGAGAAAGCGATGTCGGTCATTTTCATTGTACTTTTCGTCCATGAATAACATCGGTAAGAGAGAAAAGTCCTTTTTTCGAAGTCGTGCAAAAACCGTTAGGCGTACAGTTAGTCCAAATCATCGTACAACCGCAAAGACAAACTCAAACCGTTGTGTGGGCTTTTTTGTCTATACCACATTCCGTATGTTGGAGGAGCGCCCCCGCGTACTCCTTTTGCTTCATTTTTTTCGATTCTCTCAAACGCAAAACCAGTGGAGCGGGGTAACAAATTCCGACGAGTTGTGGCCGTCCCACTTCTCACCCGCCCGGCCGAATGGGTGACTAGTGGGACGGAACCAGGATCCTGACCAGCTGGCGGGATCTTGCTTTTCGCCGCTCTCGTGGTCAGGATCCTGGTTCCGTCCCACTAGCCACCCACCCGGCCGGGCGGGTGAGAAGTGGGACGGCCACAACTCGTCAGAATTTGTTACCCCGCTCTAGAGAAAAAGAGCGTCGACACCCAAAAACCCCAAAGTAAGTACTCACACCATCGTCTTGCTTCAAAAAACTCCATATTTCGTCGTTTCCATCGCGTACGCGTTCTTTTTTTGCTGCGTTCAGGGTTGATAGTCTCAATTTAATCACTTAGCGACTGTTCCGGTTTAGTAAACCGAAACTCAAACTTCGAAAAGAAAATGGGTTGCGCGTCGTCTAAGCAGGAAAAGGCGGCAGAAGCCGCTCCAGCCGCGGCTGCTCCGCCGCAAATGGCCGCGGTATTTGAAAATAGATTTACACAAAGTGGACCACGTGTGTTGCATGAATTCGATATTTATTTTCATTTGTATTTCCATTCGTTGATGAAGTCGGAAGTCCACACAGTCACAGCCTATTTGTGGGACGAAAAATCATCCCAGCATCGCAATTACCATGCAAGAATATTTTGAATTTAAACATAGGAGCCCGCCAAGCCGGCCGAGGCCGCCGCGGATGGTCCCAGCACCTTCTACGTGGTTGACCACACTTTCAAGCCGGACTGCAAGGCGGAGGATTGGTGGACCGCCATGACCCCGTTCCTGTCCGACCCGGAGAAGCTCAAGGGCATGTTCTCGGGCAACTCCGGGAACGGATTCTACAACCACGCCTTCATCCCCATGGCGCAGGACCACATTTGCTGCATCTGGGAGTGCAAGGCGGGTAAGAGAAGGAGCAGGACTAGAATCACTCCACACAACTTGATCCTTGCACTATAATTTCACATATAAAAATTAAAATTGTCTTCTAGGTCTACCAAGTTTTATTCGGGTTATTTCATGTTGAACTTCTAGGTTATTTCATGTTGAACTTGTATGTTTTAGTTTTTCTTTTCATACAAATTCAAATGCATGCTAAACGACCACATAATGATATCGTCTCCACGACCCAGGTGTCAAGGAAGCTGATTTGCAGACCCTGTTGGATGACAGCGTGGGGCAGAAGATGATGGTCAACAAGTTGATGGTGATCAGCCCGGAGCTCACCGGCGGACAGATGCCGTTTGCCGCCGCCTACGCGAAGGACTCCAAGCTCTCCATGGAACTGAATGCCACCTACGCCTCCAGCGCCAGTATACTTAAGTTTATTTCCCTGGCTAGTAAAGATGCATTTGTTTGTTCCGTTGCTATCTAGTCAGCTTCATCGTAGAAATTGAAATTGGAATTGCCTTCTCTGCGTATGCCCGAAGATCTGGAACCATGAACGGGAGCACTCGGAGTGCGTGCACGAGCAGCATCTTGCTAATTGCTCTCCCAGCTGATCCCATGGTATTGCTAGAAATGCGATGGGGGAGGAGAGCGAACATAACAAAAGTGATATTTTCAAGTATAAAAATGTTGTTGATACTTCAGGCCAGTGGTACATCGTGAAGCACGACATGAAGGAGGGCAAGGCCGATGAGTGGTGGGCTGACACCGCTAAGATGATGGCCGACCAGGAGGCTTATGCCAAGTTCACCCAAGACGGCCTCGACAAGGGGTTTGCCAACCATTCCTTCATGCCAGTCAGCAAGGACCTCGCCTACTGCGTCTGGGAATGCAAGGAAGCGGGCATGGAAGACGGCTTGCAAGGTAATTTGACGTTCTCTTTGTGATCTTCTAGATCTGTTTATTTCATCTACTTTCCAGCCCACGGAGGATTTTTTGGATTCTTTAGTGTCTCGTCATCGTGATTGATTAATGGCAGCGCGTTTGTCCGTTCGTTCGAGTCTAAACCAGGAGACTTCTACTTCCACGCATTGTTACGAAAATGTACAACCAGACGCTACAACACAGCGCAAGCCCGTCTGGGCGGAAGGTCGTGCAAGACGTGTTTCTGCATCTGAATCTGGGATGAAAATTACCTCATATGGCTAAGTAATCAAAAACAAAACAGCGCATCTCGATGAGCAAGTCGGACGGGGTTGCTTCGTCAATACCGTGATCGCCACCCCGGGCGAACTTTCCGGCAACCAGCGCGCGTACGCACCCAAGTTCAACACGGAGTAAATTTGTCTTGTTGTGACACAAAGTTACTGCCTAGGTTTCGGCCTACGGTGTGACTTGATGTTTCAGACTTGTCTCTAACAACGGGCAATGGCAATCAATTTTTTTCTGTCATAAATTTTACTGTACAATAAAAGCAGATAACAGGGAGGTGAAATGAACATTATTTACTTTTCAACCATGATTTTCATTTTCGATCAATTTTAATCTTTTTTCAATATTTATACAAAACTTGCTTTCATGTTCACCATGAGTTTCGATTGTAACTATCATTGTGACCCAGACCCCCGCCCATGTCCGCGAATCCGACATTCACGTTTGTGCCACGGAAAGGGCACTAACTTCATGTGCATTCTATTTACGCGCGTTTGGGCAAATTTAATCTTTTTCTTTTTTCTGATCATCATGCAGAATAAAGGCGATCACCTCGTCTCCCCTATCACATCTACTTCCCCCCCGTTGATGTGTATGTTATCTCCTTCTTCCTACTATCGCGAGTGGCTATTTCAGAAGAACTTTTTCCAGCGGGCGGTGGGGCCGGACCTAAAGTATGCATGGATGCGCCAGCTCAGTGTGATCGTGGTTCATCCTGTTTCTGTGCTGAGCAATGGCGGGCTTCCGAAGATGCGACATCAACATCACCCATATCCGCAATGCTTCTACCTGTGCTCAATGTCACGTCACAACTCTTTAATGCCGAAGACCTATTTTCAGGTCAGCTTACGTGTGTTGGTAAAAATGGTAGGTGGTGCCCCTTATGTTTTTCATATTGACCAGCAACAAGCACAACCGCTCTCATGTCCTTGCTCTTTTTTACACGACACGAGCGCATCTACTGGCGTTAATGCTTCAACTGGCGTTTGAACCGAAAGCTCAAGCTCTGGCTTCCAGCCTGGCAGTGGAATCTTCTGGCACGACAAGCAGTAGAGGAATCGCCATTTCGTCGTACAGACGGAGCATGACGAGAAAGCGTATTACGCCGCAGGAAAGCGCTCACATCATGTGCAGACAGGAAGAAGGATATAATCGATGACGATGTTCAGTGTCTTCCAAGTCCTCCAAGTGATTTCCGATCAGGATCTTCATTGTAGACACTAAGCGATAGTCTTTAAATGAGTGAAGTTGTGTACAGAGAGAGAGGAAACGGATTTTGCGTGCAAGAACTTCTTGATGTGAAGCCATCCTTTGTTTCTTGTGTCGCCGCAGGTGCGGCAGAAGAATGAAGAACATACAGAATGATCCGTACTATGAGTTTCAGTTCTTGATGCACAGTTCATTGTAAGTCCACCTGCCTTCATCTGCAGAGGAAGTTAAACAATAGTATTTGTTTATCTGGAGCTGGTGACATGCTCAAATGGCAGCTGTCCCACTTCGCGGAGCGGAGTTGCTCCAGGTTCGCACGGTGGGTGCTGCTCTGCGCCGGAGCGTGTTGCGTTTTTGTTGTCGGAAGGGTGGAGGGCAATACGATTTCTCAAGAAAGCGAGCCCCAGTTGTCTTCGTCTCCAGACAAGACGAAGACCTACGAACTGTCGGAGCGAAGTGGCTCGGAGCTTGGTAATTCTGCAAGGGAAGAGGTGTCCACCCGTCAGGAGCAACTTCTAGCCACGCGATTGCTTTCCAAACCCGGCCACCAGGACGCTGGTGATCTGGAAGCATTCGATGAGAGCAGACCAGCTTCTGCGAGCGGAACAGATGGCGAGGCAAAATCTTCAACTGAGCCCTTCGCTCTTTCGACGACTGCGCATCAGATCCACGGGCACGAGACCGAACTGCAGCTTGATTTTTCGCACCACACATTTCTTGAACAGCGGAGTGATGAAAATCCAGACTCAGCTGTAGGACCCCGACGAGAAGTACTTATTTGTTATGATGATTTTTCAAACTACGGGAACCATCTACGGCTTAGCGTCGAACAGATTCAAAAAATCATAATGAAGATTTCTCGCATATTTGAGTTAAAGCGAGACGTAGCAGAAGAAAAAATGAAAAAAAACCCTGTTTCCTTTTGGCCTATCCACTTTAGGAAAAAAGATCGACATTCCGCTTCTTCCTCTGCTCATCAGGAGGATGCGGATGCCGCTAGTGCCGCTACGGGCGAGGCCTCCGTCTCGGCGTTGCAGGCGGTTCGCCTTGATGATGAGCAGACGGCACCAAAACAGCAGCTTTCGGTTGAGCAGCAGCTTGCGCAGCTGGGAGTGTCGGTGGCGAGTCTGCAGGCTTATGAGAAGCTCAGGTCCCCCACCCCCGCATTTGTCATGCAAAATAAAGTACCAAGTCGAATTTGAAGTCCAGGTTGTGCCTCTCCCTCTTGGCACTGTTTGCATGACAAGTTCTGGAAGCCCAAATAGCACTACACGCCTGTGCAAATTTGTCATGCAGAACCTGCATTCTTGCCGACGGACTCTTGTATTGCCGTTCATGCCATGGGGAGTCGTGCGGTGTCATAAGGCGTCAGAGACATCGTTAAGAAGTTTGGTGACGACACTGCAGACGTCACAGACATCCCTGACAAGGACGGTGGCGGACCTGGAACGCGAGAACCGCGACCTCCGCGCCATGGTGACGAGCTGCAACCACGATCTGAAGGGCGTGGAGGAGAATTCGAGGAGGGGTTTTCGGACCGTGCGCGACCTCCTGGCGTTTCTCGAGATCGTCATCGAGTGGATACTAACGTATTTATTTGCGCTATCGAAGCTCGAGTACACGTTCACGATGTTTTTTCTCACCATGGGCTACATTTCCGTTCTGATCGCGATCGTACTGCCAACAAAGCTGGTTTTCTTTCCACTCACGTATGTACGAGCCAACGGGGCGGACGAGGTACTGCCACCAGACGTGGTGCAGCGGGAGCTGCCGCGAAATCATGAAGTGTTGGCGGCGATCAGTGACAACAAGACGCGGCAGGAGGACACAACCGAGGAAAAGGAGCTACCGTCCACGGAGTCGAAGTACTACGTGTTACCCTGGGACTTTTTCGACAGGGGAACATTGTCGTCTGTCACCCAGCGATCCGACAGTTCGGAGGGCCGCATTTTTACCACCTGTATGATCATCAATCAAATCTGTGTCATTCTGTCGCACTATACGGTGACCGTCTACGACCGAGAGTGTGCCAGTGCCACTTACAACCCTCGTGGTGAATCCGTCGTGTGGAGAAACGAAGATGAGGGCAACGATTTCCTGTATCTCGTAGCGCCACAGACCGAACGGGTGTGGCATCTAGCGCTGCGTGTCGTGTGGCTGGTCGTTCCGCATGTTTTGATACTCATAGCCGCGGCAATTCCATCCTCGACCTATGACCAGAAGAGTAACGAAGCCGACACTGTGCACGCGGCGCGGGAGGACGATGCTACTGGCGAAGATGCAGTTGCTCCGACAAGAGAGCAGAGACCGGTCTCTGAGCTGCACGAGATGAAAACCCGTAAGTACGAGAGGGCCCTGCATTCAGTGGTGGCATTCGCGATGTTCCTCCTACTGCTTTTCGAAACGAGGCAGCTTGTGTGGAGCGAAAATGTCAACCTAAGAATGGTTCTCTTCGGCCTGACTTCTTCGGAGCGCTTACTGGCGGGCGAAGAACTGGAAAGAAGTTTCAATGCGCTTGCGCATGCCCAAAGCGCTTTCTGCGGCAACCACAAAATGCAGGTGGCGGCGATGCAAAAATACCCCTGGGAGTACTTTCCGCGGGCTCTGTTTCTTGTCCTCGGGTGGCTGCTCAGCTTGCTCTTCCTCGGTCTGGCCATGACACTAGTATTGTTCCGGCACACCTCTGCAGGAAGTGGAGGGTCAACCGGCCGACTGGTTCCGCACACAGCCAGTCTGCTCCTGCCGCGCTCGGCGTACGTCGCAGAGGTCCTTTCTATGCTCGTTGTTTTCAGTTTGCCGTTCTGGGCATTCCTGCAGGAAGTGGAGCGCGATGACGTGCAGTCGTCGTACGTTGGAAACCCTGGCGTTGTCTTCGGCCGTTCAAGGAAGCGTCTGTTCGGCACCATTTCCGCTGCGGTGAGGACGCTGATGGACTCGGGGTATGCGTGGATCCCCTCTTGCGGAACTTGGGCCGACTTCCTAGTATGCATTTTACAAATATGTCTGGGCCGGGGAAGATGCAAAGTTGTGATGCGGCTTGTCGGTCACACAAACTGGTGGTTCGCCGAGGAAAAACAGGCTGATGATCAGCCTGTTTTTCCTCGGCGAAACGGTTTTACGATTGTTTGTGGAGTTTCCGAATACTTCTCTCAGGGCATTGTCCCGTCGGTGGCCTGTAGTAAATACATACTTGCGGTTTTTTACAGCTTCGGAAAGGGTATTCGGAGTTGGTTCAGCTTCGGCTGTTCTCTTCTGTTTTTGTAAAAAAAAAATTTTAAGGGAAATATGGCAAATGTTAAGTAATCTGCGTGACATTTTTCGATGCCTTGACATATTTGCAATTGATATCTAGCCCCCTTCTTCACCAGTGACACGGTTCAGGAAGGGCAATGTATCCATGATATGTTGCGCACCAACTATTGGTGGGAGTTGCCATACCGAGAAGCTTTTAATACGACCTATTGGGAACAGGGTACTGTGGAGGATCATTGGTGGTCGGATTATCGGTCGCAGGACAGGTGGCGCTAGTCGACGGAACGTCGATCGACGCACCAGGAGCAGAGAAGTATATAGGGAGGTGCTTGTGTTGTCAGCCTTTCGCACTTCGCCACATCGTAGAGCTATCTCGATATGTAGGTGCGGTCGCAGAGGTTGGTTGTCCGTATACTAAGTACATTGATACAAGCTTTTTCTGGTCACTTTTCATCGGTGCGCACACTTCATCCCTCTGCCGCGTCCCGCCTGTTTTCCAGGGCAGTGAAGTTCTTTTTACATGATCACTGGCAGAACATGTTGTCTTCGACGCGACTTCCACTTGTTCTCACATCTGCATCTCTTCGGTATACATTTCTGTTGCTGGTGTGTTTTCGACAAGGATCACGAGAAGGAGTGCAAGGAAAAAGAAAAGACGTACACGTAGCATATATGAAATTTGTACTTTTTTTGTGACGACGAAACTCAGACTTTTGAATGTCCAGGACTGCTCGCGGGGAGGTGCAGACGGGGCGTCCTTACTTCAAAAACTGATCTGAGTCAATCGAGGCAAGAAAATCTCAACGCCCGCCCAGATGTATGCGTTTTTCTCACACGAGAGAAAGCAAAGGCAAAGACTTACGTGAGGGCGCAAAAGTTCATATTTTTTCTATACGCAACTAGCATGATGATGATCAGGCCCTAGCTTCTGACAGTGAGTATGTACCGGAGCTTTTGCAGCACTAGGTGCTTCATCTCAAGCCAAAACCAGCCAACGCAAACAGAGATGGAAGCAAGATCCAAACAATAGGCATTTGACTCACAGTACGACCGCACGAGATGGATAAAGAAGATTAAGATCTACGTATTTTTATACTGGCAGAGGTTGGCTACACCGTGATCAGTTTTCACCCGTATCCTTGGTCCTTGAATGTTGTTGACGTAATTGAATGTCTGAACTTTTTGTGTCGTGGTGGTCCAGTTTAGAAGATGATCCGATCTGTTAACTGAAACTCTGATCGTGCTTTCTGTGGTAGGAAGTTGTAGCCAAAGCGGAAGACGATGAAGATCACGACAATTTGTCACTGAAGACGACGACAATAGGAACAACTGCATTTGCAACGTCGACGAACCGCCCTTCGTGCATCAAAGCTCTCGAAGCATTGCTTTACCCGATAGGAATAGATACCACTTCCAGCTACAACCGATTTAGAGTCCGTCTTCAGACCGAGAACTGCTTTTCATTCTTCAAATGCTCCCTTCATAAGAGAACCCACTCAGATGATTTGTGCCTTGCTGTGAATGCTAGTAGTAAGTTGTCCTATACCTATTCTACGGATTCCTTGCGAATTGCAGCCCTTCTTTCTCAGTACCAGTCTTGGGTTTCGGGTCGTTCGCGGCAGAATGATACCACAGTTCTCATTTATTTTTGCGATTTCTGTAAACCTAAGTTACGTCTGTAAACCTAAATCACGTCTGTTTCGTTTTTCGGCATCAAAAGGAGAAACACGCTTTCATCTGCTCTAGGACGAACACGGTGCTCGTTATGATGATGCCACGGACTCAAAGCTGAATCATTCTCGCACCACGAAGGTTTATTTCCACGTTTCCTTTTTTGGTCCCTCGCGTGCCGTTTCCGGTCCAAAATTCTACACAACGAGAAGGAATCATCACCGTCGCCTGTTTCGCGTGCAATGATTCGAAAGACAGAGCCGACCCTTTTCACGACAGCCCACACCAGCAGTTGCACGAGCAGCCGGAGCTCTCCAAGCCGACCCTGCCCACCCACCCCGGCGTTTTTTTTGCCTCCTGGGAAGCGGAGCTGTGGTGCTGCGGGTGCAGCAAGTAGAAGCTGTTCTAACTTGATACCCGCTCGGCTGCTCCTTTCTCGACCACACCACGAGGAAAATGACGATTCACTTGGCATCGCCACTGAGCAGGGTGGGAGGGCTCCAACATTATCATGTTTTTACGCCCGGACAGCGAAGGAGGTGCGAGCAAGGACGAGGAGACGAAAGAGTAGCATCTTTTTGCGACCCCGAGCCCGGCGGCGGCGGGACAGCTTCATCAGAAGACACGCCGACCTCCGGCGCGAGACAACAAGCATACCCGATGAGCTACGCCAGCGTCGCTTGTTCCGAGACTGAGTCCAGACCTCCTTATATTGTAGACCAGAACTACTACGACAACTACACCAAGGAACAAGAGAAAAAAATACAGGCCAAATCCGCCTCATCTATTTCCTCAACGAAGAACAGGAGCGCGTGCTGCTGCTCATCAACATCGCAAACCGGACCCCGGACTTTGCCATTGAAAAGGACTATTGACCACTCCACACGCCTCACCGATGCAACAAGTCGACCAGCAACATCTTCTTCATCGTCCTCTTTGGCAGAGTTCTTTTCAGCGGGTTCGTATTCTCTTCGGAATATGAGCAGAACTACTTCGCTGCCAACTCGCGTCCGATGTACTGCCGGACCACACGGCTCTTCATCCAGTAGAGAAAACGAGAACAACATCAAGCGGATCCGGCTCCCAGTGAGACGCGGGCACATCTTATTGTGCACGTATTTCGCAAACATGATGGCCCTCGCCACAAGAAGCGAAATTGTGGTAGTTTACGCACGCAGTACACCGAGCGGCTCTTCTTCGTCGCTGGCGGAGGCCGGGACGAGCAGCTCCGGGGAAGGTGCAAGCGGTGGCGGGAGCGCGGCAAGCTCAGAGTCGGCCTTGCCACCAGCGCCGAATCCCTCTTATTGTGCTTGGGCGGCAGCGGAGGACAGCAATTCAAGCTCGAGTTCCTGTAGTCCTGCGAGCAGTATGGATGAGAGGGAGGTCGAGGTGGAAGTAGACGCACAGCACCAGCAAGAACAGAGTAGTGGTGATGATCAGATGAACGGGCTTCCAGAAATGTTTGCTCGAAGCGCCACCATAGCGGGTGGAGCTGATCCGAGCAGCGGTGACCAAGGACCTGGAGTTTCATCTTGCAACATTCAGCAACGGGGAGCGACGGCTCCATGGGCGAGCGCCCGGCCTAGTGGATCATGCGGAACAAATGTCGAAGGAGCTGCATTTATGCCATTGGAGCAACCGTTGCAACCCTCTATGTTGAGCGAGGACGCAGTTGTCCCCGCAAGCCCACTTGTTGCACCAATCGCGCTGATCGCTGCCGGCAACGGCAGCACGTCGACTGCTACTTCATCTGCCTCGGTAGCCGGGACTAGCATTGTCGGGCCAGCTGCACGAGGCGCCAGTGCCACGATACCAATTGTGCCCACCACAGAACCTTTCCCGGCGTGGAATGTGTGTGCACCCCACCAACCGCGCATGGCCAGCATGGCTTCCGTCCTCGAGGCTTGGGGAGATCTGGCTTTGGTGGGCGCGCCGGAGCCGTGTCGCAGTTGCACCCCGCGCAGCTCGGAGCTTGAAGAAGGCGGCGCGCGGCCGCTGGCGCAACAAGTGCCCAGCACCACCACCGGAACGCAGTTGTTTCCAGGGAAAGGGGCCGTGCGAGCCAAAGCTAGTACTAGCAAACCACGTAGCAGCAGCGAGACTGCAGTGTCCCGCAGGACAAAGTGTTCCTCGCGCGATCCCCAGCAGATCTCCTCACAGGAACAGACCCAGCAAGGCCCACAATTGTTACCGGCAGTGTTGATGAAAGCGAGAACAAACCGCCGCGCCAGAACAGGCACGGGTCGCGGCCGAAGACCAAGAGCTAGTACAGCCGCGTCGTCGAGCCGTGCTGGTGCGGAGGAGGGCGCTTTTCGCGACAGTGGTCGAGGACAAGAACAGCAGGAAGGCGGGGGCACTGCTTCCTCGTCGCAAGCGCAAGGCCCGCGCAATGATGCCGGTGGCCCTGCGTCTTCGTCTTTGCCTCTGGAGCCTCCTTCGCCCAGCTCCCCCTCCTCTCGACGGGAGCACGAGCGTCATGAGTCTTCGCTTTTTTCTTCCGAGGACGAATCATTTTCACCGAATATGAATAATCAACAAGGAGCGACGATTCTTTGGCCGCGGTCACTTTCAGATCCCCCCCTGGGTAGCGGTAGTAGTCTCGACCGTCAACAAGTCTTCGCGACAAGTGGAGGTCCCCTCCAAGAAGCAGCTGTCCAAGGTACTTCTACACTCGCAGGTGGAGCAGAGCAGCACACAATGTCATCGGGTGAGGATAGTCAAAGCCGCGTCTCCCGTGGGCGGTCCACGGAGCACGAAGACCACAGTGACGGTAGCAGACGCCGAATCCGCAAGCACAACTCGCAATTGCGAGGTTCTTCATCAGAGTCCTCATTTGAGGGCCCAAGAGCATCGCGTACGAGGCACACTCCAATGCCTGCCCAACAAAGCCCAGTGGCCTCGTTCTCGTCCGCTGCAACGCCAGGAATGGTTGCCCAACAGGACGAGGACGACGGGGCAATGCAAAGTACCACGTCTTTCGATCCTGCTGGCAGCACCACGATGGTGCAATTTGCACAGGAGATCATGCCTCTTCACGACCTGCAAGACGGGGCGCTCAGCTCTTCAGCGTCTGGGGAGGCGTCATCCGTCGTTCCGGCAGACCACATGGAAAGTGCGAATCCACCTCCAACTGCGCGAATCAGTCACACTGCTTCACCAGTGCAGCTGCCCGCAAGCACGTCAGCTGCAGCACCAGGAGGTACTACAACTACCTCAAGCGCTCAACGTCAGGCATCGCAGCAGGCACAGGAGAAACCACGAGAACAAGGCGCGGTGAGCAAGGGCTTCATTCGGATCGACAACATCGTGGACCTCGACAATTTGTACAATCGAGTTGACAGCGCGCTCGACATGGAATCTGCTTCGGGGAACGACGGTGCCACTAACAACCTTGACGCAGTCTTCTCTAGCAGTGGCGGTGAACAACAACGGGCAGGCGCTACGGGCGGGCGCACTACAGCTGGACGAGACCACGGAGAGGACGACCACACGATGTCGCGCGAAGACGAAGCGACGAGCGATGCTGATCTCGATCTCGCGGAGGTAGGAAACGACGAATCGACCACTTCCAACACTGAGGATTTCGAGCAGCAGCATTTAAGTGTGGCTGTTGATCGTGAAACCGGACAGCTGGTAGTGCTCAAGCTTGTCGAGGCCTCGGCGAGTAAGCGGCGCGCTTTAACGGCGATGTTGAATTTGCCTCCGCACCCCAATGTAGTCCCGATCAACCGCGTGTACGAGGACGTCGAGAACCACTGGTTTGTCATGGAAATGCCCTACATCCGCGGTGGAACATTGCTCACCTGGCTATCACGACAACGGGTCGCAGCTGCACGAACCCGCGGTCTGGTACCCCGAACTGCGGTTGCAGTGCATCACCCTATCGGATCCGTATCGGCCAGCGCGGGTGGTGCAGGGGTGAGCGCGACGCTCGGAGGCGGAGGGGTCGAACTGCGCACGTCTTCCTCTCCCACGAGCTGCCACATGGAAGATGTACTGGCGCAACAGCAGGTCGTGGAGCAGCAGCATCAGCAGCAGACGCCGGTCGTACTGGACCAGGATTTGTCGCGTGCTGTTCATCCACAGGTCGTACTTGGTCCGTCTAGTACAACCACGACCAGCTGCACGGGCCTTTCCCCTGCAACGTCGCCCAGCAGGCCGCCGGTGCGTGCACAAGCAGCTAGTAGCAGCCTTGCGGGTGCGGCAGCTCCTGGGACGGTTCCACAAGCGCTTTATATGCTACAGCGTGGGTTGCCAGCTCCTCACTGGACGCCGACGCGACAATTGCAGCAGTCGCGGTCGCCACCCCCGGGCGCAGACGCACAACGCAGGCAAACAGTGGGCGTTCCAGGAGGTACTTCAACATCTACTGCGCATAGCAGGAGTAGGACGCCGTATTGGGGACTGGGAGGTGGTCACCACCATTTTATTTCTGCCGCTGTTGCAAGTAGCCCTACTGCGACGTATCCACCCTCAGCAAGCAGCTTGGCTGCTGCCTCCGCGTCCAGGCTTCAAGTTCGCAGCGCACCAGGAGCTGCGTATTCAGTTCGCCATTCGCAACATCCTAATATGTTGAGAACTGCTGTCACAACAAGGACAAGCGCAACAAGCCCTGCATTAGTAGCCACAACTCCAGGTAGTACGTTTGTGCTGCCCCAAGCGGACGCTCCGAGCCCCGACATGTCGACTGCAGGCACGATGTGTGCCGCCGGTTGCAGCTCGTGTGGTCCAAGACAGTTGGCAATGTGTGGCCTGCGAGGCGGTGGTGCTCCTGCGAACGTGCGGAGAACGCTACCGGTATTCCGAAGAGGACACGAGTCGCGCTCACCAATTCGACAGCTCGACCGTAGTCCGTTACCCCCCGCCTATCGCGCCGCGTTACCAACAGCGGTGCCACTCCATGGGCCCTCTCCACCCGGGCATCAGGTGGGAGGTTCTTCGGTTCTCGATCCAGTACAACCGCCACCAGCACCCATGCAGCACAGGCCGCTACACCCGATGACACGCCCGACATTGGTAACTCCAAGCGCAGCTCAGCCGCTTGTTTCGGTGCCGCACCAGCAGCCCGTGTGGGCAACAAGTCCAAGTCCGGGCCCTGGGTCTTCTATTTCTGCCGCTGCACCCCTCGCTTCAAGCGTTGCCTCGTCCGTACCACTTGTTCCGCATGGTTCCGGCGCAAGCTCAACTACACAGGAACTACACACGACGCCCCTGCTTTCGGCGGTCAACACGATGGACGCGACCAGCACGGTGCCGATGTTCGTCGACAGCGGTGGCGGTGGGGGCTCCGCCTCGAGCAGTACGTGCCCGCAGTCCCTACCCAACAACATGCACGAGGAGAAGAGGCGCATCATGAAGGGTGTCCTCAGCGCGGTCCAGCACATGCATGAGAACGGTCTCGTCCACACCGACGTCAAGCTGCAGAATTTCGTCTTGGACGTGGACGAGGAAACGGGTTCGGTGAAGGAGGCGATGCTGATCGACTTCGAATTTGTGACGCCCTACGAAGCCCTTGCCTACTGGGAGAAGCGTGGTCGCATCCAGTCCGTCCTGCAGGGGCTTCGGACGTACCACAATATGCATCACCCACAGCAGCCCTTCAGTGTCGATGAGGACGACCCGGTGAGGACAAGAACTACGTTGCACCAACCTCCTCGACAGACGCAGCCACCTAACATTATAGCAGCTGCGATGCGGACGCGGATGCAGCCAGGGCCTGCAGCTGGAGCTGCCTCTTCCTCCTTGTCAGCGCGGCACGCCAGCGCGGGAGCGGCTGCGCCAGCAGCAACAGGAGGGGCAAACACGATCGCGAGTAGTCTCCAGAGTGCGCCAGTTGGAAGCCGCCACGCGCAGCAAGCACCACAGACGAGCGCCCTTGCGGTCGTCGGAGGCGAAGGAGTGCTTTCGCAAAACAGATCTACTTGGCAGCAGCACGTACCGCCACCGCCTCCGGGACCCTCCGACATCGGCTCGCACATTGCTCAGGGACACATTACACGACCGTTCACTCGTACCACGATATTGAACAACCCTGCGGCCGTCGGATCCGTGCCGTCCACGACCCTTTTGGCCACCGCAACCACTGCCGCGGTGCAGCAGGTGATTCACGCGGCCAGTGCAGCAAGGACGTCGAACGCGACGTACTTTTTGCATCCGACTTTGTTTCCGGTCCTGCCCGCCGATAGGGATAGGCGCATTCCGGGAGTTACACCCACCGCGACAATCCAGGGCACCGCCGAGTACCTGGCCCCCGAAATGATGGTGAGCGAGCGCCGCGTGATCTCGCCCTTGAATGACCTGTGGGCCGTGGGGATCATTTTCTTCCACCTCGAGACCACGAACTACTGGCCCTGGTCGCGGAAGTGGCGGGAGAACATCAAGGCCACTTGTTCGGCGCGAAGTCGCACAGACTGCACTGAAGAAGGCCTGCGCCGGCTGTTTCACGAACTCAGCTGGGAATGGTACAACCTTCTCCGCGACGACCCGGAAGTGGACCGTCGGCTGGCGCGGTTCATTCCTGATCCGGACAGTCGCCACTTGTGCCGCAAATTGTTACACTTCGACGAGCACCAGCGTCTCAGCTCCGCTAAGGAGGCGCTCCGGTTACTCGAGAGGCTGGACAGCAAGGGATCCTCGACATAAATCATCTTTCGACCTGGAAATAAGAGACCTCTACCTGTTCGTCGCGAACCTTGCCCAAAAATTAGAGAAGACAGGTCTCTACTTTCCGCAATAGGAATATAAACGGCCAGTCGGCATCCATCCGAAGAATCAAACAAGAATCATCCACATCTAACGAGTCATTGCATCACGGTTGTTTCCAAGAAACCTCCTTTTATACGACCATACGAAATCTAGTGAAACTCGCCACTATGGCAGCAAAGCTCTGCTGTATGTGACCGAATGACGGGGATCGCGCTGAATGTAAAGATGCATGCGCCGTAGCCGTACACTTGACCGATAGGTGGATGCAACCGAAGTGCTTACTCATCGCTCTTTCAAACGGACGGTCGGTGACAAACGTAGCTGTTGCGCGACCGTCGAAACATAGTGAAAACGACAAGATCGCCAATCTTGTGCGGAACTTCATTTGTATTTTTTTGGGTGTATCTGGACCCTATCCACTGCAATTTTTCATCGATTACGATTTCTTCATCGCGCTCGACCCAATTGTAAAGAATTGGACAGCTATGGAAACGAAGCGAAAGCACTGGAACGCTTCCGTATTTCCCCATCGTGATGCTGATCTTTGTTCTCGAGACCTGCCTCGTCGTGATTGTTCTGGGTTTACCCAATGTGTGCGCACTCGAACAAAGAATCGAGTGGGAGCTGGTCTCCACCGAATGGAGTGGAGGAAAAAGACACATCGGATCGAAGATAAAGCGAAAAATTTGGATCGCATACTTCATTGAAGAAATGTCCCAGAGTGAGATGTCCTGATAGATATGTTGTTCCTAAAAGAGCTCTCGCTTATTTTACGGTTGCTCAATTTGTTCACAAAACAAGAGATGAGTCACTATTTGGATAAATTACTTTCGCTCTCGACTCCAGAAATACAAATACGCTAATAAATGTGTAACATGATGTTGGCACCTAGATGAGGGAAGGCACCAACTTCTTTAGATAGCTACATCGAAGCGCGACGCGAAGAGCTGATGTTATTTGGCGGTGTGAGACTCGAACTTTTGATTTTCCATAGTCCGGATATTTCTTGTGACACAAAAGTTGTAAATAGATGTACAAGTAGACCGATAGACTGAAAATGTTTATTGAAGACAAAATCGATTCCGAGGCCCTCCATGAGGGCTATTAAGAGGCGATTTTGAACAACTTAGCACTTGTTCCCGCGCCGTCAGGGTCCTCGTTTCGCATGTATCATTTCATTTTCTGAAACCCGAGGCGGAGCCAGATCGAAAACAGAGAAAGACATAGTGTCATGGCGTTCTCCACGGGCGGTGCAAGTAGTTCGACGGCTAAGAACTCGGCTATCATGTCGGACGCGCAAAAGACGGTAGCGGATCTCCCAGAACAGCTCTCTGAGAACATAGGACTCGAAGTCACGTTCACACGGTACAAGCTTGGCACTCCGGTCCTCTACATGCTGAAGTGCGAGGTCGTGCGGTCCCTGCCGCCACTGATCGGGCCGGACGGGGAGGTGCATGAGTCCCGCAGTGTGGTATTGGCGTCCTGGACGGTCAAAAAACGGTACTCCGAAATGGAGGAGGCACATCGGCAAATCGCAGCTAAGTTCGGACCCTACATGGAGAGCATACCCGAGTTTCCGCCCAAAGTGTGGTCCAACGCACTCTTCAACACGGAGCAGCAGGTGCAGAGCCGCCTCCGAAAGTTGCAGGCATACTTCGACAAGCTCCTGCTGTACCCAAACTTGCGCTGCAGCCAAGAATTAGGAAAGCTGCTCGAAATCGAGCCGCCGGGGGCAGACGCGCTGCCGCACTTCCGGGTTTGCTCCTTCGGCATACACCAGGCTGACCAGGTACCGGATGCGACGCGAAATTTCCGTTGTCAGTCTTTTGTTAGAGACAGAGAATCGGCGGAACTGCATATGCCGCATCGTGATCAGGCATTACTAGGTAGATGCTAGGTTGGTAATTTCAACCACTGCGTGCAAAAAATCTAATCTTCCAAATAGAAGAAAGTCATGCATCGATCTATGCTGTTGCCGACTTTTACAACTTTTTCCCTCGTTGTGTACAACGCCAGGTATATGCGGTGTGCGAGATTGGGCCAGCACAGGCGAAGTTGATAGAGAAAAAACGAGAAAAGAAAGGAACGCCAGCACTTTTCTACCACCTCGTGATAAAGCAGGTCCGGCAAATTGGGTTCTCCTCAGAGAGCCTCGTGTTTCTCCGCGAGGATCGGCTGGAAAACAGCGGGAAAAACATGCGTTTCAATCTGGTACTCGGAAGACCAAGCGAGTCCTACGATCTCAGCATATCGTGTAGCAACTACAGTGGAAAAAACGACGACGTGCTACGCATCCGCTTGCTCGCTCCGAGTCTAGAAGACATTCTGGCCGAAGCAGGGAACTCCCCACAGCAGGTACTTTTATTTTCACAAAGAAACGCTGCAGCTTTGAAAGAAAATGAAAATCTGTTGACTCGATGAGAGTGATTCCTTGCCTTTATGCGCGCGACATACTTGCACGTTTTGATGCCGTTACAGATATTAGAAACGTGAACCGTTTGAAAACGCGATTTGATGCTTTGCTGCAGGTTGACCAATTATTGAAGCGGATATGTACGAATTGCGTGCACGATGTGACGACCGATCCTGCTGGTGCCCTAGAGAGCATACGACAAAGTGCGCGGAGTTCCCATCGAAGCGAGCGACCTATGTCATCCAACTCCACGTTGCGCGATCACCGTGGAGATAACTTCGAGCAGCAGGGGGATCACCGTCCGGGCAGCCATCTGAAGCGACGCGATGTCAGTGGCGAGCAAAGCCCTGGACCCAGTAGTCGCATGCAGCGGGCGGGATCTTACGTAAGTCACTTGATTCACTTGCCTTTGCTAAAAGTACGAACGGACGAAGGATATTTATAGGATTCATTCAGTTGCGATTGGGTGGAATCTTTCTTCTACTACTATTCGACCCGTGCTCCTTGCATTCTTGCATAAAAAAATGATCATGTTGACCATCGCAGGCAAATAGTTCCGGGGTGCCTCCACACCGGGAGAGGGAGAATAGTATGTCAACGTCGTCAAATCGCATGGGTTTCGGGATGCCGAGGCTAAGCTCCGGCACGAGCGGATTCGAAGGATATTCCGACAGCGATATGGGGTGATAAGTCCAACGACGATTTTTAAGCACATGCTTTCATTACAAACGACCCTGTTGTAAGTACTATCTGTGAGTGCGAGTTGTACTACTGAGAAAAATTAATGTACTACCAAGTAGAGTAGATAGATGGTCATGGTTGTTCACGGCACAAGAACTACATGTATGAAACAAACATTCTGTGCTTGCGTTCTTGTCAAAATTAAGTAGTTTGTCGTAGGAAGCTGTAAGTTTTGTTTTTGCTACGTAGATTCATTCATGCTCGTTCTTCCCACGTGTATCATCAATGTACTGTACTATCGAACTTGCCCTTTTGCAGTTCGTAATTGACTGTAAACTTTCGCTTTGTTTTGCTTTTGGTGAGTGGCTTGCTGGTGGCTAGTTGCAAATCAATGTCAAGTACGATGAAACGCCGTTGAGCGGTTGCTATCATCGGTAGTCAATCGCGTCGAGCTGGCGGTGGAGCTCGCCTAGGCGTTCATTTTGAATCTCAGCGTGCCGCTTGTGTCTGTCGGTTCCCGGGAGGACGTAGCTGCAATAAAACGTGAGTGCGCCTGCGCCACTTGAAGACACTAGGACGAGCTGGCAATAAAGAATCCGATGAGAAGTGCTAGCCCCAATGTAACGGTGAGTGCTTAAGATGTGATGAGTAGCTTGCCGTGTAAATATCCATCTTCTACTTCGATTTCGGGACCTGCCTGTAGTGTCAATGATTGCGGTGCTGACCATCCTCGAGATGCAATGCCTCACCTGTATTTAGGCCGCGCGAAACATTAATCAAAGATGTGCCTCCGAGTGCGTCTCCACAGGAAACTGCAGTCCTCGACATTTTATTGTCGGCGATCGACAAATCCGCACCCGCCCGATCGAGCCCGCAAGCGTATTTGCTCGATATTCCACGTGCGGACATTCACCGGGGAAGCGGGGAAAAATGGAACGCAAACGCAAAGCCCTGGTAGAACCAATCAACGTTCGTCGTTTTTCACGGGTAGCAAACTGGCAGTCGCAGGTTTTGTCACGACAACGTGCGGCCTGTATGTTTTCCGCAACTACACCGCAAGCCGACTCGGACCCGGCTCGGCGAACTCGGCTGATCGCACCAAGAACACGGATCACTCCAAGGTTCGCATACAGCTCCAGAGCATGGACCGACTGGCGGAGCAGTGGGGCGAAAGGCTCCGACGAGATTTCCGCGTCGAAATGGAGGGAGAGGAGTACCAAGCCCTGTTGCAGGAGCGCGCAGAGGGCCTGCGGAGTGCGGCTGAGCAGGTTGCGGAGGAAGGTAGAACCCTGACGGCAAAAGTGTTCACGGAGTTGTGGCGTACAGACTTGTATCCGCGCATTCCGCGCTTCGAGGAGTGGTACTTCCGATACTCTACGACCTACACACTGATGGCATTGGCGCTGTCCTCCGCGTGCAAGCATTCTGTGAGCACCGCAGCCAGAACGGTCACCGGCCTGGGAAGCGAGGAAGTTGATGCTGCGTCAACGCCGGTCTCCGCCGGCATTGAAAAGGATCTGGAGTCCTACATCCGCAAGCAGTACGAGCTTCTGGTGCTGCGGCCGGAAGTGGTCGATGTGAAGCTGCGGCGAGCGGTGCAGGACGAAATTTTCCGGCAGGTGGAGGAGGAGCTGCGAGAAAAATTCAGTGTAGTAGAGGAAATCTTCTTTCGAAAACTCGTTCTGTTACAGCAAGCGCAGGAACAAGCTGCTGGAGGAGGTGCTTCGTCTGACACGACCGCAGCTAGTACGCAAATGCTCTTGCCTAGTACAGCATCGACCGCGAGCCCAGGAGGAGATAAAAGTGCAACCACTACAAGAAGCGCTGCTGCTGGTGCTGCATCTTGCGATGTGGTTTTGGATTGGCAGGCCCAGACGGGCAAGATTCGCGAGATCCCGGCCGCCTTCGAAAAGTCCCCAGTCCGAACGGTCGGGATCGTCACCGCTGGCGCCCTTCTGGGGAAAGTCGCTCTGGGAAAGGCTATCGGGACGGGAACCGCAGTAGTGCTCAAAAGCGGCCTGACGACAACGGTGCTTTCTAAAACGTTTTTCGGAAAACTAGCTGCTCCATTCCTGACAAAAGTCCTTTCAGCCGGAGGAAGTGTTGGCGCTGGCGGCATCGTGGCGACTGTTGCGGGCGGACCCGTTGGCGTTTTTGCCGGCGTGACAGTGGATTACTTGTTGCACAAAGGAGTAGCGCTGTTGTCAAAAAAGCAGTTTGCAGAGGACATGAAAGAAATTTTGGATGCCACTCGGGACGAGTGGATTTACCTTGTCAGCTCAGAAATCCAGAACTCAGCGAGTTTGTGTGTGGAGACTTGCAGCATAAAAAACAAAATTGAAGAAAGCACTGCCGCCACATTTCCCCAAAGAAAGATCATTGAAAGACGCGCCAAGTTTTCTGGTGTGTATCTATTCTGCCGAGCGTTGGCACTTTGTGTTCTGTTGCGCTGAGGCAACGGCTCATCAAGCACCCTGTGTAAACGTTGCGGACTTCCGGCCAGTAGCGTTCAATGGGATCCTCAATTTGAAAGGCGAGCTCTTGTGAGTTTCTTGTCGTGATCCATTGCGCAGCGCGACCCTTTTCGCGTCGAGGAAATTTGGCGGAGAACTGCCGGCGGGTTGTCGGGTCTCTCTGGGTCCGCCGCTGCGCGGTTGCTGGAGCCACTGGGGCATGAAGCGCAACGCATCCGAAACGCCATACCTGAATCGGGAAAGGAGGCAGGGGAGCCGAATTCCCGAGGGCGCAGGATGGGGGGGGCGCCCAGGAGTCTCTGCAGGCAAAGCGGCAGGAAGCAGTCGCGGCTATTGTGGTGGAAGAGCCCTCCGCTCCTGGCCAGCCTTTCTTGTTCGTGCAGCCTCCCTGCCGCCCGGCCGCGCGCGGCGCCTTCTTGGATCTGCGCGCGCGCCAGCGCGAGCGCCAGCAGCTTCGAGGGCCCGCCGACGCGGACACAGGACTACATGGCGGCGCTTTTCTACAAGCACACCAGGCAAGGCGCGGCGCGGTTCCTGCAAAATTTTTACCGCCCGACCAGCATCGGGAACGCGGGGGATAAGTTGACAGAGCCGATGTTGCTCGTTGTTTGAGCTGCAGGCGGGGCGCACCGCGTTCGCTGCGACTGGCCCGCGAATTCGGGGGCCCCCCGCCCTGCGCCCGGGGGGGGCGGCTTGCTTCGGGCGCTGCCGCAAATGTTGGCGACAGGCCCTCGCTGCCCCGGCGCCTATTTTCGCGGCGGGCGCCTAGGGCGGCGGCTGCGGGGGCAGGCCGCTCCTTTTGGCGTTTCCTGCGCTTCGAAAAAGAAGGGCGGGGAGGCAGGACGCTTGGCCCCCCGGCGCGGGCGCCCCCCTTGCTTGGCGGGGGTGTTTTCCATTGTTATTTTGGCCCTCCCGGGCGCACCCCGCCCGGGCCCGCCCCCTCGGGCGCACCTTCATCCTGTGGGGAGCGAGCTTGCGCGGCCACCTAACGCCGCCCGCTTTCGAGAAATTTGCTCGGGCCCGCAGCGCCCCCCCCCGCCCGCCTTAGGTGGCGATGGGCGAGGGCGGCGCCGCTCGCCCGAGTGCTTCGCCTGGGCCACGCAGCCACTTGGGCTCAAGAATTTTTAATATACTAACCCGCGCCCCGGTGTTTGGGGGGATCCGCTGAGCGCGGTCAATATTCCCAGCAGCGACCCGCCTGTTGTGAGTCGATGTAGACGCAGGCCGGTCGCCTCAGCCGGTTGCGCGAGCCTGTACGGCCAGGCGCCTGCGGGGCCGCCGCCCCTCCGGCGTGCAGGGCTTCCGCCGCGCCTGTCGTTCCTTGGACGGGCGACAGAGCCGCCCTGGGGCAAGTTACTTTCCTACAGAGTGAGTGCCGGCGGAATTGCTTGGGAGAGGAAGAACGGCGCGGGGCGATGAAGGCCCGGGGCAGCCACCAACGGCAGGCGCGCCAGAGCCGCCCGCGGGGCGGGCCGCGCGCGATGACGGAGCGAGCCCGCCGGCGGCCCAAAGTCCGCAGAGAGCGAGGGCAGGCGCCGCCCGGTGGTGCCCCTAGCAATTACCGCCGGCGGGGAGAATAAGAACCCGGCCGAAAAGGGTATGCGCCCCGCAGGCGGGGTCGTTGCGCCGGGCGCTTTGGCCCTCGTAGGTTACTTGGTTGGGGTGGCGCGCTATGTTTGCATTGCCCCCCCCGGTGGCCGTGCGGCTGAGATCTTCGTCCTGTTCCCGGGGCTTTGTTGCACGCGCGTGGTGCTCGTTGTTCGTTTGGGTTGGCGACCCCCCGTCGCGCAATGGCCCTTCCTTGGAGCCTGTGGCGGGTCTTCACTTTTCTGTTTATCACAGGCGTGGCCTCTATTCGAGAGAGCAAGAAGCCAGCTTTTTCTTGTTGGACTGGCGGAAGCCGTCGCGGTTCGTGTCTGTCGATGTTCGAAGAAGTGGGAAAACAGGCGCTGATGACGCAACGCGCAAGTGTTGAGCTTGTTCGACAAAAGTTTTCTATCAAAGCGTGGGTTTATGAGACAAAAAATGTGACATCATTTTATTGAGTCTGCGACCCTGTGGCCTAGCAGCAACAGCATGCAATGCCGTCAGCACAAGCAGGGCTGAAGCCCAAATTTGGTGCTTAATAAGTTGAGGTTCACTGACACTGAGATAAATTTTTGTTTTGATCACGCGTCGCAATGTCACCACTTCCACTACGACCGCGGCTACAGCTAGTTACGCGGCGCATCGTGCTGTGCGCCCTGCTTCAACAGGTGCAGTTGTGCCACCCAGTCATTGGCTTGCGGGTGGAGGCGGACTTGTGCACAACAAACGCTCGGGAGAGTTTTAGTTGCTACAGATTGGATCGTGGACCACTGCTAGATCGCCGACTTCTTGCCGGCGAGTTGGCTGCTGCCAAGGCGTGCGGCCTTTGCGAGGAGCGCAATGTTCCAGGAGATATTCGATCTTTGCCTGATTTGCCCCTGCTAGGCACGCCACGCCCGCCCGGAAGACAGCGCGAGAGGGGTTCTGCTTCAGGTAGTTCTATTCTGCCAACAGGAACAGGAAATGGGGACGACGAAGAAGGCAAGAGGAGCACAGCTCCTGCACGAGGAAGTGCCGTGGATTCTGCACCGAAAAGAGCCAAGAATCCAGACATCCAACACGACGTGACGGACAGTGTCACGCCCGGAAGCGCGACAGCGCAGCCGCACGAAGCCTCGGCCGTCGATACAGGCAGAAGACTTCATGCCGAAGGTAGTGTTCCCTCGAACACGGTGCATCGAGGGCAACGCGTTCACGTAGTGCCAACCCAGTATCGGCGATACCCCAGTGTCGAAGTGTTGGATTCATCGGAGCAAAATCCTGGATCCACTTTTGCCCCCGCGAGTCAAGGCCTCGGTTCCCCGCGAGTGCGTCAACAGGTACTAGTGACCAAAGGTTCGATCCCGTTGTCGCACGAGCAGCGGGGCTTGGTTGCTTCTCCAGTTCGACGCGTGTCCGCGGTGGCACAGCCACGGATTGGCGGAATTCAGATCACGAGCACCGGCATAATTCACCCCACTGTAACAAGGATTTATTCGCCATCAGTGCGGCGTTCGATTACGGGTGCTTCTGCCGTTGGGACGACCGAGCAGCCACACGCGAAGCTGAGTGGTGTGGACCATGGTGCGACGAGAAAACAAGAAGGAGGGACGGGCTCACTTCTCGCAGCTAATGCGGGAAGTTATGAAGAAAAGCTTCTACATGCGTTGCACGCCGCCCCACCACATGGCCACGAAGTCTCATCGCCCGTTCTCGTTGCACGTAGTCCGCGGCGGAGGCAACATGACAAAAGTAATCTACCAGTTCCGCATGTGCGAATAACACCAGCTGCCGTGCCCGTTCCTGTGGAGCAGATTTCATCTGCAGCGTCCTCTCTTGTGGCGCACGTGCAGGCCGCACCTGTGTCTTTTTCTGCCCCACTCGGAGGGAACTGCGTGGCTCGTCCATCGCGGACTAGCATAGCATCTGGTTGTTCCTCTCCGAGAGCTGCGTTGGGACCGCGACGCGGTATGCTTTCATGGCCCGTAGCAGGAGCTAACAACTCAGGAAGCGCTAGCGTTGCCCCGCCGACGATAGTGCAGAGTGCGCTTGGTGCCATTCGTGCGCCTGAGCCCTCACCTGCACCCTTCGTTAATCGTATTCTCGCACCCACAGCTCCACCGCCGCAACAAGGGTACTTCTCAAGCTCGCAACAAAATCTGCAGCGAAATCTTCAGGCGCCTGCTTCACAGATTCAGTCATTGAACCATCTGCAGCCAAACGGAGTGCAAATATCAGCTTCGCAGGTTCTGACACAGCGCCAGCCTACAGCATTGCATCCTACGACGGCAGCAGGACCGGCGTCTCCCCTGCTAAGCTATCGAGCATGACAAGGGCCCGACAAATGTAGATGTGTAAACACTAACACTTTTTCGTTTTCTTCTTTTATGACTAGCAGTAGGTAGAGCAATTACAACACAATGAGAGGTGAACAGTGTGACTGTAGTTACGACGTTCGCAATTGTAGTGGCGTGTATGAAAAATGTATCATATGCTAGTGATGATGAACCAAATCAAATTGCACTTGCAGTTGGCCTGGTAGTTTATTTTGTAGAGCGCCAACTGCAACATTTGCATTTCCATTCCAACGATCGGATGAACGTTGCGCGTGCACATGCTCGGCTCCGCTGCACGATGCTGAAATGAATCCTGTCGAAACTGTCTCCGACTCGTTTCTGTTTGCTGCAAATGTGATGATTTTGATGAACTGTAAGTACGAGTTGTGTCGACGCTCGAAGATCTTGCACCTCCGGTGCTGTACATTGACAGGAATCGATGTCCGATGTCCTCTCGCGCAAAGCTGCTGGAAGCTTTCATCATCCTGGATCTCGAGGCAAGTTGATGTCCATCGATGTGATGTGAGAAGGATGAAAATTCAATATCAATGGCATCTTTGAGATCTAATGAAGTAGCCCATGTAGATGTTGTAGGTCCGGCGGATAAAACAAGATTTTATAGATCCTGGCGCCTCGATAGCACGTGCACGGATGAGTTAGAAGGAAAGGATGGAATGACTGTATGAGGAAGAAAGCGAATCATGATCAACCTGCGAAGAGTGACCGATCAGAACCATTACGGGGAAAAATTCGCCAAGATCATGACGGTCCAATAAGTTCACCGTAGTTGTGCTCAAATCCAAATGGCGCGAATTTGTCCAATTACAGCGAAGGAACGTCCAGTCGACAGCGACCGAGTTGATGGATATTTGTGATCGAAGGTTTCCCAACCAGTATGTTCTTGTTGTGATGATGTTGGAGCCGATAGACCAAAAGTACACGAGTCGAGTAGATATTGATCTAAAGTAGTACATGCGCACTAGACGTCGACCACACAGCAGCACGATATTAGAATGCCGTCGACGAAGCGACGAAAAGTTCTTCAGGCCCGTCGGGTTGCCGCAGCGAAAGAAGGCAGGGATCGCAAAGGAAGGGTGATTTGTGGAGAAAAAAAGTCCGCAGCTTGCCGGACGGACGAGGGCCATCACGCCGTCAGAAAGACAGGGAATGCGAAGGGTAAGAGACATCCGCCCGCCTGTGGTGCCCCGACCGGAAATGAGTGTGCCGAAGATGAAAACAGGATCTGTCACGTGGCTTCTTTCCTGAGAAACTCGATAATTTCTAGCTCCAAGATTGCTGGTGGCAAGACGGATTTTTTCGAGTTGACGAAGCCCTGTCACGATATCTTTTGCGACTTGGCTCAATTCCCGACACTGCGCCTAGATCTTCGGATGTTTCTTCCTCCGGAATGTTTTGAAACTGATGCCTCGACAACTGGTAGCGATGCAGAAATGGGGAAGAAGAAGATCAATATCGAAGGAGCACAACAAGGAAGGTCAGATGACACAACAACAGCGACAGGTTTCCCCAAGGCGGCTGCATCCAACCCCATACTTTTAGACATTCATCAGGACCTCCGACCAAACTTACAGCATACCGGGGGAATTGTCTGGGAAACGAGCTATTTGCTGGCGCTTCTTTTATGCCACAGGTGGTCACCGTCCGGCGCGGGAGCTGCGGACGGCCCCATGTACGACAAAAAGGCGCGGAGGAAGTTCGCAAGACCGGACTTTCCGCAGACCATCCTCGAGTTGGGATCGGGCTGCGGATTTTTAGGACTCGCTCTCGCAAAGCTGTTCCCAGAGGCAGAGGTGCTCCTTACTGAGTACGAGCCTGCCATGGAGAACTTGACAAAGAACGTTGCCGCAAATAAAGCAAAAGACGACCAGCATCGTACTGAAAATCTCGCCGCTTGTAAACAGGTGGACTGGCTGAAGACACAAAAGAACCCTACGGAACCAGACACACGCTTTCAGTACATTGTCGCGACGGACGTCATTTTTGACAAAAAACTGGTAGAGCCGCTGCTGAAAACGATGTTCGCGTATTCGGTGCGCAGTACCGACGTCTACCTGTGTGTGCAGGAGCGCTGCCAGGCAGCACACGAGGAGTTTCTTCGGCTGCGCCCAAAATATTTCGACCGGATCGAGGAGCTGAAGCCTTTTTCTACGGAGGGGGCAGATGCTGGGAAAGAATTCCAAGCGACATCATCTTCGCAGAATCCATCATGTGCAGCATCTCCAGCGACAACAAATACGCTCAGTACCATCTCTACTGATGCAGGGCGCATGCGTCATCTTCTGAAGACTTGTGCCACGCAGGAAGAGTGCCTGATTTTCAAGATATCGCGCGCCCGCATTGATGAGGAGTGATATCAGAATGATTTTATGGTAATAGTACGACTATGAACAAAAAGCGACATGTGAGCTCTACTGCTGGATCTGGAACTCTTTCAGGTGTAAAACCTGCTCGTATCGACCCTCTCACAGGCATGGTCCAAAAATTTTTTCACGACCGGAATGCTATTTGATGACCATCAGCGGGCGACCGCGCGCCTGTTTTCTCATGCCACGAACGATGCACATCTTCATGAATGAGCAAGCGCAACTGTCAGAGCGGGAGGCTCCGTTGTTCTTTCGCAGTCGTCTTCCTCTCTTTTTGTTGACGCATGGGTTTGGCTTCCTCAAGTGAAGAACCAATATTGAGCACTACCGCATGAACCAAGTGCTTCACAGTTATTCTTCAGTTTCAGTTCGAAATTTTCTTTGTGGCGCCGGTGGCCGGCGAATAATTGACGATCGTCTTAACGATTACTCTGCGCATCCTTGAATGCTTTTTCATACACCGGTCCATTGCAGTAGGCTGGCAATTGCAGGTCGAACGCAGGAAAAGATCCTCTGGTATACTAAGTAGTGCGCAGCACCACTATACACCGATGCATTCCATCCCTCCCTCGTAAATTCATTTGGATCTTCATTGGTTTTTTGCTCCTCTTAGATTGCCTTGTGCCGATGAAGAACTCAATACGAATACGACAACATTTTTTCGACAGGCTCTGTACTTCATTCTACCCTTCGCCAAAACCGCAGCCTCTGCGCCGCTCATTCTATACTGCGTCATCGTATTCTTATTCAGATTTCTTCAAGACATGTCAAGAACTGAAGGCGAACGTATCGCAACGCCGAGGGGGACATTGCGGACTCCGACTTCTTAGGCCCGCAGTGCGGAATTTATTTGGCGAGCATTGCACGTTGCGCGTGAAGAACACTTGCCTGCGGATAGTCAGATCGCTTTTTGCGAGGATTCGGTACGGCATGAACGGCAGCTCGCCGATGAAGTTTGTGCCGATGTGGCACAAGGTGGGAAAATTGCCGCCCAGTCCTCCTGGCGCGTCCTCCAGTTCGGCACCGCGCCTCCGCGTGGTGTCCTGGAACGTCTTGGCCGATGGAGACACGGGTGCATTGTCTTGCAAACACGACTACTGCCCCCTGGACCTTCGCATCTGGAAAACGGGCGGAGAACAACTACAAGGTTCTTCAAAGAGCGCATCCACCAAGAAAGCAGATCATGGTACTGTACCAACGACGTCAGAGGAGACAGAAGACAAAACCACTACGGCGAAAGGTGCTGCGATCCTGGGGTCCACATCTACTAGTGGGCCCTCGCGGCTGCTGCGGACGGTCGACCGTATACGTGAACTGAACGCAGACATTCTTTGCTTACAGGAATGTCCGCGCGACTTTTTTGATGACTTCGAGACTGCGCTGGCAGAGGAATACAAGGGATACCACGTCGGCGACTGCTTGCCCAAGGATCTCAGATGGGCCGTCGGGCGTCCGCAAAATCTAGACAATGCCATTTTTATCCGCAGTGCAATCATGGTCGATAGTACTTCTAAATCAGCGGACGCCAAAAGAAAAAGCACCGACCTTCGAATTCAAGTCGAAGCGGTGAAGGGGACCCTGTTTCGCGAGCGCTTGAAAATTCAGATGGACCACGACAAGAATAGCAAAAAGGGTGGACCTCTGCTGACCGGTGTGGTGTCCGGAAAAACGAAGAAGCGAATCCAGACACTAGAAGAGTCGTGCATGTGGATGCGCCTGGTGGTAAACGACAAGTTTTACCTGGTACTCGGCAACACGCACCTCTTCTGGGACCCTCGCTACCCCCAGGTCAAGGCGTACCAAGCCGAGACTTTTGTGAATCTGTGTGCGGCAGACGCGGAAGCGTGGGTGCAGGAAAGAACGCAAGTAAAAAGCGGAAACGAAATAAGTGGACCCGCCGGTGAAAAGGACGAAAAAGTCTGCTTCATCTTTTGTGGCGACTGGAACACGATTCCCAATTTTCAGGCCGAGTTTTGCGCCGAGGACGAAGTCGCCAAACTCCGCTCCGATAAATCGACGCTGGCTAAGCTCTACGTGACAGACGCACGAAAACCATTTTCCACCGAGGTGCCGCTTCCAGTTGGGAAAAGTGACGAAGACGAGAGGCATGTGGGAAACGAACTCTCTATCGAGAAAACAGCACAAGCTTTCACGCCACCAAAGCGACCACAAAAGCTACATGATTCACAGCCAGAGCGATCTGGAACTACCGAGACGAAAGCCACGGAAGCCTCCCCCGAAAAGACGCAGCTTCAGACAAAAGAGGACCTCCCCGAGCTGGAGAGCGTGGAGAATTTGACTGCGCACATTTTTAGTGGGGCTTTCCAGTTACTGGCAACGGGAAGTTTGCCGCCCTTTCATCCGGAACACCCGGACTCGTTCGGAAAACCGCCGGCGCAAGAAAACTGCAAAAAGCCGCAGCCGGTTCTCGGGGAGATGCGAACCCAGCTGGGCGCCCTGCACAACGCCTACTGCGGACGCTCGTTTTTTCCAACTCTCACGACTAAGGTCTCCGGATTCGAAGGTTGCCTCGACTACGTTTTCTACACCACACGGGCCTACCACGTTCCAGCAGCAGAGGCAGATGCTAGTGTTAGCGACGATGTTGGCGAACTAGCTGCAAAGAAATCTAGAAGAATAGGAGCGCCACTATTGTTCAAAGAAGCCCTTTTAGACGTCCCCCAGTCAGAGGAACTGATTCCCAACGCAAAGCACACCTCAGACCACTACCCGCTCGGAGTCATTTTTCGTTTCTTGGAAGCGAATGCTGCTCAAGACTCGTGAAAAAAGCTATAGTTTCTTGAAAAATAAGGCCGCTAGCGGGCGGCGAATTTGTGTCCTATTCCACTTCTGCTTCGCTATTTGTAGCTGCAGTTTTTCTCGCCCATCTTGACCGTTTGTAGGTGGGAGCCTCCTCGGCAAATCATAACGTAATAGTAATTTAGGGTTTAGCTATAAATATTGTCAGATCATGATCTTCATCTTCATATGGATGCCACGCTGATCCTGATGTATGAACTCTAGTGCAACAGGGAGATCAGCATTGTGTGTTGCTCTGGCTACTTCTACCAGGTTACAAAAGAGCTTGAGATCCTTCATGAAGTTTTCCAGGTACAGATTCCTGATCATGTTCATGTTGAAAGAAAATGGATCAAATAAAAGTAGACGCATGTGGTTGCGGATCTTTTGAAAGTCGTGATCTTTCGATCCTTTAAATCGTGCCACAAATAAGTTTACGTACAAATGGTGATGTGGTTCTCATTCTTTCCATGTTTATGTTTCTTTCACATGCAAAATTGCTTTTACAGGCTGTCGGGCGACGCTGGGTTGTAGACAAGTACGATATCGATGATCGATGCACATGCTAGAACGATCTTGACTCAGTAGGTTCTAGCACTAGATTTTTGTCTTGCCCGTTGCACCAGTGTCTAGGTAGTTCTTCTACAGCGAAAGAAGAAAATGGCCCCGTGCGTCGACATAAGTAAGACGGCAGTAGACCAGTACCCGTCTGAGGGGGAGGTTCTCACCTTGCTCTTGGTGCGCCGATGGCTCGACGAACAAAAACTGGACAAGGTAGCTGCGGCGTTCATGAAAGAAGCGACAAGTATCGTCCAGGCAAGATACCTTCCCGGGGCTACTTCTAACGGGGAAGAATGCGCCGCCCCAGTTCAAGACGACGTGATCTATCTGCCGTGGGACCTCGAGCTAAGCGAGGTGTCTATCGATGCCGTTATTGCAGCAACAGCGAAGAAGAGTAGAAAGAAAAAAGTTGCTGCAGAGCCTGCGACATCAAATTCTGATGAAGTACTTCAGTTGATCTGGAACTTCCTTTCTGCAGAGGCGACTACTGCGAATAACGCCGACAATGGCCAGGAACCATCACAGGGTTCGTCCTTCCCCATCACGTGCAAAAAGTGGAAGAAACAAAAGCATGAAGGACTAACTAACCTCCTCGGGGCACAGATAAGTGGTGCAAAGGTTGAGAAGACATCTGCTAAAAATCCTAAATGCCTGCGAACATGCGTCGAGGGATTTTTGGAGCAGTTGGATGCCGCTTCCGGGGCAGAAACGAAAGTTGCGAAAACTGAGGAGCAGAAGGGCCTAAAAAGGGCTGCTATCCCGGGGGCTGAAGAGGAGGTCGAATGGCAACCAAAGCCGGAATTTGAATTGCCGAAAAAGAAGAAGAGCAAAGACGAGCCGAAACCGGATGCAATAGAGGTACTTGCGCTTTTTTTTGACGCTTCTACTACAAACATATAACCACGCAGACTATAGGATTATTCTGTTAAATAGTGAACGTATTGCCTCAGCTTTATTCTGTGACGTGCGCACATGTACTTGCTCTTCATGTTCGTACCGCCTACTCAAAGAACATATCATCATCATGAAACCAAAACAGTGCCGCGAACAGAACCGAAGACAGGACTGGAATAAGTGGGCGAAGACGCTGGAGGGCAAAGACGAGCGCTTGCAGAACGGATTCCATCGCACGGGGGACTCATGGGGCGACAAGGCATTCGCGCAGCTTTCTGTCGTGAAGGGAAAGGCTTTTGTCAAGCAAATGCAGAAGAACAAGCGGGCCAGTTGGCGAGGAGGAGGTGCGATTGACGTGAAAGTCAATAGTTACTTCTTCTCTGATTCGGACTAACCTTCTTCTGGTGACGCTGAGTCTCTCGGAGATGAGAAATTCCTCGTGTCAACAGCCTATGTGTACACATTCACTGCATTAACTACCAACGATCGTATATAGAAATGGTAGCGCGACTACCAGACCGAATTACTATCGCGTGATCTACTTTTCACTCGCTCCGTGAGTGCAGAAGAACTGACCGGAAACGATGCTTCCTGTGTTCCGTTTGTGCCACCTCGAATTAATGGCCTGTGCTTTCTGATAATGACTTCGGCTATGCGTTTGTGCGCCGGAGCAAAAACTGTGGTATACCATAAAAGAGCTATTAACAAAGGAGAGCTTTTTATCGACGGAGCGGAATTCTAGTGTGTAAGGCTGAGGACGCGGAGGAGGGGCCGCAGCCGCTTGGGCAAGAATATTTTCAAGGGTATGCGTTTCGATGCTAACAAATGCTGCAGGCCAATTCCAGAGGGATGCCCGGAACAGGGCACTCACCCTTTTATATGTCTTTGTCTTCCGTCAATGCAGTTTCAGTTATGTTAGTCCCTGATGTTCGATTTCGGTAACACCACCTGTTTAGTGGGGGTAATAACAAAAAAGTAAACGATGGTACCCGTGCCACCACATTTCGGACGTAAAGTGTATAGCGAGCGACAAATATTGAGATGACGATTGACGCGGACATTATCCACGGCATAACCGCGCGTTCACGCGCTGGCGGAGCATCCGGCGGGTACCAGGATGCTGGGGGTCTACCTTGGCAAACGGGTGCAGGAGAACCGGAGCGTGACGCGTTCGGGCAGCCGGTGGGGTCGGACCGAAAGGTGACTCAGGCGCGTGTGAAGGCATGGTTACGCGAGCGGAATCTCGAGCGACTGTTCAAGCCGCTGCAGAAACACCGCTTCGACGACTTCGACACGCTCCAGTACCTGGATGACGCTTATTTACGCGAGATGGGCGTTGTTGCCGGAGATCGTGTGCGGCTGCTAAAAGCACTCGCGGATTTTTTTCCAAACAAGGCGCAGGGTTACATGATGCAGCGGGGCTCGCCGGCAGGTGCCGACCAAGGCTTCTATAATCCAGACGCACGTAGTACCGGCGTCAGTGATCCTCGCAGCGGTAGATTTTATCCACCACCCTACAACATGAGCAGCAATCCGACGCCAGCTCCAGCTGTTCACAACGATTTGAATTTTGCGCCACAGCAGCTGCAGCTCTCTCTGTCGCACCAACAGCTACGTGATTACACTGGAACAAATCCAGAAAATTTATTTGCGGTAACCATACCCGCCGCCAACGCGGAAAATAAGGAGAGTGCGGAGGAGAAAAGCGATGCGCAGCCGCTCTCGTCACAAGCAGAACTCCCTCCCACAACTGAAGCTGCACTGAGTGCACCACCGCCGGCTGTTTCCAAGAATGTGCAAATAGTCTTGGGCAAAGATGAGGACGAAGAGAAAAAGGGTCCATATGACCACGGCGACCAGCCAGCTTCGGTGTCAAAAAGGCCTCCGCCTGCCTCCGCCACTGCCAACAAGATTCCGCGCCTGCCCGGGCCTAACCGGCCGCAGCTGCGGCGCAGCCGACGCTACGAAAACCTTGACGACGTTGAGTTCAACATGGGAACTGAGGCGGCGGAGCGTCGCAAGGAGTACGCCAAGAAGGTGATTGGTGCGAGCATTTTCTTGGAGGGTCTGCTCATCGCGCTTCGGGCCACCATGTGGTGGGCGCAATGCCTGGTGTACGTGCCGCTCTTCATCGCGAACCTGTACGGGCTCCAGTGGAAAAAACGGGTTGATGTCTTTTCGGCGTTGCGCGGGCTCCGGCTCGTGGAAAAGCAGCAGGCCGGCTACTTGGGCGCGGATGTGTACAAGACCTCTGTTGCCGAGTGCGAAACCCTCGAGCAGGGACGAAAACTGCAGCGAGGCGCCATGTTGCTGCTGTCGCAGGCGGTCGTCCTGACGGCGGTATGGGTGTTTGGTCTGATGATCTTCGCGAACGTCTTCATCCTGGCGGATTCCAGAAAGGACGTCACTTTGGAGACGGTGACCGAGAGCCTCTTCAAGGACGACGAAAGCTTCAACTGGTTTGCGATCGCCATTTTGATCATTTTAGCGGTCTTCAGTGCGTTCTACTTGCTCGTGTTCGTCGCGCAGTTTCGCAACGAGTACCGCAATGGTTTGATAAAGAAGGCGCGCGTGGAAGAGCTTCGCACGAAAGTTGCGAACCTGGAGAAACTAGGCGTACGCGTTAAGGAAGGGTACACCCCTTCTGTCGCTGCGGCCGAGGGCGGAAAAAAGGACGGCAACATCAGCGCAGAGCAGGGACAGGCGCAAGAAGCAGGTGAAGCAGAAAAATATCGAAAAGCGGTCGATGTAGCGGCCGCTGGGTCAGCAAGGGGAGACGGAAACATTAAACTTAAGCCGCTTTTCGACCTAAGCCGCCCATTGGACGAGCAGTCGCTCGTTGGGAAGCTGGATGTCACGGTGCGAAGTTCGAAGCAGAACTTGTGGGACCAGATCGGGCAGGTTGGTGCGGTGGTGAAGTTTCTCAAGGGTGGCGCCTGAGAATTCTGAAACGCGGACTCGGATAACCTCCGAGACGTGGTGCAAAAGCTGCGCGACGACGCAGCGGCTGATTTTCTCCAGCTGGAGTCGGAAATTTCGGAGATCGAGGAGACCATGAGCAGTTACTCCATGGCCAGTAGACGCAGCAGCGGCTCCAACCTGGGCGCAGCGCTGCTGGGCGGCACGGGGGCGTCTTCGGCGATTTCCCGGTCCGGACTGCAGATGGCGCGGCTCTTGGCGGCGGCGCGTGGCTTGGGTGGAGGTAAAGGCGGCGCGGCCGGAGGAGGTGCGGACCTCGCGGACCCCCTGTCTGCTTTGTATGGGGAGCTCGAAAAAGCGCGGCTCCGGTACGCGGTCACGTGCGAGGTGAGACTGATCGGCCTCGCACCGGACATGCTGGTTTTGGAAAACTGGGCGTTTGTGATGCGGGCCATTGAGGGTGTCGACGTCGAGGAGACTCTGGCGGCTTTTCGGCGAGATGCAGCAGAAGATGAAGCCGGCATTAGTACGAATATCGGGCAGCATCCTCAGCCGCATGAAGGCACAGATTTCATGAAGCTGCGCGGGGACCTCTTTGTCGACCAAAACTGCGACTTTCCCAAGTTGCTCGGCGGTTTTCAAAACGGGATATTCGGAAAGAAGACCACCCTAAAAAGCAAGCTGTGGGCTTTCGTAGGGCTCGTGAAAAACGTACCCGGCGCAATTGCCCTGACCTTGAAGATGGCGAAGGCGAAGGAGGCTGCGAAAAAGGGGACGACAAGCGACCAGTAAAGTTTGCTTTTGCTTTCCTTTTTTTCGCCTATAGGCATAGCTAAGTACAACTACTACAACATAACTCGAACTACAAGAAATACAGATCAAATGAAATCGAATAATCGCGATTTGAAAGGATGTAGTTGCCTTCATTTTGATGCAGTTCTTAACTTCTGGTTCCAGCGGTGCAGCCACGGATGTCCCCCTAACGTTAACTGAACAGGTCTGTTTCGATGTACGACCGGTCGCAGATTGTCGGCGCTGCGTTGAAGGGTGCAGAGCACAAAGAATTGTGGGCTTCGCAAGCCGAAAGCACAAACATGTATGGAGGGGGCGTGATAGCCGTGCGTGGCGCGGGGCCGATATTGGACCCGCAGACACTGGGGAATTTTCCCGTCAGCGCACCACCGAGCCCGGGGGATCCCGAAATCATCTTCCAGCACCGCGAGTACCTAATTGGCGACGTCGCCGACTGCGTGAAGCTCGCCGAGCAAGTGCACAAGGAGATGATTGAGTGGCATGTGGAGAGTGGCTTGTGGTCCGCGGTAGATTTCGAAGATGCACAGGGCCGACGGGAAGTCCGACTCCTTCCCGCAGGCGGCGCGGGCGAATTTTTCGAAAACGGCAGCAGACCGCGCGGTAGCAAACGAAGGACGTCACTGGTTGGAAGAGCACTCACAAACGTGCGGGAAAGTTATACGGGAGAATAACGCATCGACATTTTTACATGTGGCTCGATGATTGTTGATTCAGTCAACCGGGCACACTTTATTTTGAAAACGGTCCGTGATCTAGCTGTCCGTGCCTTTATTACGCACCGAGTCAATCTCAATCCACAACTAGCTACAGGTAGGCAAAGAGAGGAAACAAATCTCTTTTAGGGGTGAGCAGTCACAATTCTTTCTATAATGCGGCAGCCTTATGATGTATTTGGTTCAAGTCTAGCTCCAGTCGGTAGCCCGCCAGGATGCACAGACACAATTGCAAAGCTGTTTTAGCTTTTTGCGTTAGCGTCCCAGTCCCTATCCCTTTGATAGACCTTGACCTTTTTTATCTTCAGCAAGAACTGCAATGCTACAAAAACATTCTAGGTATCTATGGTGTGAGAGCCGTCTGCCACGTCGCCCTCTACCCTCTTTATTTGGGTTTATTACTTATCTTGTGACCCCCGACGAGCATAGTTCTTTTTGCATTGCGCAAGCAGGAAGGACTGATGTCGAGTCGTGGTGATGTGAAAAACAATCTTCTAGGAGGACCATGGATTGCGATTGAACGCACCGTAGGATGTGCCCTGAGTTTCGAAAGAATCAATACAGCAGAATGGAACCGAATGCTGCAAGAAAGCAACAACGCATGAAGCTTCTCGCTTTGCCCACCGCAGTCTCTTTCTTTGTTTCTCGTATTGAAGAACCCAAAGTTAAAGTTTAGTTATCTTCGGCCTGTGTTGCCCTTGCCTCTGAGAGTTGGTGAAGTTACTGACAAAAACAACAGAACGAGAGGCTCAGCGAAGGCCACGAAGTTGTACAGAAATAAATGAAGGTTTTAAAGTTTTCTACGTCGAGCTCGAAGTTTTGAACTTGGCTTACTTTCACCTGTTTGCTTAGTTTCTATTCGGTTCTACTTCCATTCGTGCACTTGAAAATGAAATTCAAATTTTTCGACTGATAAAGGTTGACCTTCTTCAAACGCAAAAAGATGACGGCCAAGCAGCTCGGTTGCCCCTGCTGCGAGGAGCGCGTCGGAAAGCGGGGAGGCTTTCGCTTCATGCTGAAGTGCGACGCTCCGATCGATGCCTGCGTTGAGTGCGTCATCGACGACGAGAAAATCCGCTACGACGCGGACTTGTATCCGCCATTCCGGTGGCCCCGGACACCCGAATCGATTGCGGCGTCGGCGAAAACGGTTGTTGCGGACACCGAGCAAACGTTGGCAAACGTGGTTTCGGCGAGCACGTTGGATTTCAACAGTGTAGTTCTCCCACTGATGAAGCTTCCGTGCTACAAGACCAACCCCTTGGTGTGCCAGAACAAGCACTTGCAGCACTGTTCGACGGACCCGGTGATTCGCGAAGCCGCCTCCAAAGCAGCCACGGAATTTGCAAACTGCAAGAAAAAGACGAAAACGCGGAAGGATGTCTACGAGAAGGTAGCTTTTGATGCTTCTTGCGACCACCCTGCTGGAGCGAGATATTCTGGCGGCTTTGAGTGTAGCACAGTTTCAGCGCAAAACACGCAGCGCCGCCCACAAAAAATACACGACGGTGCATTCATCCTCGTCCGCGCGCATGCTTTAACGCGATCGCGAGCCTGCAACATAGCCAATGCGCGCCACGCACGCTGACGACCTCCACGCGGCTCCTCGCTCTTTGAAGATACAGTGCGCCTGTCTCCTCACGCGGCTTTCTACGCGCGCGCGGCCTCAAAACATCGCTCGGCAAGAAAGTAAGTGCCGAGAATTCTCTGCTTGATGTGCCTTTGCGTTTGCAGGTGCGTCGTGTAAGTATCATGTGAGTGGTGAGCAAGTGGAAACTGAGACAAGATCCGTATTGTACACGGCGTCTTTGACAACTGCACCTAGGTGGTTTCCTATGCTGCGACTGAGGAGTATAAAACCTTGTCCGTGTACAACAAGCATTTCGTCGACGCCATCATTGGTATGTACGAGCGTGCAGGACTGTCGCTCTCCACGGAGAACGCGGCGGAGCTCTCCAAGTTGCTCGATGCCGACGTCGATTGCTGTAACCGGTACAAGAAAAATCTCGGGGAGGACAAGACCAGCGTAGAATTCTCCCCTGAGGAGCTTAAGGGTTGTGATGCCGAGTGGATCAAGGAACGAACGAAAGAAAATAATACGGTGACGCTAACGTTGAAGTACCCAGACCTTCTCCCAGTGCTGCAAAACTGCGAAGTCGGCGAAACGCGGAAGAAACTGACACTGGCAAGGGAAAGAGCGTACGGAAACAATTTGGACCTGGTGGCAGAGGGGATCAACTATCGGCAGCAAGTGGCAAAGATTCTCGAGTTTGCCAGTTGGGCGCACTTGGTGACGCAAACGCGTATGTCGGGCAACCCGGAGAAGGTGCACAAGTTCCTGGCCGAAATCCGCGAAAAGGCACTTCCCGGGGCAAAGCGCGACTACGCGAGGCTGCTGGCGTTGAAGAAGACCCACCTGGGACTGCCGGAAACCGATTCTTCTGCGGATTTGGAAGCCTGGGATGTCAGTTTCTACCACAGCCTGCTGTTAAAAACTGAATACGGCGTCGATCACGAGGAGATACGCCAGTATTTTCCCGCCGACAACGTCATCAAGGGCACGCTGCAAATCTACCAGGACCTGTTGTCTTTGCAATTTACCGAACTTGAGGACTTCGACACCTGGCACGAAGAAGTGCGGCTCTTCGTAGTGCACGACCGGGGTGGTACAAAGGAGCGAGTGGGACACTTCTACTTGGATCTGCATCCGCGCGAGGGTAAGTACGGGCACGCGGCAATCTTCCATCTCTTGAAGCGCACGGAGACGCAAACACCTGTCGACTGTATGCTCTGCAACTTGCCCGCGCCAAACAAGACAACAGGTAAATTTGGAACGCCCTTAAAACACGCTTTGCAAAATGAAGTATTTGTGATGTTCGCACTAAACTACAACCGCTCAATACTCAACCCGTTCACGTACTGTGTGCACCGCTTTTCGAGTCCTCCACTTGATACAGGCAAACCGGCACTGCTGCGGCACGACGATGTGGTTACTTTTTTTCACGAGTTTGGGCATATCATGCACGGTCTGTGTGCGGAGGGGATCGGGAATGCCACCACGCTGGCGAAGTGTCCGCGCGACTTTGTCGAGGCGCCCAGTCAGATGTTGGAGAATTGGTGCTTCAACGAGAAGGTGCTGCAGATTCTCTCGAAGCACGTGGAGACGAGCGAGACCCTACCCAGTTCACTGATCGAGAAGCTTCTGAAGGCCAAAAATGTCTCCGAGGGGTTGATGATGTCGCGGCAGGTTTACCTGGCCACTCTGGACCTCACCATCCACGGCGCGGGACAACTACCGCAATCTGCCGACGAGCTACAGGCTTTGGTCGACAAGATGCGCCCGGAGATCTCGCTGATCAAAAACCCGGCGAGTTGCAACATGCTCAGAAATTTTGGGCACCTGATGAACCAGTACTCCGCAGCCTATTACGGGTACCTGTGGGCCGAAGTACTGTCCGCGGACATGTTTGCTTCAAAATTCGAGAAAAATCCGTTCGATCAGGAAGCCGGGATGGAGTACCGGAAGAAGGTGCTCGGGGTCGGCGGTACTGGAAAAATTGCGGACCACCTGGTAAACTTCCTCGGGCACGAGCCGTCGCAGGACCCGTTCTTGAAATCGCGAGGAATCTTGTGACGGGATGATGGAAATAAATGCGGCGGCGACATGATCGGCGGCGAGCGCGAGTCCGTCCCTGCGTAGCTAAGTGCTATTTTGCTTTTCAGAAAGCCGAAGCATAAGCAAACCAGGACGACCACCAACTGCGGCTCTGCGACTGCGAACACAACGCCCCTTGAACGATTGAAGCAGTTTTTCAAAAATGAAAATGAAGGTCTAAAACAGATAGAAAATACTTTTTGAAAAGGTCGCAGCAGAAGTGTTCGTTTTCGCAGTCGAGCAACCTGCTTCTTGTGTATCGGTACGCACTACGACCAAACTGCGCAGCGGTTTTCGAGTGCCCGAGGGAGAAAAGAAAGATCAGCGTCAAGATCTTTGTTCATGGGTAGCGAAAATAAAAATATTCAACATCTCGTCCAGCCCTTTTTTTCCGGAACAAAGAGCTTGCCAGGATCCGCGCCTCTTGGCATTTTGAAGAATGCGCAACTGGAGCAACTTTCGCTTTCGATGGCTGGTGCGAGCACGACAGTAGAGAAAAGCTTCACCACTTGAGTACTCTTACTTTGGATATTAAAGGAAAAAGTTGATGTACAACATCATACACAGATAGCGATACACTACTTCACATCATGGCGACTAGCAAAGCAGGAAAGGGTAGTCAGGAAGCAGCTCCGGTGTCCGCTTCGTCGACGAAAGGTAAGGGATCTCGAGCAGGCGCGGCGGCACCAACGGAGGGTGACAAGAAGAAGGGCACCGGTCACGGCGCCGTTGCTCAAGAGGATACCGCCCGGCCTGCAAATGCTGATAAAAAAGGCGACAAGTGGCAGTCGGCGTTGCACGGAGAGTCGTCGGAGTTGTTGAATAGGAAGAGAGAAGATGCGTTTTCCAACTTTAACTTCACCAGTTCTAGTACGGGCAGACACAGGAGGCGTCAGCAAATGCAAAGGTACACCAAAACGTGGTCGGAGAGTGCAAACACTTATGTTTGGAGTGACGGCAAAACCTATTGGGTATGGGACTACGACAAGTGGACCTGGAAAATGCTCGACAAAACCCCGGAAGACATGGCGTCGAGAGCGAGTACTACAGGGGTTGCGGGAAAAGAGGGTCGCAAGAAAGACACGGAACAAGCAGATCAGTCAACACGTCGTACAGATCAGGACTCCGTCGACGCACTCGCTGAACAGATGGGAAACATGTCGCTGGGGGGCGGGTCAGCTCCGTCTACTCAGACCACGAAAGTCGACCATTCCGGGCCGAAACGCAGCATTGAGAGAGGCGACGAACAAGGCGCCGACGAGCCCAGGCCCGAAAGCACGGTGGTACCTGCACGGCGGATGATTTTGACAAATTTAGGAATTCGGCTTACGCCAGAGCAACGAAAAGAGGAAATCGAGTTTTGGAAAGAGACAGAGCGGAGAAAGCGGAACGCACGGTCTTCAAATGCAAATGCGGAAAAGAAGACAGATGATACTAAAACAGAAACAAACGACGAAAGCGGCAAATAAACAAGAATCGAAGAGATACAGGAGAAATTAAGCGCAAGCCAAATGCGTGCTCGCGTTTGCCGATGCAAGCAAGGGCATATAAAAGCATGGGATGGAGCATCTTGAAAACCATCAGTACCTGTTTCACATGTTCCAGATGTTCGGTTTTTACGCACGTCGATGTGTAACGTCTTTTGCCAGAATTGGGTGGCGCTCACACCCATTCCGGCCAATTGAGTTCTCGTTCCTTCCGTTTTTAGATCCAAGGTTCTAATGTTGAAAGACAATGATTTTTCGAATCGGGGGCGAACGACGACGAGAGATGATAGATAGATATAATGGTCGCCTCAAATCGTTTTCGACTTCGTTTCTTGTACACCATAAAATAATCATCGCGCCATCGTTTTTGTCGTATCTCTGATCGTTGTATAAAATCGAGAGCGCTTGCAGAAGCGCTAATTCGTTCATATGATAGGTAGAAAGATGTAAGTCTTGGCTAGAGAAAAATTCAGTTCCACACTCTTGATTGTGTATTCATACTCGTTCCCCGCTCATTGGTTGCGTTAAGCTACGCTCTGGCGTGAAGTTTTCAAAATGGAGCACAGTCCGACGTTTCACGAGCGAGGTTACAGAGGCGATAGTTCACCCACTGCCCACCCGTCCCTGAATGCAGCAAACTACCAGGAACAGCACGATATTCTGGTCCGCACAGGATCGAAGTCGTCCGGCAGCCAACCAGCCTCAGCGCGCGGGCGGAACCGACGCGCCGCGTCCGGAGCAGCAGGTTCTGATCGGCACGCAAGTGGTTCTCTTCTCGAGCGGCAGTCAACATCATCACTCAGCCGTACCCGTCCCGTTTCGGGCCCGGAAACCACGTCGGGTCCAGGAGGTTCTTCTTCGTCCTCCTGGTCCGGCTTGTCTCGGCTTCCCGGACAGCCGACCGCCCTAGCCCGCCCCCAGGGGACCCTGACGGTAGACCTCGCACATCCCTTTGTGGTCGTCGGGAATCCCCCTACCGAGTCGTCGTCGCAGCAACCGGTGGGGTACATCTACACGGGACCGCCGCCGGAGGCCCTGGCTGCGAGAAACCGCAGAAACCAATCGTCGTACATATACCACGACTCCGGCTCCCGTGTTCCCATCGGTAGCCCCTCCTGGCAAGTGCATCCGGTCACGGTGGCTTTTCGACTCGGTGGCATCCCAACCACCGTCTGGTTCTCGGAGTGCAAGTACTTGTAGTCTAAAAATTGTCTGCTGTTTATGCCGTGTACGCTTTTGTTTACTCGACCACGACCGGTGTGTGTGGCTATATTCTTTTAGGCTCATCATTCATGTAGTCTTTCTCTTTGTCATTGTCTTTGTTTGGGAGAACATAAACACGCACCGATCGTGATACCTCTACCTGCGACAAACCGACTGACAGAAGCTCGATGATTTTTACTTTACTGCAGGCCGCCTTCAGGGGTTGAATCGACGGAAACCATGAAGCAGTGGGGTGGTGGGAACCACGTGAGACTCGAGACCGGTTACACGCCTCCGCCCAACCCACTGTTTCACCGTCTGAAAATGCCGAAAGCAGTGCGGGGATCGTTGCTGGCGAAAAACGCGTATCTGGAGGTGGTCACAACCTTGGACTACTTCGCGCTGGTTTATTCCCGGTATCTGCGCAGCTGCAAAAAACGTTTCCGCCGGTTCACGGGAAGCAGTGGCGGAGATGCTCAACCTTGCGATTCGCAGAGCGTGGCAAAAGAGCTGCCGCACGTCCACTATCGCGAGGTCCCGCATTTGCCCTGCAGTCGGAGCTTCGAGCACTTCGAGAAAGGCGACGCGGACCAGGTTTTCTCGCGGTCGCCGGTCAACGCGCGGTTTCTCGCGGGCAAGCGCGTGGCGACCCGCAGTGCTGCTTTCAACCCGCCAAGCGCGCAGCGAACCTCGTCGAAGCTTGCTGGGAATAAAACAGGTCCAGCAGGAGGGGAACAAGACGACCAACTACAAGTCACGAATTCCTCGTGGGGCGGCTTCTTTTCCTCGTTCTTTAGTGGCAATGATCCGGACACCGACTTTCCATCTAACACGCAGCCACCCGTCCGCCGCCTTACGGAGAGAGGGCCACCTACACCTTCTTCAACATCTGTTCTGAATGCCGGCGCTGGGACGTCCACACTGACCACGAACCAGCGGTTTTTACCTGAAGAGGCGGCGGATCCAAGTCAAATCCATGTCCGACACGACCAAGTTTACATGTGCATGCCTCGTTACGATCTCATGCGTGTCGAAGGACGGGTAAGCTCGCTGGAGCCCATCGTCGTCAACCAGCGCCGGCCAGTGGAGGATTCTGCGGTGGGCGTTTCGAGCGACATCACGGGCCGGGCGAGTTACGACATGACCGACAGTTTCGTGCGGGAGCTTCTGTCCACGTTCTTCCGCAACCAAATGCTGCGCATGTCAGAAAGTGCCAACAGACTTGGAAACAACCAGGCGGCTGTCACAATGCGCGCCCGAGCATTGGTACTAATGTGGTCTCTACGACTGACTGATGTTGTCTAGTACTCCGGTCTGTGTTTGCGATTGCGTTCTTATTTGCCACGTACTGACTGTGGTGAACGTAAATTCAAATTGAGAAAATTAGAAGGACAAGTATCCAACTAACATGCAACATGCATCATTTTTTCTGACCGCACTGAATCTTCTGAAACAGGAACGCATACATCAATCAACGGAAACGCTTTATGGTCCGGTGCCATCCAACGAGAATGACGAAGAGCTGGTTTGCGAGGAGGCGCCGGGGTCCTCCACGACAGGCAGGAACACTTCAACGGACGCCGCTACCACACGTCTCGCGCAGCGGTTCGCATTTACTCCATCCGAGCGATGGCCCTCTGCGTCCACAAGTGGTACAGCGGGAAACAAGAAAGCAGTGCCGCTTTTGGATCCTGTGGCGGACGATCACGGAAGCGGCGGTGCCTCCTCTTCCTCTAGACCAGCGCCGCCGCCGGGAACAGGGATCACGCCCGTCGTAGGTACAGTTGGTTCCCCGTTCAGGGATGGGCCCAATGCGCGAAGCAGCAGCAGTTCGACGATTCCTCCCCGAATCGCGCACCCCAGCGCTGACTTGTACACGATGCGGCTAGATCCTACCGCCCAGGTGATTATTTCGCAGTCGCAAACCACCCGGCTTTCGCGTGTCGATTACATCATGCGGAACGTCGGTCCGGCCCGGGGCGCGCCGGAAAGCGTGGTGGTATCGACGGGGCGTGCGTTGCCGCAGACCAATATCCTCCCCCGGGGTATCTTGCCGGGAGGAGGAGATACATTTGCCCTCAACCTGATTGAGCAGGCTGCGGAGGCCGAACCGCAGGGCGCAGCGCAGCCCGAAGCCACGGCTCTACACGCTGGTAACTTTCGCCGCGTCGCCGCACAACGAGAGAACGCACAGGGCAGTGGAGAGACAGTCGGCGGTCTAGGTGGAGTTGCAACATCTTCTGCGGGGAACGCCACGGATGCAGCTGCTGCCAGCGCAGCTGCGGGTCCGCGTGCTTCCGTCGATACGGAAGCCGTATTGGGAGTGGTCCCCGCACCAGGAGGTTCAAACGCAAATGCATCTTCCGCCGCTGCGACCAACCCCCGCGCCCAACCGCGAGCTACCTTGTTGCAAAGGCCCGACGAGACTACACTTCGTCGGACGCGGCGAAGAACTTGTCGACGGCGGCTTTATTCGGACCCGATTGACGCCGTGCCGAGTTTCATGCATTTCGCGGATGCCGTCTGGCAGGCGCGGCCACGAGCCCTACGGTGGACGGAGATAATCCAGGTGTATAATCGGCGGCAGGCCCGCTTTCAGGAGGCGCATCTGAACAACGCCGCGGATCGCTTGCTCCGCTCGGAGTTGCTCCGCGCAGAGGTCCGCGGTCTTGCGAGTGCGAGTCCGTCCGCAGTTGGCCTGTTTGAGGGGGTTGACATGGGCGCGCGTATGGATTCAATGCGGGAGTTGTCGCACCGAAGTGCTTCGTCGTCCAGCAGCAGCACTGCGGACCACCCGCCGGTCGCTCCGCTCTTCCAAGGACCGCCGGCAGTTTCGGACTCCGCGTCATCGTTTTGGACGGCAGGCGCGAATTACTTATTTGGAGGGACTTCTTCACGGTCTCCTTCCCATCCCGAGCCATCGTCGTCCTCAAGCCTGAGGCCTGGGGACGAACAGAGAAGTGTTGCCTTGCGGTTGCTGCCCGACATTTCCTCGACAGAAAATGTGGCTGCGCGGTCGGCTTTGGACCCGCAGAATCCGGATCGGCGTATTTTTGGTGGTGGCGTTCTTGCGTCCGATCCGGTCGACCGACCTACCGCCGCCTACGTCACGGAAATCTCCAGGCGACGGCGAGAATACACACCGCCGGTTCGAGCTAATTCGCCACGTAATTCCACCGCTCGTCGCTCTTCTGAGGCCTCGGGGTCCAGGCCGGCTTCGCCAAGTGCAGCGGGCGGCGACGCTAATGCGTCGAGCCCGGCAGTACCAGTAGAGGTGGCAGAAAGAGAGAGTGGCGCAGCGAGCGCCTCGTCCCCGGGCGCTGCAGATAATTCAGTGTTAGGTGCAGCTAACGAACCCGTGGCCCCCGCGCAGTCCTCTCCCGCGGCGGAAGATTCGCAACCACCTGCCGCAAACCCACCAGGAGACAATGACGAATCGCAAGCGGTTATGTCTTCAACGGTCGTTAGCATACAGAAGGGTGAATTTCCAGTGAATTTGTATTGCGTGGCATGATGCATGAATTAATCTTCAGGTGCATGCGAAGAACTAGAACACGAGGACAACATACAAGAAGCCAGCGCGCCGCGTTGATGGGCTGCTTGGCTGGTGGCGCTTCCCTCCTGTGGACGCTTGCCGCTTGTTGCCCAAAGAGGCGCACCTGGTGGACTGCGAAGCAACGCAGGTGGCTTAGGGCGGTCTTACAACACGACGCTGCATGATCCGCAGACTCGATAGTGGCGGATCGACCGGGACGAGGGCTATGCCTGTAAAGGGGGTCAAAGGTACTAGCTCAACATGTCAAAATAGAGAAGTCGCGTCACGGGTTGTGGCTGCCTCGGCTTGGATATCTGGAGACAGGTTGCTACGGATGCTAGCATCGCCTGCTTTGCTCTGTAAGTAAGCTCCTCCCAGCTGTGTTCCTGCCTCATCTTGGTCGGTTCCTCTAGTAGTCTTCTTTGACGTGACCCCCAGGTCAGGAATTCTCTTGGTGAATTTTGAGGCTTTGTCTTTTTGCGAAACTTTTTTGAAGCCCCAAACTCGGAGTTTCTCACGCGCTAGCGAATTTTGAACAGGCACCGGAACCCAAAATTCACCGGCGCCCTTTTCAAAATTCACCCGAAAATTCACCGAGCGCTCCTTTTCGACCGTGATAAGCAAACTTTGGCGCAGAAAAGTGCTCAAAAATGTGCACAGGTAGGCCCTGGGGAGTGGGGCCGAGGGGAAAAGACAAGCGCCCTCTGTTGCCCTCAGCCCGTCTATATTCTGCCGAAAAGGCCTGGGGAGTTCACGCGCCTGCCGGGTAGAGGCGTCAAAGCTCTCGGCCTGGTCCTTTCACTCGTTTTTTTGCGCCTTCTTCCCTAATTGCATGCGCTTCGCAGCCTTTCTTTTTAGCGTCTTTGCCGCGGCTGCTGCAGTGCTCTATGCGAGCACAGGGAGACGAATAGACATGGCCAAAGAACGGCACCCAGGCCATGCCTAGAAGCTGCCCGCCGCATAACTAAGCCTTGACTTCTGCGGTGTGCAGAACCCACTTCCCAGAAGGGCAAGAGGGATAATGCCCCGGCGGACTCATCTGCAATCTGTCATGCAAAATTCACTACAAATTCGCCACTTCTCATGCTAACGGGTGTTAAAGCTGTAAGCAAGCCGCAAACCCACCAGGAGACAATGATGAATCGCAAGCGGCAAATATATCCAAAAAAAAAATGTTAACATTAACACTTTCACTAGTCAAATTTTTGTCATGTTTTTGTGCGATTTTTTTTTATATTTTTTCACGCCAAGTAATGAACTACTGTAGCTACTCGAAATAGACCCCACGGACAACTAGCTACAGCGAGATTTCTATGCTATTGTTGAGAGCTAGCTAGGCTCGGGCCTGCCGGCGCGGCGGACGTGAAGGAAAACAAGGCGGCCGAGGTGGCGGCCAAAGGTGCGGGGAGACTGGAAAACAAGGCGGCCGAGGTAGGGGCTGGAATGAGCCTGCTGAAGGCGTTGGAGCAGTGTACTCGTTTTTCCTCCGTGCTATAATGCGCCATCATAATCGTGCTGCCTTCATCGCAGCCCAGTCTTCAGTTGCTCTTCTTGACTCTAGGGAAGACCGGGGCCAGAGGTGGCCCAGCTTTTGCCTTTCGCCGTTGACCCCAGCGAAAGACAAAAAAGGCAGTTTTTTTGAGTCAAAGTAGACGACTTTTTTTTGCAAATGTTAACATATGCCCAAAATTCTGCATTTCCGCACGGATATCTGGACTCGTGTGGAAATGTTAACATTTGCCCGAAAATCTGCATTTTCGCACGAGATTCTGCGACTTGGCTGAATTCTTTACTTTCGGCCAAAAATTGGCGCTCAAGCAAAATCGCAGATTCCCGTGCGAAAATGCAGATTTTCAGGCAAATGTTAACATTTCGGGCTACGTCCAGATTCCCGTGCAGAAATGCAAGGCTTTGGGCAAATGTTAACATTGGTCTGCAAATTTGCTCAAAAAATGCTCAAAAGTTGCCATCTTTTTTGCGCAAATGTTAACATCCGGCTCCGAAACGTCCCCGAATGTTAACATTCCCAAAAAAGAGCGCTTCCCTGCATTACAAATTGAACATTTTGAATTTAAAAAAGGTGGCAGCCCGATCTCCATGGTCGCGACCCGTTGGTGGGCCGACTACATCATCAACCAGACGAAGGTCCGGAACCAGCTGGATTGCTTTCGAGCATTAGTCGCAAGCGAGCAGCGCCACTACCTACGCGCGCACGAAGGCCCACGCACGTTCTCGATGTAGCAGGACGGATCCCGAGACCTTAGCCTAGTTAGATCAAAACATAAGCTACAGCATTTAGCTAGTTGTCCATGGGTTGATATACATACTATCGCTCATTGTTCAGCGCAATTCCAATGCAAAAAATGATTTTTTTTTGTCAAAAAACGCACTGAGATTTTAACTAGTGAAAATGTTAATGTTAACATTTTTTTGTTCCACCTCCCGCAAACCCACCAGGAGACAATGATGAATCGCAAGCGGCAAATAACGAGCCGGGAACTACCAGTTCGGCAGAAGAGGAGGAACGCGAAGATGTGGAGGAGGTGGAAGCAGAGATGCTCCGCGGGGAGCAGGAAGATGAATTGACCCTGCACGGAGCGGCTTTGGATGCCTTGACGGCACGGTTCTCCCGCGAGCGCAAAATTCCCTTCATGAATCCGATCGCCGAGGTGCCACCGCAAATTGTGTACTTCGCCGTTTTTTGGGTCACTTTTCTCATACAGTGGGGCGTTTTCCTGCTCGGCTTCTACTTCCTGTTCTGGTACTGTGATACAACCGTGTACTCGACGGGCGACGAGAAGGCCATCGCGGATACCTACTTCATGGTCGGATTCCTCGTCATCTACTACGGTAGATTCGTGCTCCGATACATCTGTCTGTACTTCATGTGCGGACTTCTGATTCACCGAGCCCAGAACCTGGAAAAGCAGCTAACCGCACCGCTAATAGAAGTGGAGGCACATCATGATCAGGAACAAGCTCTCAATATTAAACCGTCATCAAAGAACTCAGCCGGAGACAACAAGGCAGCTCCTGGGAGTGGGTGTACTGCGGGTCCGTCCGGAGCACGACCGGCAGCTGAGCTTAGCAGGCTTCACGGCGGGCATCCGCTGCAGCTCCTGGCAACGCCGCACGCGAGTCGACGCGGCGGCAGTGCCGAGAAGGCCGCGGCTGTGCTAGGCGCCACCGAGGAGCGCAGGGGCTTTGCTGCTCGCTACGAGGAGCTGTCCTCCGATGAGAACCAGGGCACCGTCCTGTCGCAAACGTGGTGGTTTTACATGCTCGCGCATCTGCGGGCGGCGCTGACGCAGGAGCTGACGTCCTACTTCATCGGCACAATTTACCTCTACTACTGGGTGGACTTGGACGGGAGCAGCAGGTGCGACTCGCTCGTGTGGTGGCTCGCCGCGTACCCCGTGTTAGAGACCGGGGTCCCGGTGGTTACCTCCCTGCTGGTCGTCGCTATTTTGGCAGGCTGGTTCTGGTTTGCCTACCTCTGGATTGTGCTGCTTGATTGGCCCGCCAGCAACCGCCTGCTCGCAATTCTGGAGTTCGGGATGGTGGCCGACAACGCAAACCAGACCAAGGTGGAGCCGGAGGTGCTGGAGAAAATTCCCGTGGTGCAGTACCAGGACCTACTGAAGACCTTTCCCGCCGACATGCAGGAGAATCTGCGGAAGCTACGCGAGTGCAACTTCGACCCCAGCAAGCTCGCAAGCGGGTCTGACGCAAACGAGCTCGCGGGGCTCGAACGCATGTCTGCGGCGCAGTGTTCCATTTGCTACACCGAGTTCGACGAGGACGACCTGGTGATCCAGAGTCCCTGCTTCCAGTACCACGTCTTTCACCCGGAGTGCATCACCGACTGGTGGAAACGCTCGCGACTGTGCCCCCTCTGTCGCACCGATATCCCGGAAAAAATCACTGGGCGCCCCTGGAAACCCGTGCACCGCTGGCGCAGGTTTCGGCTGAGCGACATAGACGAAGAGGATCCGAACGCAAATGGCAATGCAGCAGGACCCGCTGCGGTGTGAGCAGGAGTAGCTTGCAAGTGGCACTTCTAGTGGTGTCCTCCCTCTTGCTCTTCATCTGCTTCTGTTGAAGCCTCGTCCTATTCCATTGTCTCACTGCGTCGATAGGGGCAAGAGCCTAGAAGACGAAGACGTTAGTTGTAGAAAGATTGATAGCTTCAGCTCCACCTATATGGTACTTTTCAAGTGTCGGTAACTACAATGAACTTAGGGATCATCCTTCAGTAGCGGGGTTCGTTGTAGCGGATGATGACATTCCTGAAATTTAACTTTACTCTCAACGTATTTCCGAGCTCTTTGATGTCTACTTTTCTGAATGCTTGTTGATAGTGTAACTGTAAAATCAATGAATGGAAGCCCTTGCGCACCAAGCACGTACTGGAACGGGACAAAAAACTCATTTCCGTTTTCAATTTCAAAAAAGATCACTCGAAGGAATGAGAATACGTGCTGTCGCTGTGATATGGTTTACCTGTACGGAAACAAGGAAAGTGCAAACCCGCTCTCTCTACTTCATTGTCATTGAAGCCATTTCAGGAACCTGTGTTTGCCTTTCGGGCTATGTATTGCGATCAGAACGAAGAAATCCCAGTCACGCAGCTTCCTGCAATCTGCTACATGACTTTGCCCCTATTTCTTCCTGACTTGAGCCTGGTGCTGCACATGATTGATTCAGCCGCGCAATTGGCGACCTCATGGTCGGGTCAATTCTGCTTTGTCGTCTGAGTGGTTCTCGTTTTTGGGTCGACCTGTTTACTCGCTTTACTGCTTCGTTATTGCTTCAAGCTTATCTATTCCTACCCTGGTGTTGGCAAAATGCGGAAGCTACCGCGTTGCATCTCCAGCCTTTGCCCGTCGGCAGGTTTGAAACTGCCTGCAAGGATGATCGCCGTCGTTTGACGGCTTCTTCTTTGCGTCGCGAGCTGCTAGGAACAAGAAGCCCAGGTACTACAGGCGAGGACCAGTTTTCAGGTGAGGCTGCATCCTTGTGGTCGTTCATCGTCAGACTGGACCGCAATTTCGCATCCGCAACCCGGGCCTACCGACCATTAGGACGCCCTGTGTTTAACAAGGAGTCCCTCACGTTTACACCTGGCGTTCTTCCTCCCTGTAGTCACCATCGGGCGTTAAGCGATTCTGCAAAACTCGGATTCGGCTCAACGGGGGAGCTGCAGGTGGATGGAGAGGACGAGAGCCAGAGTTCCGGCGCGAATGTCGCGCCGGGAGATCGTGGAGGACTTCTGCGCCGGTATTTATGGATTCATGAAGATGAGCATGTTGCCGAAGAAGACGGCGCTTCGGCTACGGAGGAAAGCAAGAATCAGCCACATAAAGAACATGCTGCGCTGCAGATCGCTGACGGTGCGGAAGTTTTTATTCGCTCCATCACCCAGGCTGAGTTTTTACAAGAGGCAGACCAAAAAGCGGTACAGGATGTTGACGGGGCCGCTGAGGAACGTGACGAAAAGAACAGATGGTCCATTCGCACAGTGCGATTTGACTGCGTTGTGGTGCAAGTCAAAGCCCGCCCCGGTGGTGAAACACAAGAGGACCGCCCAAGGTCCATCCCGATCATTCTGCAGCTGGCCTCTGCGCTGGCAGACCGCGTCATAGTTGTTTTGAACCAAGCTGCAGATAAGACTCGGCCCACAACTGTTGCAGATGAAGCTTCTGAACCAGCTGCAACAGATCCACGACCCTCTGCAACAACTCATCTCAACATCAAGCGCCGCAACACAGCTTGGATACGAAATGAAGTGCTGAAGCTGAATCCGTCGAACGCCACAGCGTGCACACTGGATGAACAACAGAATGAGGGACAGCTTTCTGGTGTTACGTTCTTTGCCATGTCTCACGTGTCGGCGCTATCGCAGTGGGAGCGCACCACGGGCTGTCGCGCAGCGCCCTTCCGCCTGCCGAAGCTAGGTACCGCCCACGCCGTTGTGCCAGACGGGTGCGAGGCTATCGCTTCAAAAGCTGTTGCTGCCACACAACAAGATCATCTTGGAGATGATGAAACCGCTCCACCTCTCGTGACTGCGGAAGTACTGAATGCGCAGCAAACGCCCTACACTTTCATCCCAGACCGTTACGTGTTCGCTGATTTGCGCGACTGGATTCTGTTGCAGCGGCTCAAGAACGCGGAGTATCGCTACGGACAGTGCGTGGACTTGCACGTTGGTGACACTGTGGGGACGAAGGTAACGGATGATGACCAGAACATGTTCGGAGGGGACCGGATGGCGGGCCACGGGCTGATATGCACGTCGCATCATTTTGCGCCGCACTACGTCCGGCATTTGAAACATTTGTTCTTTTCGAAGAAAATTGAACAAGAAGATGAAAGTGTGGCTGCATCTTCACAGAATTCTCCGTCCTCCTGGTTTACGGTTTTGGAGATAGGAATCCTTCAGGGAACTGGGCTCGCGATGTGGCACGATTTCTTCCAAGGAAAAGCCAGCTTACTCGGCTTCGACATTAACTTGCACCCGTTTTTAAGGAACCTGGAAACGCTGTGGCTGCGCGACGGCGCCTTCTCGATGCGATCGGCGCGATCGGACGACAGAGGCCTCGTCGGGGGTCGTGCTACCCCGTGGATTCTTACAGGGACCTCGATCGAACCCGGTGGTAGAGACATTTTTAATCTCACTCTCGTTCCCCGGAGGTCGCGGGACAGCGTGCTTCTGCGCCAGTGCGACAAAGCCGAGGGCAGCACTTTGGGTCTCTACGAGAACATCGACAAGGTCTTCCGACCAAGGGTACTGCAACAGAAGATGAGACAACGTGTTAAAAACACCAGCAGCTCAGCTGGCGCTCCTAATGGAGAAACCGAAACGGAAAGCGTAAGCGACTTGTACTTGAGTGCGAGTATCGAGTCGGTGGATGGCAAGGAACTGTTCGCGCCGCCCGGCTGGCCCATCCCGGAGGTTCTAGACGTGCACTTGCACCAGCGTGACCACGTTGCCCAAAACGTGGAATTTGTGGATAGTACCTGGAGGAAGCCGCCACGTAGCAGACTGTACCCAGCACCCGATCTACTACTTCCGGAAGATAGTTCTAGTAGCCACGTTGGTGATGAGAATGAACCTGCGCCCGTTGCAGTGCACTTTCTGCACCAAGAGCTTGCGTCCTCGACAATCTTGGATTTGATCTTGAGCCCGCGTCCCGAATACGACTTCAAGATTCCCATAGAGGTGGAAGACAGACTCCGGCACGGTGTCGCCCACTATCAGAATGCTCTAGCAAAAGAAAAGAAGGAGACCACCGATGAGAAGCCGACATCCTTGGACAGAGAGAAGCTTTCGAACCTTATTCTTCCGCTGCGCGCCGCCCTCGCGGACCAGGTACATGAAGATCTGCGCAGGAATATTGTCCCGGATCAACATCCACAAGCGCAAGAAGCCTCGGAAGTCTTGGTACAGTCCGCAAAAACGCGCACCGATCGCAACATCAAGGTTGTGATCGATGATGCATCGCACCTTGATTACCTGGTCTGGCGGAGTTTCGTGATGGTGGAATATTACCTACGAGGCGACGACTGGGTGTACGTGGTGGAAGACTGCTTATGCACGAATTTTCTCACGTCATTACGAAAGCAGTATCCTCACCTCTGGATCTATCCCACGAAAAAAGTGTTACAGTTACACATTTGTTGTCAACCCAGCAACACAAATTTCTCTGCCTGAGAGAGAAAACTTGCATTGCAGAAATCCTACGGGAAAACACGTATGAAATAAGGTTTGAAAGCATTTCGTGCATGACAGAGGTTGCCTCTCATGCGTGTTCTGCAACACAATGTGTAACTGTAACACTTTTTTCTTGCGATAGGATCTACCAGTACACAGATGGCGCTCGATCCGCGATTCTTTTCATTCGCCCCTCACAGGCGGAGTGAAGAACCAACTGCGAAGATGTTGGTGGAAATTCTTCTTCCATGATCTGCTAGCTACACTACACGCGAAAAATCACCACGAAAAGCTCCCTCACTGCGATTGAAACGTATTCTGCTCGGCGCGCGTTCGTACGACACGGTCACGGACCATTTCTTTGAGCTATTTTTGTTCATCTTCTACAATCTTCTTGTCTTTGTTTCCAACGCACTCAGAAATTATCTGATTCTGAGCACAAAATATGAACAAATCGCGTAAGCACTATTCACTTATTCACTTATACAATTTTTCGCAGGGCTATGTTACTTCACACTGATGTCGGTACGGAAAAACAAAGATGTGGTCTTCCTTTGTCGAACGCCGAATGAGCAACAGAACCGTGACTGCTGATAGTTGAAACACCAACATGTTTGATGCGCCGCCGTCACGATGCGGAACCGGGAACAAATCCCACGGACGCACCTCCATGCGTTATCCGTCGAGAAGAGGCAGTCATGCCAGCGTTGGAACAACGGTTATTCAGGTGCTTCTGCCCGCGGTTCTGTTGTTTTGCGCAAGAGCTGTTGGGGTTGGACTTGCCCTTGCACGAAGCGGCATGATTTTCGATCATGCGCGGTCATTCGTCTCCGATCCGGAAGAACCTGCGTCCGCGAAAACCACGGAGAGCAGTTCGAGCAACAATTTTTGGGACCAAGCCATACATGAGCATGCCGACCTGGATGCAAGCGAAGGCGCAGGAGCGGGGGACCCGCTCCTATCACCCAGAAGCCCAGGAGCCTCCAGTGGGTCGACGGTGCCGCGACTTCCCACAATTTTCAGCGGGCAAGAACTTGCATCCATCTTTGGTGCTGCGCAGCAGCAGGACTTCCGACAGCGCCGCTACCGACTCCCCGGGGAAGACTCTTCTAGTGGGGAATCCACGACCTCTGAGACGGAAGCGGCAGCAGTCGCCAAGAGGCGTCCTAGACAACCACGTGCGATCGTGTCAGGCGGATCTTCGAGCGAACAGGACGATGAGGAACAAGTCTCTTACGGTGCGCCGCGCTCCCGCTCGACCTCGTGGCCACTTTCGGCGCTGGAGAGTCAGCACGCCTTCGGTGGCGGGGCGACGGCGAGCGGTCAGGCGGTAGTGGGCGCTCTTGGAGTAAAAACCGATCATGTCACTCCGCACCGCGGAAGGGAAGAGTTTTCTAGTACTGCCGTAGCTGCGTGTGAAGAAGACGATAGCTTGCTGATGCCAGGGCTCGTGCGCTGGAGTCGGCAATCCTCTTCGGAGCCGACCAGTCCGCGCGCGGTCGCCGCGATTGCAGGCACGGAGCACGATCTGTGGAGCACGGCCGCGCACTGGTCAATTGCCAAATGGCTACTGAAGCGTCACGGGCGGTTGGCCTACTTCATCTGCGGCGGAGGGATTCCACTTTCGGAGCCCGCGAGCCCCCGTTCACCGCGGCGCAATTCCCGGTCGAGAAGCGGCGGATCAGGGGGAGAGCGGGAGCACTCGTATCTCGGAGCGGGCACAGGGCTCTTTGACGACTGCGACGGTAGTTCTTACGTAGGACAGCACGGCACTTCTTCCACTCTGGGAGGTGCTGGTGGAGCATCAGCATCTTCGTCCAGTAGCTCGACATCCATGATGCCTCAAGTTACGTCTTGGGAACATGAGCCAGCAGCGGTGCGGGAGGGGAAGAGCAATACTGCGAATAAAATGTCACTTGTAGCCACGCCTCCTGCTACGGCTCGACCGCGGACGCCCAATCTTTTACAGAGCAGCCTCCACGGGTCTTTATCTTTGGGTGACGTCAATACTGCCGCGCCGGACGGAGGTAATGTCGGAACAGGGTCCTCTAGTACAACTTCCGCATCAGCGAGTAGAGCTAAAAGCGCATCAAAATCGAAACGATCCGATAGTTCTTCCAGATCCAAGAACAAGTCAACGGGTCGTCGGGGACCAGCAGTCACTCCACGAAGTAGCGGAGAGTCTAGTAGTTCTTCGCAACGTCATCGACACAGCGCTAGCGGAAATGAACCTCGCACGGCAACGCTATCGTGGGGCGGTCCGCCGCCGAGCCTGCCTCCCTCGCCGGCGGCGGTCTCGCCGAGTGGCAGTGATTCTGAAGAGTTGGTGGATTCGGCCACGTTTCACAATTTGGCACACCTGTCCCCCTCGGGCTTTCGCAACTCCATGGCAATGCTGTATCCACATCGCATCTCTCCTCTACACCACTTGCTGAATGAGTGTGCGGAGGACCGCGTCGAGCCGCACAACTCACCTAGCGATCATGCGGTTTCGCCACATGCCGCAACGGTTCTGAGAGCCGCGGCGAACTTCATGCCCTCGTCGCCCACAGACAGAGAACTAAATTTTCTGACCAGCGCTGCTGCGCAGGGGTACTGTGATAGAGCTCGCACCTCCGTCGACGATGTTACAGGACGACTTGCAGACACGGTAGATGATAGTACACAAGAACTGCGTGCAGACCAAGGACGAAGAGATGAAACGGTGCCGGGAATCAGTTCTCAGCAACCCTCTGACCTTGATGCACGACGAGACGCACAAGTAAGGGAAGATACCGGGTGCACGCGATCCCACCAAGAATCAAATCGTCTTGAGCCAGCAGGTACTTCTGCAACTGAAGATTTGCGAGTCTCAGCTGCGTCCCTCGCCGAGCTGAGCGAAAGATTTGAAAGTATGTTGCTTTGCCACAACAAGCCCGCGCTTTTCCGAAAGGGTGTGACAACTACACACCACGCTCTGGCTAGTTGCAGTCTGGCGCACCGGGGACGAGCGCTTGAGATGCTGTGGCGATCGCGTCTGATCAGTACCCTTCTGAAGCGGCGTCACGAACAGGAACGCGAGCGGCGCAGGCGCAAAAGACGAGGAGCTGTCGCTCGTTATCCACCCGCGATCAAGGAGGACCAAAATGAAGACCAAAGCCAGGAACAAGCGCCAGGCGACGCTGCGCCGGGTGATTTTCTGGATTACGTCACCGGGGCATCTCTGAATGATTCCTCGCTCCTGGGTTCCTGGTGTCGTTCCGTTTCGGACCCCACGGAGGAGGAGAGACTGCACATTCTGAAAGCCGTTCACACCCTTTCGCTGCAGGAACGTCGCAAAGGAAAAAGCGGAAGTAAGAAGGAGAACAAGGGAATAAAGCACTACAACAGCGGCCCCGCTAGTGAGGAAAGTAGCGCCCTCGTTCGTGCCAACGTCGTGCGGCCAGACGCAGCTGCTCGTCCTGGTACGGTTCCCGACAATAACACGACTGAAATGCTTAGAATAGTATGCCAGAAAAATAACGCTCTCTCGAGCATGCCAGATGAAAGAGCGCAACGGCAAATCAGCACCGAGGATGAGGACGAGGAACTGGGGCTTTACGATCACAACGGCGAGGATTTTCGCAGAGCGGTATCGGCACCGTGCCCCGCTCCAACCCACGATCCGATTCTTTTCGACCTTGACGCGCTGGAAGAACGGGCCGAAAGTGAGGGCGGAATGCTGCCTTCGTCCTCCGGGGATGAGGCGGATGTAGAATCGGTCGTGCATGCATCCTCTCTCCTCGCCAAAACGCGCTCGTCCACCCTTACTGAGAGCAACGTTGAGAGCCACATGAAAAATCAAGGCGCGCAGGCACAAAACCAGCGTCCAGCAGGGCAGCCAAGGAGAGCGTTTCCGCCGCAGGCACTGCCCTTGCTTGTCCGGGAACATCAACCGGAGGCTTCACGACTGCAAAGCATGGAAGAGGGAGACAGGTCCTCACTTGCAGTCCATCAAGGATTTCATCTTCGGCCAAGCTCCGCGCCCCAAAATCGGAAAAATACTGCAGAAATTACGACCGTTGAATTAAAAACAAGACGCGATGAAGAGGACCAGCATGATGTAGAAGATTGTGCGAAGCAAGAAAGACCCTCGACGTGTGGAGGTGCCAACTCCTGGCCTCGGAGTGTCTTCGACTCGCGATTTCCTGCACCTCTCGCAAGCTCGAAGCAGCACTTGCGTAGTTGTGCAGATGATTCGCGGGGCCGAGAAAACGCTCCACATGGAGGAAGAGAAGACGTCCCCCGCCTGAATGGCTTTTGCAGTACGTCTTCCAGTCGCGGTACATCTTCTTCCAGTCGCCGTCCGCGCTCCGCTGGAGCAAGAACGACAACTCCCACGATTACAAGCTGGCCGCGGTACTGCAATCCGAGTGCTCCTGCCACCACCTCGTCGCCATACGCTTTGTCTCCATTCCAGGCTCCTTCGCAAGAAGTCCCCTCGAGCAACCATCCCGCGCAAACTGCTCCTCCGCGAGAGGAAGTGACTGTGCCGCTCCTCCGTACGACCTCCTCCACAACGACGACTTCGAGTACCTCAATCAGAGATCGACCTCTACAAACGACCTCTGACATGGAGCCCGAGGTGCTTTCGATGGACGATCCGTTCTTGCGGACTCCGACCTTCTCTGGCCCTCTGCTGACTGAGGACGCGGACATCAAGGACCACGCAGTAGAGCACCAGGTAGTTGGCGTTGAGAACATCTGTGCCCGGCAAACTCGAGCAGCACTGGAAGGTGGTGCGGCGCTGCCTTCAGGAGACAACACTGCGGGGATTCTTGAGGACTTGTCTTTGATTCGCCATCTCGTGGAGCAGAACGACCCAGGGGCCGCCGCTGACCTGGCGGAGCTCGAGGAACAGATGGTCTTCGACGAAATGGATTCCTTTGTCAGGCAAATTTCCGAGTCCCTCTGTAGCGACGCAAGCCGGAAGGAACCGGATGTGGTTTTTGTGCAACACCCGTTGGGGCTCGGTAGGGAGACGAGGACCAGCGTAATTGCAGACACAAGTGCAGCCACGATTTCCGAAACCGAGCGTCAAGACCGTCGAACTTCTCCCGAGTATGCAGCAACAGGTTCTTCCTTGAGCGTTTCGCTGGGGATTATGGACTCCACGGACAGCCTGCGGAGCCAGGCAAGTGAGGGTTCCGTGAGGCGGACATTGCATCGCGGAAAGGTTATCTCCGGCACCGTCAAAGTTAGGAGTACTGACCAGTCACCAGTTGTTGCACCTCCACCTGCTCCACCGATCACTTCTGGAGGTACTTCGGGCTCAACAACAAATCCGGAGGAGCATAGTACCATGCCAGTTTCCGCTGTTCCGACGAAGACCCAGCTGCAAAACTCGTTGATGCTGGGGGTAAAGAGAAAGGCCGGGGCCTCTTCAGCGCCAACCGCGTTTTACTTTACACTCATGAATCACTTCTATCAGGAGGCCAGACACCACGAGAACGCTCCTACTTCACGTCCTGCGTCAACCGAAGCACTCGGACTGCGCCAGGGGAGGCTAGTTCTTTCCATCCTGTACTTTCCCGAAGCCGTCCAATCTGGCATGATGCTCTGGGCCATTCTGGAGCGCATAGGCCCGCGAGACTCCGACTTCGATTTTCCAGGTGAGCGCTCCAATTTTGCAGAAGGGATAACGACAAGACGGACGCTGTTGCAAGCGGGAGACGGCGAGGGAAGTGACTCGCAGTCGCACTGCAACTCGAAGATGCAACTGACAGTCACGGGGGACTTATCGCGAGTAGACCCTGGTGGTGTCCCAGGAGCTGCAGCTGCTTCTAGAAGCGCTACCGGCGCCCTGGATAGGCGGGTGTCACAGTTCATGTTGGACTTTGGCCGGAACACGATTGAGGTGGTCTCTGGCGACTCGGAAGCCACTGCACTCGCGGCATTCGTGTTGAAGGTCTTCAAGGGCAGCGCTTTCGGCCCGGTGCAGTAAGTAGGAAGATGTACAACCTTTCAGTAGGCCGCTGACAGCGTACCTAACCCTGCTGTATGTTTTCCAGCGCTGAAGCTTCCTCGCTGGCGGTGAATTCTTTCTTGCTGCAGCAGCAAGGCCTTCTGAGCGGGACCACTACATTTTCCCAGCAACGCAAGAGTGTCGACCTCTTAATGCAAATTCTATTTCTACTTCCCCCCCATCTAACACTGCATGTGCATATTTTTTTCAGCGTGAAATAAGAGTGCAGAGTTCGTGGCCTCTCTTCGGGTCGAGCACTTGCACTGTATTAAACGCTCCCCGCCTTTTCATTTTTGTACCACCAGTTCCACAACTTGGTTCTTCTGAACACGTCTATTCGTTTTCGTTTCCGACTGCACTTCGACTTTCCGCCCACACATTTCGAGAATACAGGAATTCGTCATTGCCCCGATTGAAAGAACAGAAGGTCATGACGAGACTCAATTACTTTCAAATGAACCATTGCAACAGATAGAAAGCGCATTTTTGGCCGCTCAGCGCCTATTTCCATACGGAATGGGATTTGGACTTTTCTTTTGCTTACGTTGCCGCTTGTTGTGCTCTACTATGCTTTTTGACTTTGCCTCTGCGGCATCGTTTTGGCAGACGAGTTGCGCCAACGCAAAATCGGCCGCGTGACCTATTTCCGGTACACGTGCAGAAATCGCGAAATTGGAATGACAAAGTAAGTCGGAGTCGGTTTCATCCACCAGTCTTGTCCAAACAAAGATAACGATTGGCATTGGTGCGCATTCATCGGCTTTGGCTAGAAGAACAGTCACTCAACGCGCTACAATGATCGTCTTCTTGTCGTTCAATCTTATGTTTTGAATAAGTCCTTTGCTCGTAGAAGTCCGTTCTTCTCTTGTGGTAAAAGTCGTACAATTAAACGGCTCCCCTGCCTTCGTTCGCTCAATCGTGGTGGAGGTACTTAGCTCTTTATGCTTAGAAACGTCGCGAAGAAACCTCGACCTAGTAAGTATGTTAACTTTTTCAAGGTGTAGATGAGTTACCGAAAGTGTTTCTGTTTCAACTTTTGGTTTTGTACCAGCAGGAGAGGCACTGGCACCGTACCCGTAGACTTCTACGATCCTACATTTTGTGTCACCATGCGGCCGTGGTACCCGTATATGTAGGACTCATTCTACTTTCACTTTTTCTTTTCGCGACCCTGAAGTTCTCTACATCCACCTCACGTCACTATCATTTCAAATGTTTAACAAGGCCACAAGCAGACGGTCATATGGAAACCCACGAGCCTGTACCTGCTGCTTCACCCCCCATGTCCAGACTACCTACAGTTGATGAAAGATCATGCCTTTGGAAGCAGCTATCGGCAGAGCCTTTGGCCTTCGTCGCCGATGATTTTCTGACACCTTTGGAGTGTGACCACGTAATCAACCAGGAAGCGCGGTTTGACTGTAAAAGCCTCGCGGGGAACACTGCGAAGCTGCGAACCGACCTTTCCACAGAGGACCCGACGGGATTGTTGAACCGGCTGGACCAGTGCCTCGCTAGATTGTTATTCGAGGAAACGAAGTCCTCGGTACAAGAAGATGACGCGGGAACAAGCGGAAACCGCAGCGCTCTGGCGCTGTTGCGCGAAGCGTTTCCGCAACATGACGTCTGGCAGTGCCACGTGACACCCGCAAGTTCAGGAAGTCCTGCCAGAAGTTCAACGGTTGAAGACGATGCTCACAAGATGAGTTTGGGCTTGCACATCGATCTGAATAATCGCTTCTACCGTTATGTTACAGTTCTCGTGTACCTATCGGACGATTTCGTGGGCGGCGAAACCGTGTTTCCGGGTGCGCTGCCTCTCACTAGCGCCGTCAACAAAAGTAGGACAGCGTCGCCGACGAGCCGGAGTGTCGTGGACAAGAACTGCAAGAGCTCAAATCCAAAGGGAGATCCTCTTCATCTGAAGCACCGGTTGCCATCTTTGACTAGGAGCCAGAGCGACCTGATCCGGCGAACACAGGGCCACGTGACGACACGAACGCGAACGCTGTTGTCAACTTCGCCTACTCTCGACTCCTCGTTGCGGTTGTTGACTGAGCGAAATGCGTGCCACACGGGAAATGCCAGTCGCGGCGATTGCCCGGACCTGAGGGCCGCAGCCTTCGACGTTGAAAGCGAGGCCGTGCGTTTGCTGAAAGAAACAAGGGCGATGTCTCCATCTCGCTCGGAGCACGGCTCTGATGAGAAGGACGCTGGTGTCGTGTCCACAGGAGCACGTAGAGCGTCACCGGATCTACTATTCCGCACGAGAAATTCGGGCGGTTTCGCTGTCGAGCCAAAGAAAGGTCGGTGCTTGATCTTTTTTTCGAGGCTGGCGTCTTCGTCTCGAAGCACACAAAACGACGGGTGCCGTGCGAACGCAACGAATGACATCCCAGATCCCGATCACCGAAGCTGGCACGGTGGTGCTGACGTGTTTGCGCGAGAGACGGGAGGTTTGCCTCTGAGTGGCGTGGCGTGTGCAGAAGATGAACAAGTGAACCGGTCAATATCCAGAGCCAGAAGCAGTTCCCCACTAGCTCGGCAGTCTGGGCCTGTAATATCTCCGGGTGCGAAATGGACGCTTCAAAAATTTGTCGAGTTTCCGTATCAAGTGATAGCGAAAAGCGCAGCGCTTGACGTAAGTTTTACCGATTACGTTGCCAGTCGTCGTCACGCCATCACCAAAGGGATCGGAAAGCAACGTGCTAGGATGACCCTAAGTCCAACAAGTGCTACTGCTATTGCGTAACTACTAGTAAAAATCCTGAACGAAGAGAAAGGCGTTTAACTCCACTGCAAAGGGAATCCCGTATCGAGCCCGTGCATTACGATTTGGTGTTCCTTTGTGTGAACCTTCCCCAGAGGGTTTCTCGTGTTTTTTCAGTTGTGCTTGTCTGTGTGTGTGTGTGTGGCACACCCGCTGGACAGTGCTCAAAGAGAGAAAAGATCTATCAAGTTCTTGGTTGCTAGAAATACATGAGCGAAAAGTTAGCATCGAAGAGAAGGAAAACCCAAGATGCAGTGCAACCGGCAGCGCTCAATTTGATCAGTATCGATGTTGACATGGGTTTGTTTATCAGACATGATAGAGCAATGCTCTCGCCCTGGTACCTGTAGTTGCCTCACTTCTTTGTATTGGCACTAACAAACAGAAACAGAGGGAGACGGGTACTAAGATGGGGTGCTGTGTCACGAAGCCCACTTCTGCTGCCAAAAATGGCACAAAAGCGGCAGGCACATCCGCGGTTGCTGAGGATGCGAAATTGGCTGAAGTCAGCGAAGACACCGCGCGCGCACCCGACGTCGACCGCAAGCGAGAGGAGGCCGAGGAGGTAAGAGCAAAACAGCGCGAAGAGAGCAGGTCGCCCAAGAAACCAGAGAAAGCTAAACATGATAGTCGAGGACACACAGGACACAAAGAGACGAGACAGGAACAACACCAGAAAGAGAAAGAGACGAAGATATTAGAGCAGCAGCATGAAAGCACCGGGCACAAACACAAAGCTTCCTCGTCATCGTCGTCACACGCGAAAGGTGGACGAGACGAGAGCGAGCTGGAGGACGAGGGCTACCCCTCGGAGCATGATGGCCACAAAAAAAAGGCGCGGAAAAAGCAAAAAGATACAGCACGGCGAAAAGACGAAGAAGTGACCGAGACTACGATAGAGGAGCCAACATCTCTTCGCAACCCCAAAATCGACGTCGCTGCTGCACCAGATAAAAAAAGCTCGAGCGCAAGCAAAGGGAAGGATCCAGAGCTTTCTTCTAGTGGTGCGAATAAAGAAAGAGACGATGAGGGAATATTCACGGGAGAGCAAGCGGCCGTAGTTGAGCCACATCAACCAGGTGGTCGAGAGTCGAAGTCGTCCTACGAAGGAGATTTGCACTACGATCACGAAGAGTTGCTGCACGAGAGTGAACTGGACAAGAGTACCAAAAACAATGCAGTTGTCCACGTTGATGAGGTTGTGTTGGACCATGTTGACTACGAAGAGCATCCTGCTGCGCAACCCGACCACTACGACGAAGACCTCCAGCATTCATTTCTTGCGAAAGTGCAGGTTGCCGAGGACCCGCCGACTTCCGACGAGAACGACTTTCTGGCACTCCGCTACATTCCGAAGAACATCCTCCAGATTTATGACAAGGAGATTTGTGGAAGCCTGCTGGAAATGTTTCACGAGATCGTGGCCTCAAACACGTCGGATCATCATGATGAAGGTGTCCAGCATGCGGGTCGAAGCAAAACGTCGGTACCTTCGAAGAAGATGAGCATGTTTCTAGAAACACCCGCCAAGCTTTGTGACTTTCTGTCCGAGATTGACTACGGCATTTACCTGAACGAGGAGGGCGACGACGAGGAGAACAGCGGTCCTCAGCAGGAAGTGACAATCACGGAAGGTCTCTGTGCAGAGTACATGTCGGCCGACGTAGATCACCCGTACGATCAAGCGGTAGCGGCATATTCGCTTCCCCCAGATGAACCAGAAGACGCGACAGTAGTGGGGACGAGGTCTTCTGAAGTAGAAACGGTGAACAAGAAAAATCAGCATGCGCCGGTGGTAGAAGTAGTCCCCAGCATACTTCCCGATGATCTGGTGCCTGCCGTTCATGTTCCCGTGCCATTGCCAAAGCCGAAATCTTCTGAAAGCTCGGCGACTTCGAGTCAAGAAGACGGCGCGGCTGCTAGTACTTCCCGGAAAAACAAGCCACAGATTCCCGCCATTTTCTACTCGGACGCAACAAATACCGGAAGCGGAACCGTTTTGGGTAGAAGTAACAAGGTGAAGGCACAACAACATCGCAGAATACACTTTTTCGAGGCACTGTCGCTTGTGTGCAGAATCCAAGAGCTGGGACGCTTCCCGGAACACGCACAAGAAGCGAAGGAGTTTTTGGTCAATCCAAAATACATAGACGCCATCACCAACGCGTCGGACGGAACGATGCAGAAAAGTTTGCTCTTCAAGTCGAAAGCTTTCACCGCCGAGTTGCAAAAAGACGCGACTTTTTCAGATCACACTGCGTTGCTTATGGAACGACGCCGGGCAGAACGTGAGAACAAGCTGGGAGAGAAGCAAAAGAAGAAAAAGGTGAGCCTTTCCTCTGGACATGCGAAGCACGGTGGAAAAAAGCGTCGAGCCGACGAGGTCCTTCAACTTTTTTTGAGGTGCCACAATCGTAGCGTGCTATTTGCTTACAATGAACTGTAAAACAAGTGAATTTCGTTGATGCTTCCGTCGACGTCACAGTTTAAATACTGTTTTTTTCAGGTGGACGGCGACGAGAACTCTGACGCCGATCTACCCGTGCCTGGGCCGCAGGGAAAATCGGCTTCGTCGAATGAAGAAGAGGAACAAGTGTTGACGGGGTTTCGCCTGCAGTCTTCGATTCCGCCACTTTTAGACGAGGAGGCCTTCAACTTGAGCGCGGCGGTTGCTTTCCCTGCCTTACCCGATGGGCAGTCAGGATACTTGAAAGAGCTTTCTTCAGGGGAAGAGAGCAGATTTAGCAAGAAGGACGTCGAGGTGGAGAGAAATAGACCGCCCACAGCGGGAGCAAATAAAGATAGTGTGGCTCCTTCTGTTCTTGCAGAGGCAAAAGAGGACGATCATGTCGGCAGCAAGCTACCGGTAGAAGAAGGCATACCGGAGGACGAGTCAGGGACCACCATGAAAGAGGACAACTACCCGGAGGACCTACCGCTGCAGAGCGGAATGAACGTCGCGGAGGAGCTCGGGTTGTTCTCACCAATCCAGGCCACGGAGGAGGACGTGGCGCTGGCACTTGCTGCGGAAAGCAAGAAGAGGACCGACGAGGAGAGCAGCAAGAAAAGTCGTCGGTCTTCGGGCGCTGTCAAGTTGCCCAGGCGCGCGAGTACTACTCCCTCAAGTTCCAGCAAAACGAGTTCGTCCGCCTCGAAGAAAAGTGCTAGCTCACCGGGCGGACAGAAAGAACGCGACAACAAACCTGTCGAGGATGTTGCAGCTACGGCCGCGCACAAGGCACCGGCAAGGATTGTGGAACAAGTCGAGGACGAGAGCGATCAGGATAGTCAACAAGGAACAAATATCTTGCTCGCGAAACTTACCGCCGCTGCCCGTAAGCAAGAAGTGCCGATTGAGAGCGACCTGGATACGTCAGATGTAAACCTGCTGCCGAACTACTCAATCGCAGAGGCGGTGGCAGACCAGCGGCAGGAGGCGTCTGAAGCAATAGTGTCCGAGTTGCTTCGGGACCAAGCAGTGGCGTTTGGCGATCGGAAGCAGCTGGAGCACGAGAAGACGGTGGTCGGGAAAATGGAAACCATTGCTCGTTTCCTCGTTGCGGCACAGAAAGATCTGGCAGATTGTGGAAAGGCGATCCGGGCCAGTAGTACAAACAAGCACAGAAGTTCCAGTAGTCGCTCCAGGACGTGGTCTACAGCCGCAACGCTCGAAGTCTTGAACGAAAGCTGTGAGGCGGTGCAGGGGAAAATGGACAGATGGCGATCGAGTATGAAAAGCAAAGTAGAAGAACCACATGAAAGTAGAGCCGGGAACGCATATTTTGATGCGCAATTGGTGCGTCTGGAGAAAATCTTCGCTTCTTCGGATAGCACAGAGCACCAGGGCACGCTTGTCGGCATTCTGCAAATGATACAAGTCGTCGAGGGTTCGAAGCAGCTTTGGAAGGATCTGCTGCAGGAATCGCTGTCGGGGCAAAAGTACTCCCAAGCACGAATCCTCGCGAGTTCCGAGAAAGCGAATGCTGTGATCGATTTGGAAGCCAAAAAACTGGTCGATGGGCTGCTGCAGCTTTACTGCGACCACACCAAGACGGTTCTGTCAACATCGGGCGCCGCAAGTGCGTTGTCTTCATCCGGGTCTACTCTGGTGCTGCCTGTAGGTGGTGGTGCGAAAAATGGGTTATTTTCGATGCGAAATTCCGTCTTGGATCTCAGCAGCGAACTGCAGGAAGTAGGTGAAGATCGCTCCAACACGGCGTCGCTCTTTGGCGGGAACAGCAAGTTTCTGGAGAACTTTGTTCAACAGTCTGGAGCATCAGGCTCAGCCGCAGCTACTGAACGAGGGAAAGAACAACAAGGAGTGACCGATGTGGTATCTCCGACCGGCAACAGCGCGAGACCAGCAGAAAATCTCGACAGCACCGCGCTCTTGTGTCTACAGAGCCCGCGACGGGCCAGCAAGAAGGACGCAATCCGGAGACGCGAGACGGCTCGGCTGCAGGCCAGATTGATTGCGGTAGAGCGACTTGCAGGGGTGTTTGATTGCGTCATTGAAGACATCAGTAAATTTGTTAAGGAAGGGGGAGGCTCGGATACCAGTACGAAGCAAAGGAAGAAGAAGAGCGCTGCAGGAACTACATCACCAGTCGACGAGTATGACCAAAGCTTTCTGCGCAGCGACTATCTCAGGTCGGAAAGCACACAAATCTGTGAGGACTTGCGCGCTTCCGCAGTGGACGTGTACCTGCGGCGGTCACGGCGCGCTTGGCACCGGTACGACCTTTTAAACGCCCCCGGGCGCCTGTCCACATCGAACTCACCGGCACCGCAAAGGCGACGCTCGAGAGCGAGTGTGATTGAGGAAGAAGATTCCCCGCAGCAGGTTCCTCGCATTCAGGAAACGAAGAAGGAGCCCGGGCCGCGAGAGCAAGTCTCACGACTGCACTCCGACCACGAGGCAGAACAGAGGTCTCCGAGTTACGCCCGCCACACGACCAGTCACTACATCAAGCGCACCACTGTAGTTCCATCTCCTGGCCGGAGTGCTGGAGGAAGCCGAATCGGCTCACCCGTGCCACCACTGGAACAAGCCACTGAACAAGACTCGGAGAAAGTAGAGAGGCCGTCTGCGGTAGTGCCGCCGATCAATTCGAAGACTCCCAAGGAGCTGGAGCTATCCTGGATTGCGGAAGAGCGAAGCTACGTCCAGTTTCTGTTGAACGATCTCGAGAGACAAATCGGCGACAGCGAACGCGCCAATGCGGCCTTGCAGTTCCGAACCTTTTTGTGGGCGCTGGTCCAGACTCTTTCATCTTCTCAAGCTTCAGAAATTACGAGTGGGACGGCCAAAACACCCATCTTTGCCGATGCGATCTCCAGTTTTTCCTCTTCCCGTTCGCCCTCTCCTCCGCGCAGGAAGATGGTGCCAGCGGTATTGAACATCGGAGGGGCGCAGTCGTCGACTGGAACCGCGAGAGCGTCCGCACGGGTGAAGCTACCCACACGGATGAGCAGAGCCAGCAGAGCGGCCGCTTCTACTGATGCGGAAGTTGTCCGCGTAGCGCTTGAGGCTTTGAAAGCCGCCGTGTTCCGCCCGTTGATCGTTCGGAGGCGGCGCATCTCCGGCGGCAGTGTCTCTATGGTTGGCGTGGTCTCTCCTCCGAAAACCAGAGTGGAATTATTCCGATTGATCCTGTTTGATTACGTGCCCCTTATCGTCGCTGCGCACAACGAGGACACGGGGTGTGACGCCTTCGCTGGCGCTACGCACTGTCTTGAGACCTTCGCGAGCGCCTTCGTCGTGTTTGACGAAAGCGTGGAGGAAAGCAAGACCCGTGTCCAGCAATACGCCGCGGCTGCGCGCCGGAGCCAGAACGAGCCAAAGGTGGGGTTTCGTCCGGGCGGGCGGTCCACCGTGAGCAGCCGCAGTGCGAACGCCGCTTTGCTGGGGCATTTCGAAGACCACCACGAGTCTCGCTCGGTGTATTTCGCGACGAAAACGGAGCGGCTCACCGAGAAAATGTCGAGGAAGTCCTGCCGTCTCCAGCCCGGCAGAAGGTCTAGCTACAAGTGGGCGGGCGGCGTTCTGTCTCCGCGGGAGGTGGGTGACGAGAGGACGAGCAAGGGCGGACTGTCGCTTTCTGCGGCGTTATCCGCGGACGAGTTCTCGATGTTGTCGCAAGAAAGCCCACCTGGAAGGGAGGACGTCGAGATCGAACCTCCAGCAGGAAATAAAGGGAAAAACGCCGTCAAAGAAGAAACAAACGCCTCCGTAGTGTCAGCACGAAGCAAAAAATTTTCCAGCACGCCAATTACATCTCGACTTCGCGCACAAGTGCCACAAGCGCCGGAACAAGGTGACAATTACCCGCGCTCGTCTAAAGGAAGCTCCTTAACGGAAGTGCTTCTAGATCGGTACCGTGATCGTCGAAAAGGCACATCAACACGAAGTGGTCCTACATCGCGATCGCAAGTTGGCGCTGGCCCTTCCGCCCCTGCTGCTGTTGCACGCGGAGCCGCGGATCGCGGGAACAAGCAAGCAACTCCAGGCAGCGGGAAGAAAAACGTTGCTGCCGTCGGTCGTGATCCCTTCGCAGGCGACGAGGAAGACCTTTCCTTTGCGTTCTTTACTCCTGGGCTGTTGGAGAACACCCCCGGAGAAGATCTTCCCGGAGGAGGAGCCGACGCAGCACAAGGTCGAGCGGCTACGGCACGACAACCGCACCAAGGTGCGTCCGCGTCGTCTTCTAGTCAGCCGCGCGGCTTCTTCGAAGCGGCTGTGTTGCGGAGAACGCATCTCGACCTGGTTAACCAGTCAGATTTGGAGGACGAGCCGGGACGAGACACATTCACGGGATCTTCAAGAAACAATCCAGTCGTTCTCGTCGCGGACACGACCGATCTGCAAGCGAATGATTCGTTTCTGTCCTTCGTGGACGCAAGTAGCCCGGCTGTCGCTGTTGCTCCTTCCCCCGAACACAACGCGGTGAATACTGTGACGACGCACAAAATAAGCAAGAAGCAGCTGCTCTTTTACACCCCAGAAATGATTTTCGACGAAGGGAGTCACCAGAGTTCCTCATCCGAGCAAGACCACACCGAGCACGATCATTTGCGCTCGTACGTTGCTGCATTCCCGAGCACGACATCAGAGGACGAACAGCTCAGCGGTGGTGCGCGCAATCCGAAGTCGTCGACCTCGTCGTCTTCGAGACGAGGTGGCAGTGCACAGGTGCAGCAAGTAGAAAAGGCAGATGCGCCGCAAATGGGCGAAACCTTTCCCATTTCGTCCGCGTCGGATGATCAAAGGAGTGAAGTGGCGCCAACAGTAGAACCGGTGCTGTTGGTAGGTGAAAGCTTCACGCAGGGCAAATCCAACAACATTGGCATTCTGCATTTACCAGATCCAGTGCCGCCCTCACTGCTAGACAACAGAGTTCGAAGATCTCCTGTTGTCAGCGACACCGCGCGACCACAAGAGTTTGGTCATACTGGTGTCGGCGCGAATCGTGCGAGAATCATCAGTCGGCATCCTGTGGTCTTGGTCGATTCAGCACCTAGTTCTGCTTCCGCCCGCCTACTGCCTCCGCCACGAGAAGTCGATGATGTGAAGGGGGAGGTGGACGAATTGAAGAAGCAGCCAGTGACTGTCAATACGCCAACTGGCCCTCGACATCGGGAGAAGCAGATCTGGACTGGCCGGGATCAGACCACTCGAGCGACGCTATCCGTGTTACCCAATATGGCCGCGAGGAGTAGACGTGGAAGTGTCGACGTCGAAGATCTAAATCCCCATCAGGACCTCCTACTGGAGCTTTACGAGAAGAATCAGATACGGTCCACTCAGGTACTCAGGCGGTATAGTACACAGCAGTTAGATTACGATAACTGTCAATATGAATATCCTCAATGTTAGTTAGTTTGTCACCCCGCTCCCGCCAGCTTGTATTCTTTCGTTTGTCCGATATTATGATTCATCTTGTCTTTATCGAACGCGAAGCTCAAAGTTTTACTACCAACAAACAAGGTCAAGGGCAAGCCTGTCGTACCGTTCGCTAGTAGCTCGCGGAGATTTTCCATGTCCAGCGAGATGAACGAGGGGCACCGCGGTAGTTCCCCGACCAAGAAGCGAGCCAGGGTGCAAAGGAGCGCAGCGTCGAACAAAAGCGTCGACAGTCGAAGTCCCAAAAAGAGTCGATACGCCTACCGCGGTGAACAACACCAGGCCGATCTGTCGGAGCAGCTCATGCTTTTGTCTCGATCTTCCCAGCACATGAACACAGGAGCATCTTTATCCATGACCCCTGGTAGCTCAAAGCCAAGCTTGAGGACCGCTCGGAGTGGTGGAAATAAAAAAGCTGGCGCCAATGGTGCCACAGCTGCGCGTACAAACCTGGGGAGAAGTCTACCTTCGCCGACGGATTCCAACAACACCTGGACAGCAGCTTCATCCACAACTCCGTTTTCCACCTCCACCTCTCCCTTCGGCGACCGGGCCCCGGAAGACGTTTTGCGCCAGAAGGTCGTTCGCGGCAAGGATTTCTTGGTCGCGCAAGGAACCGGGGGGGAAATATCCCGGACCGCTTCGGAGCTGAATTCTACCGGAGGTGGAGCAACAGCAAGCAGAAGTACCGGCACAGCAAACAAAAACCAGACGAGGTATGTAAAAAATGCAACGTCGCACTCCTACTACCCAAAACATCTGCAACATGAACGAAAGTTACAAAATTTCACGCGCTTCTAATGGCGTCTTCAGGTATCGATGTTAATAGATAATGTTATATGTTTTCGATCATCTGTAGCATTTTGATTTTCCGACGCCAGCACTAGAGCGTTTTCTTCTACCAGTAACTTCGCGTACGAGCACCAGCAAGATGAAATGAAAGAATCACACTGAATCACGATGACGCGCTCCTAATTGAAAAACTTTAAAACTTCCGATGAACAATAGTGAAAGCGAACGAGCAGCGCTGTCGCCTCGATCGATTTCTACTTAGATAACAAACTGTTTCGAATCGTTTCCAAAATTTTAAGCTCGTATGTATGAACAAGTTGAAAAATCTGACTTCGGCGTGACGACGACGCAACTCCCAGCAAATTCTGTACAATTAAAATGCACTTGTAAAATGATGCCGACTTCTATGTGGTCAAATAAAAAAAATATAGTGTAACCGTAAGTTTGCGATTTCGTGCGGTCAGCAAACTTTGCCGGGCGAACCGGTTTTCTTACAGCCTCAGGCGATCGGTAGCGTCTGTTCGTCTTCTACCTCTCACTCGTACTCGATTCTTTTTTAGAGCGACCACAGTGTGAGCTGAGAGCGCGTAAGTTCCTTCGTGTGACTCTGAGCCGAGCGTGAGCGTCCGTTTCGAGCGATGTGGATATTGCCTTCGCTCGTTACGAGTTATTGCTAGTAGCCCGTCAGAATCAGATTTGTCGCTGAATTTCCGCCTCGTTGGGTTGCACCGCTGCAGGTAGTTGCCTTCGTCAGATAAAGAGAATGATTTGGTGGATTTCCGCCGCGTTTGCAATTCCAATTGCAATAACAAAAACTGTTTTTCGTTTCTTTTCTAGCTGATGGTGATGGGCGGGCTTGTTTGACAAGGAAGATACAGGATCGATACCAGGTAGAATTGAAAACAAAAAAACGAGAACGCGCTCCCTCGCGTGGTCCGTGATCAAATAAAGCAGACCGGTACTAGCTGTTGAGTTCGGGTGGTTGGCCCGCTCGCAGCAATGTTGATACACAAAATAAGAAGAACCAAGGTTAAGAGCGAAGAAGTCGAACCGGCGTCGTGAGGCTTGTTCTGCATTTTTCGCAGGCACCACACGAATTCTTAGGGTCCACTAGCTAAGCCGCGATGCCGCCGCCGGCTGCTGGGATCGGGATGCTCGAGGGCGGCAATTCGCCTGCCGCCGTCTCGGTGTCGCCGCCGCTCTCGATGAAGAAGAAAGCCAAAATGACTCCCTCGGAGGTGATCGCGAAGCACCAGAACCGGGGTGCACAGCGCCAGTTCCCGCACGCAGAGGATCCAAGCAGCATCAAAATTGTGCAGTTTCTCAATATGGGCCTGTACACGCACCACGAGCAGAGCTCCGTGCCCGTGGGCGAGCCGCTGTTCCGGCCCAACCCGCCGATGATTGAGTTTTCCGATTACCGGGCCTTGCGTACGTACGAAACGCAGCTTTTTCTGCGCAACCAGGACGACGTGGCCCGCCGCTGCAAGGTGTTCCCGCCGGATTCCGGCTACTTCGAGGTGATCCCGTCCAAGAAGAACCGGGACAAGGTGGCGCCCGGCATGGAGATCTGCTACACCATACGATTTAAGCCCGATTCCCGCCAGGACTATTCCTACGACCTCACCGTCGTCACCGAGCGGGAAAAGTTTGTCGTGCCCATCCGAGCCCTCGGATTCCACGCGCTGCTTGATTTTCCGGACGTTGTTGACTTCGGCACGGACTGCCCAGTTCGGCTAGAGTCTACCAAGACGGTACTGATGCGCAACGTGGGAGAAAAGGCCACACGCTTCTGCTTTCAGGTAGCGCCACCATTTTCGGTCTCCATCGCAGACGGCTACTTGGACCCAGATTCAACGCTTCAAGTCCAGATCCACTTCAAGTATAATTCTGAAGCTTCTTCATTTTTTTCGTGCCCTACTAACTTCTTCACTGTCAACATGTCTGTGCATCTCATCAACATCTGGCGTGTAGTGTACGTAAGTGAATCTATGCGCAGGAGCGCAGCTAGCGTAGCGCACGCTCAACTGAATACTTCTTTGCCTGCAGAACTGCGTTTAGTTTTTTTGCAATTATTTCCTTTTTCTCAGGCCCGACCGCAGCGACACGGACTACGAGAGGGATTTGGTCCTTTGCTACGGCGACTCAGCGCCGGTGGAGGCGTGCACGAAGCTGAGGGGGCGCGGGTGCAACCTGGATATTCAGTTTGAAACCAGGAACGTGCTGCTGCACGACACCTACATTGCCCTGATGTCCCAGGCCACGGTAGACATCATCAACAACAGCGATCACCCGGTGGACTTTTCATGGCGGGCCTTCGGCAACGTCGAGGAGGAGATCCAGCAGAAATTGAAGCTGGGTGTGCAGCTGAAGGAGGAGGAAACCGAGGAACAGTTGTTCGTAGAACAAATGGCGTTAGAGTTGCCGCATCACGTACTGATAATTACTTCGTCATGTTGCATTTCTCCTAACGTGCAGCGCGTTGCACGCCAAGTGAAATCTTGAAACAAAATACAAAGACCGAGCACAGCGCATACTAGCGCCATACTAGTTCGTGTAGGTCCCGCATCGAATAATCGGCAAAAATCCTTTTTTACCACCTCCACCCGTACTTCAGGAGGCTGACGGCGAGGAATCGGACGACGACAACCGGCCGGATATCCTGAGTAAAAACATCCCCACCCCAGAGTTGTCATGCAGATCTGCGAGCACGCGAGCATTTGTAATGCGTATCCCCATGATAGGCATTTCCGATCGTGTTTTGGAACGTGTAATTCTGTAACCAGGATAAGCATATGGATTTGTAATGCGACTTCCCTTTCTAAACTGCACTACACTACAGCCTGCAGTTTTTCATGCGGGGCTCCCAAAACTTCAAGGTTTGTGTTGCAAAATCCCCATCTTGACTCTGGTATGGGGACGTTTTTACTCAGGATACCGGAGAAGCGGGGCGCCGCCCAGTTGGCCGCGTTGAAGCGGAAGTACGCCAATATCGCGAAAGCCGTTCTGGAGGACCCGATGTACTTCTACGACACAATTTTCGGGATTGAGCCCCTTTCCGGCAGAATATGGGCCAAGAGCAAGCTGACGGTGACCATTTCGTTTTCGCCGAAGTCCGCGCTGCACTACCACTGTCTCGCGTACTGCAGCATCGTGGGACAGCAGGAGCGAATTCCGGTGAAGCTGACCGGGCACGGCATTGGCCCCAAGGCGGCCTTCTCCTACGACGAGATGGACGTCGGCGACATATTTGTCGAAAGTATGCACCGATACGAGGTCGACATTGTCAATCAGGGCGACATCGCGGTCAACTACGAACTGGTATGATAGGTCGTGTTTATTCGATTGCGTATGCGTTCGGCGACCTTGAGTTTGATCCTTCACGAGCAGTATGCCTAGGTCAACGGGGTATGGACAGCGGTACAAGCATACAGCGCCGACTGCGCACCATTTTCGATCCTCCCTGCTCTTGATAGCTAAAACTCCATATACCTTTTCCAACCCACTCCCACTCCGACCCGCACCTGGTCGTTATCTGATTATCATATTTTTATTTGATTTTTCCGAAACTACATCAGATTCCGAACACGTCTCCGTTCGGAAGCAAGTTTTCGTTCACGCCTGCTTCCGGGCGGTTGGAGGTCGACGGGCAAGAAACGCTGCAGATCGACTTCTGCCCGAACATTCTCGGGGAGTTCCACGAAACTTTTAACTGGGAACTGAGTTCGAACAACAAGGCCGCGTGCGTGATCCCGATTTCGTTCAAGGGTAACTCCGTCTGTCCGACCTTCCACTTCGACATGGACCGGATAAATTTCGGTACCGTGTCGTTCGGTTTCCTGAACTGCAAGACCATCACGCTCTCCAACGACAGCGAAGTCACCATGCGGTATGCCTTGAGAATACCGGGGGACGGCAGATTCTTGCAGAAGGAGTTTGACGTAATCCCTAGCAAGGGCGTGCTCTTGCCAAACTGCTCCCAGAAAATACAGGTAGGAGATCTCATCTTCTCGGTGATAGACATAAACATGCATAGCTGATCGAAGTAGAAGAGCGTAATCAATGCAACCGTGGTAGTGAAGACAGTGACTGCTGATGCTGAACACACCAAAAATTCTAAATCACTTCTCCAAAAAACAGATCGACTTCATCAGTGCTCAGGCCAATCCGCAGAAGGCATATGATCTTGCCTTGGTAGTGGATCTCGATGGAGTCGGGCAGGAGCTGGGTAGCGTCCCGATCACTGCGAAGTACCAATTTTTTGTAATCGCCGAAGTAGAAGAACTAGTAGTTTTTTGCAATCCGTTTCGTGTCTCTTACCATTCCTTCTTTATTTGCTTCCATGTGCATCTGAAGTTCGTTGTCAATAAGTGACTGTGCTTTGCTTACTTACATGCCGAGATGCATTTTTTCAAGTCAATTGAATGACCAACCTAAGGTGCGCTGTCCCGACGGTGGTGTTTGAGCCGTACGAGGCTATTTCCTTCGGGGAAGTTTTCATCCGGTACGCGTTTTGCCAGTGCCTGGTCATGCACAACACGTCTTCCCTTCCCGCAAAGTTCCAAATTCTGCCGCAAGACGAGCAGAGCAAACAGATTGCGGAGTTCGAAGCGGACCAGATGCAGGGCAACGTTCCCCCTGCGTCTTCGCACGTGATCACGATCACGCTCATTGCGAAAAAAATCCCGAAGGAAACTGGTATTTGCTCGTGGTCTTCTCGATGAATTATGTGGCAGAGATGTCATTGACATAAGATGAACCACAAAACCATCCTACGGGGTAGTGTCGCTTTCTTCGTAGTTTTCTGTCATGATGTCATGCAAAAAATACTTATCAATTTTATTTCAATTTTATCCTCCGCAGCTGGGGGCCAGCCGCTGAGCATCCCGATGTACGTGAAGATTTTGGGCCAGCCGGTTCCGTATCCCTTCCAGCTGACAGCCATCCCGATCGGCCCGCGGGTCGAGGTCGAGACCAACAAGCTAGACTGGGGCAACACGAAGTGCCTGCAGCCGGTCACGAAGACCCTGAAAGTCACGAACAACAGCGTGATCGACGCTGCCGTGAGGTGCTTCTTAAAGAGCAAGAACAGCCTGTGGAGCGTGAAGCCCAAAAAGCTGCACCTCGCGCCCAACGAGGTGGCCTACTTGCACTTGACATTAGTGTGCGACGAGAAACAGGCGGTGTCCGATACGCTGCACCTGGTCGTGCACGAATCCAACGACATCATGGTGGCCGTGAAAGCGAAGGGCACGGGGACGCCGATCACCAGCCCGGAAGACCTGTCGAAGCTCGATTTCGGAACCGTGTACGCCACACAGACGCACACCCGCGAGATCTACGTGGAGAACCGGGGAAAGAAAGCCAGGAGACTGGTTTGGAGCAGCGAGAAACTGGAGGCTCTGCAAAAGTTTCTCGCAAAGAAGCCCAGCGAGGAGGAGGAAAAGTCCGGGAAGAGCAAGCGCGCCATGGAACTAAAAATCCAGGAGCTCACCCCGGTGTTCAGCGTGACGCCGGACACGGTGACGCTAGACGGGAAGTCCATGTACCGGTTCACCTTCACCGCGATGTCCGCGCGTCCCGGGTCGGTGTCCGAAGTGCTCACGTGCACGGAATTCGTCGGCGCCAACGACCGCAAGGGCCAGCCGGTCCTGCAGTGCGAACTGCAGGGCGAGTTCATCGCGCCCCTGCTGCAGTTGAGCCAGCAGTCGCTCGAGTACAAGTTCGAGTGGGAGACCAAGTACGGCTACAGGGAGTTCGCCCCGCTCACGCAGCCGCTGCAGTTCACCAACGTGAGTCCCCTGGACGTGAAGTTCCAAATCAAGTGCCCCTACCCCTTCCACATCGACAAAACGGCCCTGACCTTGACGCCGGGGCAGAAGCACACCTGCACGGTGTCCTTCGACCCGAACTACCAAGTGGACAAGGTGTGCGACGTGAACAAGCAAAAGCTGGCCATCACCTACGCGGACCACCCGCAAAAGGACAGCATCGACTTGATCGGCGAGGTGGTGTTCCCGAACTTGGTGTTCGACGCCCTCGCGGTGGACTTCGGCGCCATTCTGAACATGACCAGCAAGGTGCAGAGCATCCGCGTCTCCAATCCGTACCCGCTGCCGGTCAACTTCGAGTTCACACTCGTCGACGAGGACAGCATCCGCTGCGACATGGACGGCAAAATGGTCGACGTTCCGCTCGGCCAGGTGTTCGACGTCCTGCCGATCGCGGGCCGCATCGAGAGCGGCAGCAGCGTGGACGTGCAGTTCACGTATTTCGGCCTCGGGAACCGGAAAGTCGAGACGCACTTCGTGTGCCTTTGCGACGGCGGCCCGGACTACACCGTGGCGGTCGGCGGGACCGCCAGTGACGTGGAGTATCGGCTGGACAAAATCGGCGGCGTGCAGGACGGCATGTCGGTCGGCGATATCTTGTTCACGCAAACCGTGGAACGGGATCTGTGCATCCGGAACATGGGCCAGGTGCCGTTCTACTACAGCGTCGACATGACCACGTTGAAGCGACCGCTCTGCGTCGACATTTTCCCGCAGACGGGGCTGATCCACCCGGAAGACAAAACGTTTTTGAAAATCCGATTCTGCCCGGGCATCCCGGACTACGTCGAGGAGCACGTGCTGATCGCGGTGGCGCACTACGAGCCCATCAAGTTCAAGATAAACGGCACGGGGATCTTCCCGAACCTGGTGCTGGAACTGGAGCGGGCGGAGCGGGAGACGCATCTGATGAAGTTGGAGGCCGCGCGGGCCGTGGTGCAGAAGCAGCAAGACGAAATCGTCGACGGTGTCACGGCCTTGGTGCCGGGAGACAAGAAGAGCCGGTCGAAGAAGGGCAGCTCCAGCAGCTCCGGCGCGCCCGACAAGTCCGGATCGGGGGAGTCCAACAGCGAGAGCAACCGCCCGCCGTCCGCCAGTTCCAAGGGCTCAGCCAAGAAATCCTCGAAGCAGGAAGTCAGCAACGGCACGCCGCGCAGCGGAACCGCAGTCGCGGTCGCGAACGAGCGGAAGCAGCTGATGCTGAAGCTGGAGAGCGAGGTCGACCGGCAGCACCTGTGTCAGATCCTGTTGCAGCAGGAAGAGGAACTCTTCCTGCAGCAGCGCGCGGCACCGCAGGCGAGCGGCAGCAAAAACAAGGGGAAAAAAGGCAAGAAGAAGGAGGCCGGAGTCGTCGCCGCGAGCTACGTGTGCGACTTCGGCTACATTATTCTGGGGCATAGCAAAAAGAAGAACATCATCCTGCATAACGTGTACCACGACACCGTGCAGTTTGAGATCAAGAAGAAGGAGCTGGAAGCCTACGGCTTTCTCGTGGAGCCGGCGAACGCCAAAACGATCCCAGCACTCGACAAGATCACCCTGACGTGCGAGGCGTATTCCGCCAGCCCGGAGGAGGATGCGGCCACCGCTGTTGCGAAGGGTGGTAAGGACGCCAACGACCCGCTAGTGCAGGGCGAGGGGCCGGTTTCCTTTTCGTGGAAGATTCCGGTCAAGAACGGACCGCAGTACGAAGTGCACTTGAAAGCGTTCTTCGTACTGCCAGAGATCGTGGTGAGCAACGAGTTCATCGACTTCGGCCGCGTGCTCGTCGGGCAGAAGAAGATCATCACCATCTCGATTAAGAACAAAAAGCCCGTACCAATCGAGTGGAGCTACAAGACGCCCAAAGCGTCGGGCGGCAAGCCGTTGCCCAAGTGGGATACGGTCTTCACCGTCACACCCGACCACGGGGTGCTGCACCCGGACGAGGTGCAGTGGGTGGAAATTGCCTTCACACCAAACTCTGCAAATTCCTACAAGCAGAAGCTCGGTACACTCTTCGGTTTTCATTTTATTATTATTTCTGAAATTGCCGCGGAGACGATGCATCAATCTATGCGGCGAGCTCTAGTTGTAAGCTGCATACCCATAGTTGCCTACTTTACTACCTCTTGTTTGCCTCGGCCTCTTGGTCCTCGTTTCGTACGCGCTCTCATGTCTCATGACTCGTTGCTTTTTCAAGATAAAAATAGGCCAAGTACCAAATAAACAGGTTTGAAGGTGAAGGACAATCCGCACAAGAAGATGCTGACGTGCAACGGGCAGGGCGACATGTTGAGTTTGAACGTGGACCAAAAAGAAATCAAGCTCGACCCGGTTCTGCCGTACTACGAGCGAAGTTTGCGCGGCATCTATCTGGAAAACCCCACCGACTACCCCATCACGGTCTACAGCGCCGACTTTGACGAGCAGTACCGGCTCGAGGAGCAGATGCTGGAGATCTACGAGCACGACCCGCTCTACAAGTACTCCGAGTTTCCGCTGCGGTCCGACATGTCGGTGACGTGGCCCGACGTGATCGACACGTGGAACCAGGAGCAGAAGCGAAAAGAGCACCAGGACGTCCGATTGGCCCGAAAGCAGGAGCGCGACGACGAGCTGCTGCAGAAGAAGCAGGACAACGACACGAACGCGATGAACACGACGGGCGGCAAGGAGATCGCCATCGTGGAGCTGCAGAAGCAGTTCCTGACGAAGGTGCAGGAATTCTGGCAGAGCGAGTGGCTGTTTTTGAAGGAAGAGAATTTGGACCCGGAAGAACTCGAGGAGGAGCCGGACAAGCTCCCGTGGGAGTGGTTCCCGGACGAAATTCCCACCATGGAGGAGCAGAACGACTACTACCTGTGGCTGTGGGAGGAAGCCAACGAGGATCACGACGGGCGGTTCGTGCGGGATCCTGTGTGGGACCCGAAGAACATCAAGCCGCTGATGTGCCAGAAGCCCGTGATCAAGACGGAGCGCGACTACGAGGTGGCGGCGATGCTGGATCTGGGTCTGGAGGAGGACAAGTTCCCGAACCGGGTCCCGCAAAAGTTCCGCGAGAACGTGGTGATCCACGGGCCGCAGCGCTCCGGGCGCACGAAGTGGGCCAACCAGATTCACGCGGTCAGCCAGCGGGGCTTTCTCTCCATCGACGAGTGCGTGGACTGGGCGGTTTCAGGCAGCGCGAAGGGCCTACTGGACGAGGAGTTCGTCGACAAGGTGCGGGCCACGATGACGGAGCGGGAGCAGCTGTGGGAGACGGATCCCGCGGCGAAAGCGGAGTACGAGGCGAAGATCGCGCACAAGAGCATCCTCTTGTCGCACGACATCAAACCTCCAGCCGACGACGCGGCCGCGGCGGCGTTCCCGACCTACGACCTGGACCCGGAGGTGGTTGCGCAGATCGTCAAGAAGCGGCTCGCGCTGTGCGACTTCAACACCGGTTTTATCTTGAACTCCTTCGAGGCGTCCATCAAGTACCTCACGCCGGAGAGCGTTTTGCAGGTGCTGTTCCTTCTCGACGAGCGGATTCGGTTCTTCCTGATGGAACCGAGCCACCGCTCTCCCGAGCAGGACACGGGAGGCATGTCGGGAAACGAAGCAGACAACAACCCAGGAGATGTTGCGGGCGGTGCAGCGGATGAAAACAAGGTCGCCGACGAGGAGCTGGACGAGGAAGCGAAGGAGGCGAAGCGCATTGAGGTGTTTGAGGCCGATCTGCAGGCGTTTTTAGACTTGCGACAGGCCGAGATCGAGAAGGACGCGGAGAGTTTGCAGGCCGAAATGACGGCGCTGGAAACCAAGGTGCAGGACAGCTCGGCAGATGAAGATCACGGGGACGAAGACGATCTGGCGGTACTGCAACAGCGGTTGGAAGCCGGCAAGGCGGAGCTGGAAATTTTGAAGAAGATCAATGTGCCCGCGAATCGCGAGTGCTTCGACTTCTACAGGCAACTGATTGCGGACACGATCCAGCCAGTGAACGCCGTGAAGCACGCGGAGTTCCAGAAGCTGGCGCTCGAGCAGCAGAAGAGGCACGCAGCGAAAGCGGGCGCGAAGGCCAGGAACAAATCCCAAGGGGCGGAATCCAGCAAGGGCAGCTCGCCTGCGCACAGCCAGCATTCCGCGTTGGCAAACATGGAATTTCAGGACTTCCACCTGGTTTCGGTGTACCCGCTTCCGTACGACAAGGAGAGTCGGGCTGCGCTGCCGGAGCCCGAGGACATGATGCCCGCGCCACGCGTGCCCGAGGACCCGAGGCTGCCGCAGCCCTCGATGCGGCAAGTTGTGTATTCGCCGCAGATCGGTCGCGATTTCGACCACGATGAGGCGTACAAGCTGTCGAAGCACAATTTTTCGATTCTCACCCCCCTCGACGGGCAGCCGGAGCCGCTCGTTGTGGAAGCGCCGCCCGAGGACCAGAAGCTGGAAGCGGTAGAGGAAGCAGGCACTGCGCTCGAGGACGGGACTGCGGGGGACGAAAACCAAAATGTCGAAGAAGCTCCTGCTGCGCCGACAGAAGATGCCGCTGCTGGGGAGAACGGAGAAATCGAGCCTGCGGCGCCACCAAAGTCAGAAGAGGAGCTTCTGGACTTGGCACAGTGCTCGACCACGCAAACCAGGTGGGTGATTCCGCCCCAGTCGAAGGTGAAGATCTTCGTGAAATTTTTCTCCGACCGTGTGGAAGAAGTCACCGGTCGGCTGCACTTCGAGGTTGTGCAGGGCTACAACTACTTGCACAACGATGCGAAGCTGTTCAAGGAGCTGCAAACGCACAGCTTCGCCATCATCGAGTCAAACGATGCGCTGGAGGAAGCTAACAATGAGGACGCCGCGGGCGACAAGTCGCCGGCCAGCAATCCGCCCACGGGAAAATCGCCGCAGAACAAGAAGCAAAACCTGGCCAACCACCCGCTCGCGTTCCAGATGCCGCTGCCCCCGGTCACGCTGTGCCGGGCAATGGTGACAATATCCGGCGTGACCGCGTTCCCGCACATCAACAGCAACCCCGCGAACCTGTTCATGCGCCGCATCCGGCTCCGACCCCAGCCTCCGATCTACGTCAGTCGGCAGTACATCAGCAGTCGCGACCTCTACGAGTTCGGACCGCTGCTTGTCGGCAAGGACGCGGAAGCGCGGCATTTGTTCACTCAGGAAATGCTGCAGGTGTCAAAACGACTCGCCCTCGGGCTGGACCGGCAGATCGCGGAGCGCGAAAACACTGGCTACGTTTTCAGCGCGTTTGACGGTTTGACGACAAAATCTACGAGCACGCGGGAGTCCTGGCAAGACCAGTCCTCGACCGCGACGGGCGAGGAGGTTGCCAAGAAGGTCCCCCTCACCGAGGAGGAGCGCGCCGAGCGCCGCGCGGCCATGAAACTGGAACAAGAAAAGGACAACCAGCTGTTTTTCCTACGCAAGCACGTCGAGCGGTTCCGGATCACGAACAACAGCTTGTTCCCGCTGCGCGCTTTTTTCTGTCTCGCGTCCTCGCAAACCGTGGAGGGCACCACAGCATCCGTCGCGGAAAAGTTGAAACAGGCGAAGGATTTGATCGCGGGTCAGGAGTCCGTGACGCCCGAGACGTACGAGGGCCTCGTGCCGACGGTTGAAACCGCGCTGCCCTTCCCAAAAGCCGACTTCTCGACCTACCCCTTCTGCGTCACGCCAGAGGTGCTGGAGCTGCAGCAGGACGAAACGCGGGAGGTCACCGTGTGGTGCTTCCCGACGACGGAGGGTACCGTGGCGGACAAATTGGTCGTGACCATCGACGACAACCCGGAATGCACGGTGATCCCCCTGACCGCCACCGGCACGATCCCGAAACTGGAGGCGTCCGCGGCGTCTATGGATTTCGACAAGCTGATGCTGCGGCAGAGCGACGTGCGGGAGGTGACGCTGACGAACCCGGGGTCCGTGAATGTCTTCTGGAAGGTGGACAACAAGTTCGGCAAGGACGTCACACCGATCGACGGCGAGGACCCGCCGCCCGAGCCATCGCCGGAAGAACTAGAGTACACGGTCCCGCCCCAGTTCACTGTCGAGCCAAAAGAGGGGATTCTCACACCCGGGGCAACGGTGCGCGTGAAGGTCGTTTTCAAAGCCACCAAAGCGAACTTCTACAACTTTAAGCTCCGCTTCGCTCTCCAGGACACGGAGGGTTTTTACTCGAGCGGTCTCGCGAAGCTCGAGCAAGAAAATCCACGAGGCGAGGAGGCTCCCAAGATCCAGCACTCCGCGGTGGAGCTGCCTCCCTGCGAAGTAGAGGTTTCCGGCGAGTGCTTCGAAGTAGACGTCGGGGTGGTGTTCCCGCCACCCAACGAGCGCGGTCTGGACTTCGGCAGTCTCCGGGTCGGCGAAACCAAGGAGGAGCAGTTCGAAATCGTGAACCATGGCAAGTATCCGTTGAAGTACGAGCTTAAGATCAAAAAGCGGTCCATCATGGAAATTCTGTCCATCAAGGACGAGGTGGGCCGGGCGGTGGAGATCGCGCCGGACGAGCGCCGGGTGATCAAGGTCTCCGCCGTTTCGTTCCGCGAAGTGAGGATCGTTGACGCCCCGGAGCTGCATTTGAAGATTTTCGAAGCCCGTTCTATGGAACGCGTCGAGCCCGCCATTCCGCCTATCCGACTGTCCGTCCAGGCGGCGTACAACGCGTTCACCGTGACGCCACCGCGCGGCCTCAATTTTGGTCCGGTGAAATCGGGCGCCGACCCAAAAACGCGAACGTTCGAAATCCGAAACGACGGTGTGTTTGCCTTCGAGTGGGCCTTGGTCGACTTGAACCAGATCATGCAGGACCCCAGCGTCACGGAGGTGGCGGCAGCCGCGGAGCGATCACCCAAGGGCGGGAAGTCGCCGCGGTCGCAGCGCGGCAGTCCGCGCAGCCCGGGGAGACAGAAGGTCGAGCGCTACGTGGACCCGAGCGTGCTGGCCCGACCGCCGGGCGAGTACTTCAAGGATACCGTGCAAATTGGACCGTTCGAGGTATCCCCCGCGATGGGCACTTTAGATCCGGTCGCCGAAGACGGGGAGAAGTCCACGGCGAAGATTACCGTAAAGTTCGTGGCTAACGGGGATCGCGACGAGGACAAGAAGCTCGGGCTCTGGGTCGCCGGCGTGGAGCCCAACATGGCGGACCAAATCCGCGTGGGGGACATCAACGCGTTGGTTTACCTCCTGACCGCGCAGTCCTGCGTACCTGCAATTGACACGAACATGCAGTGGGTGTTCGAAGAGCAGTACGTGGCACGCAACCTCGAGGACGCCATTGCCACCGCCGGTCGGGTGGACATCCGGTGCTACGCGGAGGAGGATCGGGTCTTCAGCTTCGGTCCCTGCCTGGCCGGCGGGGCAGAACCCCAGAAGGAACGGCTGCGAATCACGAATCCGCGCGGAATTCCATGTGAGGTCAACATTAGCGTCAAGCCGCGATCCGCAGCGGGCGATAAGGACTTTCCATTTGAAATCCAGCCCGCGCAGCTGGTCATTCCGCCGCACGAGCACCGGTACGTTACCGTGTCCTTCGCCCCACCGCAGCTGCAGACGTATTACGCCATTTTCGAGGCGAAGGTCACGGACGGAACAGACCCGCGCAGCAACTACTTGACGTTCGAGATGCGCGGCGATGGCACGGTGCCGAGTATTACGCTCGAAGGCGTGGACGCTTTGACAGACGGACAGTTTGATTTTGGCAAGCTGCAGCTCGGTCGCGAGCATCAAATTCAGTTCCGCCTTCAGAATGACGGGATCATACCCGCGACGGCAAGGTGCGAGATCCTGAACGAGGAAGGCATCGCAGTCACGGACACTATTCCGCACTTCTCCGTGATCTGTCCGAGCACGATAAATCTGGAGCCCGGTAAGGACTATCAGTTCACTGCAAAGTTCCACCCGTGTGACATCAGCCCGCCGGATGATGGCGTACAGCTCCCCTACTTCTTGCAGAAGTTCCGGGTATACACAATCCACAACCCATTCGAAGACGTGACGCTCGCATTGAAGGGCGAGGGCTACGTGCAAGAGGTGTGTTGGGACCTGATGAACCAGTCCGGCCGCGACGACGAGCTTTTGGACTTGGATTTGTCGCCAGAAATTTCACCCTTTGACCCACCCTATCCGCTGAAAGACGGCGGTCGTCAGGCCAAGGTGCGGCCACCCGCGCCCCCGGATGAGCTCGGGATCGGCGAGCTTCCGGTGGGCAGTCGCAAGCAGCAGATTATCTACCTTAAGAACGGGAGCAAGAAAACGGTGCGGTTCGAGTTTCCCGAGACACTACCCGCGCCGTTCGCGTTGTCCGCCGAGGCGGCCGAAAGCTTCAGTAATCCGAATTTGAGGTTTTCTCCGTCCTGCGGGCACGTGCCCCCGGGATCGAAGAAAAAGATCGTGGTGCACTTTCAGCCGGTGGAGAAGGTGTCCGCGGACTTGGTGGAGATTCCGTGCAAGATCCAGGACATCGAGTTTTCCACGCCGGACTCCGGCAACGAGAACGATGACGGCGCAGCAGGAGCTGCGCTTCCCTCCGGAGGCGAGAGCCAGCCCACCATGCCGTTCTTGCGGCAGACGTCGGATGGGCGATCGATCTCGCACGAGTCCACAGCCGGCGGGAAAAAGCCGTTGCTCGACTGGGACGACAGCATGACCTACTACGTGACCGAGGAGGTCGACGAGCCCATCGAGGGCGCCGACCCGTTACCGCTCGAAGACGGTGAGGACCCGGACACCGCGGAGCCGCGCTACCCGACGCAGAAGGTCCGAAGAAAGGTGCAGAAGGTGTGGGAGGAACCGTCGCACGTGGTCCTGCCGAAGAAGGACGCGGAGGGAAACGACACCGAGGAACCGAGCAATCGCGAGATGCCGCTGAAAATCACGGCCGCAGCGGACGATCGCGGGTTCGAGTGCGAAACCGAGAAGATCCACTTCGCGCCGACCATGATGTTCGGCGCAAAGGTTTTCTCGTTCACCGTGCGCAACTCCAGCATGATTTCGCTCCCCTACGAGTGGAAGATCCACAACCTGCAGAGCAGCAAGAAGAACTACGAGATCACGCCGAAGATCGGGATCATTCCGACCGACGGCTCTATGGAGTTCCAGATCAAGTTTCAGCCGACGGAGGTGGAAGACTTCCGAGCCAACCTGCAGCTGTGCACCTTTCGCCACCAGGTGTTCGGGGACCCGAGCGGCAAAACCTCGCCCGTGTACGTGCCACACGGGTCCGCCATCACGTCCGACGGCGATCCGCTCATCGATTACCAGGACGGAGATGCCGAAGTCCCGTTCAAGGTACTTACACCTAGACGAAATTACCCGTGTTTTGTTCTCTCTTGTTTGTTCTATGCTTGTAGCTGTTGCTGGAGGTCTTGCTGGCCTTGAAGTTGAAGAACGAGAATCGGAAAGAACATTGGTGAAGTGCAGCAGTGCAATGAATGTATGAAGGCTAGTAAATTTTGAACTTTCATCTTTTAGCGCTGTTGATGTTCTATGTATCACAGGTGCCGCTGCACACGATCAGTCTGAACGGCAGCGCGGTGCGACCGTTGTGCCACTTCGAGCTGCCGCCGAGCAACTACCAAAGCGCGACCAACGACGATCCGAAGTGCATGATCATCGAGTTCCCGCCGTCACTGGGTACGAGGGTGCGAAACACCAGGAGATTTTACGTTCTGAACCCGACGGGCGAGTCCTACGACTTCATCTGGACGCAAAAGCAGAAGGAGGGTGGGTCCAACCAGGAGTCGTCCAGCGCCTCGGGCGGGGGCGGGGGCTTGGGCCAACAGGAGGAGCAGGCCGCGGGCAGCCCGTTCCGGTGTCTGACCAAGCACGGGCACATTTTGTCAGGCAAGAAGTTCGAGATGGTCTTCGAGTACGTTCCCATGTCCATGGGTTCGCACGAGAGCAACTGGGTCTTCCAGGTGATGGGCAAGGAGGTGGAGCAGACGTTCTTGGTCGTTGGTCACGTGAAGGAACCAAGGGTGGGGTTCCAGCAGCCGTTCTTGAACTTTGGCAGGTTACTTCTGGGCGGCAAGGCCCGCGAGACGCTCTACATCGTAAACAAGGAGCACATCCCGTTTTCGTTCAACTTCGACAAGGCCAGCTACGGCCACCAGCCGAAGGGCGTGGAGGCGAACCCGATGGACACGCTGGTCAAGGCGCCGACCATCTTTATCTCGCCCGAACAGGGGGTGGTCGGCCCGAACAGCAGCTTCCCGGTGGATGTGCTATTCCGACCCGCTATCGAGGAGGCCGTGTCCTACAACGTGGTCTGCAAAGTGAAGAGAAAAGAGCAACCGCTCGCACTCAAGGTGAAGGGCGAGGGCTACAAGATCCACGCGCAGCTCCTGGTCAAGGAGAGCATGGACCGCTTGCTTCACCCAGGCGTCAAGGAAATTGTGGACTTCGGCAGCAACCTGCAGGTGCACGAGCGAAGAGAAGCAAAGCTGGTTTTGAAAAACAGTGGCTCCTTCAACTTCGACTTCGTCTGGCAAATCATCTACCAGGGCAAAAAGGTATTATTTGCTGCGGTTTTTTCTGGTTTTAGGTTTTCATGTCTGTGTTCGCTTGATGTGCAAGTTCTTCGACAGAGTTGGAAAGTTATTGGAGGACAAACCTGTAGCTGCGACAATGCTCTCATGAAAAAAAAACACAGCTCACGGACAACGGCTCCACGCAAGCAAGGCGGTCGGCCGCCCTACCACCCTATTTGACGATTTCGCAGATGCAGGGCGTCGCTCCACAGGAGGGAGAAGTAGAATTTACGGTCGAATACGCACCACTCGAGAGCCACACGCTCGACGGTTGCATCCTGAAGCTGCTGATCCCCAGTGCCAGACAGGGGCCCAACCGCGGGGGCGTGGACGAGAGCTGCTACCTTGTCGAGCTGAGCGGGAGGGCTCGACGACCGCAGGTGGATTTTTCGTTCCACAACTACGATTTCGGCTACTGCTTCATCGACAAGCGCGCGGGGGCCACCGTGGCGGGCGACTCCATGGGCTCGAAGAAGGACCAGTGCTTCAAAAAGGTGGACCTCGTGGTGACCAACCGCGACGTCTCCGATTGCCTGCTGTCCACCACCTTCCAGCGAACGCCGTACCTGGACGTGCAGCTGGACCAGAGCATGATCGAGGCGGGGCAGAGCATGGTGGTGCCGGTGATTTTCCAGCCGCGCGACAGCGTGGAGTACCGGGAACGCATCGAGTTCATCATCAACGACTTCACCAAATTTTACGTCAACGTGCGAGGCAAGGGCACGCCGCTGAAGCTGGAGTTGGTGTCCATGGACATGCAGACCGTGGACTTCGGCGTCACGATCGGCAACAAGCCACCGATCCGGCGCGCGATCAAGTTGATCAACAAGTCGCCCTGCCCCTGCGACTTCTTTATCATCGACCAGGACGACAGGCTCAAGGACCGCTCGGTCAGCTGGCAGACGCCCATGGGCGGGTCCTCGTCAAGTTCGTCATTCGCCAGCACGGCGGGCAAGCAGAAAACGTCCAAGGAACTCGCCCGGGAAAACAAAATCACGCTGCGGCCGAAGGAGCAGTGCCCGATCGATTTGTCTTTCAATCCGCAGTTCCGCGTAGCGCCTTTCAAGTACCCGCTGACGGTGCAGTGCATCCAGACGGGCGAGACCATTCACTTGGCGACCGTGTGCGGCGAATGCCACGCGACGGAAATCAAGCTCTCCGAGCATTCCGTGCTGTTCCCGCCCGTGGTGGTGCAGAGCCGCGCGTCGGAGAAGGTGCATTTGCACAACTTCGGGGACTTGGGGTCAAAATACAAATTCGAAATCCCCGCACGCTTTCAGGACATCTTCTTCATCAAGCCGCTGTCCGGGTACGTGGCACCCCACGACGATCAAGTGCTGGAGATTTCATTCTGCCCGAAGCAGGTCGTAGACAGGGACATCACCTGTGGAAATATCGTCTGCTTGTTGGACAACCACGAACCGATAAGACTCAGTCTCACGGGTAAGTGATACGCAGCAAAAACATTGATTTTGCTACTTTTTGTTTCAGGAATGGCAATGTGGCGCGATTGTGTTTTTCTTTTTGTCTCAGCATCGTCATCTGAATGACATAGTTTTTTGGTATGTACTTGCACCACGCGCACGCCGCAACGAGAACAAACTACTCGTCAGGTCGCTGCATCGCCCAGCCATCGGACGCCGTGCACACACTGAACTTCCAGACGGAGGTGCGAAAAGAGCAGGTGCAGAGCATAACATTCCCGCCGAACGCGGTGAACATCAGTTCTGCTTGGCGTCTGAAACCCGAGGTGATGACTATTTACCCACCAGACCAGACACCGGGCTTCTTTTTCTGCCCGTCCGAGGTGGTGCTGCAGCCCAACCAGACCGCGTCGATCGACGTGACCTACAAACCATTGACCATGACGAAGCCAGACGACGTCCGAGACGACGGCACCGTCATCAAGGACGTGCACAAGGGTAGCCTCTTCATCGCCACGCCGGACGGCAAGGCCTACGTCTACCAGTTGGAGGGCCGCGCGGACCCACCGACTCTGGACCAGAGAATAGAAGTCGAGGTAAGATCATCGAAAGATAGTTAAAGATGATCGAAATTCATTTTTCTCTTTCTAACTGTCAGTGGGGGTCCTTCATTTCTCCAGCAGATGCAGACCACACAAATCATTGAGATGATCCAAACACTACCTGTTGATGATCACAAAAATTCTGATCTCAACGTTTTTCAGGTTCCATGCAAGACGGCGCACGTGCAAGCCATTCCGCTGCAGAACTGGTTGAACCAACGACAACGGTTCAACGTGAAGCTCACCCTCCTGGACCCAGCACCGAACAGCGAAGAAGCGGACGCCGTAAAGATTCAGGGCATCGAGCTGTTCGACCTGCCACCAAAGCTGAAGCGGGACTACAAATTCCAGGTCTACGCGTTCCGCGTCGCCACGGTGCTGGTGCTCGCGGAATTCGAGAACCCGACCACGGGCGAGTTCATGAAGGTCGAGGTGCAGTTCAAATTCACCGAGCCGAAGTCCCTGGCCGTGATAAAGTTCGAGACCGCGTGCCGGCAAACCGCGAAGTGGCCCATCATGGTGGCGAATCCCTTGTCCAAACCCGTCACCTTCACGTGCACGTCCACCATACCCGACATCTTCTTCGCCCCACACGGACCCTCGTTCGAGGTGCCCGAGAACGGAGAAGTGTACATGGACGTGTGCTTCCGACCCTCGGGTGGCGAGGGCGAAGGGGAGGGCGAGGTGGTGCTCCAGTGCCCGGAACTCGGCAGCTACCCCTACCAGGTGCAATACAAGGCCACGCCAGCCGGCATGGAAAAATCGCTCGTCTTCAAGGCACCACTGGGGTCGTCGGTGACGGAAACCTTCCGGTTCACGCACCTCGGGAAAAAACCAACCGGCTACACCGCAAAAGTCGAGCTGCCGCAGGGAGGTGGTATGACCAGGGATGTTTTTGTTTTTCGGCGACGATGTTGAAGTAGACGTGCATGTGCATCAATCGACATTTCTTTTCTGTACTGTAGTTTAATACTCACATCCTTTAACGTACAAGTCCCACACGACACTCTCTGTTACCGCAGGCAGCAGTTCCAGCAGCGCCGCGAGTAGGCTGGAGGACTTCCAGATCGAGACCAAGGACATCAAGGCGGGTGAGGGTCCGACGGAGGTGCGCATTGACGTGAAGTACGAACCCAGTGAGCTGGCCGAGATGCGGGCGGTTCTCGTGGTCACCAGCCCAGAGACCGGCACCGAATACCGCACCATGCTGGCGGGCTACTCGCAGCCACCGCAGGCCAAGGGCCCGGTGGTGGTTTCCAAGTCCGCTTCAATAGACTTCCGAAACCCGTTCAAAGAGGCAGAGGACTTCACGTTTCAAATCGACAACCCCAACGACTTCGCGCTCAAGGTACCCAACAAGCAGAAGATCGAAGGAGGGAAGTCCGTGTCCGTTGGTGTTGACTTCACTGGGTCCAGTCCCGTCGGCAGCAGGCTCGTGGTCACGTCGGCGAAGATCCAGACGCCGTGGATCTTCTTCCTGAAGGGAGAATAAGAGTGCTGCTTCTACTAAAGTGCTCCAGGCTTCAGAAAATCTTCAAACAAGACGAAAACAGAGAAAAATCTTCAAACAGTAGAGTTTACGCAAATAGGTTTCTTGAAATACTTCAGATCAATCTTCTCATTTACAATCTTGAACAGGAAAAAATCATGAATCTTCGAAATTGCTATGGTATCTATATGCTTGCTAGCATAGCGCTAGACGTGATTCGCCGAATCCGAAAAAGAAACTAGTATGTAATTAGCTATCGAGAAAAACGTGAATCGTGAAATTTCAGACCAAAAAAATCCTAGTTTGTTAGTATCTGTTTGCATTAGAAAAACCGAGAACGTGCAGAGCTGCAGAGTGGCGTTGCAGTAGGCGATGGTGACGTCGGCGGATCCTGGAAGATTACCCGCGGACGTTGGACATCGCGTTTCTGCACGTCGCTCAGGCGAGAGCCTGCAAAAACCGTTTCTGTGAAAATGTTATGTCATTCACTTCAAACGTGAACTGAAAATAGACAATTCTAGCTTATCAAGATCTTTCTTTGGACAAATTGTGTTACGGAAGAGTTTGTCAACGCTTTTATTACTAAAAAATGCAGTTTGATTCCTATTCCGTGCGAGTAACTGCCGCACTGTACCTGTTTCTGACGATGTACACCATCTGAACGAATGAATACAGCAAAACTATGCAAATAATGCGTTGAAAATTAATCTTCGAGCTCGCAATTTAGCATATGAGTATGACAGACTAAGTGTCTCAAGGTCCGGCCTGTTTCCGTTTCCGGGTCAAGGTCTTAGCCTGCCTGTGGCATGGGAACCATCAACCGTGGTTGTTCGATTGTGTGCCTTCGTCGTGAAAAGTAGAACCACAAAACGACGGGCAGCGAAGCGACACCCGAAAAAAAAAACTGGCGCCCACAAACAAGTTTCCTTTGGGACGTAAGACTTCGATCTCAATTCGATCACCACCTGGTTCAAAGTTAGAGGGCGAGCTACAGGCAGAGAGACAGTTGAGGGGCAGAGTCCCCTCCGCAACCAAAAATCAAGATGGGCGGAGGAAAAAAATCCGACTTCCTCAAGGTCGTCCAGCCTTGCGAGAAGCAGGTGACGCTCAATAGCAAGGAACTGAGTGCTCACGGCATTCATCGTCTGGGAATCGACGGGAATGCGCTCATTCACAAGACCGTTCCGGCGAAGTTGAAGGAGAAGTACGTGAAGGCAACAAGAGAATCGCCGGACGCAGCTCTGGCACAGCAAGTTCGGAGCGAGATTGCGGGTTACGTTTCGCAGGTGGTCCAACGCATTGCGCGTAAAACGCAGAAGACCGTTGTGACGGTGTTCGACGGGAAGGACTTACCGGAAAAGTCCGACTGTCTCGAAAAACGCAAGGAGCAGCGGCAAAAAGCGTTCGACAAGAAAGAATTTGCTCAAGCGTTCGATTGTGACGAACGCATCGTGGAAGAATGTAGGAAGGCACTGAATCAAGTAAGTTTAAGTTTTGGATTTGGTTTTTCAAGTTATTAACAACCGCGACCAGATCCAGGCAAAATGATTTTCTTAATATCGCTAGCGATGGATGATGTGGTTGCGAACCTCGAATGGAACAAGTTCGACTTCGATATAATTCGCTCTTCAGTCCCGCAATTTTCTCATTTTCTCCGGTGATCTGATGCATTTTCTCTTTCTTATTCTTTCAGGTGCGGTCCAATTCGTCGATCATTGCGGCCTACGAAGCAGACCATCAGTTGGTTTACTTGTTCAACAACGAGAAGATAGATGCTGTTCTCGCTGAGGACACCGACTTTCTTTTGTGGCAGATTCCGCTGCTCCGACAAGCGGAGGGGCTGGGGTCCGACAAAGACGACATTCGCGCGACGCTCATCGACTTGAAGAAAGACTACGAGAAGTGTCCGGACCTGGTCGATAGTTTCTTGCCGACAAAAAACTCTGACGTCTACGAAGGTGGCTCGATGTGAACCTCATTCTCAAACTCGCTTTCGCCTTTTTTTTACTCAGCATTACCTCGAGAGCCAGCACAAGAACTTGACTCTACAGCCAAAGAAAAATTCTGTCCAGGTGTGATTACGTTTTGGAAGTATTCGTCTGCTGCCAGTAAGAAGCAGGGTGGTTTCGGGTTTATCAAATGCACTGAAACGCGTAAGAAGCTTCCTTCGAACGCCCGCGGAAAGACACTGTTTTTTCACGCGTCCAATGTGAAGCAGGCGGGGTTCAAGAATTGCAGTGTGGGCTCGACGGTCGAATTCATATTGGCACCAGATGACCGGCTGCCACAGCGCCGTCGGGTACTCCTTTGTGAAGTAATGCTGAACTGCACCCAATAGAAACGGCGAGAAATCACCAGTTGGAGTTTTGTCTCTGCAGTGACAACTGATCAACATGTAGTTGATGTATACCTTCATTGCTTATTTCGCCTCAAGCTCGGTATTCGTGTTGCTTGTACATCTCAATTGCAGGCAGGCGACAATCCCTTCGTTGGCGTTCGCGTGACGGGTATCGGCGGAAGCGACGTTCCGAAATCCGAAGCGCAAGAAGAACGAATTCGGGTGAAGAACATTTTTCCGTACCAGCGCGAAATCGCACTTGGGCTGCTGTTGATCGGGAACGACTACAACGGTGCGCATATCCCGAGATGCGGAGTCGAAACTGTGAAAAAACATTTGAAAGCGGCAATGTGGGATCCCGTGCGATTTGTCAATCTCGTACGCAGAGCCAAGACCGATGCACACGAAGACGACGACATTTCCCGCGACTTCATCAAAAGCATCAAACGCGCACAATGGCTAGTGCAGCACGCGCCCGTCAAGGATGAGTATGGAAACACAGTTCCGCTCTCGGGCGACCCGAACGTGCAAAAGAAGGATCCGCTGTTCGCTGGTACGCAGAAGATCGTACCGGGGGATATGGAGCTGCCGAGCGGCTCCACTGCGCTGCCAAGCGGCTCCACCGAAGCTGGGGAAACGAAGCGCAGGGGACGAAAAGGACGCGGAAAGAAGGGCAAGGGGAAGCGCAAGGGAAAAGGGAAGGGTAAGGGGAAGGGAGAAAGCTAAGTTCGACCACGGTCAATCTCATATACCATTTCAAAAATTCTCATTCCACTACGTATGCCGGGCCGCGCGCCGTAGCTGTCGGGGGCCTCACACAGCTCTCACGCGAGCGCGTTAGTGCTTAGGAGATCGGGGTCTCCACAAAAGACAACGATATCCACCGTACGAGATTCCACTACGTGTGGGTCATTATATATAGTACTGTGAGCTGCTTACATTCATTTTCGACCTTCGAAAAAACAAAACGGCCTCGCCGTTCTTCCGTGTGAACAACTACATTCTCTCACTTTTTGGCTTTCTCAGGAAAGCGAATAAGACTAACACATGCCATGCGTGTATGCTTATTCGGCAATACGTTTTCGGTTTCGCTTTCGGAAATACGTTTCCGAAGATTGTCATCATCCATTCAAAAATAATCTACTTGTCATAAGTGACAAATGCTGAGTTGACCAGATGAAAGACTGAACCTGAAGCAGCGTGATTCCGTGATTGCTATCTAGATAGCGATGAATTTGAATATCAATATGAATTTTGATCATGCACAAAGCGCGGGTTGAGATGGCCCTAACAGAACAGTCGCGAATGCAGCTACACATCGGTTTGTGGTCGCATTTCTGTTCCGTCTCAAGTGTGGCCATGTCTTACTGACGGTTTTGGAGATAAACAGGTACAGATTTGCAAATCCAAGATCGATCATCGGCTTATTTTTCAGTTGCATTTTCACTTTCCAAACCGACCCCCTACCAGACATAATCTAGGTTTTTGCTTTTGAGCACTAGAAAGTGATCGTCGACGTTCATCTGGTGCTTTCCAAAAGGGTGGCTTCGTTTTTTCGTGTACTTCGTTGGGATGTTTTGTTTCCCGGTGGATCTCGAACATGAACAGCGGAGAAAAGTGGGGCTCTGGAGTTGGCAACAAGGCTTCGGAGCAGCCACTGCTTCTCTACGACGAAGTACCACTGCGCCGCGGTCATTCATCCGCAAAGAAGACTGCGGCCAACAAGGCCAGCTATTTAGGCTTCGGCTCTTCCTTCATTGCACACCGCGGACCACACGCAGGCGAGAACAGAGACGCGAATAAATCTTACCTACCGCGACCAGCAAAGCCAATCTCATCGCGATCGAGCACGGGGGTCCTGGGGGTCCAAGCAAACGCCCGATCTCTCGATGGTGCTGCGAAGAGTGACGTCCAATCGGCCCTCGAGGAACGGAGGAAGCAAGCGGCTGCTCAGGTGCAGGACCGCATTGACGAGCTTGTCGAGAACGCCCGGCGCGAGGTCGAGGAAACCAGGAGGCAGAAAAAACAACAGCAAAAAGGCAAGCTCAAGTTATCCGAATTATCGGCGTCTTCCTCGTCGGATGCTTCATCCGGTTCTGAAAAGAGTGGAGGCTCCTCCTCTTCAAGCTTTGGCTCCTCATCGTCCTCGTCAAATGTTGGTCCGTTGTCTCGAAATGTTCATGGCCGACGACAGGAACAACTTGGTGGAGATAATGGCGCAGGTATTTGCAAAAGCCGTTCGACTGTTGTCTCGCGCACAAGCCATGCGGACGAGGATTTTGTCGATGCTCTCGATGTTGGGAAAAAGGCGACTTTCCGCGAGGACGGAGCAGACAGCACGCCTTCAGGATCCGCGGTGCGCTTCGGAAGGGACTTTTTGTCTCGTAAAACACTACTGCACTACAACACAAACGCAAACGCTAACGTCAAGGGACCACCGGCTTCTCCAGGAGCGACGGCTGGGACGAGTGGCGCGACACAGGGGGCGGAAGAGATGAAAAGCGCAATCGAGAATCTTCCATCTGCAACAAATGCCAGACAACGAAAAGCGGTCCACGTTGTCGATCCTCTTAGACAGTGGGAGGAGGAGCTCGCGCAACGTCCGGCCATGGAGCAGGAAGCGCAGGTCGCGACTAGCGGCGCCACTGCCGCCAAAACGCAACATCGAAGCATCCTGCGTGTCTCAGGAACGTCGCCGTCGGCAGGGCGATTCTCGACGCGTCACGGCGGAGCTGGAGTGGGGGGAAGCACAGCACTGGCGAACAACTACGAGCCCTTGAAGTTTGGAACGGCTGGTCACCCGTGGAAGAAAAATCAAAAGCTCTACACGCAGGGTATGTTCGACTCGATACGTCAATGTTCCCTCGCGTACTCGATTTTGCTTTTGGAAGCGCCGGAACTCGTGGACGCGCAAGCCTCCTCGTCCAGCTCCTCGTCTTCCGCCTCATCTTCAAGCGAGGCGGGGTCGACAAAAGTCAAAAAGTCGTCTAAAAAGGCGAAGAAGCAGAAGAAGCGTACTGGAAGTGCTGCGGACAAGCAAGAAAGTCTGAACAAAGTGTACCTCCGAATTTTCCAGTCGGCGCAGTCTGTAAAGCGTGCCCTTCTGCAGCTAGAGCGGATCACGCAGATACGCCGGCGAAGTATCATGCAGGAACCGCCCCCGCAGCGCCCAAGTAACGGGAGCAATATCGCAGCGCCGACGACGCCTGGAAGCAGCACAGAAAATCGTCCGAGTTCGTCAACACTGAGGCTACGACGCGAAAGTGTCATCGGCAGCTCTCCTCCGCCGCAAATGAAAAGTGCGAGTATTCTGGGCTCGAGACCCAGTGCAGCACGGCCAAAGTTCTCGCTAAGCAGACCGGGAGGCGGGCATGGGCTTGCTCTTTCACCGCAAAGTCCTTTTAACATGACAGGCGCGACGTCCACCTCTCCAAGTCCCGATAACATGATTAGGCCGCCACGAGCAACCACGCTGGCAACCAGTGACTACTGGCATCAGCGGCAGCAACAGCTTCAGGCGAACAGAGAGGGTCCGCCGTATACAACAACCAACAAGAACGCGAGCCCGCGGATGAAAATGAGTGCGCGCTCCTTCGCGGAGGACTTTTTCCTCGTGCAGAAAAAACTGATGCAGTTTTTCCAGGAGCTGACGGAGTCCCAGGCAGCCTATCTGCAGCAGGTGTCCGCCATCAAGAACAGCGAAAGTGGGAAGGCCGTCGGAGACTTTCTCGACGCCAGTTGGCGCAGCGCGCTGCAGATGGAGGGAAGTACTTCGCTAAACCAAGAAGTGAAGAAGCAGGCGCTGGACTTTCTGAACCAACACGAATTTGCCGTGCGCAAAAAGCTATCCACGTTTTCGAACGTTTTGCAGCTGGCCTACCGCGAAGTGGAGCAGATCCGTGAACAAAACGACGATTTGTTCGACAACGAGGACGGCGCCGAAGGCGTTAGTGAGAGCGGCAAAGAGCAAGGAGGCACCGGGCCGACCACGAAGAAATTTGGTCAGAGAATCAAGAAAAAAGTGATTGCGCCAATAGCACGAGCTTCAAAACAGGATCAGTTGATGAAAAAGGGGGACAAAAAGGCGGAGACGAGTGGAGAAACCGCACTGAGTACTACTACAGCAAGTGCCCCGCAAAACACCGAGGACGCTGAGGTGCTAGCCCAACTGGAGAAGATTGAGCGGGTGGACTTTGTTTCGGAAATACACTCCATAGTGAAGACGAAGACTGCCGCGCATCTTCAAAAAAGTAAGTTTTCCAAGCGCGGGGGCCAGCACGGGGAGGTCGACTACACCGGAGAGCAAGAAGATGCAGGATCATTCGGAAGCCCAACTACGGGAGAACTGCTGCAGGGAACTACAATGGGGCGGACCAGACTCGAGAAGGATGCCGAAAAAGCCGCGCAGCAGAGTCGGTCCCAGCCGCTGGAACTGGGCGTGCTTTCCGCGAACGATGTGCTGGGCGACGGCGTGTTTAACGAGCGCGTAGCTGCGGACCCAAAATTTGCGGGTCTACGTAAGTTGTGGACGACGCAGAAGATCAAGAAGAAGCAAGTGGAAAAGCAGCTGCAGGAGACCCAGACCAGCCTCGCCGACATGGCGCGCCAGATTGCCAAGAAGCTGAAAAGCGCTACCGCCAACGGTCTGCAAAACCACGGACTCAACTCGGCACTCGGGAAAAAGTGGCAGCTCCTGCAGCTGGAAAAGAAGAAAATCGAGGAAGCCTTGAATAACATGACGGACGACGTCTCCGACGAGCTCCTGTTCTGGGACCACAGTAAGTACAACGTGGCCTTGCTGCAGCAAATCCGAGAGGAAGAGAGGAACCGAAAGCGCCTGGCGGCCGTCCCACGAGGGCAGAGCAGCCCGGAGCCAGGCGCCAAGGCGATGAGCATGACGCCGGCGATGCGTCTCGAGGCGCAGCGAGAGTTGCTGCTCGCTGCGGTTGACGAATTTAACAACGTGACGGGCACGACCAGTGCGGCTTCTCATGATGTTGCAGGGCAAGCAAGCGGGGCGGTGGAGCAGGCGGATGCCGCGAGGCGCGGGTCCTCCGCAACGCTGAGTGCAACTACGACCATGTGCGTCGTGGACTTGGAAACCATGCAAGTGACGGTCGACCAAGAACTTTTGGCGAAGAAACGCGAGGAGTTGCAGAAGCGGGCCCAGGAGATTCGCGAAACCGAATCGCGCCGGAAGCAGCGGGTCGTCAAATCAGAGGAAATTCTCCTCAAAGAGGACGACGTCTTTCGCTGGCGCAACAAACTGCAAAACGCAGAACACGAGCTCAGAAAGGTGCATAGGATGTTGACCACCACATAGAAAGCATTTATTACGTTTTGTCCCGCTCTCGCTCCTGGGCGTAGGCGTTCTTGTTCGAGCTACGGTAGTGCGATGCTTGGTTAGTTTTTCCCATTGCATGATTTCCGTGCTGGTTCGATAATCTTCCCAAACACACAAAACAGCTGAACGCGTTGCGTGATAAGGAAGAAGCGGAACGAACGCAGGTCGTGCAGCATTTGGCACTGCTGAATGCGCGAATCACGTTCAGCGAACGCAAGATAGAGCTGACAAAGGTCAACGAAGAGCTTCAAGAGGAGTGCTTCGTGTTGGAGTTGCAATGGAAAAAGCTGTTGAAAAAGCGAAAGCGACTGGAGCGCAAGACAAAGAAGCTGCCACGGTTCCTGCAGCAAGCGGACCCGGATGCCGGACTGGACGAGATGCAGCGCTGTCTGAACCAAGCAAACCGGAAAAATGCATTGCTGCAGAAGCGCAGGGAGAAGAAATGGACTCAGCTGCGGAAGTGGTTGTACGCAAACGGTCTGAAGCAGCTCGCGAACAAGCTATCGAAAGGACCGCCGGAGCTGCAAAGCGAGCAGGAAAAGCGGTTCGGCATCGAACAAACGCAGTTAACACGGCGAATTTCGTCTCTGGATACCTACTGCCAGTTTTGGAAGTCGCGGTTGATCGACCGCGCCAAGGAGATGCGACGAAATCTCCGTCTGTACGGCCACATCAACGGCGCGGACGCAGCATTGCAGCAGCAAACGCACGGCGACTCGACCGGTCAGAATCTGCATGGCACAGCAGGTGGACCGCGGTATCGCGATCGCAACTTGCTTCTGCCGGTAAAGCAGGTTGATGTGATGGCATTCGCTGACGGTGCGATGCTCCGCCACCTTTCGCCTGGCGATCGCCGTTCCGGGCGGATGAGTGCTTACGAGCAAAATGTGCGTGCGCGCTTGCTCAACGACGCTTTTGCCTCGGAGGGAGGCGATACCGCCGCGGCTCTCGAACAGTTGGGGTTGGGCTCAGCGGCGGCGCACGGGACCTACTTTCTTCCGAAGCTCGGCGTGCGGCATCGGCAAAATTTTCTGCGCAATTTGGTCAAACGATCGCTCGGCAGAAAGGGCGTGCAATCCGACACGGAGGCCATCACGGCGCTGCGTTCCCGAACGCTGTCGGGCAAAAGATCCGAGGAAGATGAGGACGAGGCAGAGGATGACTTCGGCTTTTCGTCGCGCGCGCGCCGGCGCGCATCTCTTCATCCAGTGACGTTTGGCTTGGACGGGACGCTGACCGACCCGGGAACTACAACAACGAGTCGTGGGGGCCGTTCGTCCAAAAGTAGGCGTCGAACAAGGGTCTTGCGAGAAGGACTACTTGCAACGGACAATTTGTTCGAAGAAGACGTGTTTTTCGACGAAGCGTCCTCCTCGTCCTCCGAGGAAGAGCCAGATTTCGGCGTATTTCTGTTGAAAGCGCAGCAGCAAGGCAACCAAACAGGTGCCGGCGCAGCCAGCAGGTCGCGGCGGCACGGTGCAGTTCGTGGCGCGCAGCACGTGGTGACTTTCAACACGATGCGCGAGGCCGATAAGCTTCGCAAGAAATACCGTGAAGCGCGCGGCAAGCGGCGCGAGGCGGAGCGACGCCTTTTTGATCGAGCGCAATTTTGGGAAACGTTTTTCGGGATGGACGCGCCGAACGATCCTCATACCGAGCACACAACAAGTGGCGAGCGTCCGGGCCGTCTCTCGACGCGCACAGTATTCGTGGAAACCGTGGCAAGACACGTTCTCGGGCACGAGGACCAAGAGCACGCGCAGTCTCTGACCGACCAAGCTAGTCTCGGGGCGCCGGTTCAACAAAGGTCGCCGACGTCGGCTGTGCTTACCTACAAGTTTGGAGCGACGTCCAAAAGTATTCGCTCGACGCTTCCTCCTCCGGAGCACATTCGGCCCGCCAGCTTTGCCTTTGCGGAGTGCGTGGTGCTCTGCAGGGTGGACTACTTCCGCTACCTCGAGGTGGGTGGCAAAACCAGACTAGACGTGTCCTTCAGCTTACTCTTTGTCTTCAAGCTGATCGTCGGCCTCCGGCAGATACTGAAGCGGCAGAGCAGCAAGCGGGGACGAGATCGTGGGATGGATAGCGCAGGGCAGCAGGAGTCTACTGTGGCGGAGGAGCTGTTTCTCAGTCTGGCCTCCACAGTGCCGTTTCTGCGCTGCTTGCTGCAAGAAGTCCGTACGGCTCTAAGTAAGCTTCTAGCGTTCCACGAAGGCTCTCTGGATCTAGGCGATTTCTTTCAGCTACAAGCTCAAACAAGTTCAAAAAAGACAGTGCCGGAAGACGATCTTCACGACGAAAATGGTGCGGTGGTGAAAACAAAAACTGCACCCGCACGATTTGCGCAGCACCCGCCTCAAAACTACGTCGCACCTCGTGTAAACCACAGCTATGCATTCTCTACAGCTGCTCGGAAATCAGGTAGGAATACACCGGAGAGCCAGTCCTCTGCAGATGGACTAGAAGAGGCGCAGCACCAAGACGAGGAGGAGGATGATGAGATTCATCCTAGGGGTACGAGTACTCGTAATGAAAATGATGCATCACCAGCACCACAAGAGCAGGACGACGTATCAAGGTCTTCTTCTGTAAAGCTAAAGCCAAGGACGTCCATACTGAAAAAATCTTCTCCTTCACCCTTTCCAGTCGCAACGCCGGGCACCACCAGGAGAACTACGCAAAAGCTGGTCACAGCAACTCGGCCTGCCTCGCGGCTGACGATTTTCGGACACTTTGACGCGCATCACAAAGACGCTGAAAGAAGGCAGTCAAAGAATAGCGACGCAGCTAGGGACCGCCTGCACTTGGCACTATTCGCAGCTCTTCAGGAAAACTTACCAACACTGCGCATTGTGCGAAAGCAGAAGCTTTTGTGGCAAAGCCACGAAGAGTTGGTGCACGGTGGCGGCTCCTTGCTGGGAGCAGGACAGAAAGCAGTGTCAATGTCTGCGAATGACCTCGATATCAAGAGAAACGCATTTTTACCAGGGGAGATCCAGGGCGACGATGTCGTCCCGGATGAGCCAACCGCTCCAAGTGAGGCAGAGATCGCAGCTGGTACGCGTGCTGTTCAGCTAGACCTGCAACTTGACGCTAGTGCAGATCGCGGCGACGAGGCGAAGGCCAAGAAAAACACCACAGGCGACCACCGCAACAAGCCCCGGAAGGAAAAAAGCGTTTCTCCCTCCACCTCTCGGAGTCCATCGAGCAGAAAAAAGGCGGATATTAAAACAGCACCCAACCGGCATAAGCGATTGGAAGCTGTGAAGGACGAAGAGGAGCGGGACGAACTCGTTGCCGCCACGAAAACAGTGCGTCGGGAAGACGTGTTTGGCGCCAACAAGGTGGTGTTCTCGAAGTCGGACGACGAAGCGATGGAAGACTCCGCGGCCATCCACGAAGAGCGATCCAAGCAGGCCTTTCTGGCAAACCTGCTGGAAAAGAAAAGTCGAATCAAAGGTGTGCAGGCGAACAACATCCTGGGAAAGAAGTACCTTCTCGACCTGCACTCCACCGGCAGCGACGCACACACCATTCATGAGTTTTTTCGCTTCGTGGCAGACCTGCACCGCTTTTGTGTTTCGAACGCAGAGCGAGAACGGGAGGTAGCAGCCTCGTCGGGCGGTCGCGGGCGGCATTCCTCGGCTGCTGCTTGGTCACCAACGCGCCGGACGCCGCGCCGCGTCTCCTTATTTGACGAAAGTGCCGTCGTTACACCTGCGACTTTATCCGGCTTGTGGGTCGCGGCCGCACCTAAACGGCAAACAAAGACAAACACAGAAGCTGCCCGTCGCACCACGCACGAGGTCGAAGAGCCCCTTGATCCTGATGATGTCGAACAAAAGCCTGGAAAAGAGGCAACAGAGATTGTTGCAAATGAGGCTTGTTCCGGAACTTTTCGCCCGCAATCCGTGTCGATCCGGCGCGTGTCACTAAGTCTTAACTTACCCGGTGACACAGAGACAACTCGGGTCGAGGTTCCGACCGCGCCTCCGGAGCCACTTGATGACATCGCTCAAACGAAAGATACCGGCAGTGTTGAAAAAAAAAAGGCCAGTTCCTCCGCAAGCGCTTCAACTCTCGCCCCGCGACTGAGCACCCTTGTGCAGCCAAGCAACGATATCGACGTGGCGGAGTCTAAGATTCAGGGTGCTGCGCTCTCCACAACAACTTCCCCAGTTGCTTCTCCGAGGGCCGCAGTCAAGTCTACGGTGGAGCGCAAGTCGATTGCCAGTTCGCATCCGCACATGGACCGCCTCTCCGTTTTAGACCGGGAGCTACTGCACGCCCTACTGGTGACGGCCGTGGAGCACATTCGTTCCGCCCACGAAAAAAGCACCACGTTGCTGACATCAACTGGCACAGAAACGGGGAATATCGCCTCTGCCACGGCAAATAAAGAACTTAGTCCTGCTGGTACAACACCTCGGGGAGGCAATGTGGATAGCAATTCCGTTGTTGCTTCATCGCCGAGGTCATTGCCTTCGCAACAGCAGGGGAGTCCTTTGGGACCAGGAGCCGCCACGAAGGAAGATGCTGGGACTGTGGAATCCTCTCCCGCGTCATCGCCCGCGGGAGGGAAGCGCTTGTGGGGGCGACTGCAAGGAAAGCTCGGCACCTTGGTAAGCGCGGCCCGGGCTGATGGTGCCGCACGAGATCACTTGCCGAACACTCCGGCATCTCCGGACCGGGCGCCCGCCGGTGCGCTGCACTTTGACCTTGACGACCTTTTCAGCGCGTCGCCCGCGCAGTCGCCCAGCTTTTCCGGAGCCAAGCGCTGGCACGGCTTCGGGGGTAGTCCACTCTCTGGCGACAAATCATCACTGGAACAAGGTGCACTTGAAGTCGACGACAATCTGCTTTCACCTGCGCTGGACTACAGCAATGGGAACAATTTACCGCTGGCCAAAATGTGGTCGCAAGCACCGTACCATGAAAAGACCCTCCAGCAAGCTCGGGAACGAACGGCCGGAGGCTTCTTTCCGCGAAATAAAGTAGCGCACCAGCAGCTCCTACTATCGGATGAAGAACAGGAGCGCCGATGGAGCGCCCAGCGTGCCCGTTTGCGGCAGCAACTTCGGGATCGCCTATTCGGCATGGGGCAGAAGCAAGCTTTCAACCGGTTGCTGTTGCGCCAGTTTGGAGACGACGTTGATCGGATGATGGGAGCGCCCGTGGGGGAGGAAGATGCGTCTAGATCTGGAAGTAAGAGGAGGAAAAACCTCTTCATCGATGAAAACATGGAGAGGACATTGGCAGGTGGTGCGACTGGTGTTCACAATGAAGCAGCCAGCGTGCGTGCAAGTCGTTTGCCCAGCAGTGTGAATCGAGATCGGCCGAATAAAGCTATCATGTCGAACCGTGGCGACGTGAAAAAAGTAAAAGTTATGATAAAGAGTTCAGATGAAGAGGTCGTGCACGATGCAGCAAAAGCTTTTTTGCGGCCGGCAACATCCGAAGCAACACGCAGCAAAAGCAGAGGTGCAGTGGCTAGGGCGCGTGTTGCTGCTTCCGGTGGGAGCATGACCTCATCGGGGATGATACCCGGCCCGCGCGTTGCCGGTGACCTTCCTACTGAAGAAATGTCTCAGAGGACTAGCAAGTCCTCCCAGCGTCCTCGTGTTTTACCGCTGAAAAGACCAGCCTCCTCACCCGTTGCGACTAGTGGACAAGATGGAAGTCTTTTGTTTGCCGGCTCAGCCCCGAGTGGCCAAAAGTTGGAGCTGGCTGGGGGCGCGCCGCTACCTCCACCCAAGACGAGCGCGACTGAGAAAAAGCAAGGCTCTACTGCGTTTGTACAAAACCATCGGCGCACCTTTATGTTGGAGGCAGGGAGAAAATCCTTTGTGCATGATCCTGCGCCAGCTGCTGGGCTCGCGGCGCACACAGAGCCCAACGAGACGGTCGTTCCAAAACCAGGGATGCCTGACCCGAGCAGGATCGTAATCGGAAGAGCCGACGAACCACTTTCAGTTGGGAACTTGCAGAAACCCATTAGCAGCGTTCATCAAGCGAAAGTCGCTGCAAAAGTCGATCTACCGAAAAAAGCCCCGTCTCCGAGTGCAAAATTCGGAGCCAAAATACACGGTCAGCCGGACAGAGTCACGACCGCGAAGGGAAAAAGCAATGAGCTGCAGTTGCAGGGGATAGTTTCGAAAATCGAAAAAAAGTTGTCCTGACATTGTTCTGGTACTTCTGCATATCGATGCAGTGCAGAACCTTGTTCATAGAGTCCGACCGTGACAAAAACAAGTAGACGCGATGACCTAAGCAATGCTTAAATTCTCGAAAAATACAACGGAGCCCTTCATCATTGCCCCTATTTTACTAGTCTGCAAAAGACGAACACGAAGGAAAATGAAAATCAGAGTAAATCGACGAAGAAGTAGAAAGAAGAATTTGGAATACTGTACGAATACGTAGGATTGACCACCACAGTACAGCTGCAACAGCTCCGACATTGCAGCTATGCGCGATCAAAAACGCAGCACGCGATTTATCCTCGTTTGACGGGGGGCAAAAAACCACTTGTTCACACCTGTGTCTGTGTAACGAGAGTAATATGCAAAACAAGCATCATCGTCATCGCAATCGGCGGGCAAAGCAGTCGTCTAGTATCCTTTTTTTTTTTTCTGGGGGGTGTTTCTTTTTCTGAAACTCATCTAAATTTCGTCGGTGCTGCTAGGACTATCCTTTGTTCATCTCGGGGTGCCGGTTTCAAAACAAAGTCATCGATTTGGGTCTGTAAATAAAAGTAGGCGCACTTGTCTTGTCGTTCCAAACGTTTCAACTTCGTGGCACAATGTGAATGTTTTTTGTTGTTGCAGACTTTCGATTTTTATGCGTGGGCAGATTTTTTTATTTCCTTTGAGTTTGACCTATACGTATAAGTAGATACAACAAGGCATTTGCAGCGGCAAAGCAGACCTATCGCGTTTTTTGGGAACTATCCATGAGGGGAACGTGACGCAATAGGGTTTTTCTCTCTCGTAGGTCTAGGTTTTTTGATATCGGATACAGCTACAGGACAAAAGCAAGACAATGGCGCTGACGACGCCACAGCGCACTCACGACTTGCGGACCCGACCGGAGACACGTTCACCGATCCGGTTGTCTATGATGCCAAATCCCGACCTGGGTCCAACACTGTTGGTCAATGCAAGCGTCACGTCGCTCCCGGCATCGCCCCGATCGGCTTCACCCTCGTCACCGAGAGTTCTGGATCACGGTACTGCAGTCGAAGGATTCGAGAACTGCATCGGGAAAATTCATCAGGTAAAGCATCTCCTTGTAATTCTCTCCTGCTGTTCGTGGTTAGGTTTGTTCATCATCATCTCGCTGCGAGCGCATTTTTACGATCCGTCAAAATCTCGGGAATCTTGGACAGTCTCCTACTTTCAAACATTCGATGCTATCTGTCAGGTTCCAGGCACGCCTGATGGGAGTTGTCCACTCCTTGCAACCTGGATTCCCACCGAACAGCCAGTACTTCGCCGATTCAGAATACCCGGCTTAAATGTGATAGCACACTCCCCGGTACCAGCGCCAAGACCACGACCACCGGTGCAGGTCCAGGCGGGTAATCAACAGACTGGAACTACTCCCGCTGGTGTTGCAGTGAAACCACCCTCCTCACCAGCCAGGTCGGAGAATCATTCAGCAGAGTCACAAAAGGCTGCGACTCCAGGGCTCACACCAATCACGAACTTGTCGACGCCGTTTTCTTCTCGAACTCGGCAATTTCTACCATCTAGTGCCAACACTGCACCAAGCACAGCAGCTGCTCCGATGACGACATACAAGCAAGCGAAGGAAAGGTTTCTCGCCCGCCAGAGCCAGACATTAAGTTCGGTATCCTCGTCGATCCAGCACTACAACTCGCAGGAACTACCCGCCTCGCTGGATGTGTCGCAAATGTCTCCCCGGGACCGCGCACGGTACGAGACGCGCGTTCGTCAGTCCAAGATGAACGTCAAACCGCTTAACCTAGCAGCAAGTTCCAGTCAAAATAGACTGCGGCAGCCGGCTGTCCAGGCGGAAGGTGAACAGCTGCAGGGGGGTGCGATGAAAATGGAAGAGGGTGAGGACAAAATCCAACTAGACGGTGGACAGGACGAGGACGAGCCTGAACTGACCGGTGGAGCTCCGGGATATAATGCTGTGATGTCATCGAGCAATAAGGATGATGCTAAAGAAGAAGAACAACTTAAAATGAAGACCGCAGTTCTCTACTCGGGCGTCAATACCTTTACCTCTCCTGCGCAGGAAGCAGTCCTGCAAACGCCACGGCAGAAGCACGGCCGAGCTCTCGCAACATCGCAACAGTTCCTGACAAGTGCAAGCACTCCCCCGTCCTCCTGGTTGATGAACAGTACGACATCGTGGGCGCGAAGTCCCAGTCCGTGGAAGATGCCGGAAACTTTGATGTCACCAGCAATCGGTGTCAGCCCTGCGTTCGTGTTGAAGAGTAGCCGTGCCTACGTGAACAGCAAAAATACTCCGAGGCAGATGGAGGAAGTGAACGTAAACCCGGGTGCCGGTGCTGTTCGGGAGAGTGATCTTTATCATCAACCAGCTTCATCTGCTAGACCGCAGTCGACATCGTGGAATCCGCCTGGCGGTTCGAAGTTGGCCGCAGCACTCGGGACAAGCTCGGACGGAGAGAACATGGCTAGTCATGCGGGTATCAGCAACAAGCCCCTAGATTTGTCAACTCCACGTCCCGCGCCACGCACGCTTTTGCAATCTGCGTCTTCGCCAGTCACCCGAGCTGCTGTAGCATTCGGTGGAAGTGAAGCAGCATCTGCGAAAGGCAAAGGAAGTGCCGTGCAGGAGAACACTGCTGCATCTACAACTTCTGACTCGAATAAGATTCTTGTTCCGAAGGCTGCAAACGAAGTGGACGAGGAAAAGTCGGTCGACGAAGAGAATGCGCAAAAACTGCAGGCGTTGGCCGCGGAGGTGGCGCAGCTACAAGCTCGATTGCGGAAGCTTGAGGCAGAACGGGCGGTAAACCAATTGTCCGACGCTGCAAACTACAACGCGAGCAGCGGGTCCTCGCGTGCTGGTACCACCTCGCGCGCAGTGGACGATCGCGGCTCGCACCAAGCGCTCGCGGAAACTCCCGCACACCAGCGCGAACGTCATCGCAGTGGGAGCGCCCGACCGAGGAGAAACAGGAGTGCTGCCAGCAGCACGACATTACTTTCGTCCACCCGGAGTTTCAGCCGAGGACGTCGCCCGACGGGACGGAAAGCTGCCTTGACCGCCGACGAGGAGATCCAGGAATTTATTAACCAGTACCCAGACTTTCCGCTGCAGATCAAGAAGGCGGCGGAAAACAACTATGTTATCAGCGGCCAGCAGTGCCGAGAGAAGACCGTCGTGGTGGTGCAGCGGCAGGGTGCAAACATGGTCAAGTTTGGTTGCGGATACGAATACCTCACGAACTATTTGGACGATCTGCACGGGCGCAGGACAAACTTACTCCTTAGCACGCCCCGGTTGATTTAGGACGAGTCACCAGCTTCTAGTGCCACTCCTGACTCAGTTTTTTTTGCCAAAGCTCGCGTATTCTATTTGATTTGATTCTCTCGTGTATTTGTTTTGTAGGTAGGTAGTGGTCAAACTAGCCTTATCCCGCTTCCCATGTCCAGTAACTTGCAGACTTAATAGTATTCCGCTAGATGAATAGTAGCACTCAGCGCCTCTCTGTAGGCTTCGCTGCGTCGGGGCTGCGCTGCTTCGCTGCTTCGAGGTTTCGCTGCTTCGCGGCTTCGCTGCTTCGAGGCGTCGCTGCTTCGAGGCTTCGCTGCTTCGAGGCTTCGCTGCTTCCTTCGGCGTTTCGAGGCCTCATCGTTTCGAGGCTGGCTTCGCCGCTTAGAAGCTTGGGCACTTTCCTTGTCTGCATTTCGTTGTTGTTATTTCTTGTTTCTATTCTTTGTTTCCGTTTTTTGTTTTCATTCTTTGTTTTCGTTTTTCGTTTCTATTCTTTGTTTTCGTTTTTCGTTTCCATTCTTTGTTTTCGTTTTTCGTTTCCATTCTTTGTTTTTGTTTTTCGTTTCTATTCTTTGTTTCTTCTATTGCGGGATACTATTAAATAATGGGTTTTCTTACCTATATCTAGTCATGGTAGAGATTTTCAAACAAAAATTTTCAATCTGGTACTTTTTTGGTTGATATCATGGCGCCAGTTGTTGTTTCTGCATATTATCATGCCAATGCCTTTGTTTCCTTTACAGTCACAGTCAGTACTTGAATGTTGAACAACGTGCAAGTTTTTTTTCTAAGGATAAACATGTCAAAGTCAACTGCGTTTAATCTTGCACAGGGTACGGGTTTTTTGTCTAATCTGGAATGATGAATGTGTACATTTTTTCTTTGGAACTTGTATCCGATTTGAAGCGACTCTGTACATCTACATCCAAAACGACATGCAAAAGAAGTGCACGGTCTTCTTGCAAGTGTTAGAGCATCTTCTGCGCAGGTGCTGGTGACAACGAGCCAGCTACTGCTCACAGCGAAGGTTCGGCCAAAGTGCTGCTGTCCGACGGTTCTTGCAGCTTTTTCTAAAATTCATACATGGAGCATGGACATGCAGCCCAATTGAGTTATTGAGCGTGGGGTTGATCATTTTCATTTTTCTGAGAGTGACGCGGTCCACTTATTTTTCAAGGAGCAACGAAAATGGCCACCTTGCATCTGCGTTCGTTTTTTGCATGGTCTGCGTCGTTGCTTAGCTGGTGGCCGATACTAGACGCTTCTTCAGGACCGAAGCTTGTGGTTGGGTTTCCTTCTTCACTCGGAACGATTTTGCCCCCGCTGGTACGCTCCGATATTATTCCAACACGCGATCTGGTTGATGGGCACCGCATTCCCTTGACGGGGATCGGCATGTGCTGCCGGGAGACTGCGCGCGGCGACCCAGCAACGCAAAGCATTGTCGAATATCTCGAGCTTGGCGGGCGTCACATCGATACTGCGGTGCTGTACCAGAATCATGAAGAAATAGGCCGAGGCATGCAGCAGTGGATGCAAAGCAAACTGGACGAACCCGGCGGTGGAGCAGGTGTTGAGCAAAATCAGGAGCTCGTGAAAAATCTTCGCCGGCAGCTTTTTTTGACCAGCAAGATTTGGTCCGACAAGTTCGGATACGAAAACACCTACCGCACCGTGAAAAAATCGCTGCTGGAGCTGCAGACCGAGTATTTGGATCTGGTGCTGCTGCACGTGTCGGGTGAACAGGGCTTCAATGGCGACAAGGACCCCTCTTGCGTGGACATCGCCTCCGACGGCCGACCGGACTGGGAATTATGCCGGCACGCAAGCTGGGCCGCACTAGAAGTGCTGAAGGACGAAGGATTCATTCGGTACGCTGTTGCTTGGCTCGCCAAAATGTTAATTTGCAACATAGTTGATTTGCTTTAGCTGGAAGATGAACAAGATCTTGATATGTCTGCGCCGAGCACACCAGCGCAGGCACCGGCCGAGCATATGTAGCTTTTTCGGCATATTCTTGCAATCGTAGTTCCAACAGCACCAACTCTCGCCCTTGATTTTCAGGTCGATCGGCGTCTCCAACTGGGACGTGCCCAAAATCGAGCGTTTGCACCGACATTCGAAGCACCGGGTGGCGGTGAACCAGCTGGAATTGCATCCGTGGTACCCCCAGCGCGAGATGTTGGATTTTGCGAACCAGCAGAAGATTGTGCTAACGGCCTACGGGTCCATGGGAAGCACGCGGCTGTCGAAGCAGATCGTGACGCAGCACGTGTTCCAGCAGTTGGCCGAGCAAGTGGGACGCAACATCACGTCGGGACAAATTCTGCTCCGCTGGGCCGTGCAAAAGGGAGTGGTGGTGATCCCGGGGACGGCGAACCCGAAGCACATGCAGGAGAACCTAGACCTGTTCTCCTTCTCCCTGTCCGACGACCAAATGGCTTTTCTGGACTCCATCGCGGACACAAACGAGGCGATGCACCTTTACAACCACAGGCCAGATCTCATCCTGTGATCCAGTGTTTGCGCTTCCTCTATTAAATCTAATCGTGCTTCGTGGTAGGCGAAAAAATGCAAGTAAGTAGGCATTTTCTGCCATCTGCCTCTTCATATCTTCAACATACAGTTACAGGTACATGCACAGTAAAAAATGCGTGAGTAAATAACAAGGAAACAACAACAATATGTGATCCAAGTAGAACAAGAAACAAAAATCTCGGAGGAGGTGTGATAATTAATGATTACCAATGCCCAGGCGCAAGCGGATGTCTGGACGAGATGTTCATTTTTGAGGCGCCTGTGACAGTTCCCCGCCTGCGCACTGTCTCTTAGAAATCCGCATTTTGCATTGCAACGGGAACCCCCGATGACAAACTAATCTTCTCATCGAGAAGAAAATCTAAATCAGTGCGTGGCCGTGGAAAAAAAAAGAGGACAAGCGAAAAGCAACATGTCGGCGTTTCACAACGTTTGTCGACGAGCATGCTCCGACTCGCTCTTTTGCCACGTGAGCTCTAGTACGTCGTCCAGCTCTACTCTTACTACCGGTTTATTGCCCATGATGAAGGCGCTTGATCCGACCTGCTCGAGGTCCTTGCTGCTAGCGAGCAAAATTGGAATGTCCCCAGCTGCAGTAGTGGGCCGCGCCTCGTGCGGTTCCGCAGGCGGGGTATTTCGTCGCTCGAGGCCGCTGTTCATTGCCAAGAGCATATACCACCGAATACACCCGAAGCACCGTATTTGGGGCTGGTTCCGAGCGCCGCGCGGCGCCAGTAACTTCAAGTGGCACTGGCGAATACCTTACCAGCGACCTCCGGAGGGGGCATCAGGACGAGCCGCGAGCGGAGTGGAGGAGAATGGTGAACAAACCTCCCTCCAAGAACATCAAGATGATCAACAGATATCACGGTACCACTACCCGGAAGTGAGTAAGACGACTGGTGAGCAGATTGACTGGTACAACAGTGAACCGAAATCGGGCCTGGAATTCCGCGACGTGTATGGAGAAAATACGATCGAGTTGTCCAACTTGCCCATGGGCGTGACGCCGGAAAACTTGCAGGAGCGGTTGCGGCGGTTCTTTTCGAAATTTGGTGGCCTGAAGCAGGTGAGATGCCTCCCGCACTCCCACGACCCCTACCAATGCTCCGGTACCGGGTACGTGACATTTGAAACGCGCCGGGCCGTCTGGGACGCCCTCCACTCGCCTCTGAAGCTGCCCGCGTCGTTATGCGCGAAAACCGTGCACATGAAATCGCTCGATAATGACAAGCAGAATGACCCCATTTGGATCAAGAAGCGGGAGCATTTCAACGACCAGCTGCTGTCGCTTGCAGAGCAATTGCACACCGCCTGCGAGGCACGGCACAGCGGAGCCTTCTCATCTACTTCCTCCACTGCATCGTCCTCGTCCAGCGCCGCGCCTCTGGCGGTAGACAGCATTGCGGTGGAGTTGAAGCTGCTGGAGCAGAGTCGGAAGCCTGCCGGGCACGAAAACGTGACGACAAGCATTGCGGACGAAGCAGTCTACCACCGGTTTGGGTCGTGGGAACGGTTTCTGACCTTCCGCGAATTTGCGGAATTGTTTCTCGTCTTCCAACTGGACGCTAGCGAAATGCGAGGCGAGAACAGGGAGAGCCTTGCGCTATCCAGTCCAACGGTAAACCACGAGAGTGGGATGTCTTTTCAGCGACGCTGCCTCGCAGGGATCGGGTCTGCGACAGGACTGTTTTCATCGTCTTGTTCACCAGAGCATCAGCCTTCCGCTCCTTCGGTTTCCTCTCTGCGAGAGAAAAATGAAAATGGATGGCAACTACATCATTCAGAAGTGGCCAACACATCTTCACCAGAGACGGCCAGGAGGTCATCTGGCGCAGAAGTACAAGACGGCCGCTGGTACGTTTCCGCAAAGATGCTGACGGCCGAGCAGCGAGTGTCGGTCTTGACGCGGGCGAAGTTCAGCTTGCACAAGATGCTGGAAGAGGAGTTGAGTGTGTACTGGCGGAAGGGGAAGATGGAGTTGCCGGAGTACACGAAGAAGGTAAACGCCATTTGGCACCACAAGCCCGTGCTGCCGTGGCGCCTGCAGCGGCAGTCCTGGCCCACGGACAAGGGGGCCCCCTTTCATGAACTGGCCATCGTCCGCCAGCAGCTCAAGGTAGCCCGCAATGAGAAGCGGCAGCTGAAACGCGCACCGCGCATCGCCAAGGAGCGGGAGGAGAAACGAAAACTCCGGGAACAAAAGGATCTCGAAAAAGAGGCCTGGAACGAGAAGCAGCGCGAGAAGCGCACGCAGCAACTGCGAATGGCCTCCTCTCAGCTGGGACTCCTGGCGAATACGTCAACTTTTAAGCCCTTAACCGACGACAATCAAAAAGTCTTGCACCTGCTGCAAACAGGGAAAATCAAAGACGGCGACGTTTTCGACGCTGCTAAAACCAACCTTCGCAACTTCTAGAAAAAATAGCACTAATAGATTGATACTTCGTGTGTACTTCGGCCACTATGCCACGGTAGTTTTGGCGGTCAAAGTTAGACGCTGACGCCTCGTGCAACTAGATGAAAAAAATGCATCTACATCACATTCATCATGTTCAGTTTAAGTATTCGTCCACGTCTGTAGACACGTCCACGATTATGCTCGTGTTTACTATCTGTTGCTCATCGGTGTAGCGTCATTCGTTGCAGCTACACCTACACGTATCGTTCAGTTCGTGCTGCTTGTCTCTCAAACAAATCGTTTCGTTTGTCTCATCGTCCCGAAAATCGTACGTACATGTTCAAATCCGTCGCTGTTGTCCGGTTTTGAATCTGTGTTGTGCAATGCCGGTTAACGAATACTCTCACGTTCAAACTCATGATTCGACGTCTTTGTCATCTCATCAGCAGGAAGTCAAGAGCTCTTTCACCCATGCATATTTTTAGCCCGCTTCTAAATAGAGATGTGATAGGGTGCTTGTCAAGTTGCGTTGCATCAGGAGTCCTGGTGACTTCTTTGTCACTTTCCGGTCGAGGAACAGATTTGCTTCCATCTGGCATCTTCTGCGCCAGATGCAGCAGGTGTGTACGTAAGTACTTACTCTGATCTTGCCGGCTCGTGATCCGTGCACCATTATAGAATGACGCAACGGCAAAGATAACCCATGATGGCTTCGGATTTTCTGAAGCTATTACTCGGTCCGGAGTTTACTTGTATCTGGAAAATGCACTACGCGGGCGAGTAGGCCGGTAAGAACATCATTCACAGGAACAAGATCAACGTCATGCCGATCGAGGATATGCTTTGTCAGCCCGGAGGGCAAGAAGACAACTCCGGTGACGATGAATCGGGCAGCGATGCTGGGGGTGCGGAACGTAGAAAGCGAAAGTCAAAAATCACCTCGCCCGAGGAGGTGAATTACCTGGTTCACAAACGAAAAACGGAGCACGCGACAGGTGGCACGACGAGTCAGCAGCATCAATTGGTGCCGTATAATGATGCACGAAAAAATAACGCTTCTAATCCTCCGGGCAGCTCCCCACGGGAGCCTCTCATGTTCAAGTTTCACCTTCAGAACGACCCGGAGTTCCGGTGGTTGCAGGGTCTCGCCGAATACACTCCTCTGCTAGAGTGGAACCCTTACACGTACGACATGGGCACGTCCGCGGCCGCCACTGCGCCTCCCCTGACGCTGCAGGGCGACGCCGCGCAGAAGAAAAACAAATCTGCCCCGCCCCGGGAGTCTACTTCGCTGAAGCGCCGCAACACAGATCCGACGCTCGCCGGGATGGACAAACAGGCCAAGCAGCGGGAGTACGAGAAGCGAAAGCGGGAGGCCGCGCTCACGCCGAACAGCACGTTGTTTGGCGATCCGAGCTACTACGAAGAGTTGGAACTGCTGCTGGAGCAGCAGCTGCAGGCCTACGCCGAGTGGTACGCCGAAGGACTCCAAAAGGTCCAGCAGATCGAGCACGAGCGGCGGAAATGGATTCGGGCCATCGAACTCGCGGAGGACTACGAGGATGAACAGCTCGCTGGCCCTGAGGACGAGGAAGATCCGTACGCGCGCAAGGACGGGGAGAGTTCCGACAGCGGACTGGACAACGTCAACTTCGCCGCGGAGGAGGGCGGGATTTCGAGCATCGAAAAGGCCCAACGCGAGAACGCCCGACAGATGGAATTGAATCGGCAGGGCCTGAACCTGGGCAACGTGGCCGGGACGAGGCTGCTCGCCAGTCAGCGCATCGAGCTGGAGCAGGAGCACGAGCGCATCCAGGCCATGATGGCGGCGGGCACCTACCCGGGGAGCGCCGGGGGCGCGGGCAGTCTCGGGTCGGGCGGGGAAGTGGCGCAGGACGACCCGAACAAGAAGCCGGACTTCATCGGGCAAGACCCTTACACGAAGGAGGAAAATCTCTCCTCGACGGAGCTGAAGAGCCGGATGAAGGATTTGTTTGGGAAAAACAAGTTCGAGTTCCTCCAACGGTACCTGCAGAAGAATCCAATTCGTAGTGTGGTGAACTTCGGGTACGACCAACGCCGGTTCGCAATCCCGACGGACTGGACACAGCCGCGGCGCGTTTTGACGCGGTGGGAAGACATCTGGGGGCAGTTGAAGATGGTGAAGGCGTGCCTGGGCCGCCCGCCGGTGAAGCCGCGGTCCCTGCACTTTTGTGCGGAGGTGGTGCTGCTCCAGCGGCAAATCATCAAGGACAACCTGGGCCCGCTGTTTGTCGAGGAGGAGATCATTCACTCGGTGTTCAATCCGCCGCGTTCGCAATCGCTGCACGTCGTCAAAATGCTGGGACAGTCGGTTTTTCAGCCGAGTAGAACAGCGTTCAGCAAGCAGCTGGTGCTGGAGCACATGGCAGCAGCCACGCACTCTTCGGGTAGAAGTTCATCCGGTGCAAGTAACCTGAAGCTGCTGCGTGCGATAGACGGAAGTCCCGCATCCATTGAACACCATGCACCCGACGAGGAATGTACAACTGTGGGGTCGCCCGGTCGTGGAACAAAAAGCGCCAACTTACCGATCGTTCCGAGCATGGGTGCGGATGTGCTACCAGCGGCAGCGTCGGGGTCGCTGCAGCTCAGTCATCTGAAGGGCGTGAAAAACTGGAACTTCGTGAAAGAAGAAATCCAGCCTTTGGCGCCCCCGGCGAATTTCATCACGGGCATGCACGATTACGCCGTCTGGTTCCAGCAGCTCAAGTATCAACTGTAAAAATGTCTGGGTCTGGAAGAATCCAACTTGTCATGCTGATTTTGGATTCTAAAAAAATCTGTATTGCATGAGCAGCAAAGAGAGTCCAAATTTTGCAGCACGGAAAGAGCATTTGTCATGCGGAATAGGCATCAGGAAGCCCTTTAAAAATCTGTGATGCTAGGGCATGCATCACAGACTTGAGGAGTCATGCACAACGTGCATGACAAACCCGGCAATCTTCCAGACCCAGACATTTTTACATTTGATATCAAGGTGTCCAGCTGGCGCTGGTTTGTTCCTCCGGAGCTCCAGGAACTGGCCATATCGAAAGGAAAAATCCCCCCTCCCCATATCGAAAACGAAACTTGTGATGCTGTATTTGAGGTCACAAGTCGACTTGTCATGCTAGAAGGTCAAGACCTGCACTCGTGGCCTCGTTTGCAGGCAATTTGTCATGCTGTTTCCCACTCTCAGCTGCCTCCTATCATGCTGAAGATGCAACGCTTACCGCCCACGCCACCGAGCACTACAGTCCGCATCTTTTCCCGTGTAGCATGACAAAGCTGATTTGTGACAACAAATCTGCATCACAGATTTCCGCTTTGATATGGGGAGGAGAAATTTTTCCTTTTGATAGGCCATCCAAGCCGTTTACGCCCTGCAGGACTACAGCCTCGAGTGTGCCGACAAAGATCGAAACAAGAAGGAGATCGGCGAACGGCGGGCCGCGGAAAAGGCGGAGGCCAAGCGCCAGCTAGAGGAGAAGGCAGCGGAGGAGAAACGGCTGGAGGAGCGACGAACCAAGAAGGAGACGCTTGGCTTCATGAAAAACCCGGAGGAGCTGCCGGTTTGGTTGCAGCGCAAAAGCGTAGCGGACAACTGGACATCGCCCATCCCGCTCATGCCCGAGTATTCGCCAAACCTCCTGCTGGAGCAGGACGCAGAGGAGCAAAAAAAGGCGAAGAAGCTCGGGGACGACGCCAACCCGGACGCTTACAAGCGCCAGACCGCACGACAAACCACCGTGAGCGCCTCCAGTGCCGGCGGCGTGGCGGCTGCCGCGGTCCTGCGCCGGGCCGTCCGGAAGGGCGTCGGAGGCTTGGCGGCGCTCACCGCCCCGACTGCCTCCTGGAAGGCCAAGGAGGATCTGGAGAAGAAGGACACGGTGGATGTCCGCCGGAAAACTACCCGGGGCGAAGACTGGAAGAAAGAAACGAAAAAGAAAGTGAAGCAGCAACAGACCATGGTCCAGCAGCGTAACGAGGTGACCACGGCGAACCTGGCAAAACTGGAAGCAGCGCGTGCCGCAGCTTCCGACGAAAACGAGGAGGCGGTCCAAGGAGGACCCGCGGCCTCGTCCGCGAAAACAAGCAAGAAAAAAGGGAAGAAAAAGAAGAAACGCAATGAGGATTTTGAATTCCAGCAGCAGCGGGAGGAAGTCCGGTCCGTGCTTTCCGAAGAAAGTACGGGTTCCGCCCGCGGGACGCGATTCCACGTTGCGGAGCACGAGTTACCGAGCCACATTGACATCAAGCTCCTCCGGTTTCTCCCACGTGACTACCTTCGGGGTTTGCGCATCACCATGCACGGAATGGACATCCTGCCGCACTTCGAGGAATCTTTTCTCTCCCAGCACAACCCGATGTCGCCACGGACCTGCAGCATCGAGAAGCTGGGGCCGCCCTTTCCGATCTTCTTCGAAAAGGAGCGCAAGGACCCCAACCGGCAACCGTTTCCGCGGGGCCCGACATTCCCCGAATTTTACGTGAACAGCCAGGACGACCTGAAGAGCTTCGGAAAGTTTCCCGGCTTCGACGCGCTGGAGACCAAAGGGGAAAAGCCACGGCTGGCGAAGCTGAAACAGGCGGAGGAGGACTTGGCGTATTGTGCGGACTCCGCCGAGCAAAAGCGCCTCCTCCGCTACACCATCAAGACTCTGACCGAAACGCAGGACAAGGCGTTTGCCTCGGAGAAACTGAAGGAGGAGTTGGCGGAGGACGAGCTCCAGAAGCGGCAAAAAGCCGGCATCCAGCACATTCCGCACACCGACCCCGAGGAGCGCGGCGTGAAGCAGTCTTCGAACACGAAAAACTGCGTCGTGGGGCTCGCGTTTCCCGACCCGAATCCGTCTCTGCTGCAGTGCACACTGAAAACAGCCCTGTTTGATCCGGTGAAGCTGCGGACGCACCTCTGGGCCAACCCCCGCCGCGTGAAAGACGACTGGACCGGCATGATTCGGTTCAACAATTTACTAAAGGAGGGTCTCATCCCGAACGTGTCAATCGACCAGGCCTTGGCGTTGGACGAGGCCACGTTTTGGGAAGTTCTGGCGATGAACACGTTCCCGCTGAGCGGAACGCGGCGCCGCCGGTTCGACCGGTTTTGCCCCGACCGCAACTTGATTTTTCGCGACACGCGCCCGGTGCGCGTGCGCGGCGAAAAGAGCGCGGGCGGCGTCGCGGACCTGGAACGTCGCCTGTGGGTGCCGGTTCGTCCCGGAATAACAAACGGGCCGCCGTCGGCAGGGGGCTCTTCGGCGATCACATCGGGAGGAGCGGCGGCCGAAGCAGTTGCGGTGGTCCCAGGTGGACCAGGAGGAGACCAAGGTTCTTTGGCAGCGCCGCCTGCCGTTGCCGTTGCGGCGGCAGCTCCGCCGGTGAAACTGCCGACGCTGGGTGGGGGAGGCTTGTCGACCATGCGAGCATTGGGGAAGTTTAAACGCATGAAGGGGAAGTCCCCGGGCAAGTCGGTAGGATTTGCGGAGGGCGCCGAAGTCACCACCTTTGCAACGGGAGGCTCTTCGGAAAATCATGATCAATCCGTGCTGCCTACTGCATCTACTCCTCCGCCCGCCGGGAAGGACGGCCCTCAGAGCACAGAAGATAGCACGACCCTCTCTTCTTCAAGCACGACCAATCCGTTTGCAGGAGCAGTTGCGGCCGTCGCTAGCAAGGCCAGTGCTTTTACGATGATGAAGTCCATGTCGAAGCTCAAAAGCGCGCTGAAGGGCGGTAATGTACAACAGCATGTCGACGACGAGCAAAACATGGCCAAATTTTTTCCCCCGCCGCGTCGCCGCAAGGTGGTTCGTGACTACTACCTCTTGGGGGGCGAAATCTACGATTCCTCGGATTCTGATGTGGAAAGTGATATCGAGCAGACGAAAATGCCACATCCGCGCACGGGACGCACCTTTGCCCGCGGGGTCGGCTATTACCTGTTGAACCCGGAGCAGATCATTCGGCGCAAGAGCGGCGCGATCGCCCCGGTGTGGCAGAGCTTCGAAGGCAAGGCGGAGTGGCTGGGAGGACTTCAGTACAGGTTGGAAGTGGTCATCACCACCTTAGTGCCCGCCGCCACGAAGATCAAGTTGCTGGGCAAATTTAACGGCAAGCAGGAGGAGAAGGCCCTGCGCTGGGTGCGGAAAAGCGGCGAGGTGAAAATTTTGGAGGACGCCACGTCAGAAAAATCGAAGGCGTCTTCCGCCGCGTCAAGCAGTCGCACGGGCTCTGCGGCGTCCTCTGGTGCTGCAAAAGAGGACAAGGATGCAGCTTCCACAGGTGAAAAGAAAAACGGTTCCGATGACGAAAGCAGCAGCGGTTCGGGAAGCAGCTCAACCGGAGACGAAGACGGCTCCTCTTCATCCTCGGCAGAAACAAGCTCCAATGAGAAGGAACATCAAAACGAAGAGAAGAATCCACAAGACGGAGGGGATGAAGATCCCGACGGCGACGCAAAGAAGAAGGAGGGCCAAGATGCTGACAGCGAGCCGAAAAAGAAGAAGAAAAAAAAGAAAAAGAAGAAGAGCAAAAAACGCGATGGCGAAAGTACTGAGCAGGGCGGCAAGGCTGGTGATAGCGACGGCGAAAGTAAAGACGACGGAACAACGAGTACTGCTACAGAGGAACAGAAAGCACAACTCAGCGACGTCGAGGGTGAAATAAAAGAGGGAGATGATCTTGCCGGCGTGCCTGAAGTGCAGTCCACGACGGTCGAAGTCATAGCGAAGGCGAGCTGGAAGCGCGCCAAGCGGAAACTGGGTGGAGTTCTAGGCGCCATGAAGCGAGGTGCAGGAGCCCAAGACAATTCTGGCGAAGAAGGCGGAACCGCAGGGGGGAATGATAAGAAAAGCGATGACGATTCAGCGACCGCCTTGGAGAAGCAGAAAAAGGATAGTGCCAAGAAGAAAAAGATGATGTCGCAGACGTTGACAACTTTCAAATCTTCACTGCCAAAGATTGTTCCGAAAGTCGCCGCTCCACCAAAGCCGCAGGCTCACGTTCAATGGCTGTCGAAGTATCGTTTTACCTGGGACGCCCGGGTCAGCAAAATTCGCGACCTGCAGCGGGCCATTGAGACGGCCCTCTGCGAGAAGCTGGATCTGGAGAAACCCAATACCGGGCTGAATGTGCAGAAAAAGTTCTCGGGCGCCGTTGGAAAGCTGAAGAACATCCGCGAACAGCTTGCCCTCGGAGATGATGGGGACGGCAAACCTGTTGGTATCGATGCTCAGTTGGAGGCCATGACTAACGAAGCTCCACCGGGCTCGGCCGAGAAGCCCAAGGCAGTTGCGGCGGAAATGGACGACAATGATGGAGCGGATGAGGACGGGAAAAAGTCGAAAAAGAAGAAAAAAGTTTCCTTTGGCAAGGACGGGTTGCCGCGCGAAGAAGGAGGAGCAATCCCTGGAGGTCAGCAAGGTGACGAAAAAGACAACGCAAAGGCAGAGGGAGATGAGCAAAATAAATCCGAGTCGTCTACTTCCGAGGGGAAAAAAGGAGGCAAGAAAAAGGACACGGCCGCGGGGGCGGGCACAGTTGGTGCTCCTCCAGAGGAGCCCGTCGTGCCCGCACAGGTAGCCGTTCCGCCATCCAATTGGGTACTGCGCATCAAAAATTCGGATCATCTGGACTGGCCACCGCCGGAATTGAACGAAAAGCTGAATGACGACACGTACGTGTTCAAGGGACGCGGGAAAACCTTGCTGCACGAGGAAGACGAAATCGAGTGGTTAGACGGCCCCATTGAGAAAGAAGGCATTCTAGACACTTGCTGGCGGACCAAGTGGCAGAGCCGCAAATTCGAGGCTTTGCGCGGCCTGGCGTGGCGGAAGGGAGCGTTCTCGGGCTGTCCCCTGCCTGGCAGCGCGCTGGCGGCGCGAGCGGAGGCCCGGGCGAGCGCACCCGGAAATTTCTTGAATCTTTCGTCCGCCACAAGTCTGGCACTAGCGATTGAGGCGGCGGCTTCCCAGCAACAGAAAATGCTCGCGGACAAAGCTGCGGCTGCACTGGTTCCCAAGAAAGCCTACGCAGTAGAAAAGTTTCCCCGAAACATGATCACGGCCCCGAACTCTCTCCGTGCGATCCACTTCGGCTTTCCGACCAGTAAGCACCGACGGTTCTTCCTTTTTGCCAGTCCGCAGCCCTCGTCGTCGAAAATAAACTACGGTGTAGCCGCCCCCGCGGCCAGTCATCCGGCCATGCCTGCTGGTACTTCTTGTTCGTGGGTTACGTATCGCTTGGACATTGAACAACCGCGCGCTCCGCGCCCTCCTGCTCAAGAAGACATTTTTCCAAAACCTCTTGCTGCGGCAGCACCCACCGAAGAGAATTTGCGAAATTATGCTCCGCCACGAACAGAAGCGATTGGTAAAGCGGCTCCCTTTCTGAAGATGAAGGGTCTCGCAGCTCTTGCCGCTTTTGGAGGTAACAAGCGACCGATTCGCAAGCGCGAGCGCATGCCCCGCGTTGAAGTTGAGGATCTCGATAGTCCATTCATACCGCCACCGCCGGAACTTGTTTCTCCTCCACCAGCGGGGGCAGCTGCCGGCATCGCTAGTGTAGTAACAGCGGATGATATTAACTCAGCGGCTCCAGCAGCATTGCCGGGCACCACGACTGCTGCAACAGGGGAGTTAATTGCCACGACCATAAACGAACACGGGGAAACTGTGCCAGCACACGTTCTTTCGGTACTGGAAGAGATCGAAAACGAGGAGCGTCGGAAACAGCGGGACGAGAAATACGACGCCGGTTTTCTGCCTGCGACAGCAGAAGATCGCTCGGACCCGAATGATCCCGCCAGCATCGTGCAGCAGACATTCCGCTTCGAATTCCACCACGGAACTACATCAAAGCGCTCCATAAATAACGCGCGGCCGCCTTCTAATTCCCGCCCCGCGCCGAGTGCACTCGGCGAGCTCGGTTTGGGCGCCGCCGCCTTTCAGCCAGCGCTGCGGAACTTTTACCGCGGGCCAAGTTACCAGGTCCTCGCGATTCTGTTGTACGAAAAGTTGGACCACCTACGGAGAGGCTACCTGGCCCGGAATGAGTGGGAGCCGGCCCTCGCCGAGTTTTCGGCCGCGACGCTGCACGACCTGGAGGCCGGCGCTGTTGGACAACAACATAGCATGGTAGAACAGCACCCCGCGGGCCTGGACGACGAATTGACGCCCGATGTTGTGATCGGTCGCGCAAATGTCAACAATCGGGACGATCACTTCCGTGGGGGGCGGAAACTGACCGAAGAGGTTGGTGCAAGTACCCGGAGTCTGCTGTCAGAGCTTTCGCTTAAGGGATACGCCACCAACGCAAAAGGCGAAATGGAGCGACGCGAGTTCATGGCCTTCGTGCAGGCTCTGCGCGAGTCGTGGGGCGAGAAGAAACTCTTCTTCCGTCTTCGAGCGATGCTGCTGCGTCGCGCTCGTGACCGCATCCGCGCACAGCTGCTGTCCATACAAGATGCCAAGTCGTGATCAGAAACTTTGTTGACCGGTACGCTGAAAAGTGCGACCTAAAAAGCAAATTTGTCAAAAACGAAAAAAATCATATCGAAAAATTCTGAAGAGAGCAATCCGGGCGTTGCTGACATTTTTTGTCCGCTTTGAGTACGTGTTAGTTGTGTTCACCGCGAAGGCTAGCGTTACTCAACACACCAAAGAAGAAAACGTCGCATGTGTGACACTAGTTAGATCCTGACTTTCAATTGCTAGCCTGTGTGCTGCACTTCCACTTTATGTTTATGGTGGATGTTGTTGATCTTGAATGATTCTAACTTCAAGATGCCCGCCAATCCACCTCACTGTCTGGGAGAGGAAGAATTAAGAGATAGAAGTTAGATAGCTTTTCTACTTCCCACCTGTCGATACAAACAGGACCGAGAAACAAAGCGAAATGTCCGATGGCGTTCGTATTTTAAATAAAAGAATTTAGTACTTAATCAGGATAAAGTCAAAACCAAAATAAATACCTCAATCTCCATCTCCAAAGCTATGGATTACAACGACGAGGAAGACTTCACGCCATCAAAGAAAAGAAAAATGGTTGTGACCTACCAGGAGCCGACGCGGCTCGAAAGCCAGCCATTTGATCATGCCGCGGATGCAATTGTGTCAGATTTGAAAAAGGCAAACGACGGGGCTGGCGTGCTCGCTGCAGAGCACGAAGCAGACTCGCAACACGCGGTGGACCACGGCTGCAATGCCGCCTCGGCCGGGGATGCCGCAACTACATTGAGCTTCTTCGCGTCCGCGCCCGTCGAGGTGGTGAGCTACCTTTTTGCTTTCTTGAGACCCAGCGAAGTTCTCCGGGGCCGGCTGATCGAAAAGGAACTGCGCAACGTGTTGCTGGACGACGATGTGTGGCGGCGGCAGTTCCTCTGTATTTCCCGCACATATCCATGCCCCGGCTCCAGAGACGAGAGACTGCTGCAAAAACTGGTACTTGCTACATGTTTGTATGTGCGAACGTTTTGTTCAGGTGCAACATTGTAGAAAATGTTTCCCGCCACTTGTTGAAAATAGAAAGCGTCGAGTTCGAAAGACGACCACTATAAATCTCCAATTATGTACAATTTTCATTTTCACAATTTCAATTCGAGCGTTGCCATGACCCGTTCGCCGGGATCTTCATCTTCCTCTGTAAAAAATGCATTTACCGCTTTCTATTCCTATTCCATCCCCATGATCATGAAAAGCAAAAAGAAAATATCAACGATCCTGCAGACGCCAGATTTGGATGAAGCACTGCGTCGCTACGAGAACGCTAACGATCAGAAATCTGATGGGAGCAGCATATGGATGTGTCAGAGTTGAAATCGACAAAGTTGAAATAATTTGTCATGCATGATATGGATGCCAGTTGGAACCCAGTTTCCAAGTGGCGCATGACAAATCTTGGTGGCCCTTAAATCCAGTTTGTCATGCTGTTTAGGCAAAGAAGAGCGATTTTATCATGCTACTTTAGCAGCTCGAGCTGTAACCCCAAACAGGCTTACAATCGGCCTCACTTGCCTGCTCTGCAACACACGTACCTCGGGTCATGCATTTTATGCATTACAAATTATTTCAACTTTGACGATTTCAAACCTGACGCTTCCATACAGCAACAGCAAGACTTGTTACGCGACATACCGGCGCTTGCGACATTGCTTGTCCAGACACCTCTTTCTCGAGATATCAAATGTAAAAATGTCTGGGTCTGGAAACTTGTGATGCTGGGTGGCGTATCGTGAAGAGGCCACAAGTGCTGGCTCAGCATGACAAGCTTTTGAGCTTCTAGGTGTTGCCTACTCTGCATGACAAACTGCGTTTCTGCGTGACAGCAAAATGAGGCTCTTGATTAGCGTGCATGACAGATTGAAGTGTCATGCCAGGAAAGCATGACAAACATGCACTCTTCCAGACCCAGACATATTTGCATTTGATACGAGAAGGCGGACTACGATCAGCTATTTTTTTCGTACCAACGAGATCCAACCAGCCCCGCAGAGAGCAGGAACCGGCGGCTGCACTTGTCTTCCATCCTAGCCGCCGCCCGTTTCATGCGGGCCTTGCCAAGGGCACTTCGTAAGACCATGATGCGCAGCCAGGGTGCGCTGCACCGGAAAAAGCTCAACGAAGCGTTCCACCAGTCCCGCCTTGCCCACGCAACCGCTGTGAGAACAAATAACTCACAAACCACCCGGTCGTCCGCAGACAGCATCGCGACGCAGGTCTGCAAGTCCGCCGTGGTGGACTTTTTCTTCCTGCTCGGCGGGCAAATGAGCGAACTGTACGAAGCTTGCGCCGCTGCGTACGACGAGGCGGCCACGGCGGAGGAACGGGAAGAGGACGAGCAGCTGTTGCGGATAAATGTAATCGGGCCCAACGCGCACCGGTGCCGCGTCGGCGCAGACTGGTGGTACGAAATGAAGGGCGTGTTTGGCACGGTAGTGGCGTACCACGAGATTATCTCCGGCGGCCACCTGAACGTGAAAAGCTTCAATCCGGGAAACCCGATGAACCAGAAGTCGCGGGATTTTCAGTGCTACGCCGCGAACCGGCAGTGCACGCTGGACGACCGCAAGAACGAGATTTTCCTGCGCGGGACCGCGCTTTCGTTGGACCCAGCCACCTCCGTGGATTGCTTCAACATCGGGTGTAACCCCCAAGACGTGCAGCGTGGCTTTCCGCGTTGTGTCGTGACAAAGGAACTTCCCAAGCTGGAATTGTTCAGAAAGCGGCAAAGGGGAGAAATCGGGGAGGACGTTGACCCAAATAAAGTGGACGCACTCGGAAATAACACCAAGATGAGCATCGATGCGGCTAGTGCCAGCACCGCGAGCAATGTAGACATTGAGAGCGCCTGTGTGGCTTGTCCGTCTGGAGCGGCATCATCTTCATCCGCATCGTCTTCTGGGCTAGTTATATCCACCTCAGACGGTTCGAAACAACAAGGACTGGCTGAGGACGTTTCATCTTCTGCGACCAAAAATAAGCTGACCACCAGGCCTTTAGGAACGGAGGAAGACAGTTTTATCGCGCTCAACGCGGACTTCCGGGTGCCCTTGCTGGAGTGGATTCACGAGTATGCCTATCGCTTGGAAAACGGCATCTACAGCTACAAGTCAGTATGGCCGGACGTCCTGGGTCCGAAAATCGGATGCGGGATTTCGCTATTTCCCGACAGGGGACCGCTCTGCAGCTCTAGCACCACCAACTTCGTCAAGATCGACGCCTCTGGGCTGTGGCTTGGCCGCAACGGACACGGTGGGGCCGCGCCCAGCGGATTCGCATACTCGGTCCGCTTCTCACTAACTGGCACGGAGGCCGAACGCGGATTCAAATGCTGCCAGCTCCTGCAGAGAAAGTACCTGTTACTAGTTACATTCCATGGCAACATGCGACCATAGATTTTTGAAGGCTGCATATTATGATTATCTATCAGCTTGTACTTGTTGAAAGGGCTGGCCATGAATTGACCGCGTTGAGTGGTCTCTACTGTTCTACTACTGTTTTTATTGTACAACACCGAGTCTCCAACTTCAAATCGATTTCAGGATCGTGATTCAGCGGTACGACGAGGAAACGGATACGTACGTGAATATGCCCGGGACGCCGGTGGTGGGCGCCGCTGTGATTGGCTTGTATCCGCTGCTTGTGGATGGGGGGCACCTTCTGTGCCGGAGCTCGGACCCAAACGACCAGTACCACACAGACTCCCGGCACTTGGAGGATCGCCATTCGAACGGATCCGAGTTTTCGAACTTTTACGACGAGTATGCGGACGAGGAGTGGAAGACACGGTACCCCAAAACCAGTCGCAACGACGTAGGGCGGAACCCCGTGCAAATGGGCATGGGGATGGGGCAGAACGACTTCATGGATTTCCTCGCGTTCGCCGCCCCGTCAAAGCCGGTCTATTTTGTTCCCGGGGAGTGCGCCTACCAGTCACGCACGGGGGACATCCCGGGCCACAAAGGGCGATTCAGCGGGGCCATGCAGTTCGTGCGCGGAACGCGGCACGAGCCAGAGGGGGAGCCTTTCTGGGTCCCAATCGCACCGTTCCCGCTCGAAATCTACTCCGCCCCGCACGATCCTGAGGTCGATCCCTCTCTCGAATACGCATTCGCTTGAGAGGACACGACCTAGTAGACAAATGTAGTTCACGAGTGGTTCTGCGATATTCGATACCCAATTTGTTTTGTTTTTGTTGTTTGTTATACTCTGTGTTTGTTTTATTTTGTACGTATCAATAGCTTACATTCAAAAGAGATTTTCATAAATCATTTTCGCAAGGAGTGGTCCTCGTTAAGCCTCAAAACCATCTTTCGTCGCCGATTCGTGCTCTTCCGAAAGGAACCCGTTATTCTTATTTCCAAAAAAACGTATATGGATACATAGACCTCGAGCCCGAGCGATCAAAACTTGCTCATGACTGCTCTTCTAAAGCATAGGTAGTGGTTGCATACTCGACGTCATCTAACATTTTTTTTTCCCTCTGCCATCGTTCGAGTTCGAGACGCAGACAAGTTTTGCCGCCTGAACAAATCTAGTAGTAAAAAAATATCTAATGACTGATCTAGTATGTGTGTTGGTTTTGTTTATCTACCAAAGAACAGTTCTGTTCGCAGCGCGCTCCAAAATCCGGCGGCTCTTTCGGAGGCAGTTCTATGAATATTTGTTGGAAGGATGATATTTTCCTCCCAAATGAAACGCACAAGGCACAAGCTCTCCTGCTCCTTCGCATGCGCCGTCGCCTTGCACAAACGGCACCAGAGGATCTGCTAGTTGTCGTTGTGTTTGTGATTCCATGATTACTTACAGCGTATGCGTCTAGTTCTACCTTTTCTTCTTCGTTTTTTTTTACTTATGGGATCCGGATCAGGATCTAGTAGGGTGAGTGTCCGATTGTTTTCTTGCATGATCTCTGAAAAGACGGCCTGCCCGCCTGGCCAGAAAGGAAGACCCAGAAAGTACTTAAGTGCATTCCATGGCGGCCATGTGAGCTGGCAGCACATCTTGGTTTCGTGAAATTCTCGCGCTCTTCCATAAATTTGTTTTGCCCATGACAGATGAAGATCTTTACATTTTTCACTCGGATCCGATTTGATTTCTTTTTGAAACAGTGGTTGCAACGAGAGCGGACTAAGATCCAGATCATTCTGAACGAAGATCGCGCAGCGAAGATGAAAAGGTTGCTAAAAATTGTCGGAAAAATACCAAGATTGTATCTTTTTGTGTCTCTCGGTATTTTCTCCTGTGGCAACCAAGGTTCATCGTCTTCCGTCCAGACGGATGTTGCGATCGCCATTTCTGAAACGCGATCAGCATCAACATGAAGAATCAATCCAAGAAGTGAGTCCCTGTTACATTGCGTTATGGAAATGGCTACTGCTACACCTGCTACTCCTACGCATGATCATCACCCATATGAAACAATCTTCTCGTGCATTTTTCCGTTTATTGATTTGTAGCCGGTATCAGTTTGTTTCAGCAATTTGTTGTCGTGTGGAAGTTGCGTTGCTTAATAATCAAAACTCACCGCCGAGATCAAAATGGTGATTTTTGATTGGCTTGTTGGGCCTCCGCAGCTGCTTCGCGACGCCTCAAATGTGGTGGACCGTGCTCCCGCGCCGCACTCCGGCGCTGCAGAGCCCGTTGAACTACAAGGTCGCTCGCTCTCAAAAATGAAGAGAACGACGACATCGTTTGCACTGGGAGAGATGTTGAAAGATCAGGACTCCGCTATTTCCAAAAAGAAAACCCACCAACAAGTTCTGCTTCTTCCCCGGCTCAGTGACGATGAAGATGATGTGGACGAAGATTTAACCTTAGCTGCATCGGAAAAGAACCGTAAGTACGCATCTGGCGAAAATAAACCACCGTCGCCCAGCACGACTGCTAGTTCCGCTATCGGTCGTCACGAAGATGTACTAGAAGATGGCAAAGCAACCAATACACAACATTTCGACTCCACTCCAGGGCACGCGCAGGCTAGTATTGGTCCTTCGAGTACAACTACAAAAAATGATAAGAAGAGCCGCAGTACGGCAGCACTGAAACAGTTGCCAAAACATCACAAAATGTCCGAGTCGGAGCACCTCCGCGACACCGCGTATTGGCGCCGCGTGCCCGGTGCGCCTGATCTGGAGATGTGCCTGCTCGAGGTGGAAAACACGGGCCTTACCACGACGGGTGGACATACCTGGCCGATTGCCCGGGTGCTCCACCGGTTTTTGATGACGGCTTTCGACTGGTTAGGTGTCCGTGAACATTTGAAAACACTGCAGCAGCAAGACATGACTCAAAGGGACGAACATGATCCGGTCCGGAACACGGTGGTCGTCGAACTGGGTTCCGGCACTGGCTGGCTGGCCTTGAATCTGTCTCATCAACTGCAACGCGTTGTCGCGAGCCGCGAGATGCCTTTTGCTCCAGGAGTGACCTACGGATTAAAGAAACCGGATTACCGGATTAAAGACCCGACCCCGGAGGAAGCGCAGCAGTATTGGCTGCGGCGGCTGCATAAGAACATATCAAATGTAAAAATGTCTGGGTCTGGAAGAATGCAACTTGTGATGCTGCGTCTGCATTATCCAAAAATCTGTATTGCATGAACAGCAAAAGAGACCTGGCTTTGGCCACGGCGAGAGGGCATTTCTCGTGCGGTATAGGCATCAGAAAGCCCTCGAAAGATCTGTGATGCTAGGGCATGCATCTCAGACGTCAGGAGTGAGTCATGCAAAATGTGCATGACAAACCTTGCATCCTTCCAGACCCAGACATTTTTGCATTTGATAGAACACCATGAAGAAACACTGGCACGTAATAGCATCCGAACAGCATGGCGCCGCGTTTAATTGGCTGGCGCACAACGTGGCTCGCCACAAGAAGCATTTCACACACGTTCCACGGATAGACTTGGACGCGTATCAACAAGGTACAACTTTCTCACTACTTTCTTTCTAGCACTTTTCTGATGATTGTGATTTTGTGTACTAGTGGGACTCCAGACTAAAGGAGGTGCATTTTTCGAAAATAAAAGAAAAACCATTACATCATTGTTCGTTGACATTGGATTTGGAAGTATCTATGAGAATGGGAAAGAACTTGTCTTCTCTTAGGTAACAACAAGGATGGAGGATCGGCAGAACAGATGTTTCCGGTAGGCAGTGGGTCTTTTGAAGATGAGCAAGAACACGATCTCGAGTTTCAATCGGCTCCATCAACTCCTACTCCACTCGGGTCAGGTATACGAATTCGCTTTTGGCTGAAAGACGAAAGTCAAAGTTTCACACATTTTAGTACAGATGTACAATTCATTGAGCAATTTAGAGTTGCTTGCCTGCTTTGTTTTCGTGTACTGTTCACCATGTTGATAAGAGAAAAACCAAGCCACAATAGAATGGATGGTCCAGTGTCTAGTACATTATGATATACAGATGACGACGGGAAGAACACGACGAGCGACAAAGATGCGAGCGGCACCTTGCTGCCAATCGCACCGTGGGACGGAATACTTGGCACAATGCCATTGGATTGGAAAGAAGATTACGATAAGCGCATTCCGATTTCCAAGATTCTCGAGGATCATTTCGAAGTCGACAAGTCGCACAGCGAAAAGTTCGATTTGCTGTTGATCGGAAGCGATTTAGTCTACAACGACATCGGAGCGGAATGGCTTCTATCAAAGTGCACAAGAACCCCTCGCCCAATCTCACCAGCACTAGGAATCTTCTGATGCCCTTTAGCTTTCGTAGATAAACCGATCCCGTTGACATGCAGCTGTAGTAGCACTGTGCGACGTAGATTTGTAGGAGGTCATGGAGAATCTACAAGTGAACGAGGAGCCACACCGCATGAGCATGACACTCATCGGTACATGATGTCATGCCGAAGTAGCTGCATCGTGTGGAAGTCACTGCCGTTTCTGTCCGTTTCTTTTTGCAAGAGTACAACTTTGGCGTGGGCGCGGAGAGGGGCACTTGCGCACTCGCATACTTTCCCAAAATCGTGTCCAAGATGTTGGCGGAGAACTACAAGTGGGATCTTCCGGGCGGCGACCCCCAGTGGAACCAATTTGTGTACGCGCACACGCTGCATCGCTACTCCTTGCTCGACAAGACTTTCCTGGAGAACTGCAAGAAAAACGGGTTACAGGTCCGCGAGGTCCTGCTGCCAGACCAGGTACAATTCGACCCGCAACACCTCCCTTACGATACCTACTTTCCGAAGGGGTCGTGGCGCAATTTGAATTTTCACTACACCTCCGTGGACCAGATCCTCTACTACGAAGACTTTGACAATTACGACTACGTCTTCCGCGAACAGAGAAGAGTCATTTTCTTGATCGAGCTAGCGGAGCAACCAAGCCCCGTCAACTTGGACGAACAGTGTTTACAACACGGCGCGGAAGATAATTCTGGTACTACGGAAGAATCGGATAGTCACTACAATTCTTATCAAGATGGAAACGAACAGATGATAAACGAGGATCGCGATCGGAATCATCCGGCCGATGACATGGTTACCCCAATCTGGGACGACGAGGACCCCGAGTAGACGATTGCTGATACTTCGGTATTCGTATTTCCTGGTGCTGTTGCTTTCTTTCATCTTAAGGTTCGAACTTCAAATGGTTTCGACATTTTTCCCTTCTGGCAGACCTTTCAATTATAAGTGATGAGCATGTTGGAGGTGGTAAAAATAAGTACAACATAAGTACTATGGAGTTGATGCTGAAGTTGAAGAGCAAGCATGAAGTCTCGTTCAGTTGCGGTTTTGTGACAGATGACACAGCTGATAACCTCTACTCTTTATCAGATACTTATGACGAACCCATCCTGGACCTACTTCGCTTCGCTACAGCCGTTGCATTTCATGTCCTCGGCGCTACATCATCAGGAGGAAAGTGCGGGTTCTCGCACGCGAATGCATCCGCATGGGTGCTGTCTCCCGTGGCTGTACCTACATGATTACAACGCTCAGTGTGCGAAGTTAGAAAACAGGAAAATATGATGGCATACCCTATGAATGATAATGATTTTCTCCCTCGTCCTCTCGTGAATGAGCTTCTACTGCCTGAAAGTCCACTCATTTTAAACATTGCTGTTTGAAAGACATGCTTCGAATTTCCGCAGTACCGACACCTACGAAGGTGATAGACCCGTATAAGTGCCCAAGCGACTACCTGTACCCACACCCATGCCTGCCACCGATCCACCTCAGTAGAGGAAACCACGACCTAAGTCAATGTTACAGATATTCTTAGAAAGATAGAGAATGAAAAAGAAGAACACTATCATGACAAAGCGTACTTCTTACTATCGTTTATTGTTATTCTCCAAGAGGGAAACAAGCATGCTTGTCGGAGGGATGTAAAGACCACCGACTGCAGCACAAAAAAATTTTCAACAAAACAAAAGAAAAGCGACAACGAAGCGCATTTCAAAATACAAATGTGTAAAGTTAGTTGTACTAGTAGTTAGTACTACTCTACCTCTAGTACGACCAAATAAAAATAACAAGACGAAATCAAAACGAAGACTATAACCGAAACCTCGTTCTTTTTTAGCTCACTGCTTATTGTTGTACTTGTCTGAAAAGTATACCCGGTGATCTCGCATCGCTGGTTGGTCGACTAGTGCCACAGCTGCTGCAACTGCGTTGACTTCGTGGCGGCAATACAGCCAGTATAGGACGAGCCATTGTGTTTGTCGTTTGCATTCAGTGCAAATGTTGTACTCACGTGCAGAGCCATCCGGCAGTTTCGGTTTTCCTCCAAATGGAGCAAAAACAAATGGTGGTCGGACGTGAACTTAGAATTTGCGTCTGCAATTTTTAGCAGATCGATATCGGTATGCGTGCAGTGAATGGACAACTATGTAAAATCGTTCTCGGTATTCGCTTCGTACACACGAAATGATTTCGGTCGTCATCGTATGGTAAAACCTACATCTTTCGTGCAAAGCGACTCAAGCATCGTTCTCAATTTCATCGTACAAGGATGGAAGCAAAGGAATTCCGGTGGCTTTTCTTGATAGATTCTACTTTCATCTCAAACTATTGCAGCAAAAGCAAGACCCACTGTATATGAATGTTGTATCCATCATCTACCCGTCTTTGTTATTGTTTCCATATGTCACAAGTGAAAAAATACGTCCAGTAGATCTCAGACTCAGCCTAATTGGCAGAAGTGTTTCACGCGTTCTTCTTGTAGTCTGACTCTTCTTAAAGTAATGTCAAGGTGTTTTCACCTATAATTCCCACTCTACCTGCTGCTGTGTGTCGAGAAAGCCTTCATTTTGTCTTCCTCTGACGACACGCAGCTGCTGGACGTCAAGTACTACTGCGACCGTTACGTATTTCGAGGAGATAGACTTTCATCTTTCCTATTGAGTTTGAGCTGGCTCTACCTCTACTGAATCAACGGTAGTACCATATAGAAATATGGCGGACGACGGCGCGTCCAGCTCCTCGTCGTTGCCGTTCAGTAGCGGCGACGACGAGGCCAACAGCCGGGTGAAGGAGTTGCTGAACCGGTGGCGGCGGAAGCCCGATGCGAAGCAGGTCCAAGTCGTGGTCAAGTCGGCGGCGTCCAAGCTTCTGGGGTTCCGAGCGAAAGCCGCCGCGCGGGCGGCCGCCGCGGCCAAGCAGGTGGTGTCCTCCTCCTCCTCAGAAGCCCCGGCGCTGAGCTCCTCCTCCTCCGAAGCGGGCGCCGACAACGCGGGTGGGGGCGCGAAAAAAGAAAACGTCGACGACGCGGCGGCAATAAAGGCGGAGAAAGAGAAAAAGGAGAAAGAGGCTGAGGCAGAAAAGGAACAAGCAGCTGCTAAAGCCGCCGAGGAGGAGAAGAAGCGGATTGAACGAGAACAGGCCGAAGAAAAGGCAAAAGCCGAAGCGGAGCAAAAGGCCAAAGAAGACGAAAAAGCAAAAGCCGAAGCGGTGGAGCAAAAGGCCAAAGAAGAGCGCGAGCGCGCGGAGGAGCAAGCGAAAGCGGATGCGGCGGCCGCCGAGGCGGAGAAGCAGCGTTTGGAGGCTGAGGAGAAGGCCAAAAAGGAGGCAGAACAAGTGCAGGCGGCAGCGGAAAGTGAGCGACAGCGCGCCGAGCAGGAAGAGAAAACCAAGGCCGAAGCTGCCGAAAAGGAGCGCCTAGCAGCTGAGGAAGTAGAGACATCCAGGAAGGCAGAGGCAGAAGAGAAAGCTCGCGCCGACCAAGCAGAAAAGGAACGACTCGAAGCGGAAGTGGCCGAGAAAAACCGCCTTGATGCCGAACAAATGGAACAGCAGGCTGAGAAGGATCGCATTGCAGCAGAAGAAGAAGCCAGAGCAGCGGCTGCACAAGCAGAGCGTTTGGAGGCGGAAGAAAAAGCACGTCAAGCGGCGGAAACCGAAGCTGCAAATGCGGCGGCTGCGGAGAAGGAGCGGATAGAGGCAGAAGAAAAAGCGAAAGTTGAAGCTGCAGCAGCTGCCCAAGCCGAAAAAGAGCGGCTTGAGGCAGTAGAGCAAAAGGCACGTGCTGCACAAGAGGCCGCGGAGAGCGAACGGCGCGAGATGGAGGAAAATAGATCCCGTGCGGCGGAGGCGCAGGCGTCGGCCCCGACAACTGAAGGAGAGCAAAAGCCCGTCGACGAGGCCGGGGATGAAGCAGCCCAAAACAAAGCGGAACGCGCTACGACTGAAGCGGAAGAGCAGGCCCGTGTTGATTTGGAGGAAAAAGAGAGACTTGTCCAGGCAGAGAAAGAGGCTGAAGAAGCGAAACGTGCACAAAAAGAGGCGGAGGAGCAAGCGGAGGTGCAACGACTCTCTCAGCAACAAGAGGCCGAAGTAGAGAAGGCGCGATTGGAGGCAGAGGAACAAGCAGAGGCTGGGCGCGTTGAACGAGAACGGCGCGAAATCGAAGAGCAGAAACAAGCACGTGCCGTGGCCGAGGAGGAAGCAGAAACTGCTCGCCGCGCAAAGGAGCAAGCAGACACTGCTGAAAAGGAGCTCCGCGAACAACGCGAACGGGAACAACAACTCGCCGAAGCCGAGGCTGCACGGGTTACTGCGGAGCGGGCTCGCATAGCTGCGGCAGCAGAGAAAGCCGCCGCGGCCGAGGAAGAGCGTGCGCGCGCCGAGCGCCTTTTGGCAGAAGAAAAAGCTCGTCTGGCGCACCTGGAACAAGAAGCGCAAAAACTGGAACGGGAATTGGAGGAGGAGAAGCTTCGCAAGGAGGTAATATCAATGGAGAAAGCTTCTTCATCAGCTGCGGTCGCTGCCGAAGGAACAAGCTCGTCCACGGAGCCGGCAACAGCAAGCAAACAGGGTGCTGCAGAACAGCAGCAAGTCGTCCCTTCCATTGCACACGAGGTCCCAACCAGCAGGCAGGAAGTAGGCGAGCAGACACAGGAGCCGCACTTTTCGGTGCAGGATGAGGATTTTTACGGTGGCCCCCGCAAAGACAACAAAAACAAGAAGGAGTACGAGTTGCCAGGCAAGAAAAACTTCGCTACGATGAGGGTAGACAAAAATCGCCCCCAAGATCAAGACCTGCGGCTCGCAATGGAGTTTGAAAGACTCCAGTTGGCCGACGAAACGAAAGAGGAGGTCGCACGACGACGCAGGCACCATCGTCGGGACCGGTCGTTGACACCACCTGACGCGCCCCGGGAAGATCGAGGTGCGCGCGAGCCTGATCCGAAATTAGATCTGTCGGAAGGGGTATTCTTACCATTTTTCCGGCAGGACGCGTCCAAGCCCTCGAGTCGTGGACCCTCCGCAGTCATCATGGAAGCCCCCGGACCCCGCGGTCCCCCAGGTACTTACAACTTACCTTTCCTTGATAACACCTCACACTCACTCTTATGCACATCATATAACGTTTTTATCATCGACCACATGATTATAACCAAAGCATACGCTTTGTTATTGTTTTGCTTTCGTGGTCGGCCGTACTGTTGGCACAACTTGTGGCGAGCGCTGTGAATTTTTTTCTCAGGCACCTGACGAAAATGTATTTCGTCACACTTAAATGTCAAGGATAATTTCTTTTTCACATCAGTTCTCACGGAGCAGGAATTGGCCGCACGAGACAGAGCTGCGAGGAAACAGCCCATCGCGAAGCCCGAGTTCATAAAAACGCCGGGTCCCCCCGGTATTTTCATCATCGAGACCGTCGGCGGCAAAACGGGGCGGTTGCCGCTCTCCCCAATGAAGAAGCCCGAGTTGGAGCGGCCGGTGCTTCCGGCTGCGGGAAAGAGGAGAGAGCGCCACCCGGGAGGCGGCGTCACGGCGGGTGCAGCGACGGCCGGCGCGGCTTTTAACGTCACTGCGTACGAACAGAAACAGGGATCTCACGGTCCGAGCAGGAGAAACCGACCCGCAGACAGACCACACGAGCTGGGAGACTCGGCCAAGAAGTATTTGCAGGAAGCCGAGCCGAGCGCAGATAGTGCCAAGGACAAGAAAGTTGATCCTAAGTTGCAGAAGAAGATCGAGGCCAGCATGAAGTTTCCCCGTCTGACTACCCCCTTCGAGGTGAACACCAAGACACTGTTTCCCGACCCCACGGTCGCCAAAAAGCTTCGTGAGCAGGAGTTCCAGGCCAAGGCGGCGGAAGAAGTGCGCAGCAAGATATACCTGAAGTTCGAGACTGGCGAACCACCAAAACTTCTGGAGGACTCGCACGGTAACGGCTCCTCCACTACCGCAGCCAGTACATTTCGCGAGAAAGAAGGCAAGGTGGAACAACAACAAATGGCGTCCAGTAGCACCACCCTGCCAAGCACGATAAAGGGGTCTTCCTCTCCTGGAGCTCCTGCCGCCGCTGGTGGAGGCGCCGCTAGCGAACAACAGGAGTTGACTCAGCAAGTAGCTTCTAGCACGGTGCACGCCAAGACGCCGGATCATATTACCCCGTCCGGGGCTGCCGCGGCCAGTTCTTCGTCTGCGGAACCGACGAGCAACAAACCCCTGCGCTACAAGTACCATGGCACCCCCGGGGCTCCCTCCCGCCTGTCTGAAAAGGGGGAATGGAAAATGGACCTGGATCTGATTCCGAATCGCAGGTGGCCCATGGACAACGCCAGTTATAAGAAGCAGCTGCACGCGGAGTGGCAGCGGGAGTGGATCAACCAGAAGATGCGCGAAACGGGTAAGTCCGAGCAGGAGCTCCGGCAGCTCATCAAGCGCGAGGAGAAGAATCGGGACAAGAAACGATCTCCGCGCAACCGCGGCAGCTCGCTCTCCCCCAAGGGCCTCCCGGTCGTTGCCACCGGCGGTGGCATCGCCGGTGCGCGGGAAACCTACCGCGGGATCGCGCCCGAGCCGAAGCGCGTGCTGGAAGGTTCCCCCGAGCAGAAGCGCACGCTGCCGCTGAACACGGGACAGCGTATCGACATCGACACCAAGGAGCGCCTCACCGTGCCGCTGTCGCCGCGGAACCCCGACGGGTTTCGGGACGGGTTCGCCTACAACAGCGGCAACTCCTCGGGGGACGACGTGCTGCACGGAAAAAAGGGTGGAAACAAACCGGTAAAGAAAATGAAAAAGGAGGACTGGTTCAATAGGCATCACGTCATCGGCGCAAAAGACAACTTGACGAAGCAGCCCCAGTTCCGGGACTACTTTGACGCACCAAAAGAGACCATGGACAACATTCGAGAAGGCAAAACGGATCCAATATACTTCGAAGTACTGCTGCAGCAGGAAATCGATATGGGAAAATATCACTAAAGACGTCCCTGCTGGAGGTGCCTTTCTACATATTCGAATCTGAATATGAATTTTCTTTATGCTACGTACTAGGCAAGCGAAATTGCACGCCTTGCGGCCGCAGCTCGTCTAGGTTTTTTTTGTGTCTCTCGTCGAATATAGTTCTACATTCTAGTTCTACCCCATTCCCATCGTATTTCCATAATATGATATTCCGCTGTACCCTGTGAAATGGAAATCTCATCGCTTTAACAAGATCTTGATTTGCACCTTTTTACGTCCGTTGTAGAACCTATCTAGGTAGCTGAGACGCGTGCAGATCAAGAGCGCGCTTTTTATCTGAGTACGCAACATGCGAGCGTGTCGACATTATTTGAGCGGATAAAAAACAACTATATTAACTTATCTCTTGCTTCGGTTGTGCCGTCCGCAGAAGTATCAGCAAAAAATATAAGCGCAGCTGCACTTTTCTCATGTATTGTGAGGCTGAAGCGAGTGCGAGCCTGTGGTGGTTCTCTCCTTGTTCGTAGTAAATGGACGACGTCCTGCTACTTGCAAAAGACATGAACCTTCGAATCAGGTGTGGTAAACCAACGAGAATGCTGGACACAATTCATCGGTCGTGCTATTTGTGCCAGTGAAGGAACTGTGAACAAGAGCAAGCATCTAGAACTCGGTTACGTGCGCCAAATGAACTGCCAACTTATCGTGTTGCTCCGAACGATTTGTCGTGAGCCCATACCCATAGTACTCTGTCGTACAACCTTACCGAGCAAATCGTCATCGGTACCGCGCCCGTCCAAGTGTGTAGCACCGTCTTCGGCCATACCCATACTCATTGAATGAGTCTCATTCGGTCACTGCCATTGTTGAGTTCGAAATACGTCAATGCAATCGTAGTCGTACTACTCGAACAATAAAGATAATGAGTAATCTGAATCTCACTCTCCAGGTGGTTTGTATGAGTTAAGTACCCTTCCCCTCGATGGACGACAAGTCTACCGCTTCGTCCCCCAAATGACTCTTCATGTGGTGTACTTTTTAAGGTTCACCTCAGCACAGCTTCGTGTGATGTAGTACATCAACCCGTGTTGCGAAGCTGGCAGGAGGATAATTCACTGATTCGCGGACCCCTTATTTTTTCAGAAAAATTTAAATTTAATATCAACTTGCTATTGCTTTTTCCCCTCGTCGTCCGATGACAGGTTAGAAGAAGATGGGTGTTAGTGGTTTATTTTTCAACTAAACTTCTGCCTTCTTTTTTCTGCTTCGTTCCCCCCAGCCCAGCAGCTTTTCAAGTTCAGCAAGAGAAAGAATCTGCATCATTTCGGTCCATCATGGGATCCTCTCAGGGTTCGGAAGCAGCTGCAGATGAATATGAGCAGTACGAGTCGCACGGGCAACACGAAGGAACATCATCAAGATCACAGCAGCACGACCACGACCCAGCAGCACGTTTGCGCGCAAGCCAGAAGCGTGCGCGTCGGTCGGCTGCCGGTGCAGGGGCCGATGGTGTGGAGGAGGACAAGTATGGAGAAAATACTCTTAATTCCCCCGGCCGCGGAACAACTGGATCCTGCTCCATGGAGGACTTGTACGAGGTGGAGCGCCGGCTACTCCAGTACGCCGGCGTTTCTGTGAAGATGCGCGATGTGATTTTACCGCGCGCGGGGGAGAGCATCCGGTATGCGCAAGTGCAGGGCACGGGATCGCTCGGCAACGGGCGCCCCATGGTTCTCGTGCACGGCTTTGCCGGGGGCCTCGCGTGCTACTACCGCATGATGAAGTACCTCGCCGAGCGCTGGCAGGGCACTCTGTACTTCCTGGATCTGCCGGGGATGGGCTGCAGCCTGCGGAAGGAGCGGCACTTCGACACGCCGGAGGAGGTGGAACGGTTTTTCGTGCGCCGCCTGAAGTTCTGGCTAGATGTCGTCCTCCCCTGGTACCCAGAGTTAACGACCAAAGGGAAGATGAACAACGGCAGAAGTAGTAGTAGAACAACAGGAGCTGCTGGCGCAACCCCATCCTCGAGCGGAGACCGCATTCTGCAGGTTCAGGTCGACAAGGGACGAAAGCGTGTCCAGCTGCACGAAAAGTTTGTGCTCGTGGCGCACAGCTTCGGGGCGTATCTGAGCACCGCTTTTGCGAACGAAGTGAAGCCGCGGGTGGCCGGCCTCATCCTCCTGAGCCCCTGTTTCGGGTTTCCGAAATCCCGGGCCCCGAAAGAGACGGAGAAGACGTACGCGGAAAGCGCGATCGAAGCTCTGTTTGACATGCTGCATTCCTCGGGCGGACCTGGCGCCATTGCCCGGGACACGCTGGGGCAGAGCTGGGGCGAATACTTCTTCAAGGGGTATCTGCAGCGCTCTTTTCTCGTTTCGCCGGCGGCTCCCGGCGGGACGGGGGCCGACGCACTGTCCGCAGGTGGGGTAGTTGTTGGCGGCGGTCGCAGAAGTACCAAAAATGGCTCGTACGCCGCGCCAGCCAGCCGCCACGCGAATGCGCTTGCGATCCCGAGTGCAGCAGCAGGTCCACCTCGGGGCGCGCAGCACCACGACCAAAGGGCGCAGCTACAGCTCGACGATGGTCATGCCTCCGCGCAGCGAGACATAATTTTTGACCAGAACAGCAGGAACATCAACGGAACACCAAGACCAGGAGGTGTTCATTTTCATAAGCAGGCTTCATCTACCGACGCGCAAATGGAGCGTGACGCCCTGATCGACTACCTTGGCGCCATCAACTTCGATGCGCCGCGCGGCACGGAGCGCGCTTTTGGTGCCGTGTTCGGGAGCTACTTGGTGAATAAGGCTGAGATACCGCTCATCGAGCGCGTGAGCCTGGACGGGATTCCGTTGATATCGTTCTACGGAAACGAGGACTACATGGATAAACAGGGAGCCTCGTTTCTTGGTGACGTTGGCGTAATTGAGGGCGGCGTCACACATGTGATGCAGTTGGAGTATCCAAGGCTGGTCACTCGCTGCATTCTCTACTTCGTGAAGCACCACATAGAAGAGACACCCTGCTGCAGCGACATAATCTCCGAGGTAGGAACTGGAACCACTGCAACCACGCAGCATCAAGAACAAACCACGGCTAGTACGACACGAACTGGATCTTCTACTTCAGCGGAGCCTGCTGCTTGCGTGCTACCTGCTCAAGAAGATCGTCAGGAGGAGGAGCGTTTGTTTTTTGATCCGCTCCCACGCACAGAAACTCAAACTATTGGAGCTGCCAACGCGTGGTCTTCACAGTACGAGAGTTTACCGTTTGTTGAAGCAGCCGAGGAGAATGATGAAAAAAGAGATGTTGAAGACGGCACCAGTGGCGCTTCCAACGTCGAAGTTCTTGCTGATCATCAAAATGAAGGCCAAATGCAGGTCGGCCGCCGTGCGCGAGGATCAAGCGATGCTTCCTCATATTCAAGTACGACCGCTTCCACGAGCGGCCAAAAAACTGGAGCGTCGTCCTCCGCTTCCTCCTCTACTGCGGGCGGAGGGGAACAAACTGGTCTCAGGCCGACAGATGATGGCTTCTTGGAACCCAGCTACACTGGTGTCAACCCACCTGATACTAGCGACGCCATAGCGTCCGTAAGCTGCAATGTCAATGAGCAGCACTTATTGGACCACAGAGGACACGACGACGAGCAGGGACGAGGCATGTTTGGACCCGGGCCGCCCAAGGGGGAGATGTTGGCCACTCCTTCTTGTTCAGCCTCTTCAAGAGTTGTGAACAATAAGACGCCAGCGGTGTACATCGCACCACTGCTTCCGCATTTGGCCCAACCGCCGGGATCATCTTCACAGCACGACCTGCTTCAACAACAAAATAGCACCAGCTCCATTGGCTCGAATAAAGCTGCAGCATCCCTTGGGGGCGACAAGTCATATTCCCGTCGGCCCTACAAAAAGATTGTGAAGCTGAAAAAGCGAGCGGGAGTTTGGTGGTTGCCGTACGAGACTTCGCAGGGCCTAGCCGACATCCGTGAATTTCGGAAGGATTACGACGGGACGAACCAAAACGACGAGGATGTGAATGCTGCCAACAAACCGAAACCCAAGGTGAAAATTGAGATCAGACAGCGCCGAGTACCCATTGTTTACGAATAGTACTGTGAGTATGATATCTCAAAGTGTTACAGGCAGCACGACCCCGGCGTACTTATCACTCGCTATTACTCCCAAAGCATAATAATTCGCTCACGCAGTCGCTGATAGTTCTTGCTCGAACGAAAAGGCGAGAGAACCCTGACACCGAAATAACCGTGTAACCGTAATAAGTCTCTACTCACTGCCTCGCTTGCATTTCAATTTCCGTATTGAAGCTCGTTTTGCACAGAAAAAAAAGGAAATAATGCTACAAGCGCCGACTGAAAAATTGTGTTTTCGTCCTTCTTAGAGGTGCTTCTGACTTCCTCCTTGATGGCTATGCTTGTGCTACTTATACGAAGATCAAGACTCGGTTCCCCTTTCGCCTGTTGTAGGCGTACTCGGTCCTGTGCTCCTGTTTATGCACAACATAAGAACTTCGTTTTCGGTCCCTCTCCACGTGAGTTGCGCCAACTTCGGAGACTGAAATCGGATTGTGTATTTCTGCTACTTTTATCGGTCTTGTTGGTGTTGGTGTGCCCGCTCGCATGTAAAAAATTCGGTGTAGGTACCTGCTGGCTAACATATGTAAGATATAGGCGAAGGCCGTCGAATAGAGTATGCAAATGCATGCGGCACAATAAAGAAAGTACCGATCCGAAACATCAATTGGCAGAGCAAGCAGATACAACTTCAATAGCAGACTCGTTATCCTCGCGCGACCAAAAATCTTGGCATTGCAACAAGAAACGGACACCCGATCTTCTATTTCGAACATTCACCTCAGGCATCAAATCCCAAGCACTTTGGTTTTTCCCTACCGAAAACTTTATTCACATGGAGGTTCCTGTAGTCACTCTTACTAGAGGATTCCCCTACCTTAGATGATAGATCGACAATGATTCTACTTGTTCACAGCAGCTTCTTAAAGTGGTTGCTCTTACTAGCGGTAGAACAAAACTAGTGCACTTTCGACGCCGGAACAGTTATATATACCGTGATGCATTTCATGTAAGTAGAAGTACTACAGCCTTCTTGGGGTCGGGGTACTTCTACCGCGCCGACTCCAACAAGGTCATACACAATAAAAAGTGAATAATGGGGGCGGAAGAGTCGAAGCCCACCGAGGATCTGCAGGAGATCGAGCGGCGATTGTTGGAACATGCTCGGGTTCCGGTGAAAGTGCGCGACCTGTTGCTGCCGCGGGCGCAGGAAAGCATTCACTACGCCCAGTGTGAGGGGCGTGGGGAGATAGGGAACGGATTGCCGCTCGTGGTCATACATGGCTATGGCGGCGGGGTGGGTGTCTACTACCGCATCATGAAGTTCATGGTCGAGCGGTGGAGCGGACCCATCTACTTTTTGGACCTGCCCGGCATGGGTTGCAGCATGCGGAAGGAGCGCCACTTTGAGTCGCCCGAGGACGTGGAGCACTTTTTCATCAAGCGACTCCGCTTTTGGCTAGATTCCGTCATCCCGTGGAAGCAGGAGCCCGGGGACGAGGATGCGGCGGAGAATGGCGATGCCTACCCCGGAGTAGGTGTACAACCCGGAAGTGATGACCGAGCAGGGGTAATCCCGAAAATGCCAGCATCGTCCCTCCAGGGCGAGGGTGAAAGCGCGGAAAGTAGTAAGAACCAAGGACCGCTGCGCGGAGGTGCTGGCCCAGCTGCACAGGCAACATCAACCACGTCCAAAAGTACTAGTAGAGGAAACAACAAGAATAAAAAGGGTCGGACCGGCAACAACAATAAAACGTACGAGAAATTCGTTCTGGTGGCGCATAGCTTCGGTGGATACATTTCGACCGCGTTCGCGAACACCGTGAAAGACCGGTTGGCCGGCCTGATCTTGCTGAGTCCCTGTTTCGGGTTTCCGAAAACCCGCATGCCGAAAGAGAGCGAAAAGGGCTACAAGGAGCAGATGATCGAGGCATTGTTCGACGGTATGAGCAGCAGCGGCGGCCCGAGTCAGATTGTGAAGGGGATGGGCAGCTGGGGTGGTTACTTTTTTCGTTCGTGGGTGCGGACGCGGTTCGCGACCCCGCCGCCGGAGGCGGAGTTCGACGCGCTCGTGGACTACTTGGTTGGCATCAACTACGACGCAAGCCCGGGCACCGAAAGCTCCCTGTTCGCCGTTTTCGGTCGGTTCCTGACCAACAAGGCGGAGTTGCCGCTCATCGAGCGCGTGGACTTGGAGGGCGTCCCGTTGATTTCGTTTTTCGGTGACGACGACTGGATGGATAAACAGGGTGCCAGTTACCTCGGAGACATCGGGGTCATCTCCGGGTGCACGCACCAAATGCACATGGAGTACCCGCGCCTGGTCACCCGATGCATCATGTACTTCGTGAAGCACAACATCGATGCGCGCGCTGCGCAAGACGGGAAAATAAATGGCGCTCCTTCTATGAACAATAACTCCACGGGGGCGACCGGGAAAATTATAAATGGGGACGCCGAGCGTGAGCTGCAGGAACAGGATCTTGCTGTGGCTGGGTATAATATTAATACTCTTACTCATGTGATGAACGCCAGCCAGAAACCGAAGTTGCGGTCAAAGGCAAGCTTTGAGCTAGAGGCTCCGTCTGATGATGAAGGAGAAGTACAAGCGAACGACGAAAATTATCGCAGCGCGCGAGAGCGTGCGGCCCAGAAGAAAAAAACTGCCATCATCGGCAACACCGGGATGCAGCCGGCACTCTCAGTGCTGGCGGAAAAGCATGGGCAAAACAGGTCAAAAACACCTCCCGGAGCCGAGTCGGCAACTACCGCGTCATCGAACTCTATAGGGCCAACAACTCCTGCAACGTCCGGTGGACCTCAACAGCGAGGACCGAATATTATCAAGCCTGCTCCGGTGGCCGACGTCCGGACCTTCCATGGGAATGTTCGTGCGAGCATTGGCGGACGCACGCCCGCTGTGTACATCGTGCCGGTCGACGGAACGGTGACCAAGGAGGAACTGCAGATGATCCAGGCTCCCACGTACTCCAAGCGTCCGTACAAAAAGGTCCTGAAAATCAAGAAACGTGCCCCCGTCTGGTGGATCCCGAACGAGACGTCAGAAGGGGTGGCGGACTATCAAACAGAAAAATCCCCCCTCCCCATATCGAAATGGAAATCTGTGATGGAGGATTTGAGGTACCAAATCGACTTGTCATGCTAGAAGGCCAAGAGCCGCAGTCGTGGTCTCGTTTGCAGGCAATTTGTCATGCTGTTTCCCACTCTCAGCTGCCTCCTATCATGCTGAAGATGCAAGGCTCCCCCACGCCACCCAGCACTACAGTCCGCATCTTTTCCCGTGTAGCATGACAAAGCTGATTCGTGACAACATTCCGCTTTGATATGGGGAGGGGGGATTTTCCCTTTCGATACGGACATCCGCGAGTTCAGGCCCGACTACGATCCCGAGCTCCTACAGAGCGCCGCAGAGTCTGAAGTGGACGAGAGCGGGGATGAAGGCGGAAGACTCGACGGCGGCCATCAAATTCAGTCCCACGATAGTAGTACCACTCCGCATCACCTGCGTCAACCTAAAATTGCGATCGATATCAAAATGCGTAGGAGACTGATCGAGGACAACTCTGATGCAGCAACTGGTGCCAGGGAAGATTCTGCCACGTCGGACGCTGCAGCCGCAAAGGTGGGCAACAAGGAGGGGAGCAAAACTACCGGCGGCGCGATCACGGGCGGAAAAGCTGGCGTGAGTAGACGAGGGCGAGAACAAGATGAACAAAAAGGCAAGGCGATGAAAGGGTCGTCGTCCAAAAAGGCCCAGATGTTTCGTCCCGACGCACGTCAGGGCGGAAAATCTCCAGCCTCAGCCGCACCGACATCGACGACGACGCTAAGCTCAGACGGTTGGGTTTCCGTCGACCCTTTGGACCTCCGGGACACGGTGGGATTGGATTCAGACACTATCAGATTCAAAAACGACGTTTAGGTGGATATGCCGAGGAAAAATTGCTCAGGCCGTTCCTTGTTCCCGCGTACACGTCGACGTCCTGTAGGATTTTCTGTGACCTCCATGATACTGTTTCTTGTTTCATATCTTGATGTTGATTCACTATTGAGCTAGTGTTGGATTGTTCAAGTTCATGTGAGCAACATCCATATTTTTAGGCGACATAGAGTTATTTTGTGGACGAACATCAAAACGTTTATACAGACCATTGTGTGATTCGACACAATGAAACCATCGTAGGAACTCGAATCATTTTTGCTGATGAAGAGGGGGCACCGAACAACCAGACAAGTTTCGTCGTCCCATTTCCGATCAAGCATGGTATACCGAATAAGTCACTACCGCCGGCATCTAGGCGGGAACTATTGGCGACTAAGTTCTGCGTCTACCGCAATTCGTACATGCAATTCTACCGCGCAATCGAATTGTCCATACTAATATTTAGGATAGTGTTCTGTTTTGAACAAAAGAAAGAGATCTCACTTGTTTGCTTACTCCGAAGCAGAGCCTCGCGCAGTAGGAGAATGCAGGGAGCGCTCGAGGTTCACTTGCTCAAGATCTTCATCTGCATGTGCCTTTTGGATGATCTTCTCGATCCGTCCGTCTCCGTTCTGGTGATTCACCATTTTTGAGGAGAATTCCATGTTTAAGTAGATAAAGATAGATGATGTAGCTCGCGTGGTGACCTGTCTCCGTACTATCAGTGGCGAAGAATGACGGGACGTAGAAACTACAAGTAGATAGTCTTTCTTTCACAATGAAAATTGTGAATATTGATTTTTTAGTTTCCGGTAATGTCAAGAACCATCAGCATAATCGCGCCGAAGTAGATTCCTAAGGAAAACGTACCTACAATGTAAGAGCACTCATCTTGTTTTTGTTTATCATCATCATCATCATCATCATCATCATCACGACGAGTGTGTTGATGGAGCAGGCCTCATCGAAATCGCCTTCGGGAGTGGGAGCGCCAGATGCTCCTGGACAAGTGCAGCAAGCGGAAAATGAACTACAGCCCTCTGTACAACTTCCTGCTGCCGGGACAACGACCGGAAAAAATAACGTTACTACCAGGAAGCTCGAGTTCGAGATTTATCTCGAACAGCTGAAGCGGACCCTGATTTTCCGCCCGGACGCGATATGGCAAAAGAATCCGGATACGCAGAGGGAGGAGAAATGCACGCAGAACGTGTTTGCCTTAGCGCAACTGGGGGTCCGAGCGCTGCGCGTAAAAGAGCAGCAAGTAGACCGCCAAATTGCGGAGGCGCAAAAAACTCTCGATCAACTCCGAGCGAGTAACGACCGCACGCATCAACAAGAGGACGGCGGAGGAAATAAAGAAACCGCTACTGGAGGTGCTGACACCGTGGAGGAGGAGGGTGAAACAAGTAAAAACAAAAAGAATTCATCAAGCTCGTCTTTATCTTCATCACTCTTTGACCTCGAGAAAAAACAGATAGCACGGAAATTCCTCGTTCTCCGGGACGCAAAGCGGGCGCACTTTCGCTCACGAGAGGAGCAGCAATCTCGCGATCAAACGGAAAATGAAAATCGATTTCCCCCGACGAGCAGTTCGAGTGCCCTGCAGAAAAAAGACTTTCTGGACGAGCAACTATCTTCTACCTCAAGAATTATGCACGACGAAAAAGGTGGAACAGCACCAGGTGCGAGGATACCAGGAGCCCCTGCGGCAAACAAGACAGGAACTACTGCAATAGGATCGCTCCCCATGGCCAGTGGAGGAAGTGCACCTGGTCCCACGACCACAGCGATGATCATGCCGACGTCAGCAACAGGATCAGCCCACCAGCGACAGCTACGTGGCGGATCATCTTCTTCCTCTAGTACATCGCGCATGATCGCTGGCGGTTTGCTAGCCAGAAATAGAGAGAAGAAAGAACCCGTACCCGTCGCGGAACTCAAAGCTCTGCAAGCGACGGTAGCCGCGGACAAGGCCCAAGAGCAAGTACAGGTGCTTGAAAAAAATATGGAGAGCGACTTTTTACCCACGCACGTCGTGTTGGGTCCGGAAGGAGCGCATCAAGTAGAACGAGTGAAGCAGGACCACGACCCGATGGCCGTTGGCAATAGAAGGAAGTCTGGTATTTTTGGAAGCGGTCTCTTGTCTCCGGCACATGAAAACCGCGAGGAGGTGGGCGGCGCGTTCATAGCACCATCTGCCGAGCCAGAGGACGACTTGTCCATTTTTATGGCCAGACGGGGAGCTCCTGGAGGCCGAGGCCGTGGAGCCCGAACCCAAGCATCGACCCGCTCTGCCAATAGCACTCGAGCAATACTGTCTGCGGGCGAAGGCGACGAAGCAATCTACCTCACGGATGAAGTGGGTAACGACCGCGACTTGGCACAGTTCATGGTCAGAGGCAGAAGCGGTGCGAAAGCTGCAGCACCAGCACGCGGCGGTGCCAAAAGAAGAAAGGATCAAGTTTTCACTTGGTCAAACAACCGCAGTGTCGATCGGAATTATGCAGGCCCTGGAAGAACTTCTGGAGATAATTCGTCGTCTCCGGAGGGAGGCGATGACCGCAGTGGCTTGCTGGATCGGGACGCAGAGGAAGACGAAGATGCGTGCGATGGTGAAGATGTGGAGTATTTCTCTCAGAAGCCCCTCACCAGCGGCATCTCTCCACTGCACGGAACATCAATGTTGGGTGGAGCAGAACCTGCAATTGCAAGAGCAACAAGCGCAGCTGATGCTGATTTCCAGTCCTTTCTGATGTTCCAACAAGAACATGTAGTAGAATCAGGGCCTGGTACTAACCCACCACTACCAGCTTCGAGTAACAATACCGGTGCAACAAGTGGGCCGACGAGGAAGGACGAGGACGATGACTTTTTGACTGCAGATTTGAGTCTGGAGAACCTCTACGCTACCGCCGCATCGAAGAAAAAAATGATAGAGGATGGTGCTAAGGCCGGATCGGGAAGAAACGCAAACGCTGGCGTTCCTGCTGTCGGGCGATACCAAGAAGCTTTTGCCCCTGCAGGACCGGTCGGGGCGTCTTCAACGATGAAGGTGAACACACACTCTCACTCGCCTCCTCCACAAATAGGTGAGGATGACGGCGCCGCGCCAGGACAAATCACTGCAGATGTTGAAGGTGTCCTGCCAGGCTCCTCTCGACATCAGTCGGACGAGATTTTGGACACGAATGGAACAGCACCTGGCCTGAAGAAGCAGAAAACCAGTGGCAGCGACAATGTCATCGGTCGAGAGGACCTGGTTCGACCGGTGCCGCAGGCCGCCGCGACATCGTCCACATCAAAGCAAAAAAGTCATCAAGATGATATCTTCAGCCGGCTTTTTGAAAGCTCGTCCGAGGAACTTTCTCCATGATACCCGCAAGTATAGGTCTGTCGTAGAGGAATAGATACTTACTCTAGGTTGATCCCTCAATTTTCGGCGCTCAAGAACAATTTGATGTTCAACAAGTAGAGTAAGATGATTATGTAGATAGTGCAGAAGATTCTTCAGCTGTGCCTGCTAGACCCTATCGATACCCGAAAAAATGTGTTGTACCAACGCACAAAAAGCTTGGCGCAGTACAGTTTTAGCCTTTCATCTCTTCGATGACGGCTGTTCATTTGGGCAAGAAACAGCAACACAAGAAGAACAACATTCGGATTCGCAGGAGTAGCATTCGCTTTTCCCGTCGGGCGAAGGTGCCACAACGGAGCGAAAAAGTGTTCATTAAATTTCAAAGAAAAAAGTTTAGATGCAATCGCAAAGGGTCTAAGTAAGTAAGTCATCCGAAAAAATCTCCAAAAAGCTGAACTTGAAGCAGAGTCTTGATGTTGTCGTCTAATCGTTAGGAATTGTCGGGTCGTTCGTTGTACTTGTACCATTCCATAAACACAACTCCAGGGAGCGAAAATTCAAAGCAAAAGTTCGTGGATTCGTTTTCGCGGAAGGTAGGAGCAGGGGTCAGATGTTTGTGGGTCGTAGCATTGCTGGTCGACGTTGGCATAGTTATTCGTCAACATGATCTGCTCCGTGTAGTCAGTCGCCGTTGTGGTAGTTGTTTATTTATTTCTCAACAGCATTGGTTGAATATAGTATTGTGAAAGTGCGGAAATGAAATATCAAAATTCGCGTTCGCGAAAGTGAACATTACATTTTTCCTCACTGCAAAAACTACTCTGCTAGGTTTGAGGTGTCGGGAAGAATTCTTCTTTATCTTCATAGCAAGAAGAACCGTTCGCGTAACACTAACATTAGAAACCTTGTTTGAGGGACAGTTCTGAAGTGCGTGATCGTCGCTTCGCGACTTGGGAACTACGCCCAACAAGCGCAACTGGTACGTAAAATGAAATGATCAGATACGCGCACTCGATTCGGTTCATCAGAAAATGACATACGAATCTGGCGGCACGATGTCATCGACGTTGCTCGTCTGTACTTGGAGCAGGCGGTGCGGTTGCAGCTGCGCCTTCCTTCTGTTCTCCACGTGGCGGGTGCTGCTGGGCTTCGTTTCCGCGGAAGATGACGAAGCAGGATTTGAAAGGCAGATGGGCACGACTTCATCCGGCGGGGAGGAAGATGAGGTGGACGCTACAAGAAACCTGTCTTCTGCTTCGTTTTCGCAAGAAGCAGGAAAATCTGACAGCGAGCTGCACGAGGACCACGAAGAGGTAAGAACGCACGAAAGCACGCTGACAACCGTCAGAGCCAAGCATCCACGGACCACGACGGCGCACAAAATAAGCAAGGGTGACACGACCTCCCTAGTCCGCGAATACGCGGTCTCGGCAGACGGCGATGCAGTTGCAGAGCCGACATTCAGTGTGACGAGCAACGCGTTCTTGGCGACCGCAGACGAGGAGGATGCAGACACGCCGGTAACAGCCGAGGACGAAGAAGATCTAGTACCTTTGTCAAAAATGGAGCTCCAGCCGGCTGCTGGGGGGCAAGCGCCAGGGAGCACAGCTAAAGCCAAAGCTAAATCTAGAGCTGCAACAACCGCCGCAGCGAAAACACAGGGCAATCAGCTGCCTGCTGCTGCCGAGAGGAACTCACCGGCGGCTATCTCGGCGCGCTTGACAACGCACCAAGACTGGCTGATGGAGAACGTAGCTGATGGAGGAACAACTGCTGAAGACGCTGAACCCCCGAAAGCCGACAAGGGGGAAACGTTTCGCGGCAAGCTTGCAGAAATGGGGAGGACCACGTGCCGCATTTCGTCTGATCCGCGCTGGTGGACCAATAAGCACCCCAGCCATCCCGACCTTCATTTTCCTGGGGCGAAGCAGCGCCTCGACGCGATGCTGAAACAGTTCAAGAACCTTTTCACTTCGATGAATCGCGAGCTCGACCCGGTTGATAAAAATGGCGTGGCAACCGCAACGGCAACTGCCACCCCCTTGGATTACGACGCAGACACGAACCCGACGGCGCGAGATTTGGTCCTGAAACGCGGGGGCCTCACCACCACAGTGCGGTTTCGACTGGCCGTTCTGGCGCACGAAACGCAGAACCAGGAGATCGCGGCAGAAGACTACTGCGATGCGCTGCGTGTGTTCGAATCCTCCTTCCCGGAACAGGATCCAGACGCGAAAAGATCCGCGGGCCGGGCCGCGGGCGCCGGGAGGAGGACGAAGAAGAAGAAACAGAATGTCGAGTATTTCATGGACGATCCCAGCAACTATGAGGAAGTGTTCGATCAGCGTGAGCCAAAGTGGCTAAATACACGCGTGCCCATGGCTCAGGACCAGCCCTTCACCAAGTTGCGAAACAAGGCGAAGTTTGGAATCCCCGGCAACAGCAGGCCAGCGGCCCGAGTTTACTCCCGGCGAGATGCGAATGGCCTGCCAACGGGGACGCCACTCTCGTCTTCTCGAAAAGCAACCGGTAGTGACCGAGCGAGCGGGGCCTCAGGTACTGACATAAATCATAGACTAGTTTATATAAAACGCAATACAAACAGAAACAGATACAGAACCACGACACACAGACAGTCCCAGCCGCAACTACGTCGATCTACAGCAATATAGATTTAGATACTGATATCCATGCTGTCAGTGATTTTTACAGAACGGAAACGCAGTATACAGGATAATACTGCAAGTGAAAAATCAGTATGTGCGCTGACTGGTGTTGCTGAGCTTATGTATCCGTCTGCGTGAAAGATGCGCCCCACGCCATCGCGTGCTGTCTAAGGACACAAAAAAAGAATCGAAATACTTAAAATTTGGAAGACGAGGACCTGTTTTTGTGCATTTTATTTTTTTTTAGGGTCGTTCGATATGGATAAATGAAATGGAAAACACACACGATGATAAGGTCCGAGTGATCGGCTCGTCCTGAAATCTTTTTGGAACCTCGGCGATAAGTTCACCGGTCTTAGCACCAAGAAGCCGGAGAACGACGAAGGACTTCGGGCGATGGTCGACATCGTAATCCGGGCACAAGCACAACTGGAAGGAACCGAGTCGACGCTTTCACAAGTTCCGGAAATCGTCGAAATGTGGTCCGGACCGAAGGGCACCGAGCAGGTTATCAGAGCGCACAACTCGTCTTCCCCAAACTCTAACTCATTTAAAGAGCATGAGCGGCAACGCAGAAAAAGAAATGTGGCTTTCGCATGACACATGATCGGCACACGGATAATTGTAAGTGAGTATGTTTGTCGTTCAGTTTCTTGAAGTTCCAAAATCTGCCACGCTGTCACAGTCAGTGCTATAAAGGAAAGATGCGAGCTAGCGCTTAGTAAGTACTTACTTCGTAAATGTTGAGGAAGGGGACTTGTGCACTTTCATCCGGGTGTTGGGCGACCTGACGGCGAGGCGCGGTACGGATGCTGTCCTGTACGGCTGGACTCTGGTCATGCGTTACCCGAAAAGCTACTCTCCGGGCCTCGGCAGCTATCTGCAACCATTAAGCGCCGTGAAGCAGACCGCCACAACGACAAGATACACCACGTCTCATGGCAACTTGGCACGAACCAACGACAAGGGTATTTTTGTTTACAATTTTTCTTTTTCACAAAAAAGAACCACACTCGCCCTCGTCACTTCCTCAGGAGTAAAAGGTCTTGCTGAGACCCTCGCACTTCTTTGCTGTGTGTAAATACGTATTTAATGCCGGCAGTGCCGCTAAAGTGGCACGGCAGTTGCAAAACAGTGAGCGGTATAGTCAAAAACATGAGTAGTATGTAAGTACGCGCAACGGAATATTTAGGCTGAGTATCTTCTGGTGGACATCGCGCATTCACTGCCGAGCCATCCCGGAACTCACTTCATTCATACTATATAGCAAGTTCTTGAACCAGGAAAACAAAACCGCTATCGTGCAATTCTTGCATTTGGATTGACATGATTTGATTGTTTTTTTTTCTTGACATGATTAAAAGCAGCACCTTGAAAACCGTGATCAACACAGGAATCCGTACGACGCAGGCGGGCTTCGCGTTCGTGGTGAGCGGCATGGAGAAATCAGCGAAAGAGGGGCAGGTCGCCGCTGATGAATTTGTGATGGCGCGTTTTGAGAAACGATTGTCGCAGTCGTTCTGGGAGAATGTGCGGTTGTACGGGCGCGAGCCAACGCCCAAGGAGGCTGATTTGATCAAGAGCCAGCGGCTTCCGTTTCGCATGTCCTTGATTCGTCCGGTGACCAAGGAAATCCTGCCGCCGCTGATTCCCTCCTTGAGGAAAGGCAGCGACCGGTCGGTGAAGAACATGTTTCCTTTCGCCGTGCCGGTGCTCGGGCTTCCGCGCCAGCGCTACCGCAAGCTGAAGGTGCTGACCCAGTCGCACAACACCCTGGAATCCTTAGCCCCGGTCGTGGCGGAAGTGAGTGAACCGAAGACCACCGGGAGCGCCACGACCACCGTGGCTTCCGTCTTCATCAAGTGGCAGCGTAACTGGGTCTCCTCCCACGAAACCGGCGGCGGGGGCGTGGAAGATTTCAGTGAGCGCCTGTGGTTGCTGGGCCGCGAGCTCTCGGGCATGTACGAAGCGGCCCAGCGCAAGCTCCGGGAACAGACAAAGGCCGCCGAGAAAGGGTACGTTGCCGGCGCCTCACCGTTGCATACCGTAAACTTTCCCGAGATCGAGGAGCTGCTCGTGCTCCCGGACCCGCGCCGCGCCAGCATCAAAAAGATCATGGGCGAACAACGGGTAAAGCCGGACTGCTTCGCGCAGTGCACGGCGGGATCCCTGCGTAAAAATCGGCGCGGAGGAGGTTCTGAACGATCGGCGCGCGACCTGGACGATGACTCCGGTTGCGCTTCGGAAGACGAGCAGATGCAGTGCTTCCAGGACACCGAGATGTCCGTTTTGGGAGATTACCTCGCGGGCTACACCGGACTGGTGATGCGTCGGGTGCCGGGGTTCGACGGATCGACTTTTTGGCGCGAGCTGCTGCACACCAAATTCACTGACTTTTCCTCCACGTCGGTTGCCACCACCGACCTTGCCGTCGGACCCGGGAGCGATTCGAGCGTCGGCGATCTTCTGCTGTCGCAACCCACGCTGCACAAGGTGGAGCGCGTGATTCTGGGGCACACGGTCAGTGTCCCCAATCGGCAGCATCTGCTGACCCCCGCGTGCTGCGACAAACGGGCAGTTGCTGCGGCTCCGCCGGTGGATTGCAGGTACCACCCTTGCCGGGGCGCTACGTCCCTGTACAGTTTTCGCGACCACGTGCTACCGACGCTGGTGTGGCGGGGCGTGTTTGTTCCCGCGGGGCGGGCGATGATGACCATGCAGTACCTGTTCTACGGACGCGGGCAGGAAAACGAAGCGACGCTGATCCACCAGGACGAGCGCCCGGAAAATCTCATGCTCTGCCCGAAGCCGACCGACGCTGGCCTCAACTTGGTTGTTGAGCACTTTGACCTCCCGTCGAATTGTCAGCCTATGCAGAGTAAAATATGTCTAGGTCTGGAATCACGCCAGAAACCTGTGTAGTAGTTGATACGCATTTTATTCGAATTTGCTTTCGATAAACATCCACGCACTGACTTCTTCTACTCCCTTGCTGCAAATTAATCTTTAGTCATGCATGCAGAGGAGCAAAAGAAAAAGTGTTGTATACCAAGAAGATCAGGTATATATTTATCATGTGGGAGGACGATAGGCATCCATTCGATTCGTTCGAGGAGCTTGACCTCCTCAAAAGCTGTGATGCCATTGCTTGCATCCCAGGGCCTGATCTGGATCACGCAACAAGTAACTTACTTCCTTGCTTGGCAAGGCGCAAAAATCGCATGACAAGCAATATCTGCTCCCAGTCCCATCCAGACTTAGACATAAAATTTGCAGTGGATACTCCCCGCTTCGTCGCTTATTTGCGACCTCTTCGAGTCCTTCTCTGGCATGAAGGTGTTTAACCTGCTTAACCTAACCACCGATCCGAGTGGGCGCGAAGATCTCAACAACTACCTGCCTGCCTTGGGTCTGGAGTTGCTGCAAGAAAAGATTTTTCCGGACCAAGTGATCCTGCCCAAAAATGGGGGCACCGGCGCTGCCGCGGGCTCGGTTTCGGCGGAGGGCATCACGTGCTTTGCAAGCGGGGACCAAATCGCGAAGTACCTGTGGGCTGTGAGCGTTGCGAAATTGAACGAGCGCTGGCATCAACGGAAAAACCTAAAAGCCGAGGACAAAACCATCCACGGGGCCTACACGTACTTGACGCGGGAACTGCCCATCGAGGACTTTGTCCGGGTGGACCTGGCCGCAATCGATTTCGGCGAGACCATGGCGGTCAACCGCGGTGGCAAGGCCTCGACCAAAGGGCGCGAACGGGTCGGAACCGCCATGCACTTTGCCCTGCAGTACGCCTGCGGACCGAACGAGTACGTGGTGGGCGACTCCGGGCGCAAGCGGCAATTGGCGCTGTGTCAGCAATTGTACACCGGTAACCGGTGCGACTATTTTTCTCCCAAAATTGTACCGGCCCGGGCGGAAATAGCGCACCTCCTCTACCTGCTCGTGGCGCCGTGGGCCATGCAGCAGGACGTTTTTTGGTCCAGCGTGGAGGAGAATGGCCAGTGTACCCTGTTCGGCCTGCAGCCTTTTGCTGCCTTCTCCTTCACCACAGCCTACGGGGACGAGATCCACATTGCTTCGCCCAAAAAGAAAAATAGAAGAGAACCGGACAACGTCGGCACCTTGCAAACGGTCAGGCAAGTCTACACAGCCGCCCTTGAGTCAGCAACGGAAAAGGTTTCACCGCTCATGTCGCAGATGGACGAAACCAAGGACACTCTAGACGTATGAAGTGCAAATATGTCTGGGTCGGGAAGGTTGCGAGACTTGTCCTGCAGGTTCTCCATGATGACCCATAAGGTCTGGAATGCGGGACCCAGCATGACAGATTCTGTGAGGTCTCTGTCATGCCTGTCCGGTACGAGAAACCCCCTCTCGACCACTGACTTGGTCAAAAGCAGACAGCTTTTGGCAATCATGCAACACAGATTTTTGCATAATTCAGCTTTAGCGCGACAAGTCTGGATTGATCCAGGCCCAGACGTATTTGCGATGCATAAGACGGGTCGATGAACAACATCGGTATTGGCTTCGGTGCGTATGATTTGCAAATATGTCTGGGTCTGGAAGGATGCAGGTTGTGATGCTGTCTTTGAGTTCGAAAAAAATCTGTATTGCATGACCAGCAAGTGCTATACTAGGAGGTCATTTGTTTCTCATGCGGGATAGGCATCAGGGAGCCCTCTAAAAATCTGCCATGCTAGGTCATGCATTACAGGCATCACCATCAGGGGACGTGAAAAATATGCATGACAAACCTGGCTTTCTTCCAGACCCAAACACATTTGCATTTGATACTTCGTGGATTACTGCAATGCTCACCAACGTCGCAGAGGCGATTAGCCACCATTTCCGTTCGAGCTCCATGTTCACCAACATGTCGTCGTGGCGGAGCAGCAGCGGCGACAGCACTACCAGTCGTGCGGCTTCTAATCTTCTCGACGGCGCGCAAGCAGGACCAGGAGCAATGGATCGAAATGTTATCAAATGTGAAAATGTCTGGGTCTGGAAGAGTGCATGTTTGTCATGCTTGTCTGGCATGACTCTCAAATCTGTCATGCACGTTACCCAAGAGCGCCACTTTTCTGTCATGCAGAAACGCAGTTTGTCATGCAGAATAGGCAACACCTAGAAGCTCAGAAACTTGTCATGCTGAGCCAGCACTTGTGATCTCCTCATGATACGCCACGCAGCATCTTCACAAGTTCCCAGACCCAGACATTTTTGCATTTGATAAATGTGATATGGGAACAATTGTCAACGGCCGTCGTATCCACTCCAAACGACAGTTCTCGCTTGGTCAGGGAGGTCGTTCTTGAAAAAAACGAAGTACAATTTTCAAACTATGCTTCGACCGTGTAGCTGCACCAGCTAGTACTTCGACAGTGGTGTCATCATTGAAAAGAGAAGAAGTGCAACGCATGCCAAGATGAAAAATGTAATTTTGCTCCTTCCGGGTGCTAAAATTAAATAGAATACAACTATGGTCGTGAAGCCTCGACAGCACACTTCCACGCCCTTATCATTGTTTAAAAAACCTTTGTGAAAGAACACAACGTTTCAACATGACTACTGACCCTGAGGACTACATACTTGCGTTCTTGCATAAATCGAGCAACGGGACAAAATTGTCGAGGAAAACGCAGCGGCGATCCGGCTGTGGACCGAGCAAATTTGGGACGAGTCGCGAAAAGGATTGGATTGTAAAGTTCCCGGCCCCTTTATGGGAGTGCCAGAATCGAAATTGACAAAATGGAAAAATTTGTGATGCACAAAATCGATGTCAGTTGGCGCCTCAGGTTTCAAGTGTCGCATGACAAATTTCGGGAGCACCAAAATCCAGTCTGTCATGCTGTTTGGGGAAAGAAGACTGCTCCTGTCATGCTACTCTCGCAGCGTATTTTATACCCCCAAACAGGCTTACAATCGGCCTCTTATTTTGCCTGTTCCCCAATACAGGCCTTCCGTGCCCTAGATTTTACGCATCACAAATTTTTTGATTTTGCGAATTTCGATTCTGACACATCCATACCCTTGCCGAACGGCGGCGCCGAACTGGCAGGCGAAACCTGCTTGAGCACGCAGATTCGCGGCCCACTGTACTACCTGAACACCTTCTTCTCAAAGGACTACGGGAAAAGCCTCACGGGTGTCGCTGAGACAAATCAAAAGGAATCCGGAAGAAGCACCCGGAGAACAAGCTTATCGTCGCGGTGATGGTAAATCAAGACTGAAATAACCGGGGAAGGAATACAAAAATCTATGACTTGTAATACAGCTAACAAGTTGTACAGAACAAAAATGAAAAGCCTGCAGCTGCCTACAAGCCTGTCTCAGTAGTGTCTCAGTAGTGAGCCTAAGATATTACACGACCAACAAAAATTAATATTAGCTTTCTTGCTTCTTGTTGTGCCTATGGTATGCTTGCTACAGAAACGGTCTCGAGTGACAAGCCGTGCGCTCCAACATCTTCAGAAAACTATAAACTCTTGTCTTTACTCCTAAAGTACTAGTTTCAAAATTTATCTATCACGTTCTTCTTGCTACGCAACAGCACCTGCATTTGAAAGAAAATGGGTCTACTCTCTTCTACACGTTGTTCTCTTGATCGTTGTTTCAGTACATAGTTATAAACTTTCGCTTCTGGTGTATGTTTCGATTTGACAATATACTTAAAAATGCACACTGCCCTTGTAAGGAATTAATATTAAAATTAAGTGGGTAATGAAAAATGAGGGATGCCAAAAAGCATTTCAAAAACATCGCGTGTACCCTTCGTAGTTCCTGGAGGTATGTCCAAGTGCAACGCGTCATTAAAAATCACAAAAAGAAGTATAAGCACGACTACCTGCAACTGTATATACGATACTGCCGCCGACCTGTATCCGTACCAGGCTCTTGTTTCGAGGAAAGTTGATTGGGATTAATGGCCTACAGCGCTCGTTGTTGTCGAAAAGCCGCAGTGTTTTTCCCAACTCCTCTGGAAGGTTCTGTTCGATTTGTGATGTTGCAAAAACGAGATCGGAGCAATTTCCGGCGCTGGTAGTTTCTGCACAGATCCAATTTCGATTGACGTTGCTTAGTACTTCTTAAACTTATAGTTTCCCTCTCGACGCATGTAGACTTACTTCACGGTATTATCGACATCGACACCTATCAAGAAAAAAGGCGATTCGCGACGCGGTGAGGCCGCCACTTTATTCACACAGGACGTTTTCGGAAATTTTGATTCCTCCGTTAATCTTCTATCTGATGTATCACCTACTTGCATGATGATGTGCTACTAGCCCTTTGTCTCGTCCAGCTTTCTTGCGAAAGACTGGAATCAGTGTTTCTTTCTTGCTTCACGTTCCGAAAAAGCGACCGCACGCCGACTGCCCGGAGGACTGTTCATTTGCAGTCTGCGTATTATCTTTAGTCGCATCACTTGTATACTTTACCGATGTAGAAGTGTTTGCGGAAGAAGTCTGCAGGGACAAGAAGCGTCAACAAAGAATTTTTTTTTCACTCGGTAATAGGAACTCTTTCGGAGATAGAGATAGTGAAATAAGTGCTTTAGATAAAAATCAGTCTAACTCTAAGAATAGGGTAACAAGGAATCTAGACGTGACCGGGGGGGTCACGTCCGTCCGGCCGGCCGGACGGACGGCACGTGACCGGGGGTCGGTCGTGGCGCTGGGAGGTGGTGGCCGCGGTGGAATGCGCGCCCGGGCAACTAAAAAAAAAAAAAAAGGTCATGAGCTCGGTCCTTCACTGAAGAACTGCCTCTCTTCGTCACGCTCCGCCCCCGGTCACGCGGCCGGGGGCTGTAAGCTAGCTCGGGCGCCCAACTAAAAAAAAAAAGGTCATGAGTTCGGTCTTTCACGGAAAAAGGCACGACTCTTGCCCCTGGTCCGCCGTCGGTGACGCGGCCGGGGGCTTCTAGCTACCGAGGGCCAAAGTTGCTGCGGCATTCAGCGCCGAACTCGCCCCGAGGCCGGACTACCCCCGGTCACGTGCCGTCCGTCCGGCCGGACGGATGGACGTGACCCCCCCGGTCACGTCGAGGTTCCCTGTTACTATATTCTAAGAAACAAGTTGATCTTGATATTGTAGTCTTAAAAAAGAAAAACAAGTTGTGTAGTTCGTTTCTTTGTATTTACCCAAATAAAGATGAAGTCTCCATCTTCTCGTGTCGTGACGGGATTATGTACCTTTCTTTTGACGCGGTGGTGTGCGGTCTCGCATTGAAGAGGAAGTAGAGGCTCCGTCGTTGGTCGTGAAAATCGGCTGCATAGGCGTATAATAATCCTTGTCACGCCTGCATCAATGGACTGACTAATTGTTGTGCCGGTTAATCTTTTTCATCAAGGAAAGAAACCCAGAAACGTCGGACCGAGCTATAGTTTCTGGCTTTCCTCCGATCGATGCAACAAGAAGCCTGCTAGACCTGACAACGCATGATCGTCAGCGCGTTGTTTTTTGTCGTGCCTCCTCCTCCTGCCTCGAAATCAGCAGTAACAGAACACCTTTAGCTGCAGCTGCAGACGCAGTGAACTGCACCTGCCGAGTGGAGCAGCTATTGGAGACAGAGAGGGAAGAACGAAAAACGAAGAGAACTGCTCACGATCAGAGAAAAAACCACCATCAGCTGCTCCCGCTGCGATGCGATTGCGAACCGTACATCCGTGTCCTGACGCGCATAAACAAGTTGTTGATGTTGACAACAACGGAAAAATAGTACCGCTTTTGCTCGTTCATCAACTTGAAAACTGCAGCTCCAATCTCTCTCTTGACATCCTGCTCTGGCATTTTCTCCACCAGCACAGCCTCCAGTTGGGTCGACCACTTCCACTGGATGATGATAGATCGGGCCGCGCGAACACAAAACAACTTGTAGGTTGAGTTGAGATTCTTGCTCTCTAGCTCAGAATGGCACCGGTCGAGTATCAGAACACCGGACCTCGGCGAACGCAAAGCAAGAATATGCAACACCACCAACACGCACACCATCAGCAGCAGCCAGTGAAGTCCTGGCGTCCAAAACAGACTACACGGGTAACGTCTAAACGCAATATTACTCCGGGAGGTGTGGTAGCACCTACGTCAAATAGCGGCAGCAGTCCTGCCGCGTATGATGTGCAACATTGCAAAAGCAGGGAGCATTGTGAGGATCATGGAGATGACCACAGCAAGGATGCCGCCGCAACGCGGCGAAAGGAAGATCAACTACAGCTACTAGGGCATTACCACAACCATGACCAGTCCGCGTTCTTGACTGCAACTGCAAGTGAACTACATCAAAGAACCGGCACAGAACTGCTACAGCAGCACGAGCAACATCTGCTTTCTTCAGAGGTTTCGAAAAAATTTGCACCTCCGCCAGCCCTCATTCTTCGTCACGATCCGGATACACGAGTAGCAAGCTACGGTGGCGGTCTATTGGATCTTTATGGAGAACCAGTTAGCAGTTCTTGTACTTCTTACAACTACAATTCTGCAGCTAGGTCATCAATGCCTTCGAAATTGGAATCAGACCACATCCACAGCCGGGACACGTCGGCAGCAAAAATTCTTATGAAAAAAGGCAATATTCGTAAAAATCGAGCACATCATCCGCAGGAGGACACGACCAGCAGAAGTGCTGCTCCACCTCAACTCTCAGGCGAAACATCAATCGCCGCTGGAATAGCAGCTAGAGCTACATCGAGCGGGGGAGGCGGGTTTCAACATTTCCAGCCGGACAGTAGTACCAGAAGCAATACTGCGGACGTGGTAGAAGAAGTTGCGCCGAGTAATATTAAAAGTCGTCGGCGCGCTCCTGGGAGCAAAAAGAACAATCCCGCGTCTTCATCATTTTCCTCCAACTCGTGGTCTTCTGCTTCGGGAAATGCAACGCGTAACATTTCACGACCGGTCGCAGCAAATAAATCGGGATCCCATGATTCTGCTCGGGTAGAGTGGGATCATGAGTCGGCCGCTTCACGACCAAACCCAAGCTCATCTACTTGCAGGTCTGCCGGAAGCAATCGTCATGGTGACCATAATATTTATCTTGCCAACGGGAACGGCCCCAAAAAGGACGCGACGGCTCATAATACAAGTACAACCCGGCTGCAACATAAGCACAACAGCTCCTCCAACAAGTACGTCGCCGATGAGTTGTGCGCAGGAGCAGGCGCCACAGACGAACCACCTGAGGACGACGGCGATGAAGGTGCTGGTGGTGCGCAACAAGAAGGAGAAGACCGGCACGCCAAGGCTAGGAGGGCAACATTCTCGGGAGTAGACCACAACGCCGCGCCCAGGAAAAGTTCTCCTGCTCTGCGAAATAAAGCACTTCTCGGGAACCGTTACGATGAAATCGTCGGAAGTAGAGCTTCAACTTACACCGATATTGTAGACGAAGGCCACGTCGTGGTTGAGCACCGTCGTCCTCCGGGTCACGCATCAACTGAAGAATACACCAGGAGGAGCGCGCGACATCAGTACAACCGAGAGGTGGAGTGGATGGAGGATGCTGGTGTAGTACAACCTGCTGTGGAGCTGTTGGAGGCTAGTAAGACAACTTCTACAAGAACCTCTTCCCGTCGTGATCGAGAAAAAAAGAAGCACGGCGCACCAGAACACGAACTCACGAGGACCACCACTGCCTCCAAACGCGGTGAAAATGAAAACAAACTGGCGATGAGCACTTACGACCATAAAAATATTCCGCGAAGCAGCAACACATCACGTACAAATAATAGTACTTCGTCGCATGCGACGCCGAACCCTTACACGAACTACCCGAAGGATCACAAGGATGTAACATGGACGACATCTTGTTCGTCGTCCGGAAATAAAGCTAGGAACAAGGGCACCGCTGATACCTACTTGAACAAGACAAAGTCCGAGCAGGAGCAAGTGTTGTACGACGACTAGGCAATGCAAAAGTAAGTATCGCATTCAGAACTAGAATTGCAAGAATACAACAACTACATGAGACTCTATAATTTACAAACAGCTCCAGAAGGAAAAAAAGTGCAATGTGTGATGTGGATTCATCAAAGAAAGCACGCAGCATGCAGTACTGTGCAATTAGTACTTCTTAGAGTGCGATACAACTTTTGCAGCGGATACCGACTACGGTGTGACTATTCAGAGCGTCGGTCACTACACCACCGGGAGAAGTAGTGCTCCTGCCGATGTTGATCAACATGGGCATCACGACGATGAGTGGAAAAACGACCACAACCATCGCAAGTCCGCACGCAGCACATCTTCGGCGTTTGGAATTATGGACCGAACTGGTACCACCGATTGTGTCCAGATTACCACAAATATTTCTGCGCCACGGGAGATGATGTTGACCACGATGAATCATAATCGTCCTGAGGACCTTCCAACTCTTCCAAGAGATGAGAAGAAACCTCGCGGCCGGCCCGATGAACCGGAACAGCGGCCGACACCACATGAAATGAATCCATCTCCTACTGTGGGAAAAAATTACCAGCTAAACTCGGAAGTAGATTCTCGCAGCCGAGTAGATGTGGAACACCAGCTGTTAGTATCTACTAAAACGTCCGCTACCGCTGCCACAACTTCTACCGGGAATCATCAAAGCAAAGCTGCAGCTGCTGTTGAAACAAGCCAGCACCACATCCCTGGATCGGCGAGCTGGACGTCGAGGGATCATGAACAAGAAACTTCTAGTGCGCATTCATCTTCTCGCACCGTGGCACAGCAAACAAGCAAAAATCGAAAAGCAAAGCGTGTGACGCGCTTTCGGAACGTGAACGAGGCCGAGGACGACGAGGAGGACCACGAGGACCACGTGCCTGGCGATGACGACGAGGAGAGGACTTCTCACAGCTCTGCCTCTCGCCGGGCGAAAAACTACACAAGTTCTAGTTCTACTACATTTCCGCATGTTGTTGACGGCCACGGGGTGGATCAGGAACAGCATGCTGGTGTCCGCCAACTACACGCTCCTTCCGCTGCTCCCGGGCAGCTGCCAGATGATCCAAAAGCTGTCGACGAGCGCCCCATGACCACCTCCAGAGTAGAGACGGCCGGAGGTACTAGAGGCTCTTGTCGCCCCAGCAGCAGATCATCAAAAACTCATACTACTGGTGGTCAACACACTTCTACCACGTGCAGCGCATCAGCGGCGGCAGGAACACAGAGCTTTGCAACTTCTCACGGAACAAACGCCAAAGGCAGTAAGAAAACTAGAAATAATAGTACCTCTGCCTCGAACACGAAAAAGACCACTCAACATGAGTTGTACTATCACAATTCCGACAGAGGAGAAGCACGAGCACCCTATGAGCCGCCGCAACAGGCGAACGCCACAACAGGGACAGCGGGAGGTGGTGGTCCAAATACTAGCAAAAATCACTGTGCCTACAAGAACGGTGCTTCTTTTTCCACTTCTCAACAAATAAGCAGTGGTCAGCGCAGCGAAGCAGTGAAGAACATCTTCAAAGTGGAATGGCACAATGGTGAAGGCGTCAAAAACCTGCTTCATCACCAATACCAAAGTAGCACGACCAGCAGTAATTTTGGTAGGAATTCTGCAACATCAAGGAGGTCTTTGATACCCGGGGCAAAAACGTATCATCCAGCTTCTGTTGACCAGATGTGTTGGCTAGGGCAGCAGCAGCACAAAAGGAGCTTGCAGGCCATGAGCAAACGAAACCGAGACCGGGGCAGCGCATCGGTTATGCCGCAGAAGGAAGCCAAGTAGCACTAGTATGTCATGGTTGTACTTCAAGTACTAGTGTCACTACTTGCGACGCGCAACAATAAATACACGCCAAAGGGTGCTATGGGTATAATGCGCAGTCTCCTAGACAGCATGCTGAGCCGCGCTCGCCCGTGGCGAATTTTTTCCATTTTTCGTTCGCAGTGCTATTTGTATTCAGTACACATGAAGATTTCTATGGTGCGGTACTAGCTTTTTTCTGTGTGATATCGGTCCTGCTAGACGACCAGCTTCGGAACATGCCGCCGGACTACGATTTTCTAAACCGTGGCGGAGTGAAACACAAGTACGATGGTGTCAATGAGGCCGCGGAGAAGGAAGCAGATGACCAGGACTTCGTTGAAAGCCTGAGGGTTACGAAAAATGCGTCCATTTGTAGTTCTCAGGGTCCTGCTCAGACTGGCGATCATGGTGCGGCCGCCTCTTCTGTCAATCGAACTCGAAGCGGGCGCAGCTATAAGCAAGATCCGTACAGCCATGATGACCTTGTCGATCGATCACGTGCGAATGTCCTGGTGAGGGCTCCTGCTCTGGGAACAAATGGAAATCATCAACAGTTGTCGGGTGATGTAGTTACAGGAGGTTTTATTGACCCTGCAATGCCAAATGGTCGTCCCGGCAGCTTCTCGGATCATACGGAGGCCGTGGTCGTGGGTGCCGATACCTGTTCCACACGACCGGCTGCGGAGGCGAGTCGTTTAATATTCCGAGAAAGTGCCAGTGCTTTTCTCAATGCTCACTACACTGCCCAGCAGAATTCGTATGGGGTACGAGACCGAGACCAGCAGGACTACTACAACGTCCAAACTCATGAGCATCCTTTTCAGTATCAAAGCGACAGCTCCCGCCACCCCGACCCGCCCCGGACCGCCGGACGTCAAAACCAGCAGCGAGGAAGCTACCAGATGAATACTTCTACGTCCCTATCTTCAGGCAGACACCAGCACCACGAAGAAGTAGTAGAGGATGCGCGGCAGGATGACACGAGGACCAACACAAAAAGAACAAGTGCTTCTTCCCAATTATATCGCAATTTCCCTGCTGATTCATCAATCAGGATGTCCTTGTACCCCCAGACACATGGTGTTCAACATGTGAACTACGGGCAACTACCGCCTCCGTCCCTTTTGAGCATAACGCGAGACCATTTTCAGAAGCCGCGTTCTAATTGTGCGGCTACACTGACCGACGGCGGCCCCTCCTCGGAGGACCAAATTCCAGATCAGATGCGCAGCACCGACGAGACGCAAAACGAAGATGCGCAGCGCCGAAGGGGCCCCGACGAGAATGCTGATTTCGCCCCAGGGGCACAACAGCTGGCTCACCGATACGGAGCACCAGCGGCGGCCGCCTCCGCTTGCAGGTTCCCGCGGTCCTCTGTCCGGCTATGGAATGCAAATTAAATGTCTGGGAGGTCTACACACGTATCCTGCATCTTCTGGGCCTGCAAGAACAAGGTCAAAGTCTGAAATGCACGCACAGCCTGGTCATGACAAGATCCGCGATGCAGGCGTTTTCATGCGTAGCCTGTAGTTAGTGAGAAAAAGTGTAAGGTCATTTTTGGTGCCTATCATGCAAGACAGAGTTTTGTCTAGTCCACACTGCGCATCGCAAGTTGCAATATTCCAGACCCTCATGACATTCTTGCATTCGATACCGGGGAGACAATCGGAAAAATGTCGACGTTCATGCTGCTGCAACTCCCGCGCATCTGGCAGCACGTGGTACAGGAAGGCAGTCGTGCGCAGCAACCGGCCTTGCAGGCACCACTTCTTCCGGTGATCCTCATTGTCGGCCTGCAGCATCGGCTACGTCGACGACGATTTTTCCACGCGTCGCTGCATCGGTGGAGGCTCCTTCGTCTACCGTGGATAAGATACGAGCAGGTGGCGCCAGCACGGTGCACAAAGCTTCAGACGCTCGCAGCCCTGCGCCTCCTCATCAAGAGGAGCCCATCGAGCAGGAGCAGTCGTCTTCCTCTACAAGAAGAACTCAGTACGAAGCCGACCACACCGCCTTCTTGGTATCTGGGCAACCTTATTTCACAACCGCGTCTGCACGTAGTTCCGTGGAGGACAACGATAACGAACATCAAGCGGAGAGGGAGACCAAAGTGAACAAACGTGGCGCAAAGGGAGGATCCGGGGCTACAATCGCTTCCAGCGAGGGACTTTCAGGAAGGTATGGCTTGGTGCATCAACTTCTCACTCTACTTTCTGAGGAATATTTTCATCATGCATCTACTGTTATTCGTGATTGAACTGTTCAGAAAATCAAATCTTCATTTGGTGTTTCGACTCGCGACCAAAAAAAACAAATAGAGATTGAAACTTCACCATCAGTGCGCCAAGTCCATGGCACAAAACGTTGCTGGGGAGACCGAACGACGGGAAAGGCCGCGCTTCGCTCCGTGCGGTAGACGCGCAGACGAGGAATCGGAATCGGTCCAATGGATATAAGTACCGGCCTGGAGTAGATGCGGCTAGCGCCTTTGCTGCAGTGCACGAGAGCGAAAAGACAGGACCTGCAACATGCTCATCTGCATCATCTGAAAATGAACAGAAGAACGAAGAACCGTCAAACACAACAAGTAGGCCATCAATCGAATCGGCGCACGACACTACAAACAAGGGTGGCCGTGGCCGTCAGGCATCCGCGTCCTCGGTGTCAGGGCATCAGTCGCCACCTGCCTCCTCGATCTTCGAGCGTAATGGCACAGCAGCGAAAAACTGGAATGCAGGCCGGGGGAAAGGTGTGAGCAGTCGCCACCTAGAGCTAGAATTGCAGACGGAGGTGCCGCAACATCTGAAAGAAGTGAATCGGGTTGAGGGCGGACTCCTGACAGCGAACGAGGATGGAGCAAGCAGCATAATTGCAAATAAATGCAGTGCTGGCAGCGCGAGCAGTTGTACAACTAGTAGAAGTGCGGGCCTCGTCCACGAGAAAAATCACAAAATGAAGATGAGCGGCGCGCAACTGGCACAGCACGCAGTTGCACCTGGAGCGGCCGCGTCCTCACGCCACTTCGTCCCAGCTGATGGCGACATGATCATCGGCGCAGTCGACAAATCGTCAAGCAAGCAAGCGGACAAATTCCGTGTCGACCATCATTATCATCATCAAAATCTATTCGCTGGTCGTCAAAATGAAGGAACGAAAACCCAAACTACTGTCCGGGAAGATGAGCAGAAACCTACAGACAGCAAAGAAAACCCCGCCACCTGTGGCCACCTCTCAACAGCAACACAAGAAGGCGAGCAACATCCGCGTAGGGGGCGGCCCACCGTGGTAACCAACAACTACGGGCAGTCTGGCTTCGCGCCGTCCTCCGGCGAGCTTGAACTTGGCCATGGCACCAGGTCGTCCGGTACAACTAGTAGCACATCTTCACTACTTGGTACTGCGCCACCGGTAGAAGTTCAGGAGCACTTCGGCGGTGAGGTGGAGCACCGGGAAATAAACCGAAGCTACAACCTAGTTGGACCTCCATTCGCGGGTGCTGGCCGCAATTCAGCGGCACTCTCCGTAGTTCCACAGCAGAGCAAGCACCCCCACGACCATCGACACGACCCTATGGGTCGCGTCGTGTCTTCTTCAAGAGGACCCCCAAGGAGCGCAATAATGCACAGCATCAAGAACTACAGCAATGATGTGCAACCACTGATGGCAGCACCAGTCGTTGTTCTTGAACAAATACACAACAAGCCGTCCGCCTGCACCGACAACAAACCGAATATTTTGAGCCATAATATGTTGGTACAACCCAACAGCTCATCTTACGGCAATAGAGCGGACGTCGATCCGGCTCCTGTGCTCGAAGATGGGGACGAGACCCCACCTCCGCCGCCATTTCCTCCGCCGCACGATGGGAGCGACGAGCTCTGCTCTCAGGACGATCACGACCAGCAGCCCTTTGGCGGGGTTGATCAGCATTCTGTTGTTCTGAGACCGAGTTGTAGACCACCGGCTCCACTGTCGCACCTTCACCAGCACGAGTGGGAACAACAAGTTGGGGCGCCTCGCGCACAGCACCACCACCCTGCTCTCCACTTTGCGCATCAAAACCATCATGCCATGGCCGCTCACAGCGCCCCGCCGTCGCACCACATGTATCCTCAAGCAACGACAGATGGGTGGGCTCCGAGCAAGCTGGGTTTCTTCACGACCGCCCCACGACAGCACGTCAACCACATTCACCCGGAACACCACCACCAAGCTACTTACGACCCAAATCAATCGAAAATGGTACAACTTTTTTATATGCATCTATGACAAAGACAATGTAGTTTGACGCTTTGTAATTGTACTTCCTTGTAGTACTCATGTCTCTGTTTGTTGACTCGTCCGTAGTGCCTGTACTTCTCATGTCTCTCTTCGCACCAGGCTTCAACCGCGGACCTCGACGTTTATACCATGTTTGCGTCACCGCGAGGGCCGTATGATCCTGGCCGGCATCCCATGCAACAGTTCCACCATATGGAACAACATCCGAGTCACAGTTTGTACACAGCTGGCGTGTACCAACATCATGGCGCAAGCGGATCCTCCGCTTCTGTCCCTCCGCACCATCACGCGGCGCACCGCCACTTGCACGAACACGGCCTAAATTCGCTCGCCGCCACGGGCCTGCCATTGGTTTCGCCTCCGGGTGCGGGGAATCAAATCCACCACCTCGCGCCCCCTAGAGGTGGTCCTTGTTCCGCGCCGTCGGCAGGAGACGCTTTCGTGGTGCCGGAGCATCTTCAGCAGCCGCCCGCGCACCTTCTTCAGAGCAGTTTTGACCTGGCGCATTCCAGATTCGATATTCCACGTCCTGCAAGCGGAATGGGCAACATCACCGTTGCTCCATCGTCCGCAAATGACGCTGCGAACACAGCACTCATGACCGCTCATCCGAATGCGGTTGCAGCTTCTCCATTGCACGACCCGAACAACCATTCGGGGCACCACCAATATCTCCCAGTTACGGGCCTGGCGCACCAGCAGAATTCGCAGCAGTATAATCCGCTACCGGCATACGATGCGAACATGAATACCACCGCTGCGTTGAACGCGATTGCAACTCCCCGGGCGGCTCCACCTTCTGCCCCAGGTGGAGCAGGAGCAGGAGCAGCTCCACCTCCGCCCCAGCACGACATGTTGCTGCAAGGCTCGAGTGTGCACTATTTGATGGAGTGTCTGTTTTCGGTGAAAGGAGACCAAGTCCTCGAAAATAAGTCGGCTACGCTGGGCACGACAAGCTGCAGACCACCAGGAGCGCAGGAACTACACCACTGCCTACTTCCGTGGGACCACTTCTCGGAGACTTTCAAACGGTGGAACGCGAACCAGGAACGTAATTTGGATTTGCTACCCCCCGAGCATTACTTGCAGGACTGCGCTGCGTTTCGATGGGCGGCTTTAGGTAACGAAGTCGAGGAGAGCGACACTGCACTAGGAGGTGGTGACGACGAAGGGGTTCCTGCTCGTCTGGATCATGTCCTCGACGAGTCCGCTCCCATTGACCACCTCGTCCCGTGGTCTTGTTCCTTATCTGGGTCGTGTAGTTCTACTTCCGAGCAGACCAGCCGGAGCCGGCGCATGACGTCAAATGGAAATGCACCGATCCCATTTCCGCCGGGTCTCTTCGAAAGTGACCAAGATCTGATGGACGGCGCAACCCCGCCCCATGTGCTCTCTAACATGTCGTCGAAAACAAGACGGCCACAGGTTCTGGTGCTGCAGAACGCGATTTCTGAGGAGGCCAGAAAGTTCCAGGAGCTGGCGCCAGAGAAGAAAAACTGTGCTGCACTGAAGATGCTGCAACAGGTGCACACCGTCCAGGACTTGTATTACCTGCAACGCGTGCTCATTGGGAAGCCAACTACCTGGAACTACGCGGAGGAACTGGAAAAGATGCGGGCTCGCGAACAAGAACTCGACGGCGCTCCGGAGGGGGTCGTGGCAGCTCGTACATTTTTCGTGCCGGAAATGCCAGTGCCATTCACCCTCCCCCCCGGCGCTCCACGACCAATCACGGAACACCAGAAGCAAAGCCAAAGCTTTCACTTTCGGAATGCGCAGCAAAACTTCGACGATCCAATTTTGGACGGTAACGTCGTGTCGGAGAAAAAGACAACGTCTCGTGATGCCCCCGTGGTCGTGGAAACAACGTTTTTGAACGACGAGATTCAGCTGCCGCCAAGAAGAAGCGCGAGTATTACTACTTAAATTGAATTCTGATATTTGTTCTCATAGCGTTCTTTCTTTCAACATCACATCAAATAGAGATACTGCTATACCATATGATGATGCGCTGGAGTTGTAGTTCAACTTTGTGCAAGCAACTACAGCAAAGCATCATACATTTTCAGAACAATTGATATTGAATCAGCATCAGACCAAGACACTTCCTTATCGAGTTCGAGACCTGATGAAGCGATATCGAATGGTGTACCAAAGTCTGCTTCTGAAAACAGGTTGTGATGAACATCCGGACCGTCTTCAGGAGTTGCAAGAGAATTTTCAAAGCGAGTCTGAGAATGATTTCGAAGACGACGAAGATGAGGATTCCTCTCGGAGCCCTCGGAGCAGCAACAATTTGTGGAATATGTTGCTAAACGAAACCTCGCCGACAGCTGTTTCGAACGAACTGAAGAGGTATTTTCATTGTACTTAGTTACTTTTTGTATAAGATGAAAGTTTGTGTCAATCCTAATTATGTCGTATGGGTAGATTTTCTTCATCTAGATGCGCCTCGTTTTTGCCGTTATTTACTACCTGTAGCTGGTACAACACGAACATGTTTAGATAGGTCCAGGTGTATAACTCTGTTTTTTGCAATATCATGGCTGAAGAATGTTTTCTCGTACAGTCCTTTACTCACATCAAAAATCAACACAGATCCCGGGCTCGGCAAGAGAAAGAGGCTGATGATGCAGCCGTGCGACGTTTCGCAGCCACAACAAGAAAACCCTCCACCAACGTCACGAAGAAGAAAAAGGCAAAGAATGAGACCAGCCCGCCGGTTGGCTTGTCGCCCACCAGGCGATGTGCCTCGACCTCGCGTGATGGAGAAGGCGATGCAAAGCAGGGCCCTGATCTTGAACACATCAATCATGACAAGCACCATCTTCTTGCGCCTGCGCGGTTGTCCACCTCTCGCCCGGAAACGGCCTCAACTACGGGTTGCACAAAGGCTTACCTCGTTCAGAGCGGCCTGGCCGAGGATGAAGGCACGACGTTGAGTGTCAAAGCGGGAAGCGGCGTCGTTGACAGCCCGACGCTACCTCGAAGATACGGCGGAGCTTCCTCCGAGGAAACAGCGCCGCCCGCAGCTCCAGCATCTGAATCCGACGAAGAGGACGAACAACTCCCGAGTCACCCACTACACCTCGCATTTTCGCCAGACGGGTCGTACAACGGTAAGAGCGGCCGCTGTGCGACGGGGACGACCGCAGGAGAAACTACTGTTGACGCGCTTCTTCAAGAAAAAACTTTTCCTTGCGACTGCAACACCGCGAGGACCTCGTCCCCCGCTGTCGCACCTAGTAACTCGGTACCAGATGGAGCTGCTGCGCAACTGGTACCACATGTTGAGGATCAAGTTCTTGCACTACAAGAACTGCCTGTACAACTAGAAGAACTTGGGTCACCCGGCTCAACCACCACATCCGGCGGCCCTGTGAGCAGCTTCACATCCGAGGGCATTGCACTGCCTCTTGCCGCCCAGAAGCGGCGATCATGCGAAGAACATCAACCCGAGGTTGAAGCGAAGGCTCTGCTCCAGCTCAACTTCATAGAAAATGATGAAAATGCTCGCCAACAGCACGGCGTCTTAACTACTACGGCGGAAATGAGTCCCCTGGAAGGAATGAAATCCGCTTGCTTCCCGTCTCCGCGCTCTCTGGAGGACAGGGACTTCTTCGAGTCCAAAAATCTCTCGAAGTATTACAGGGAAAAGTGCCCCCCACCCCTGAAATTGCAAAAATTTGTGATGCTAAGTTTCCAAATGAAAACGTTTTGTCATGCATGAAACAAGTATGAATCTTTCTGATGCAGAGTCTAGTCGTGTATCGCATCGCTTGCATGACAAGCGCCGCTCTTGCGCGGGTCTTTTGCAATACAAATCTTTGCCATTCACGATTGGAAACCTGTGATGCTGATAGATGCAAGAGGGCGAATGTTTCATTTGGAAAGGTTTGCAATACAAATGCTCCCAAGTTCGGGGGTGGGGGCATTTTTCATTGTAATACGAAGACTTTCGACTTTCAAAAGGAGGAGTTTGTCCGCTCCAACACCTTGACGAAGCATGATGTTGCGCGACGAAGAGGCGAAATTATTGGCGACGGAGAAGGGGAACGCGAGGACGCGATCCTTGTTGTGGATGAAAATAAACACCCGTCGACACAACAGGCGGAGCCTGCGACTACATTCATAGTTGTACTACGCCAAGCAACTGCGGCTCCGTCGCTCGCAGAAGGCCCGTCAGCTTTGGACACATCAAACGCGGAAGATGTCGTGAGAAAAGGGCGCGGTTGTGGGATACAACTTGTTCAGTGTGAGGACGACCTTCAACTTCAGCTGCAGGACGTGAGCTTGCCACAGTTGTTTCTTGAACGCGAGCAGGCCTTTGTGCAGGGACTGCGTTTACATGCGATGCCAAACTGGCGAGCGTATTACGCATTGCTAACCACGAGGAAAAAACCCGCAAAGGAAAAGAACCTCTTCGAGAAGAACCCTCTCGGCCACGAAAACTTCCCTCATGATGAACATCGTCAGTCGTGTAGTGGTGCGGGCTATTCGGTGGTAGAAAAAGAAACTAGTATTGCTTGCGACACTTCTACAGGAAGTGGTCAAGCTCCTGCTGCTGCTGGACCTGGAAAAACCCAAAGCGTTGAGGAAAAAACCGAGCAGACCACTACAGCTGTATTAAAATCGAGCGCGACCACCTCTACAACTCCAGTCCCTTCGTCGTGTGAAGAAGATTCATCGTGCAACGATGAGGAGTGTGAAAACGACCGCGCATTTTATCTGCTAGGGAAGCTGCAGAGCATGGGCTGGCTTCCGTGCGCTCGACAGGAAGGCGAGCACATATGGGAGCTCCCGGGCGACTATGCGCACGTGGAGCATTCCTCTCGGGCCGCGCTCGTCACCCGGACATACCTAGAGACGGGCGAAAAGGAGATGGACCCGTCGGGGTGGAGCAAACTGATGTACCTAGCAGCGGGGAGGGATATGCACGACCGTGCCTTTGCCGACAGTGACATGGAGATTTACGCGGAGCACGAGCTGGATGTGAAGCGCTGCGATATCGAGCTGCAGTCATCCGGGCTCCATGATCGTCACCTACTAAGGACCCCACTGTAAGAAAGCATAAGCAGCAGCATAAATTTTTACTCAATCAGTTTAATGATTTTCAAAAATGGTTTTGGTTTATCGCCTGTGCCTGTAGGCATTCGCATTTCATTTTTCTCCTGTTGGACTCGATTTATCCCGCTCAATATCAGACGTCCTGTGTCGTGCAGTGAAGCAACATCTCGGAGTTCTAGTTCCCCGAGGAATAAGTGGCCTAGCTAGCAAATGATGAAAAAAGCACAGCTAAAACAGTGCATCATGATGATCCTTGAGGTTGATACTTATGTTGATCGATTGTAAACTAGACTTTTTCATCTCAGGTGCATTGCTGTGGAAGCGGAGAATTACGTGATGCTGAGGCTGCTGTTGGAGCGCAAGGCGAATCCATTACACGCATTTCATCCGCACCAAGATTCCAACCTGCCCCGCATGCAGCCCCTGCAGTATGCCCGCAAATACGGCCCTCGGCGTCTGGTCGAATTTTTGCAAGACTATGAGCAAACGCAAGCGTGGTCGGCGGGGGCCGATACTAAGAACTCTGGCAGCAGAAAAATGGAAGACCAGCAGAATAAAGCCACTAGAGGAGCTCCTGGGCAATTGCAGGAGCAATCACTCGGCAATCCGTGCACCGTGACCTGCAGTAGCGGTGATGTGTTGGGTAATGCACCACGACACGCCGCGTGGTCGACGCGTTGTCCATGAATAATTATATTCGCAATGCGCAACTCGGAGTCGGAAAAACAAAAACTTGTTAGTTCTTACTGCTGATGAATTGGAAAAATACTCTGCCGACATAGAGCAGTGTTAATTCTTACGGTTGCGCTTGTTACAGAAAAGAAACTACAACCTTACGGTGACACGTACGCGATTTCAATCAAAAGAGCGTCTATCTAAACTCTTTTCGTTTATCTCACCAGTAAAGTGCTCCACCAGCTCGCTGCAGGTTCTTTGCATTCTGCAGCGATCGCGGGCGGGTTTCATTCTGGTCGAAAAAATAACAGTATCAATGGAACGCAACAAATGAGCTACTGAACAAGCCGCCATGACTTTATTCTCTGCTGGTACCGCGCTCAGATGGCGGTTGCCCTTCCAGATACCAGCATACAAAAGCAACCTCCAGGAGTGCTTTTCCACACGAAAAGGAAGCTATTGGGATTTTTAAATTTTTGGATATTACGCCAGTCGTGTCTCTTTGTATGATTAAGATCATGATAAACTCTAAATTGATTCATTTTGTGGGGACGGAGCACCGCGTGATGGTGTCGAGCGGGAAAAGTCAAATTGTTGGATACAAAGAGAACCAACTTTAGCGTACTAGTTGCGAGGTTCGCGAGGCTTTACGATCTCCGAGACGCGATGCGCATAGAAACAGGGGAGATGTATCCATTTTTGACTAATTTTCATCTTCGGCCTCATAGTGTCTTCATATTAGCCAGTCCAGTCGTACAGATCGACGCTCCTCTATAGCTCCAGTCATTTCTGAAATGACTAGATGCGTTGCAAACAACAAGACACACAGATGAAGATTGATAAGTAGCAACAAATCTAGTCACAGGATTTACGAGCTCAGAATGTAGTCTGTGCTACAATCAAATACTTCTATTGATTATACTTGCTACTGCGCGTATTGGTTCTTTTGCTTTTCGATTCAAGGATTCTTTGTTTTTCTACTTCAGTTTCAACACACTCCTCCTCTCTCTCTCGAACAAATTAAGTACTTGAACATCAGATTGTGATATGGTTTTTATTGAGATCTGTACGAACGACGACTCAGTACTCGAGTATTTGCTCTGTCTCTGCATTCGCTTCAGATAGCGCGCGTCTCTCGCGAATAATTTAGGGCCTGTTGCTGAAAATTCATTGTTGCGAATTGATCGGCGCTCCTTTAGATTTCTCGAGAAATGAGAACAAGGGCAGCATGAATATCAATGTTTCACGTCCTACGTAGGATACTCGCGAAAAAAATATACGATCGAAAGCGATGGCTTTGACTTTGTATCAATTTGATTTGCTTCTGATATTACAGGATAGGTGCACATGAATTGTGTACCAATACTCCTAACTGTAATCCGCTTAAAAATTTTCTTCTTGTGTAAAAGTCAAGAAGTTGCTTTTTGATCTGGTGAAGTAAGTATACAAGTTATGTTAAAGCAAACCTAAGTATTAAAAATTTACCGGCAGCAGCTTTTTTTGTGCCTGACTAGTGTTTTTTTTCAAAACATGCGTCATGCCTAAAGAAAATTATACAAACAGTCTGTCGTTAGATGTGGGCGCCAGATAGTACAGGCTCAGACACCAACATCAGACGAAGAGAACCGCAAGAAACTCGGAGAAACTCTGACAAGAAAAAAAAGTCAGCGTCAAGCTTGTGCTGTTTTTATGGCTACAACTAGCACCCAATCGATGTCAGCTTCTGAACATCTATCGGGAAGGTGAATTTTTTTTCTCGAACATCAAACCAACTAATACCATTGCTTGGTTTCTCTTCATGTGTATGAGAACAGCAAAATACCTTTCGTTGTAGAAGCGCGAGGGCAAGGCACAACCAAACTCATCAAACCGCCACGTCAGATCTGCTTTTGGTTGATGTTGAGCCCTTAGGGTTTCTGATATTTTCCTAAAAACCTGGCTGTACTAAAACACAGCTACGATCGCACTGCGCACACGACTGACGAGGAGCAGGGGCGACATTTTATCGAAGCTATGGCTCGTGTCTGCTGTCGGTGTCGTGTAAGTTGTACATATAGTGACCACCCTCTCTACATATTTGCACCACTTGGAAAACGAAGAGCAGGCCTACTCAGCTAAATAGACTAGAAGCCCTCGTAGTTGTTGCGACTGATATGCTTAGTTGTCGTAGCAGCTATTCAGTAGTTGTTCCGCGGTGATATCATTATTTTATCGCTCGTCTCGCTCCAAACAAAAGAGGCTCCATACGTTCCTCTACGACGGTGGAAGTAACCCTCGACAAAGATCACTTCGACGCATGGAGGCAACTCTAACCAAGAACAGCAGCTTCCGAAAAAAAAACTACAGGGCTCGCGTTTCAAGCTGAGGCTCTTCAATTGCATTACGTTAGAGTTAGTCTGTTTCACCCCCTTTTAATTCAGCGTGGGCCAATTCGCCGATGGATATTTATCAAATTGATATTACCTTCATAGATATGATGATAGAAGCATGGATGTACTAAGAACTCAATCTCTTTCTCAAAGTGCAAAGTAAAGTTTTCATAGCGGCAATTTCGGAAGAACTTCTAAAGATGAACAATTTGCGTTTCCCGTCTAAAGATGAACAAATTGTGCGTCAAGGGATTTAACAAATTGTTACACGACAATTGATTTCTACTTATTAGATGAGAACGACTGGAGTACTAGGAGGAGCCATCCCCAACGGTATGTATCTTCTGCAGCCGCTGCTTCATGGTCTCCTCTGTAATTTTGAGTTCCTGATTCTCTTCTGATGTCTCTGGACGAAAAAGAAGAACAGCACAGCGACGAAATTATACGGATGACAAAGATACAGACCAGCCGAACCTACCGAGGTACTCGGGCACAGCGGCTTTTTCTTGCGAAGTCTACATGATCAGTCGTAGACTGCATGGGACTTCCGAACCTGATCATTGTCATGGAAGCGTTGATATATCTTTCCAACCCAACAGCATCGAGGGAGATGATGTGTGCTACTCCTACTTGCACTTGCGATTGATGTTCTCGCGTTTGCTGCTTGACATGCTGAGGTTCACTGTTGACGCAGACGAGTGAAAATAACAACTCAGTGATTAACCTTGTTATTCTGGTCGTGTCATTTGCGTATGTTCAAACTTTTTCTCAGGTCCTAAAGGTTATCGTCCATCGTACTCAACGTAAGGAGCCCCTTTAATACCCATTGATAGAATATAAATGGTCCAGAAAAGTTGGTCGCGTTTCTCTTCCGCAGTCAAGGCTTCATGTCTAGTGCTAGTATTGTTTCTAGAATTCTGTAAGATTGATATACGTTTTCTTCGTCCACCACCTCTTGCTCTTCTAGTCCTTCTTTCGTTTCTCGGCCTGATAGATTACGACCAACATCGTGTATACAAAAGTTGCAATATTGAAAGCTCTTTTAGACTTTACGTTTACATACTTTCCTGTATGATGTGAGATTTCTTTTTCGCTTATTTCCCCGAACGAAAAATCAACATTTCACACTTTTTTTGACTTTTGGTTTTCCGTTTTAAGCTTCCCGTGCCCGTCATGTGGACGTGTTTCTGCTCGCCTTTGCTTCCCGGAGGAGGGCCTAGCAGTTACCATTACGACTTGCTTATGCTTTTGTTTTTGCGTTTGCCGTCGACCACTGTTTGAAAAGGTAAGAGAGGCAAAAATCTATTGAAATGCAGTTCTTTTACTCGTCCCAGGGGGACAACATGACGGAAAGCACCGATAATCCCTTGCGAACGAAAATGGCTGGAGAATACCAGGCGGAGACCAACGTGACACAGCCCAACAGCCCTTCCTCTGTCAGTGCAGGGTAAGCTCTTGATTGCCTCTTCCGTCATCTGCTTATTTTTTTGCTAGGTAGAGACCGAGACCGCGACCCACTTTCGAAGAAATGAGTCGTGGTCTTTTACTTTTCCTTTTCTCGTGTACGAGGACTATGGTGCGCTCTCCTTGTGCCGTGCGCACGCGCAGATATCTTTGCCACCTATGTATCTTGTTCTATGCCCGTAAGTACAACTACAGATCGCCTTCAGGAGGAAACTTTTCTGAAACTTCCTATACCACACAGGAATGGTCCTGCGGTGCAGCACTTTTCGTCGGTAGAACAAGCCGAGCACCAGATCGAGCCAGCCTCCCGGCGGGGTCGCACCAATTCCGACGAGTACCAGAAGATGAAGATGAAGGAAAACGTCAACTCCGCTCTGCAGCTTCTCTTTCAGCGCATCGCTCGGGAGATCGAACAGAAACAGCCCCAAAACACGATTCACTTCATCGTCGACTTTCTCTGCAAGCACTACAGCAAGCATCTGCATGGGTTTGCAAGCATCTGGAACGCCGATCCAGAGCTCGAAAAGGAGCGGCAGGAAGTGGTGCACTTTTTCAAGCACCACAAAATCTCCACGCAAATTTCGGCCCACTTCACAAACGCCGGCTACGATACTCTGGAAACCCTCGCAACGCTTACCACAGACACGCTGGCAGACATTGAGGCCTTCAACAGTGTCAAGTGGCTCCCCGGGCACAAGGTCCTGAGTTTTACATTTACAAAACTGCCATGCATAAAGAAGTACTATACAACTCGTCTTGAAGACGAGAACTTGAATGAGACGAGGCAGAGGAAGGACCGGATTTTCTTTCAATTGTTGCATTAGAAGTGGTGGTGCACCCTCTCTCTCACAGACACGAAGTGTCGGTTGATTCCGAAAAAAAAGCTCGTTGCTGTCGCTCATGATCTAGCGATGTTTTATAAACAAAACAGGTGCGTCTACAGCAGGTTTTTAGTGACATTGGAGAGCGAGTCCGCGAGTTTCGACAGCGGCAACCACCCCTTGGCTACGGTGCGTCCCCCGGCGGTTACAGTCTGAGCCCCGCAGATATGCAGCAGGCGGCGTTACGGCAACAATATGCAGCGATGCAGCTGGCAGGTAGCAGGTCATCACCGCGAGTGTGCGTTTTTCGTTGTTCTTGAGGAGAAGTGGAAAAAAAAATCCATCCTGCATTGTTGAGATTCAGATTCTTCCTAGCAGATGATATTTAGATCCTGATGATAAATCAATAGGTGTAGCTGCAGGAAATCGATCATGATGCATCGTCCCCTTCTTATTTTTAAAAATCGTAAGAGCTTCGCAACTCATACAGTCCAACACCAGCAGCAACAGGCACTGGCCCTTGGTAACCCCCCAGTCGTGGTGTCTCCGGGCGTAATAGCCGCCACTGCGCCGAGTGGTATCCTCCCAACGACCACATCCTCTGCCGCATCAGCGCCGCAAGGTTTGCACCAAGTAGGAGCAGCCACAGTTACAACCACCCCCGCCACCGGTGCAGCAGCACACGTGGGGGGTGCGTCCTCGATGGCGCCACCAGCAACAGCTACCCCGACGTCGACAACAACCACGTATGCGCTTCAGCCGAATGGTACCTTAGCCGCCGTATCCACCAGCTCCGCACCACAGCAACTCTCTGCCCCTGCCTATCACAATGAAAAATGCCCCCTCCCCATATCAAAACTGAAATCTGTCATGCAGATTTGTGGTCACAAATCAGCTTTGTGATGCTAGAAGGCAAAAGATGCGGACAGTAGTGCTGTCTAGCGTGGGAAAGCCTTGCAGCCCCAGGATGACAGGAGGCAACTGGAAGTGTGAAACAGCATGACAGATTGCCTGCAATTTAGGCCGCAACTTCGTCTCTTGGCCTTCTAGCAATACAAGTCGATTTGTGTACTCAAATACAGCATCGTACACTAGTGCTGCATCGTACACCTGTTTCATAGTGCTGAAACGACCCGGCTTTCACTAGGGGGAGCATTCGTACACTTTGTGCCCTCCGGGACTATGCCTCTGCTTCCGTCTAAACTGAGGGGTCCACTTATCCCTCTCGGTATTCGGTCGCAGGGAAGGGTTACCGGGGTCTCCCTCGCATCGGTTCTCGATGTCGGGTGTGAGTTTGTGACTGCGGGGGCAGTGGTTGGCTTAGGTTTGTGGAGTACTTCTGAAAAGAGGCTCCCATTCCTTCTTCCAGGTAGCGATCCTAGATCGCCGCCACGCGGAGCCACCCCCGTATTTCACCCCCAGGGGGTTGTGGACCTGGCAAAACCGATGAGTTCGGGCTGCTGACTGTTCCACCTCCCCTAAGTGTGATCATTGCCGCCTCACGCCTCAAATACAGCATCACAAATTCGCGCATCTTTCGTTTCCGATATGGGGTGGGGGCTTTTTTCACTTTGATACTGCCGGCTTCAACATCCCGGGAATCTCCATTGGCGCGACCCGCTTGCCCTCCACCTCGTATGAAAGTACACAACTCCTTCTCCCCCTCATTTGTCATGCAAAATACCCAATCCACCCTTTGCCTCTTGACACTGTTTGCATGACAAGTTCTGGTAGCCCAGGTAGCACTATAATCCAGTGTAAATTTGTCATGCAAAACCGGCATTCTTGCTCATGCTTGTGTTGCCCGTCATGCTGTACAAATGAGGAGGAGGGGGAGTTGTGCTCTTCCATACCTCGACCGCGTCCTACACAACCACCGGCGGCGGCGGCGGCACCACCTCTACTGCGTCGGGCACATGAGCAGGCCGAAACTTGATGATATCAAATGTAAAAATGTCTGGGTCTGGAAACTTGTGATGCTGGGTGGCGTATCGTGAGGAAGCCATAAGTGCTGGCTCAGCATGACAAGTTTCTGAGCTTCTAGGTGTTGCCTATTCTGCATGACAAACTGCGTTTTTGCATGACAGGAAATTGGGGCTCTTGGGTAACCTGCATGACAGGTTAAGGTTTAAGAGTCATGCCAGAGAAGCATGACAAATCGCGCATTCTTCCAGACCCAGACATTTTTACACTTGATAGATGAATACACGACGCAACTGAAATTATGTCCGTGCACGCTCAAAATCGCGCTGGAAAAATGCAAACACCGCGTCGTGCTACTCTTGATGTCACTGCATGGCCACAAGCAGCAAGTAAAATCAAACACTTTATTCCGAAACATGGACAGGAAAATCATAACTGAATGTGAATCAGACTCCGAGGAGAGATAAAGCAAATCGAAGCTATCGGACATGGATACGAAGCAGATATCTCCGCGCCAACCGCGTCTGTCACGGGCGTCATTTGTGTTCATTTGATCCCGGCACACTTGAAACAAAAAACGTGATCGCGTTTTTTTCCTTTTTTTCAATACCGAGACGCAAGACAATCTTTGCGTCGTTAATATAGTTGCGAGCGCAGCCTTTTCTCACTTTTTTGTGTCAAAGTGAAAGGATCCGAAATCTAAATTGAATTCGTTTTTTCGTGCTTGCTGTCATTTTCGGACTTTTTTTTTCATCCCATCTTCTTCTCTGTCGGTCTCTTTTTTGTGTGCAGCCTGAGTGTTTTTCTCACACATGCTTTGATCTGGTTTCACGCGGCACCCCTCTATTCTCTTTCAGGTCGTTGAATATTAACGGAAAAACAGTGTGTGTGCATGTAGTAAGTTCTTCGAAGATATAGATAAACTAAAATTGCATAGTGACCCCGTATTTTTTGTCTTCTGTAGTTGTTTCCTGTATCTTCACAATCGGTCGTATTCACATTTTTCGTCATTTCGTCTGTGAAGTGAAGCTATAGCCTTGTAAAGAGTAAAGCGAGTGTCGACAAAACCACTAATCCGATTGTTTCTTTATGTTCAATGTGTAATGATTTCAATTTCAAATAGCATCGAAGAAAAGTACGGACCAAAACCAACTTAAAAATAAAAATTATTACTGAGGTAAAATAATACAGAGGCAGTCGCAGTAGAAGAGGTAGTTACTGCAACTTGCTTTATTTTGATCAAGGAAGTCGCACTCCTTGAAGATACTGATACTTTTCCGAACCGTTCTAAGCAGCTCGTTTGATATCAGACACATTATCGACCGCGTGTATGTTGCATGTTGCTTGTGAAAAACCGTGGAGCCTGAAGAACATCAACGAAAGTGTGGTTGTAGAAACTACCTGCAGTACTATTGAAGCGAGAGCAGTCCCCGGAACAATCGTGCGTGGCCAGGCGGTGAATGAGCAGCAAAAGCAGGTTTTCGTTCTCGACGGCGAGCAGTAGCAGCAGCACTAGCTTGTTTTTGTACGTTTTTTCGTCGCTCAAGGAGCTCGTTCGTGAATCTTCCTCGGGCTCGACCACCACCGCGACCACAGCAGTTTCAACCTCGAGTTCAACTTCTTCAGGCGCCGCCCTCGCACCAGCTGCGAATAAGAAGTGCAGCGGTGGTCTCAAACGGGGGCCTTTGAATCTTTTCCCGGCGTCGAGTTCTTCACCAGAACTCGTTGCAGGGCCTCCAGATTGCGCTGTTTTTACGAAGGAAAATAAAGACAACGCTGCTAGTCCGGACGTCGACCTGGAAATAAAGTTCAGTTCACCGATCGAATTGACCATCGACGACCTGGGGTTTGCGGAAGACTTCAACATGAGCAGCCAAAAGCTGAAAAAAGAGAAATCAGACGGGTCCCTGGCGTCCACCAGTTCCACGGCCAATAGCGGGAACAAAAAATGTCGCTGGCTCAGAGACGTATCGAAGGAATACCGAATACTGGATGAGGTACTAGAAGTACAACTACCTTACATATCTGGTGCAAATTCGTTGTCTTGTTTGTCGTACATCTTCAGCATTTTTAGCTTTTCTTTGATGCGGTTCTTTCCAGCTGAATTTAATTTATGATCACCTTCATCAGTTTTGTTTATTGGGCCGTTTCGGTTCCCCAACAGCATCAACTACTGTCACTCTCAGGTAATGCCGTCAACGCATCGTGGACAGGCAGTTCACTTCGGGACCCGGCTCAAGGACGGCGTTAAAATCGTCGTGAAAATAAGGGAGAAATTGGTCAGCTTCAAGGATAGCAATGACATAACGACGTGGAAGCAGTCCATGGAGAACCTGTTGAATTGGCAAGACCACTTTGGAGAACACATAGCAGGTATTGAAAAGTCTCTTCTATTTGAGTATTGAATCTCTAAGCGCTCCGCGGCTTCACATTCATCTGATAGATGAAGCGGCTACAACATCATGCCCTTGTGCTTTTGTTTGCATGTTCGGTCTCAATAAAGAGTCTTTCTGAAGCGAAGTCGTTGTCCTCGCTCTTGCACATGCATCCTTTTCGCCACAAGCAAGGAAGATGATAAATGCAAAATCAAAATTTAATATCCATAGGCCTCTACGACCTGTTCGAGGATGCGACGGCTTACTACGTGGTAATGGAGCTTGTCAACGGATTGGATCTTTTCGAGTTCATCCACCACGTCAAAATGCAAGATGAAGGGATCAAGTTGCTGTTTGTCAAAAAGGTACTCACTTTTTGACATTTTTGACATGAAACAACTGCTGTCTCTACGACTATACAACTCTGGCCACGGTAATATTAGCTCTACCTTCTGCTTTTACCCCAGCATCGGCAGCTGCAAAATAAGTACACGTCAACATACACATGATCACAATGTCAGGTGGCGTACGAGTGTATGCGGGCGTTATCGGACTACGAATCCTTGTCTTTGGTACACAAAGATATCAAGTTGGAAAACGTAGTGCTGATGGACACTCAGAAGCGCGGCGTGCTGAAAGTCATCGACTTCGACACAGTAGAGGAGTATGGGGAGGACACACGAGTGTACGACGTCATGGGAACCGATCAATACATCGCACCCGAAAGTTACTACGGCTACTACACAACGGCCAGCGACATTTTTGCACTGGGTACAAATACAATCTGTTTGGGATACGAACTATTACTCATGGTCGTGTTTAGTTATATAGACTATAGACTAATACGAACTTGGCTCAAAGGCTGTAGAGGAAAGCTCTGAGACCCTTAAACAGCATTAGAAATTGCGGCTCAACCTGGAGCAAACCTGGGGCAAACCCCTAGGGCTTTTCAAAGTGGTCTCCTTTCCTATTTGCGAATACGCACGGCAGTCGGCCCAAATGATGGAGGTCGAGCCGTAGGGAACGATCAAAAACCACAAAAAGCGCGACACTTTGGAAGTGCTGAACCTGCATGCTATTACGACAAAAGCTGGGACCTTTCTGGGGCTCGGGCTCTAGGGCTTTTCAGATATTCGCGCCCTTTTTTTTCTAACATGCGTGCTACTGTGTAAATATTTGCGACAAATTCTACGGCTTGAGCTGTAGGGGTTCGGCACGATGAACGACAAAGAAACCCCTAGGCGCTACAAAAATACCCCGAGCCCTAGACGCAGTGACGCCCCTGCCCCCTCGCTCAGAAGAGAACCGCTTGCCCCCTTCAATATGAAAGTGCTCCTCGCCCTCCGTGCGGTGCGCCCTGCTCCTGGTGGAACCTCTTGCCCCTGCGTGCTGGCGCCTGCCCCTTAGCCCTGGCAGTGTTTCTCACTTACCCTCTGCGTTAGGTCTTGCCTCTCGCGGTGCATCTTGTCCCTCGCAGTACATCTTGCCCCCCGCAGTACATCTTGCCCCTCGCAGTACATCTTGCCCCTCGCAATACATCTTGCCCCTTGCAGTACATCTCGCCCCTCGCAGTACATCTTGCCCCTCGCAGTACATCTCGCCCCTCGCAGTACATCTTGCCCCTCGCAGTACATCTCGCCCCTCGCAGTACATCTTGCCCCTGCGCATACGCCTCGCCCCTGGTAGGACTTCTTGCTCCTTGTAGTGCTAGCACCCCTTTTCCATCGCAGTACATTATATCTCGCCTCGGCAGGCACATGCAAGTCTTGCGCCTGATAGAACTTCTTGCCCCTGGTCGGACCTCTTGCTCCTGGTCCTGGTAGCACATATGGGGCCCGCCTTCCAATGCCAACCCCTAGCGCCCTGCCGGCAAAGACCTAGCCACCCCGCCCTGCCTTCGGAGAGCTAGCGAACAACCCCCGCCGCCCCCAGGCTGGTTCCCTGTCGTGGGTGTGACTGCGGCCCCGGCAGGCCCCGGGCCGCCCCTTGTTGCTCTCGCGGCGCATCCGTTCCCGCCGGCCTGCGCCCCTTACGCCCCGCTACCCTAGCGCCTGCGCGGGAACGTCCACGGGCCCTTTTTTTTTCCCCCGCGCCAGCCATTTTCTTCTTTGCGCCAAAGCGGTGGAGGAAGCGCCCACACGCAATAAACAGGCACGCAGGCGCAAGTAGCTGCCAAAATAAATCGCGGCCGTAGGTACGTATCGGGGGCATGCTGTCGCTACCTTGCGGCGACTAGGTCGAGGCCCGCTGCTGTCCGCCGCCCGCCAAGGTGACAGCGGCGGCGCACTCCTGCAGCCAGTCTTTTGGAAGAAGACGGCCGTCGCCCTCCCCCGCGTGGGTGGAAGAAGGGCGGGTCAGGCCACCGACCGGGGGGGCCACGGGGCCGGGCGAGGGGGCAAGCGCCGTGCTCTGGGGGGGGGCTAGCGCTAGCGCGCCAGTCAGTGGCTGTGCCCCAAGCGCCCGAGCCAAGCTAGCAGCGAGGGCGAGGCGGCCCCGGGTCAGGGTCTCGGCTAGGATGAAAAAAATGGTGGGGCGCAGCACTTTCGTAAATAAGCAAGCCGGGAGGTAGCGCCCTGGCAGGCCGACTTTTCCCCCGCCCCGGCCAACCATTGCGCCGCCCCCGCTCCCTGGTTTTGCTTGGTGGCGCGCCTCCTCGGCGCTAGTCAGCAACCGCGCGGGCGGGCAAGATTCGGGGCACGGTTGTTAGCTTCGAAAGCGCGCGGCCGCCGCCCCTGCGCTCCGTCCAACAGTGTCACTTCGGCGCCATCCCGCCGAACATGTGCAAGGAAAACGGGTGGGCCTTGCTCCCTCGCACGCTCGCCCCTAGCAGCGCCACTACGGCTACGCGACTTGGTAGGGCCTTTGCTCTTGTACCCCTCGCCCCCCGCGATGCCGTTTCGACTATGTCGACTGCTACCCCAACAACCTGAACGCCGACCGCTACGGCTACTCCTATTTCCACGCCTACTTCTACACCTACTCCCACGCCCACCGCTACGCCTTCCTCTGCGCCTACTTCTACGCCTACTTCTACGCCTACTGCTGCGCCTACTTCTGCGTCTACTTCCACGCCTACTTCTATGCCTATTTATATGCCTACTTCTACGCCTATGAATGCGCCTACTTCTTCCCCTACTCCTACGCCTACTTCTCCGCCTGCTGCCACGTTTCTTGAGTTTTGCGCTTCCTTGTGCGCTTGCTTCTACCTCCGTGGCCACGGCGATGCCTCTGGCAGGGTGCGTTCGCAAATGACCCGGCTCCCGGCACTCGGCGCAGCCGACTTGCCCCCCCGTCTTCGTTAGGCCACTGAGGCTTTTTGATGCCGCGTTGGGTCAGTAGCCCCGGCGGAAGCTAGGGCCCATGGAATGTAGTCACTTTGCGTTTTCTTTGGGCCGGTTGTTTGCTTCATCCTTCCAAGCAACCGCCCGCATGTGGACCAGGGACGGAGCGCGTGAAAGTCTCCCGGGCTCCATCCTCGAGGACTTCTATGCACTACATATCTACGGACGCTGCAAAATCTACAAGCCTTTGAGTCAGCTCGTCTATGTTTCTATGGTCCCTCAATTATGAAGAAGTTGCCGCGCCGTTGTGCCAACACGGCGGCGCGAGTGCAACATAATATTACTGTTTTCCGCGCATTGCTGCTCCAGTCGCAGGGTCAGTATGGTGTTGTACTTGCCACATTCTGGTTGTTGTAAAATCCTCGTGCTGCATTTGAATTATGGAGCCCGAAATTATTTTTTTGTTGAAACTCGTCACGTCAAATAGAAATAAAACACCAGGTGTGATGCTGTACAAGCTGTGTACCGGGTCTTTTCCTTTCGTCGACGAGATATTCGACGACGAGGCCGGGCAGAACTACGTGGGACACCCCAAGATGCGTCAGATTCGAGGAAAACTCCGGTTGGCCAAGATCGATTTCACGACGCACTCCTTCTTCCACTACGACAAACAGGTGAAGGACTTTATCAAGCGCTGTCTGGTGTTTGACGTCCATCGCCGCCTCACGGTGAAACAAGCGTTGGAGCACCCGTTAGTCCGTAACTACGAGGAGGAGGCGTACCAATTAAAGTGGACCGACTTCCGCCCCAGAAAATCGTAGAGAGCAAAGTCGTTGTCCACCCGACAATTTTCAAATGCAATCCGAATCACGACAATCAACCCGGGTTTCCGTATGCATCACTCCCTTTTGCATCAGTCTTATCCTTATTCGCAGTTAAGTAAATAGTTCCAGTTTGCACATTGATTCCAGCTTGAGGCGTACGCGCAGCCGTACGCTCTGCTTATACAATACGTTGATTCAGTCTAAATATGTATAATCACAATTTCAAGAGAGTGCCAGTAGTATTCGATGTTGACTAAATAAAGTGGTCTCGTAGTTTAGTGTTTTGGTTATTTTTGTCATTTCCAGTGATCTGCTGCAGTCCCAAGGTTGCAGTCAAAAGCAGAGGAGGAGTTCCTCTTCTGAGGCGGCAGATAACGAGCCGGTATTTGCCACGGCCGCAGTACAATCAAATCTTTTTTCACTGAGTCATTTGTTATGTCAGTCGTTTTCGTTTCACATCTATTCAAATGTATAATTTTAGTCCGACTTAGATGCATCCTTTTTCACCCACTATCATGTGTGGTGACATGAAGTAGGAGTTCGGTGACTGATCAAGCCACTCCTGTATAGAAAATTTGTATACTCAGCGTGCTTATCAGGGAGAAGTAGTCAGAACTTTTATTTTAGTCTCCGATTTTTCTGAAATCGAGATCCTTTGTTCCTTGTTTTCGTGTGCTCCACGAACAAAGGGGGCAATTCCAACTCCAAGACCTCAACATTTTATCGTTTCTTTTTGTATAATTGTGTTTTGCAACATTTGTTTCGATTTCGTTTCTTCCAGCATAATCTTTTATGGGGGCGTCACACTGTACAGATGCGTTGGATTTTACTTCACATGTAGGATTATCATTATTTTCGTCATGAAGAAATTATTCTGAGGAGTAGTTCGCTCGACCAAGCAACAAAATCCTAAACCTGTTGTAAAGGCAATGGTGAGACCGGGGTGGTATGGAGCATGCAAGATGATGTAGAAGAGCGTAGTGTCGTATCCCCCGCCTGCCCCAGATGTGGAACGATAAAAGCCATTGAAAGTCAAGAGTGAATTTTGAAGAATAACATGGAACAATTTGTGCAAGTAGTGGCCGCGAACGCTCGAGCTCGGCAACGCCCCATGGCGTTGGTTGATTAAAACTCGAGCGAGCGCCAATGTGTTGTGATATAGTTTCGTAAGTCAGTGCAACTTTTCTGCAGAAATTTACATCTAATCGTCGTGTGGTGGAATGAGAATCAGAAGAATCAATTTGATTATCATTTCTTTGCCCGCCACGCCCACGGCGGAGCAAGAAATAAAATTGGAGAGGCATATTAGAGCGAGTTTGGTCGCATCGCGAAGTCGTGTTTTACCAGCGGGGAGTACGTAAAGAAGAGTGTCGCACTGTCCTACCACGACCCGTGAGGGATGAACACGGAGCACCCAAGTGAAAGACCAATCGAGTTCTTTCGTGCCATGGTGTATTGCTGCTCGTCTTGCGTAAAAGATAAGTGTGTGAATCATCTTTGCGCCGAGCAGTTACGTGTACCAGAAGGAGCACTTTTGTTGCTGATTGTTTACTTACACAGCTGGTAGTCGTACGATTTGTAAACGTCTTGCTTCTTGAACATCATCGGTAAGATGCCAGCGGGAGACGGAGCGGACTTGGTGTTTAGTCCGACGCGGTCGCCACGGCTGCGGTTCGGCGGTGGGCTCTCCAGCCTGCTGAGCATGACGGACAAAATGAATAAAACGGTTGCGGAGCTCAAGGAAGGCCATTTCGACACTGTCAAGGGCCACGAAGCCGTACAGAGCCTCCAGACCAAACTGATGCGCTTGCAGGACCACTTCGACGTACTACTGTTTCTTACAAGACCACTCGTTGTGGGCCGCTCCTTGTAGTTGTGATTGATGTGGGCGGAGGTTTGCAACCGCAGAAGAACCTCGTGATGTGTCCCTGCTGCAGCGCTTGTAGTACACTGCATTCTAGTTTTCGTATTTCAAAATATGTACACGACTTATCACTATGTATCAAATGAACAGGACAATATCGGCGAGGTGCAGCAAAACATAGTCGAGCATGCGGCCTTCTACGCTACTAACCCGCAGGTGCTCGGAGGTAAAAACCGACTAATAGATAGACTGGAGTGCAGCCTTTAATATTCTGTGTTTCGCTGTATTTTACGTTCGTGCGACGACGAATGAAGAATTCCCGTGCCATTATTTCGTCGCATTTTCGTTTGCGAGGAAGATACTTAACGGAAACGGCGAGCCCTACTTAAAACAAAACACAACCTCAACAGGTATGGTAAAATTGACCGAGGTGCTTGGGCTAGCGAGTGTGCTGCTCGCGCAAAAGGCAGATGCCATTCAGGAGTTGCTAGAAACCTACCTTGCACCGCTAGAGCAACAATTCAAACTAAGCCGGCAAAAGTGGGACAACCTGGAGGAAGAAGTAAAAGTCTACCGCACACAAGTCAACCAAGCACTGGAGAGGGGGAACAAATACGAAACCGAGGTAGATAAAGTAGAAGCCTGTTTCCATTGTACACGTCACTGACTCGATCGTTCTCATTGCCTCTTTTGTTTTTCTTACCTCATCAAATCCAAGCATTCCTTGATCTCCTACATAAGTTTCAGTAGTGGTTTTATTTGCAAAACAAAGTACCGTTCTAGGCTTGCATCCAATTTCCAAAAATTTACTGACAAGGTAACCATGCACCTGAAAAACGCGAAGGAATCAATGCGCAAGAAGCTTGTGGAAGAAGTAGAGCGGAAAGTTAGCGGTATGTGCACTTTGATTGCTGCTCCTGACAGCGTCAGCTTTCCTTTAGAAGAGTTGTTCTGATGTCTACTTAATAGAGTGCAGTCGGTCCAGTCCTACTTAGATGAGCATGAGGAGTTCTTGGAATATAGCAGACTAATCATCACTCAGATGTGACCAACCGGAATCATGAGCTGCAGCGCCAAGTGAAGCAACTCGAGTTCCAATTGAAACGGCAAGCCAGTGCGAAAGCGATGTCGTCCTCGGGGGGAGTACGCTCTACAGTCATCACAGCCGCACATGGATCGGGACCGGTACAAAAACCAGCTAGATTTTTACTTCTATCAAAGAGAACCGGTCAGTAGCTAGTGCTGGACTCGTATGCCGGAATTGCCGTGGTGCTTTCGCTTCCTTCTGTGTGTTTTTTCCAGTGTGAATCAATACGTATACTCCTCCGCCTCTTGTGTAGTTGAGCAGCTCTTTACTAGGGAGCCAGTGTGGCAGAAACGTTCTTGCCCTGACAATTAAGTATCAGAAGTGTCGCCGCTTTTATTGAACAGCCCGACAGTGCCGCACTGCGCAACATCGAGATGGTAGAAAAAGTGAATGAACTCGAGTTCCTATTGGAGCACGAGAAGGGGGAGATGCTCACACCGATGATCAAAGACGCGTGCAACTACCTGAGGACCTTGCTGGCAATGAAGGATGACGACCAGCCACCAGCAGCAGCAGGAGGAGCGGTACCAGAGTCTTTGTTTTAGTACACGTAGGCAGACAGAAAGATACACCATGTGGCTGCTTCACGCCCCCCACATGATGATCGGTGGCTAGTTTTCAGGCGACGCATGCTTTTCTGCAACTACCACGATACTCATTGACTTTTCTTCTTCTTGTCAATTCACGATACAAACGATTCAGCATAGCATAAGGATAAGCGTAAAACTCTTTCAATCTCTTTTTCCCAGGCCGCCAGTTCGTCCAGTAGTCGCCCCCGTGGAAACTCAAATCGACCGTTGTTTTATTCAGAAGCGCCTGATAGCGACGCCATCCCAGCAGTGAACCTCCACACTTCCGGCGAAGGCGGTACAATAAAGCGGAACATCACAAATTACATGCACACAGCAAGCGCATCGTCCCAACCACACCCAAGCTCGTCGTCATCGTCTTCGCAACCACAGTATCCGAGCGTTGCGGGAACAGTGTTGCACAACTATCCCAGTAGTGCAACAAGTGCTGCAGGTGCCCCCACAACATCTGCGCAACAACGACCAAGTTTCACGTCGCAAACCGACGCCTCGCAGCAAGCCGCAGGCGCGGGTCTGCAATCTCCTACCTCAAGTCTGTATTCGCATCAGTCGTCCCTGCGGGTCGGCGGGCAGTCGGGGGACTACCACCGCGCACTGGGCATCGTAAAACCGCCAGATGGTGGCCAGCAACCTGGGGCGGAGCAGAGCGAAAACGAGTCCGTCTTTTCTGCCCCCCGGCTTGGATAGACGAGGTTGAGCAAGAAAACTTGTCACAGCAACATCTGCGCAGTGACAATGAAAGAGCAAAAATACAAATGCTTCAAAACTAGTCTGCAAATCGACTTTCAGTTTCACGTATCAATTTCAAACGTAAAGAGTAAAGCAACATACAACTTAGCCTACAACTTAGGCAACTGAGAGCGGAATTTCACCGGTCTCCTCCTGTCATCGAGAACTATAGATACTTACGCACAGAACGCTCGTTGGAACACTAGAACGTCCATTGCCGTCGTCCGATGAAGCCGACACCTGTACAACAGCTTCATAGGACGACGACGAGCAGCAAAAAAACTTCCTAGCTGGTTGTGTTTTCGAGTCTGAACCCTTGTACTTTTGCTGATTTACTTTCAAAAAAGAACTTGAGAATATGTAACAAATTGTCTCGTCTCTTCACACACCAGACTAGAGAATACGAATAACATGGCACCATCGCCAGTCCGTGTCATCGAACCCCCTCTCAGACGTCCTGCCATGAATGTCCTTAACATCATGATTTTGCAAAATGTCCAACGATGTCAGAAAAAAGCTCATGAAAAAGTACAAGACTACGACTCAGCACACAAAAACACGTAAGAGTTAGAATGCAAGCCTGCTGCATGAGATCGTGGTGTGAAAAACTGTAGCGGCCGTGCTTTACTACCCGTTCGGCCCCAGGGGAGAGTCTGTGTGTCTGTTTGCGTCCGTGCTGGTGTCCGTGTTGTATCATTTCGGATTTGATTGTCTATCTCCACGACAAAAACACTCGCCTTCTGTATCTTTCTAGTTAGCATGTCTGCAGTATATCAGTCTATTGCTTGTTGACGCAGATGCCACATTTTTCTGCGCTATTCTTATTATTCCCTCGGTCAGGTGGTCTACCTCTACCTTTGTATTTGTTCGATCAAGCACACTGCGCTACTTCTTCTTTCGTTTTTGCACCCCGCCGGAGTTTGACAGCCTCCGGAAGCGCCTTTGATATCGAAACAAATAAAAAGACAGCAGTATTCGAAGACTTTGAGTTGAACAAGTTGAGGTCAGGTAGTGCGGGTCACAAATTCAAATAAAAATCCAGAAGAGTCAACACAACAAGATGTACTTACTCGTACTCGTCCTCGTTTCTTCCGCCCTTTCGCTTTGCCGATAAGTTGAGCGGCAACCAAAAAATCTTCCGTATATTGAAGATGATGACTAAGCCCATGGCTAAGCAAATGGAAGTGCCGTTCACTCCCACGCGGCCGGTCGCATCGAGCCGCGGAGTTGCACTCAGGCGCTCTTGTCTGTCTGCCGAATTTGGTTAAGAATTTGGTTAAGAGTGCTTGTTTCCTTCTTGTGTGGGCTGAACCACGAGGACCAGCTGTAAGAAGTCTTCCGGGTGGTTTCTTGCGTCGACGACTAGAATCGATTTGCATAGTACCGCCGGAGGAGTAGAGCTAGAGCTCCTCAACAGAGCTCATTTCTTTGTGCACGACCCGAGGAAACTAGCTCGTGCGACTTGCCGTCTGCCGACCAGCTCTACTTCATCGAAGCATGAACTTCGATGGGTCAGGAACGAATTGGGTGTTTCCCATGCCCGGCTCGGGGCAGTTTGGGAACAGTCAAATGGCCGGGGCCGGGAGCCAGCAGCTGGGTGCGGCGAACCCCGGGATGGCAGCCGGGCAGCAACAGATGATGCAGCAGCAACAACAGCAGAGTCTGATGATGGGCGGCGCTGCGATGTCGAACCAGCAGTACACAATTGAATGGTAGTACTCACACCCATATCTTCATGCTCGCAAATGTTGTTCTACACGCATCGTTTTCATGTGTATAAACGTCTATAGTCTGTCATGCCATGAGTTTTTAGTTACCATGATGCCGCGACCTGGTCGCGAACAGGCATTCATTCCATTTGGCGTTTTGCATCTCTTCGCGATGTGCAGACAAATGTAAGTACACGAATCTGTTATGGTTGTGGATTTCTGTGGGATAAGGAGCAGAACATGCTGATGGCCGCAAACCAGCAGCAGATGATGCAGCAGCAACAGATGCAGCAGATGCAGATGCAGCAACAGATGCAGCAGCAGATGCAGCAACAACAGCAAACCACGGCCAACATGCCAATGCAGCCCCAGCCACAGCAACAAGCGGCGATGATGAACCAGCAAAGCGCCATGATGAACCTGAACCAGAACGCGCTCTCCATGACACCGCAACCGAATGCGAACGCCCAGCACTATGCATTTTTACAGAAAATATGGCTGGGTCTGGAGCTGTGATGCGAGATTTCGATTTGTATCCAGGGTGTCGCCGCCTGTAAGAATCACTACAGATGTAGAAGTTGGGGGCTCGGTAGCGCTACTTAGCGCGCTCGCGCAATCTCTTATAGGCATGACAAATGTCCAGACCCAGACCACAAAGTTCCAGTTGATAAGCAGCAGCTCGCGGCGAATGGAATGCTGTTTAACAACCAGGTGCAGCTCCCACCAAGTCCGCAGATTGGCAACCAAAACAGTGGCCAACAACTGAACGCACAAAACGGTGGAAACATGATGCGTGCAGGCGGTGGAGGAGTGGGACAGCAGCAGGGCGGATCTGCACAACAGCAACAGGTTGCGAACATGCAACAGCAGCAGATGCAGCAGCAACAGCCGATGCAGGGCACAAACCTCCTGCTAAACACGTCCGGAATGAGTCAAAATGGAGGAGGCAACATGCAGCAGATGCAGGTGCAGCAACTCCAACAGCAAACTGCAGCGCCACAGCAGAACACGATTGCCACGCCCAATGGTCAGCAGGTGAGCCAGGGGATGTTGAACATGAACATGCCCATGAACGGTCAACAGCAAGGCGTCGTACCGGGACAGCAGCTCGCCCTCGGAGGAGGCGCCGGGAACATGCAGTCACAGCAAAGCAGCAAACAGACAAACAATTTCCAATTGGGCAACATGAACCATAATCAAGCCGGGGCAGTTCAAATGCAGCCGATGGACCCAAACAGCCTGGCTCAGCAACAGCAGCAGCTCATGAATCTCAACCAAGGGATGCAATTTTCCGTAGGCAATCCAGGACAATTGGGAGGAGGTGGTGCTGCGGCTACAAACACGAGCGGAGGCCAGCCGCAGATGGCTGGCGGAGCGGGAGGTGCTCCAACGGGTACCCCCTCCATGAGCATGCTGCAACAGAATGCGAGCCCCTTCCTGCCACAGCAAAGCCAAACGCAAGCAGTCATGGGCGGGCAGCTGCAAAACCTAGGAGCTGGTGTCAACGGCGGCTTCAGCATGAACAACGCAAACACTGGGCTTAGCAATCTTCAGCAACAGGTGAACAATGCCGGCATGACGTCCTCGCAACCCAGTACAACGACGCAACTGCAACCGAACGTGCCTAATTTTGTTCCAGGTGCAGGTTTGCAAAACCTCCAGAATTCGGGTCTGCCCCAGACTTTGCAGCAGCAGCTCGTGCCTGGTGGAGGCAGCGGAAATAATACTTCCGGCGGGGCATCATCCAACATCGGCGGTCTTAGTAACCAGCACCTCGGAGGAGCAGGTGGTAACAACGGGCCAACATCAAGGAACAACCTGAACAATAGTCTGTCTGGTGCCCAGCAACACATCGCCGGTGGCCCGAATAGCGGCACGCCTAACCTATCGGGCGGACCGCAGCTCCAGATGGGCGCGAATACGGCGCAAAACGCCCCTGGGGGGCAGCAACAGCACAATTCATACGGCGGTAATCCGGGCCAACCACAGCAATACGGCGGTGGAAGTAGTGGCAATGCCAATGCCCAACAGCAGCAGCATTACGGCATGGGAGGTGGTGGCAATGCTTTCTCGACCTCGAGCAGCGGGGCCGCCAGCGGCGCACCACCACCCCCGCAGCAGCAGCAGCAGCATGTTGGCGGCGGCAACAATAATTCGGGGAAAAACAATCAGTTCGGCAACGCCGGCAAGGGACGCAACTCCGGAAAACCGCAGGGCGGCGGGAACACCGCCGGCGGTGGCGGAGGATCGTACAACGCGACCAGCAACCTCGAGTCACAATACCATCACGCCGGCAATGGCGGTGGCGGATCATACGCTAGCTTAGATCACCAACACCACGGCGACGGCAGAAATCCGCCGGGTGGTGGGAGTAGTACCTATGGACCCGGCTCCGACAACATGATGCGAGGTAGTGGTCAGGGATCCTCATATCACGAAAACAACATGAAGGGTGGGGGCGGAGGCGGCCGCCGAAATTTTGAAAAAGGCGGGTATGGAAAAGGTGGCAGCCGTCAGGATCGCTACAACCAGAATCGCGACGAAGAGTACGGCTACTACAATTACGGCGCACGGCAAAACGGCGGAGGCTCCGTTTTCGGGGACCGCGGAACTCAGGGCCCAAACCAATCCGGGTTTCTCGACCAGAGTGGCAAGAGGTACCGTGCATCAATAAGTCCATATTCTTAAAAAAGCAGAATGAATTTCTTTATACGCTCCTCATTCTCTGTAGGAAAGAAGGGACCACCAGCGGTGCTCTAATATCGTCATCAACATCCACCTTGGAGGACTGATTGTAGGACACAAGAAAAAGCAGGAGCGCACCATCGAGGTGTCGTTGTTTATTTCTTTCCGCGCGTCGCAATTCTAAAACTAAATCTGACTCAAATTGTCAAGAGGAAGAGGTGCACACGCGTAAGTATGATTCTTCTTTTTTTCCTTAAGGTTGCATGCGGGTGGCATTCATTCCGGGTCAGATCCTCGTGGCCTAAAGGACAATATGCCCGCCAACACGATGATCAATTGCCCCAAGCGGCCCGTCCCCAACCCCCCGCCCGCGCTCGTGGTGCCCTGGGGCGCCAAACCCAGCAGTTTCCCCGACCTTGGTATCGTAAGGGAAATTCCCCCCCACCTCCGCATGTTCAAAAGGCGAGGACTGGTGTTGCTGGAGAATTTGTGTACACGAACAACCAAGTCCAATTGTCACGTCTTCAGATGCCAAGTGATGTTGTGGATCCTAGTGCAGCCAGGCTCCATCTCCATGTTCAACACGACAGAGACTAACTGTCTTGCCCAGAATAGCGTGACGAATAGCCTTCTAGCAACCCAGGCCGCCAGCGCGTCCCGTTGCCTTCTAGCAACACAGCTCGATTTGTGTACGCAAGCCGCGCATCACAAATCGTATTTTTATGAGTATGGGGAGGGGGGAATTTTCCTCACAATTCTTGGCGCCGACGAAGACGACGAGCTAGCAGAGATCATGAAAAGCCCTCTTATCTACTGCAAATGAATATCTGCGGGTCTGGAAAGTTGTCTGACAAAGTGGCCAGAGTATGAGCATGAAGCCAAGCATCATGTTGACACATTTTGTTTTGAGCGGTCCTGTGGTGCGCAGCACATTGGCTAAACTGCTTTTCCTTTTTATACATGACACAGAAACAGCGCTATTCCGCAACACGAACACGCAGTACATGAGAATTTGGGAGTATAGTCAGGAGTTGAGCGCTACAGATCTTGCATTCTTCCAGACCGAGACATATTTGCAGTGAATACCTCGCCGAAACATGCAATTGCGACTGTATTTTTTCGATGTATCTAGATTTTATCAAGCTAGGGTCCTCGTCTCTGCCTACATGCTTTTGCTCCAGAGGGGAGCTATTCCAAAAGTGGCAGAAGTCGTGAAGCTTTTGATAGCCGACTTGTGGTAGATTGTGTCGAGAACACGGTCCCCGTGGTTTTTTACTTTTGTTGTGCCGCATCTGGAAAACCAGCGATCATCTCTGTGCACGACGAAGATGCACCATTTGTTTCCCGACACAACAGGTACTACCCGCCTACCAGCCTGCCACAAGGCTTTGACCAACAGGTGGAAGAGTACGAGCGGACCGGGCGAATCTACATGACCACCAATCCAGCCTCGTTTGTGGGCGGCGCGTACCCGCGCAAGCGCAACGAGGTGTTGCAGGAGTTCGGGTCAAATTGGGAGCGAACAAAGTACCGGGAATTCAACAAAGCTGCCATCGATAAAGAGAAAACAGGTATTTGTAATTTTGAAGTTGTAGTACCCTGGACGAGGCCGCCACAGGCACCGACTCGTGGTCACCTGCTTCTTCTACTGTTTGATGTTCATGATCTCCTTGTTGTTCTCTCCTTTGATACGAAGTGATATTTCATCCCTTTGAGTTGTATTTTCTTTCAACGATATTAAATATACGAAACTGGATGAACAGACGGCTCCACCACATCGTTTTATGGGTACGGCTATCCGATAGTGCGGCAGGGGGGCTACCCGGTGGAGCGGTATGAATCCCCGCCGACCGACGGCGGCGCGTCCTTCTACATCGGGCCGCATATCAAATGCAAAAATGTCTGGGTCTGGGAGGATGGAACTTGTCATGCTAAATCTGAATCATGCAAGCAATCTGTGTTGCGTGATTACCAACAGCCGTCGTTTTTTACCAAGTTGAAAGGGAATTTCTCATGCAGGATAGGCATGCTAGAGATCTCACAGAGTTTGTCATGCTAGGCGCTGCATTCCAGACCTCATGAGTCATAGAAAACCTGCATGACAAACCTGGCAATCTTCCAGACCCAGACACTTTTACAGTTGATACCGCAGGACTGTCTGCAACTCGTCACGTTTGTGAATGAAGAGCAGGGATGGCAGGAACCGGACGCGTATCAAAAGGAAAAGTCCCCCCTCCCCATATCGGAAAGGCACGTCTCAGAAAATTTGCAATGCTGATTTGTGACCACAAATCGTCTCTGTCTTGCAAGAACGCAACTCCGCAGGCCCCGCCGCATTCTGCAAGCGGTTTGTGATGCTGTTGGCCCTACAGACTAGACGTTTGCCATGCTTAGCGCCTAGCCCAGAGCCTCCCCACTCAGGCACAGCATAGGCCTGCAGTCCTCTCTAGAAAGACAAATCTGATTTGTGTACGCAAATCCAGCATCAGAGGCTTCGTTTTGATATGGGGAGGGGGGATTTTCCCTTTTGATAACGCGGGGCGTGTGTTCGAGGTGATGGGCGGCATGGAGCGATTTGCGATTTTGACGGACCGCGAGCCGGTCACGTGGGGCTCCGGGCCGTCCGCCGAACTGTACTACGCGCCCGACTTTGAAACCGAACGGAGCTACTTCCACCCCGAGCGTGCCACCCTGCGCGCGCAACAGGCCTTGAACCCCCCCGAGTCCTCTGGCGCAGGATCTGCAAATAGTATGAAGAGGTCGGGCAAAGGTGGCAACCACGCGGAGAATTACGACAGTTACGATCAGCACCCCGGCGGCAACAACAGCGGTATGCTGTCCCGGGGCGGGAGCTCAGGTGGGCCGGGCGGAGGCGGAGCAGGAAACAGTTACAATCAGGATCTTCAACCTCCCGGGCAACACCTTGGCGGTGGTGGAGGTGCAAGATGGAACAACAAAAACGAGAACTACGGAAACCAGCAGAACATGGCGTCCTACAAGGGCGACTATCATCAAGGGAATGGAGGCCCTGCTCCAGGCGGTGTCTCGGCGACATACAACGAGCATCAGCGTTTGCGTGTATCCACTGGTAATGTACTTACACATGTCTGGGTCTATACTTGATGAAAGGCAGGAATTGATACGTATGAGGTTACGACGCTAGTATGCAGATACTATCCGCGAGGTGGATACTGTCTGTTGACGCATCGTAGGTATTCGAAGTGAGCGCAGCGTACCTGAATGTAGTTTGCTCTTTTCCCGTCCCTGACATGTTTGCGAAGATGCATAGCATGACCGCGACTACAACAATGCGCCCCCGCGAGGACCACAGAATGAGCCAAACTTTCCGCCGAACAACAGAAACAACTTTCAGTCGAACCGAAATGGCGGAGGGGATCACCCCCAGTTTCTGCTGAACAACCCGTCAAACCACGGAGGCCAAATGATGAACAACCCAGGCGGGGGAAATAATGGCAGAGTATCCAATGCAAGCGAATCGCAACTACTTGATCGAGGAGAAATGTTGGCAGCAAAAAGGGCATGTGTCCTGCATGCAGCGAATGAGTAGGCAACGCATGAGAGTTTGGTTTACGAATTGGTAGTACCGGTAGTGCGGTAATATTACAATGTCGACGAGCAGTTATGCGAGGTTTTTTGCATAGGATACAAAGGCATGCAAAACAACTCCGGGAATGCCGATGTAAAAATGTTGAACAGCGACAACGGGTATGGGAGCGGTAACTACAACAGCAACAATAATGCGACGTCTTATAACAACTACAAGGAACACAAGAATGAGTTCGGCCGGAACAACGGGAACCAGCACTATGGCTTCAACATGCCAGGGGACCAGCCGCGCGACGGGAGCAAGTATGGGCGGAGCGCAAACATGGGTGGTGACGGTGTGATGAACAACAATTATGTACAGCAACAAGGCTATAACCAGCCCCCACGAGCGGCACACCACGGCCCCGGTAACACAAGTAAACTCGGGGCTTTCTCGAAGGAGGGAGGCAATAATATCCGCGACAGCAACCGTGGCGGCGGAGTGGGAGGACCTGCGTCCGGGTCCTCGCAATACAACAGCAGCCTTGGCGGCGGCCTGTCGGCGGACCATTTGCCTATGGACTCAATATCCTCGCAGCTCACCGGCAGTCCACCGCCCAACAGCGCACGCCTACCGCCATCGTCGAGCTTTAGCACGGCCTCGCAGAAGACCGGTGATTACAACCATGGCGGGAGCAGCAGTACCTCCTCGAACTTCGGCGACGGATCTTCCTACAAGGCCGACAGCAACATACTGCCCCCACCCAGTCTGCCAAACACGGGCGGCAGCTCAAGCAAAGGTGGAGACAACTTCGGTGGGAAGCGACCCTCACCGAACCACAGCAGGTACAAAGCAATAAATTGGGTAGCAGTGGTAGAATTTATACCTGTGCTATACTTTTTCTTCTTGTACTCCGCAGCTTTAATTCAAGAGTCCGTGCCTGGTGTCTCTGTCTGCAAGCTAAGAAATAGCGAATCTGGCTGCGCCCAGTGTTAGGAAAAACATCAATGGGAAGATAGAGAATCTTTCGCAGGTATGGCTCCGAAGCAGGGAATGGGAAAGATGGGAACCGCGAAGAAAGGCGCGCGGCCCGTGAAGAGCGCAGAATGGCGGGCCGGGATGAGGTAATCGCCATTCTTCTTCCTCTTGTGCGAAGAATTATACTGAATTGTGTATGTGATATAAGTAAAACAGTCCCAAGCTCAATAAGTCAACCGCGCTGTGATGCCGGTGGACATTATCAACCCTGTTTCGCTTCTGCTGCGTTCTAGCCAGCAACAGGTCGTGCTCGTGATGCATGATTCAATCGAATGAGAATTTACTCTACAGTGGGCATCGACCGGTGCGCGCGGTACACACAATGGCGGAAGCAACTGGAACAATAATGAGCGGGGAAGCGGTGGGGGCGGAAGCAGCTACAACAATGGTAACTACACCAAACGACAAGGCGGGAAAGGCCGCGGCAAGGATCGTTCTTACCATTGGGAGGAGGAAAGAACAACGACAACTGCTTCCAACTCGTTTGTAGGGCAGAGTAGCAGCAACAGCAAGCAGGACAGTCTGGCATACCAATAGCGTACCGCAACCTACGGACTCAGTTCGCTGTTTACTCTGTGCAGCCGCCCTTATCAAGCTTATTCAAATGAATAACGTACAGAGCCCTTTTCTTGCATACCTCAGTGCGAACAATAGTGGGTCTAGAAGATGACGAGCCTCCTCCCAAACTTCATGTTTTAATGCCGCGCCAATCCGATTTCAAATCGTGGCATGACTAGAGGCCTAGATTTTTGTACATGGACCGTGACCTGCTTTTTTTTCTTTTCCGTATCAACGCCTTTTATTCTTCTTCTGCTTTAATATCGCGACAAGGACAAGGAATGAACACAGGAGCAATTGCTGCGAAAAGTAAATTGATGATCGATGGTGATGGTGGCCCATTTTAGTTTTGTTTTGAATTTGATTTTGAAGATGCCGCGACGCATACATTTGATTTTTTTCTGTATTTTATTGGGCGTCAAATTTGAGATTTTCATCACATCTCATCGATGTATGAGTTTGTAGAAACACAAGGACAACAAGCCCCATCAAGTTTTCGAAATGATGACAAGAATTCCATGAAAAGATCATCAGCTCGATACTACCAGCAGGGTTCTAAGAAAATGATCGTGTTGTATCGAAGGACTCAATCCCTTTGGGGATGTTGGAAGAAAGTCTGAATTTTCATCGGAGTGTTCCCTTGGGTTCTCACCGAAGTTGCGCATCCGCGGTAAGATAAGTTGGCGTCTTGTCGTCAGATTCCACAGTTTTGTGTGGCACAAAATGCATCTGCATGTTCGTGAGCCCCCGTACTACCCATGAACAATTTCAACATATTAATCGATTGTCGACATTGTTGGACAAGTAGCATTCTCAATATTACGCTTCTACTTATGGATGTGGTGTCATGTGCAAGTGCATGCAGCCCCTTGAACGATATGGAACGTGGAGCCGATCTTTCTTGTTAACTCCGTTGATTGCTCGATCATCCTCCTTCCTGCGTTCCTCAGGTACTAGTTTGTTATTTTGAGTATAATCTTAATCCGAAGATAAAGAACAGTCGTGCCCGTTGCGTTGTTGCTGAACACAGGCTCATTTGGTTTTTTGTTGTTCGCAATTCACAAGATCATGACCCTCGTATCGTCACTTCCAGTATCTGTTCTTGCGTCAACATTGCCCGCTCCTTTCACTTTTGTGCCGTCCTGCTCCTCGTCTTCCACGGCCTTCTCGTCCACCTCTGGAGACCTATGTAAGACCGTGTCCGACCACTGGCACTGCGGCGCAGTATTATAACGCGAAAAAATAAATCCACTTCCACTTAGACATTGGATCGTCGGTGAGGCTGTTGGACTGCTGGACAACCTACCGCACGACAAATCGTAACCTTCAAGCGGATCGTCCTTCCACCACGACCAGTCGACTGATTTCAAAGATTGAAATTGAGATTTATACCACAAAAAGCAACTTGTTCACTGCAAGACCAAAACCATGACGACCACCGCCGCAGCAACACAAATGGAAGACGTCTCTCCGATTGTCGCAGCGCAAGGATTCGCCTATTCGGAGGTGCGTAGACCGAATTTCTTCCGACACAATTTTGGGCGACCGCTGCGTTCCGGAGGTGTACGGCAGTCCGTGTTGGCGCTCACCTCCACAGCGATCGGTGGTGGGTTGCTGACGCTACCCTACGCCATGCGCCTTACCGGCATGGGCCTTGGAGCCTTCCTGCTGATACTTGGCGGGCTCGCTGCCGCCTACAGTATACAGGTATAATTGAACAGTCTTAGTGTTAAGTACTTACTTCCTTTGACTTTATTCATCGTAGTGCCACCCCTGCATCTGCAGATACACCGTGTAGTGCCTACTATGTATTAAACAGTGAGTAGGGCTATGCATTCTGATGATGTCCGCATTTATTGTCAAGGTGCTAATGCTCAAGACCGCAGAAACGGGGAGCATGGAGTACGGGGAGTTGGTCGGGAAGAAAATCGCCGGATGCGGTGGGGCCTTCGACTGCTTGCTCGCCATTTACGGCTTCGGCGTACAGGTAGCCTATTTCAACTTTGTCGGCGACTTCATGTCCTCACTCGCCGGAATCTTCCTGCCCACCATACCCGCGCTGCACGACCGAGCCGTAATTATCTACGGCATCCTCGTTTTTGTCATTCCACTGTCCGTGCCAAAAAACCTGAGCGCGCTAAAGTACTGCAGCGTAATCGGCGCCGTGAGTCTGGCCTACACCTCCGCGCTTATCATAGCACGCACACCGGGACAAGTGACGCAGCAAATACTTGGTACAACTTCTGAAGACCTTTCAGCACTTGGTGTGTAGTACTGGTAGGCTCCATCAGTTGTAACTTGGTGCAAGACCAAGAACCTGTTGTCTCGATACATAAATTGTCTTTGCGCTTCCTTGTAACGGTATACGTTCTGTCGAAATGAACTTCCGCGTCAACATCGCTTAGTACGTACTACGGATGATGGCGTACTCATGCTGGTTTGCTGCTGAAGAAAACATAAATCAAATGTCGTCTGATGAAAAAATAAACTGCAAGATGAGCTCCTCGTAGTACGGCTGGATTGGAACTTTTTCATCGCTCTGGGGAACTTATGAAAGTGCACAACTGGCCCTCTCCCTCATTTGTCATGCCAACCCCATAATCCAGTCGCTGCCGTGTAGCACTGTTTGCATGACCAATTCCGGAAGCCCAAACAGTACTACAATAGGGACATAAGTTTCTCATGCATAGGCTCCACGTGTGCTGGTGTTTGTATTGCTGTTCATGCAATATTACAAATGAGGGGGCGGGGTAGTTGTGGTGCTTTGTCATAGAACTTCGTTTTCGCGTACAACTGTCACCTGAACGTGTGTCCGGTTGCCGCCGAGATGGAAGTGCCAACCTCCCAGCGGATCACGAAGGTGACCTACACCGCCACGTTCGTGCAGATATTTTTCTACCTCGGCATTGCCGTGTGCGGCTACCTCAGCTTTGGCGAAGGGACGGCGTCAGACATTCTGAAGAATTATGACTCTGACGATCCAGCAGCAATAATCAGCCGCTTCGCATTGGCGGTCACTCTCTTGGTACAAATGACAGAAACAGGTCGTTTTCTAGCAGTTTTCTTGACAAATTTGAGTACTAAAACAGTTGTAGCAGTTTGCTTTACTCAGACTTCATTTTTTATATTGCATGAGTATAGTTGTTCTCAGCTTGGTCGCGTCCGCGAGGATTTTTGTGTCACTCGGTCATTGTCAAAATCAGATTTAGTGTAGTTGTAGCAGCACGGTGGTCGTCAATTGATAAAACTATACCGCACAGTTTGCGCTTCCGATCAATTTGAACCCGACGCTTCGAGCCTTTTTGGCAGTGGGCGACAGGATACGCGACCGAGGTGGTAATGGAAGCCGCGGGAACGAAGACGATGTTGCCAGCCTGGAGCGCGTGCAGAGCTTCATTGAGCGCCCCCGCAAGAAACTGCATGACTTCGCGGTGGCCCGCTTACTATCCGCGATTTTGTACACGGTAGCCGCGGCCACAGTGGCCTGTTTGGTAAAAAACCCCTCCCAGGTGATAGGACTCACGTCCGCGGCGATCGGAACACTGATGATGTTTCTCCTGCTATCCAAGAAAAAAACGAAGTTGTTATTGTAAATTTGTGAATGTGATGCGCAACTACATGCAAATTGATTGCGCCTTTCATGCTGCGCCTGCATTGTAGGATCCATTCAAGGGCGTTTTCGCATACTATCTGCCCATAACAGGGCTTTGCTGTCATGCGAGAGATATTTGTCATGCTAATCCTCCAAGAAAGTTACACCTACAATCTTTTTTTCTTGAATACCAGCCCGCCTTTTTCGCGGGGGACTTCCGCTGGCCCGTGGTGGTTCTGTTGCTGATGGGCGCCTTGAACGGTGTTGGCGCTGTAGTCATGGTCTTGCAAGCGCTCAAGGTTTTAGACCCACCACCGACATAGTTGTAGACGCCCATGCGTGCTGCCGGTGCGCCCATGCATGCGGACGCCCTTGTTCATGCGTCTCTAGCGTCGAATCTTCAAAGTGGTCAGCACGCCTTTCCCCTGCGCAACTGTTGAAATTCAAATTCTTCTTTACATGAAGTCAAATTCTTCTTTTTCCGATTGAGATCGAGTCAAGAATGCATGCAATGTCTCGCCCTTGTGAAAGAAACTCTTCTTTGCTGTAGGATTAACCCAAATTCCGCCGCGCACACTCCAATTCAGTGCACCCCGAAGATTAACCATGGATATCGCTCTCGTTGAAGTAAAGAAATGCAGAGTACCATGATTGTTGACAAATCGGTTCATGTGATCAATGCCGGCACATTTCAGTCGCATTCCCAAGTGCAAGAAAACAGAAATGCAAATATTTATGTTGAAGAAACGCAAACAACCTAACGATATGATCTCGAAAAGCAAAAGCTCATCCCCTTCGGCTTCGTGAATTGTCCTCGGTCATCGTCGCGCCTTTTCGTACTCGTGGGTGGATTTCGTTTCTCTGCAATCGTGATTGTGGTCCTCCCCTTCGATCTCGCACGTAGCACAACAATTATCGGTCGTTTTGGGAGTATCTAATAAAGCATCGTGCTTGTTGTATGAGGAAAAGTGTAGTCTTGGCATTTGGTAAAACTTAATTTGGTAAGTATCTATGCCCACCGGCAAAGTGTGCGATTAACGAACGTGTTTGAATCTATATCATTTTGTGTGTCAAGATCGTTTTTTTTTGACCACATTGTATTGCTATGGCACATCGCAACCGGGGAAAAATAATAAAGATAAGTCGAAGTCCAAGTCATCATTGCTGGTCATCTTCTGTTGCACCCAGAAACCGTCCACCAAAGGAGTCAACGGTCGTGCAGGATGTGGCCGACACCACGAAGTTGCTTTGTCGTTTCCCGTCTGAACAGTTTTCACGTCCGTGTAGTAGAGAGCATTCCAGAATAAAACGACAGGAGCTTGAGACGCACCGCAGCGGTAGGCTTGATGAGGTGGACCACTGTCTTCGCCATGACTCGTCTCAGCAGCAGTGTGGTTTTCCATCATCGCTCCGCACTCCTCTTTCTCAGCTACGCGGCCGTGCAGCTCCATATTATGGTCATGTGCCTCGCTCCTGTCGCGCACGCAGCAGGAGAGGGTGAAGACGTCGCTCGTATTCCGTTGACAGCTTCCACCTCATCGGACCTCTACCCCCTGCATTTACAACATCAAGACGAAGAACGAGAGCTCCTGTATAGTAGCGCCGCCGGGCTTTCGGCTAGCACAACAAGTCTGCAGGCGGACCGGAGTACTACCCGGACGAACCTGGTGCTTCACGAAGTTCTAGTTCCGAAAGGAGAAGAAAAGGCTCCCCTCGCCGCCACGCCCGGAAATAAACACCAGGCGGACAACATTTTCGACGCGGGTACAACAATCACAGAGACCTCCCAAGTGGCGCATGGAGTTGACACGCCCCGAGAGCTGCAGTTCAGCACCGTCACTGCCACGACGACGATGGATGTTTTTAACCGCGATATGATCAATTTGGGATACCAGAGGTTTTTTTTTTTGATACTAAGCGGCTTTTGTTTTTGAGAAGTGCACATTTTTTTACATCGTAAGAAAACGAAAACGTGTGGTTGATTCATCTAAGAAGTAGGAGTACTGTAAGTAGTCCGTCGTGCGAGCCTTAGATTTTATTTCAATGTTTTGATCATACAAAAACAAAAACAGCATGTGTGTCGATATGCGATTTCCTTCGTTGTACCGGAAATTTTGTCTGGACTCGTGCAACGTCATTGGAGAAATCGCCGTCCCACAGTGGTATCGGTGGGAGCAAGCCTGCATTCAGTACGCCGAGGATTCGCTGTGGTTCTCTCAGTGCCCCGACTTCTACGGATGCGTCTTTGGGTGCGAGGTCCACGGGGGTGATGGCGATAAGATGCTCGATGCGGAGTATCACTTCTGTTCATGCTTTCATCAAGAAATGTAGTTCCTTTGAATAGATCTAAGTACTACTTACATGGATCACTATCACTGTTGATGATTGTCGGGGTTTTTGTGATGAAAAAAGACAAATTCAAATGGACCTGCGTCTTATCTGCAAAACAGGAAATGGCGGCGGCGAGAGATGATCTCGAAGGCGCAGATTTCCTTTCTGCGGGAGAATGAGCGGTGTGACGCGATGAAGTGCCGAAGCTACTGCGCGCGAAAAATCTTTGCCGGATGCCGCGAGCAGCAATTCTACCACGAGTGCATCGGCCTGAAGAATCGACCCGGATATCTCAAGTTTGGCGGCCAGTGCGAAGTGGACTGCAACTCCGCGATTGCTAGCAAGACAGTTAGTTCCGTCGCCATGGCGGTCGCGGTCTTCATGACGTGCCTCACGCTCTTTCTGTACTGAACGCGGCGACGGCGATGCTGGAGTAATTATTGACATTGTCTTTCCGGGAAGATTGAAGTGGATTTTTTGGTAAAGGGAAGGACAAATAGCACCTCGCCTCCGTCAACAAAAGACGGAAAACGGCTGTACCTAGAGAACTTCAAATCCACATTGTACTCGTATGTACCATAAGTCTTGCGTCCGTTCTTTGTAAAAAAATTGAAACAAATCAAGGTTGAGCTTCTCTCAAACTTTTGGAGTATAACTGTATGAACATGTTGATGAGATGATAATGTATGAACATTGCAGCACAACACGCAAAGTGATGCGAATGAATTGAAAATCGTTGGATCTCGTCAGTGTAGTTTGTTGGGACACGCACCGTTTCACGCCTAGGCTTTTCAGTGCATGTCGTGTTAAGGCTAAGTACTTCTTTTCGACTTGCAGCTTCGTAAGTAGGCAACACAATAGATAAGTACTAGGAAATGAAAGAAGACGCCCAATCGTCATCGAACCATTATTTCCACATCATCGTTCTTATTTCAGGGTCGTGGTCGTGATCGTTACTATCACCGGCGCAGCAAGAGTGCCCGTCTGATCTTCTCCGTCTCGTCGTTGATACTAGGTCCTGGTTGGATGCTGTAACATTCGTGCGGATCTGCCACACCTAGACCTACTATATCAAACCCGATGTAAGAAGATTATGATTATCAATACCATAGCTACTTCCGCCAAGCCGAAAATGATGTAATCGCCAGGGTTCTTCGTCCTGGTCGTTCCGTGTGTGATAGCAGTAAAAGTTTTTTCGTGAGGTGCTGTTGTTGATCAGGGTAAAAATAGTTTGTACTGTAGAATGCAGCATGCGCTTAATGTGTGATTTTCATTTTTGTCGTGCATGCGCATAATTATCGGAAGGGTTAGTCTTTCGGAAGGGGAAGAACGGCCTCTTGCATGTCATTTCCCGTCCGACCACGACTCTAAAACCGCAGCGTCATTACTACGGTTCTTGAAGTCATCAATGCAGCGCACGGAAAGGAGGCACGAGAACCTGTTGCCGGTGGACGAAGATGATGTATGCTGATTGATTGCCAACTCGTCCTGTGAAGAACGAGTATGATGAAGATGCGACGGCTCGTTGCCACGACCTGTTTCCCACCCATCGTGCCTTACTTCCTTCTTCCCTGCGCAAAAGGACAGCCGCACGATGAACAGGTGCATGTTGAAGCGCTTACTGCGGCTCCTTCTTTGACAAAACCCCTCGAAGGGAGAGTCGACAATGTAGCCCATAACACCGTAAACGCCTACGCCAAGCAAACCGAAAGTGAGGAGGTAGAGCATTCGGATGGAGCTGCAGAGCAGTCCTCGTCGCCTGCAAATCATGCAATGGTCTCCCCGTATACGCAATTCGATTTCAAGACGCCCATCACCGCAGTCAGCCCAAACTTGGACAACCAGCTCCGAGAGCTCGAACGCGTTTACTACTGCGATGGCGCTGCGGAAGGCGGAGACCACGAGCGCATGTGCTTTACCAGCTGCAACAACATCAACCAGCAGATAGCGCCACAGTGGTATATAGTATCTCCAGTAGTACATCTACAAAACATTATAAGTGACTTTCTTATTGGGAATCAATCTCCCTGATAGTTTAAGAACCCGCGGACGATTATTTAAATTTATCGCGAAGGCGAACTCGTCGTGGTCAATGATAGTACGACCTCTACCTATTCCTGTCAAAAACAAGAACAGGAATAGCAAGATAAAGCTGAAGGTGCCTCCACACACGACACACAAATAAAGACACCAGAATTGAAAGCGAAGCATCTACATCACATCTATATCAGGTTCCAGTTCGATGAGTTTTGCCAGCGCCAAGCGGAGACCGATGCCATGTGGAACCACCCCTTGCTGTACGATTGCCGCGAATTTTACGAGTGCATTTACGGCTGCGCGATGTACGGCAAAGGCAGATGGCGGCTTCAGCGAGCGGCCGCCGACTATCGCGTACGCCTCATTGCTGCGGTGCAGATGGGCATCACAGAGATCCTCAAGAAATGCGACGCATTGAAATGTACTGATATTTTCCTTGTTTTGGATAAGAGTCTTAATCCTAGTTGTATTTCTACTGAATGCCGACACGGTATTTCCGTTTCCATTTTGTCAGAGCAGGGGATGTTGACACCAGCAACTAAATACGTTCGTATACGTGTATCTCTACAACTCCGAAAAAAAAACAGGCAAGGCCTATTGCGCAAAAGACTCCTTCACGACGTGCCACGAGGTTCAATGGCGGGACTACTTATCACACAGAAAAAAGCTGGCAGGGCGCATTTGTAATGCAAAAATAAATACACGAAAAAACCTGTATTGCATAGCGGAAACAGCATGCTATGGGGCCACCCATGACGAATTGTTGTGTGTGTTTATTTTTGCATTACAAATATGCCCTGCCAGCTTTTTTCTGTGTGATACTACTGCCTCGGCGAAAAAGCACAGCTCGACGAAGGACAAGGCTGTGACGTGATGTGCAACGACTCCGTGCCAAGAAGTGGATTTGCAATGCAAAATGGCAGCGTCCTGCTTCTCTCCTTGCTGGCAGCATACTCCTTTCTCCACCTCCTCTTCCCTGCAGACCACGGCGAAAACAACGGCGCAGCTGGGTTTCGATGGTAGAAGACCACGCCGAAATGATCAAAGGACCACGCTCTAGCGTGACAGTGACTACGAACAAGAAAGTTGTACTTATATATTTACCATTATTGAGCAGGAAATGTATTGCAATTGCTATTGGAAGTTCTACAACCGGAAGTTGAAGAATCTTGTACCTAAAATTGAGACTATGTCAAAATTAGTTTATGATGGTATCAATGAATCAGTATGTATTTGGTGCGTTTGTTTGGAAAAGTTGTATGTGTACGATATTTGATGCTGCATCTTCGACATCCAATAATTGTACAAAGAAGGAATCGATTCGATTCCAACGTTGTCGGCATCTGAATTACGATCTCCTTCGAGAGATCTGATTCAAGCGTAAGAAAAACTTAAGAAGTAGCCCGTATACAATTTGTACCAAAGAGTTGTCTTCTACGATACATTGACACCATTTTTATTTGGTACCTTCGGATGTGGATCCGAACGTGCCTGGCCCGTTTGCCGGTCGTCGTCCTTCATGGGCTTGTGGCACCCTTCTCCTGGTTCATGTTATTTGCGTTCGACGTCATTCGCACCATTTCAATTCGGGCTTGATATTTTTTTCTTGCTTTTGGTTTATTTGAGGCGCCATGGGAACGTCCCCTTCGCTTCCGGTCTTGTTTAGCTTTGGACTTATTTTGCGTCGTTGTGCAACACGAACCGAACACAACCTGCGTCTGTTTTCCTTACACATGTTTATAGACTTTCAAAGTCCGTTGGTGGACCCAGAGGTCGCACAAGCCCCGGAGTTAGGGCAGCACGGAGAGAGTTCTTGGAGATCCGCGTTCTTCGGAAAATAGAACAATGGGCGCGCCATCATGTCGTTACACCACAAAGAGTCGCTCGTGTACCACCGGCAAGCGCAAGGTCCTCAGCCAACGAGCGCACAAAAATTTCGAAGTTGGATCGTGTGGGCGGCGCATCGGGATCATTGTCAGCGCCGGTGCCTACTTCTTGCTGCTGCTTGCAACCATCAATGCGCGCGTTGCAGAAGGGAGACGGATGCACATCATGACCGACTCCGGTATGCATTCGTTAGGTCTGGGAGGTTTGACGTGCAACACGAACCAAAACGGCCCGCAGCCCCCGGGAGAAACGCCCGACGTCCTGGTAGACTTGGCCTCGGTTTTTCACCTGCTCAGCCGCAACAAGCACAACGGGAAATCGTTTCCCCTGGGCGACATCCTAAACCCCGTGGCCAAGCAAGCGGTAACGCGGAGCACCTGGGAAGCCAAATGCAGTGAGCGCGACGACTGGCTCACGACCCAGGGCATGGGCCGACCGCTCGAGGACGTGCAGAAAAAGATCGCCCGGTGGTATCGCGAGGACGCCCTGCTGAAGGTGCTGCACATCGGTCTTTTCAGTGGCGGATCCAGCTCGGCGGCTCCCGAAAGCTGGCTGGTGCCGACGACCGCCGCCCCCACAACGAGTGGGCCTGGGGGCACGACCAACAGCGCCGGTCCAGGGGCGGGCCACGACGCCGACCGCACGCCCCGCCGGCGGCGGGACTCCGACCCCCGGCCAACTCTGCGGGTCGAGAACTCTCCTCGTGCAACGCACGTCCGGTCCCTAAGTCTGGATGGTGCCCTGATGTCACAGCAGCCTGGGCGTCCGCCGTTGCCGCACGCAAGTGAGTTTCTGCACTCTGCGCGCCCCGGGCACGTCCTGACTTCCCTGGACCCTCAGCAAATGAAACAGCACCAACTTCTGCACGCCAGCACCGACGGTAGAAGTACCTCGCCAACGTTGATGGCAGGAGCGTCGCCACCACCGCTCCCTCCGACCAATGCGAACAGGTCTCCGAGAAGTAAGGGGGCCAGTGCCGGGTCGGAGCACAAACAGTGCTTACTGGTTGGCGATGACCGCGCTCTGTACACCAGCTCGTATTACCAGGCGCTGCGCCGCGGCGCGTGGGAGGCCTTTCACGAAGACACGCTGGGCAGGTTGGCCAAACCCGCTCCCGGGGTGCTTGCCCCAAAAAAGGTCGCGGGGCGGATATGAGAGTGCACAACTCCCCCTCCCCCTCATTTCGATTTGTAATGCATAATCCCAAATTCAAGCTGTGCCTCTTGGCAATGTTTGCATGACAAAGTTATCCCTACTTAGATAACGACAAAAGCTCACCCTGCAGCCGTCCCAGGAGCTCTTTGCTGTTGTCTCTCGGTAGTGATCGCTTTGCCCAAGTCGATTTCTGCTAGAGTTTGCTGGGTATGAGGTTACCGTTTTAGGCTATTTACACAGGGACGCCCTGCCCTTAGTTTCCCAACATGACAACTTCTGGTAGTCAAAATAGCACTCCACACCAGTGTAAATTTGTCATGCAAAATCGGCATTCTTGCTGATGCTTGTATTGCCGTTCATGCTATACAAATAAGGGGGAGGGGGAGTTGTGCACTGTCATAGCGGAGGCGAAAAATTCTCAAGAAGGTATTGGCGTTTCCCTTCCGCGCGATCGCGTACCCGTTTCACAAAACGGCACAGATGCTCACGGGCGAGGAGCGCGAAAAGTACCGCAACAGCCACGACCACGAAAAATACCACCAGCAGGCCGACGCGTCGGAGCTGCTCGCCGCGACGCCGGAGATTATTGACCGCGACTCGCCGTACGCAGCCGGCCACGACGGGCGCGTCTTGCTGAAGTGGTGCGATATCAACTGCAAAAATGTCTGGGTCTGGAAGATTGCCAGGTTTGTCATGCATATTTTGAATGACCCATGATGTCTGTGATGCATGCTCTAGCGTCACATACTTTGAGAGGACTTTGTGACTCCTCTACCGCATGAGAAATGCCCTCTCCGCGTAGCACAAACTGGAGTCCTCTTGCTGGTCATGCAATACAAATTTTTTTAGAATTTAGCGTCAGCATTACAAGTTTAGAAGCTTTCCGACCCAGACACTTTTGCAATCCATATGCGACCCGGAGATGCACTTTCAGCTGGGCATCGACGACTACAAGGTGCCGCTTCGCACCCGCATCCTCGGCCACGCGTTCTCCCGGCTCGTCGACCACCTCTCTTCCGACGTGCGTCTCAAGTTCAAGATCCCGCTCGGGGAAGCGGACTGCTTCTTCAAAAACCAGCGCAACGTGGTCTTCAACAGTTACGCAGCGAGTGCAGACTACGACGAATTCTTCTCGATGGAACTTTTTGCCGGCCTCCAATGCAACCTCGTTGGCGGTTTGCCGCCCGCCGTTGTGGATCTGTTTTGGAAACTCAAAGTCGTCGGCCCGAAGAAGGAGCAAATAAAGCCTGCTGGGGCGGCTGGTATTTCTAAATTTGCAGATCACGGCGCTGACGAGGATATTGACATCGATGAGCGAATCACTCGACAGCAAGAACGACGGGACCTCGCCAGGGGCCTGCCGCCCGCGATGAATAGACCCAGTACTACGACTACTAGAGGCAGTGCAACATCCGGCTGCTGCACCGCGGGACTGACCGCTTCGAAGGCAAAGAGGCGTCACCACAGCGCGGACCACAGGGGACGCGCTTTGCACCACGGAGCTGCAACTTCCGGCCATAGCACGACCCGTGGTCCTCAACATCTTCCGGACGTAGCGGTCAGTTCTGAGTTTGACGTGGGCCTGCGCGGGTCGCTCGCGGTGGTAAACGCGGTGTCCAGCATCCGCAGACAGATTCTCGGGGCCTACAAGGAGAATGTGAAAAACGGGCTGCACTCCATAATCCTGCAACAAATTCCGCAGACCAAAGAGCTCCGGTGGGGCGCGAAATTGCGCGACTGGCTGCCGACGAAGCAAACGGCGTTGAACGAGCTCGAGACGGTGTACGAGCGCAAGCAGAAAGCCGTCGAGAACGTGCTGGCCGAGGCCGAGCGGGCCAGAACTTTGAAACTGAAAGAGCTGAAAACGGCCGGTGGCGCCGCCACGACAGCTGCTGCCCTCTTGAAGATGTCCGCACCGGGTCGTGGTGGAACGTCAAGCGAAGGAGATGACGAGGGCGAGCACTTTGACGACGATCTCACGTCCGCTTACCAGGCGGATAGAAGACACGTCGCTGACAACGACGCGAATCTCCAACAGGTGGAACAAGTAGAAGAAGAACACCTGGTAGCCTGGAACCTGCGCGACTGGCCCCTGCAAAGCAACGAGTGCACTCTAGGCGTGGACTGCCGCGAGAAGCTTCCGCCCATGAAGCTGCAAGTTCTAGAGGTAGACACAGCAACCAGTGGAAAGAAAGAAAAGACGAACCGAAAGATGACGATCGAGATCGGCTTTCCCCAGTTCGTTATGACAGTGCACAACTCCCCCTCCCCCTCATTTGTCATGCAAAATCCACAATCCCGCACCCCCCCCGGGCTTGAGTTGCGCAGTCTGTTAAGCATGACAAATACCGGAAGCCCAAGCAGTACTACAGACGGCGAGTGAACTTGTCATGCACTGGCTCCACGTGTGCCGGTGTTTCGATTGCTGTTCATGCACTACAAATGAGGGGGAGGGGAGGTTGTGCACTGTCATATTCGTCGCCGGGTTTTTAGAAGTGACCAATCTGCTGCTGAAAGAGCTAGATCTCGCCTGCTACTGGACGCACGCACACGAGATGGTGTTGGCTTTTGGCAACGGATACGGCGACAAGGCGAGCGGCGCCCGGCCGGGCGTCGCCGGCGGACGCAACTATGGTCATGGGGTGACCGGGGCGGGGCAAAATATGATGTCAACTGCTGCTGCCGGGGTGAAGAACCGAGACCACCTGCTCCAGGCGGAGGACGATGAACAAACTCTCTTTGGTTCTACCCGCCTGGCCAGGGGCGTGCGGCGGGCACGCACTGCGTTGCTCGAGGCAGATCCCCTGAACACTACGAGCGTGACGTCGGCCGATAGCGCCGAGTTCGAAGACGCCATTGACCCGGACGTGCAGCAGTCCATCGGGAGTCGGAAAATCGACACACAGTACGTACCGCATCTGGCCTTCAAATTGCAAGCCCGCTGCGACGACCTGACGCTCTTTAAACACTTCGCGGGCGTGAGCGTCGAAGCGAGCTGGGAGTTTGTGCTGGCCGGTAACGCGCTGGACTACCAGCAAAAGGAAGATGGCAGTGGAGAGTCGCGAACTAGTATCAAAGACCGCAAAATCCACCTGCTCGACTGGTTCGAAATCACGAAGCTGAGCGCGGAAATGATGGGAACACACCAGTTTCCGCTGGATGGCTGGGTCGTCAAGCAGTTGCGGGGACTGCTACGAGAACAGGTGCTTGGACCGACCGCATGGGAACTGCAGCAACTCGCATCCAAAATCCACATCGTCTGAACAACAGACGGCGTGATGAAACGGGTAGCAGTAGCGACCGTAGCTAATGAACCCGGCCCAATTCATCAAATCTAGCGAAGACGTGAAAAATGAAGAGCAGAAGCATTTTACGCATCAAAGATTTTGAAAGAGATGCAGTAGATCTTGCAAGTGTACCAAATGGAAATGAAGCTGAAACCACTATACTTTTCTGTTGTTTGAAAAATGTAAAGGACGCTAGTTTTTCTCAAATGTTGATATTTGCAATCTGTTGTCTGCAAAACGCAACTGATTCTTTCGTACTACAACTTTTCTGATGTCTGATAAAATGCAAAGACTTCATCATCTCTAATATCAGGAATGCGATGATGAAATACTCGACCGAATTCAAATACCTATTTCATTTGCAGTGCCGTCCAGCAATGAGGCCCCGCTCTTTGTTCTGCCATCATGCCCAAGCAATGACCTGCTGCAAATGGGGAATATTCGCAGACGTCAAATGGAAATTGTGGGCGTAATGGCAAAGATCTCGCTGGAGATCTGACCTGAGGCAGCCGCATCATGCGGCGCAGAACGATCTTGGTTTATTTTCGAACTCGAACGATTACGAATACGATCGACCCATCACCCCGATGGCTTAGGCTTGCAAAGGATCGCACCTTTTCCCTTTTGCAAAACCGCCTCACGTAAGAAGTTCCATATTACTCACTGCAGCGTCACTGTCACGCAGCAATGTGGTGTCACTGTCACAAAATCTTCTTTACCCTGATGTCTTTCTTACCTCACATTGCCACAGCGATAGTTCCAACTGCCAGAGAGTATTGAATCCATATTGTGAATGCCAGGATTCATACATTGTTATTTTTGTTTCACGACATAAACATAATTGAGCCCAATCGGGCTTGGAACTACGTCGAGCCTTGTTCTACTTTTCGTTCTTGCGTGTACAACTAGTGAATATTTGTCGTGAAGAAAAATGGCAGACTCAAGCAAGAAGGACCAGGATCTGACCAAGCGAGTTCTTCTCGCCGGCGACGCGAACGCAAACTTCACGACATTGTTCGACACGGTGGGGAAGCAGCAGGCCCGCGTGGGCGACTTCGACCTTTTGCTTGCCTGTGGCTCCTTTCTCGGCGAGGATATCACCGAGGAGAACCAGCAGTACCTCCTCGGGTTGAAGCAGCCCAACATCCCTACCTACTTCGTGGACTCGGACAGCGAGCGGTTCATCGAGGGCTTCGCCGCCGGCAAGGAGTTCGGTGCGGCAGCCTCCTCCACCGGGACTTCCGCCTCCTCCAGCTCCTCTTCGACGTCCTCTTCCCTGCCGCAAGCGACCAAGCGACTCGTGTTTCTCGGCTCCCACGGGGTGAAGACGATCCAGGGCGGCCTGCGGGTCGCGTACCTCAGTGGTCGCTACAACGCGGTGTACTACGAGGACGAGAGCGTTCCCTTCCACGGCGCCTGCTACACGCGCCTGGCCGTCGAGCAGCTGAAGCGGCAGAGCAAAATCGCGGACGAGTTCGGGCAAACCGGGGTGGATGTGCTTTTGTGTTCCGAGTGGCCGAAGGGGTGGCAGAACAAGGTGTACGACCAAGTGCCGAACCTACAGGACGTCGAGCCCGTCGGGGAAGGCGACATCGAGTCGTCCGCGATCTCGGACCTGGTCGCCGCCCTGGCACCGCGCTATGTCGTTTGCGCGAAGGGAAACACGTTCTACCAGCGCCCCCCCTTCCAAACATTGAAGGCGCAGCACGTATCGAGACTGATCGCGCTGGGCAAAGTGGGGGCCAAGGGCAAGGACAAAAAGTGGCTGCACGCCCTGCAGTTGCGGCCCCTGCGGGCGATGACCGCGGACGAGTTGCGAACAAAGCCAGACAACACGACGCCGTTCCCGTTCCAGAACCTCGCGGGCGATAGTTTGCAAGGACTGCAGCGACTGCAGCACAACGTGAGCAGCGGCGACGGGGGGCAAAAACGAGGGCGAGACGAGGACGACCAGCCCGAGGGGGTGGAGTTGTTCCTCAGCAATTTGACCGCCGGTTTGTCAGAAAACGTATCTTAGCTTCATGTTCCTTGATTTTCATTTTCGTTTTCCATCATTGCTGCTAGCTAGTAGCAGGCCAGCGGCAATCACGTCGTCAAATAAAGGATGTTTAGTAAAATTGATCTTCTACTCATTCGAGCTACTCTTTTGCATCTTATCGGCTCAGAGCCTTGCAAATTTCCTCCTTCGAAAATAAGGAAAATACTTAAATACCCTAACAACAGAACCTTCGCTCCGCCTTGGAACGCGCACTTGGCGGCGGCAGTTTGCTGCGGCTCAAGGTGATGGTGAACGAGAGGACCGGCGAGTGTAAGGGCTTTGGGTTCGCCACGGTCGTGTCGAAGGAGCTGGCGGAAAAAGCCCTGGAGCTGGAGCTGGAGGCCGGGGGCCGCACGGTGAAGATCAGCTACAAGCGGCAGCGCGAGCACGACGATCTGCAGAAGAAGGAGCAGGTCCTCCTCGCAAAGAAAAAGGTGGGGAAGAAAATCGTCGTGGAGCCGCACGCGGACTGCTGGTTTTGCCTGGCCAACCCGAAGTTCCAGCGCCACATGCTGGTGGCCGTGAACCCGCACCTGTACGTGGCCACCGCGAAGGGGGGGATCAACGAGGGCAACATGATTCTCTGCCCCGTGAAGCACATGCCCAACTACCTCAGCATTTTCAACTTCACCGAGTACGAGCAGCTGCGGGACTCCATCGAGACCTACATCATATCCTGTGCAAAAGCATCGTACTCGTATAAATGCAAGTCTCGCATTACAAATCTTGTTCCCAAGGCAAATCTGCATTACAAATTTTATTTCTCATGCTGAGAGAATTTGTAATGCATTTATACGAGTGCGATACTTTTGCTTTTGCAATGCATACATCAGCGCCATCCGCAAGATGTTTCTGGACCCGCGGACCAACCGCGACCCCTGCGATATGGTCGTCTGGGAGCGGTGGATCCCGACCAAGATGGCGCACATGCAAGTGCAGTTGCTGCCCATCCCGCGGTCGCGGTACGTCAACTGGTCCCGCACGCTGGACCTTTTCGCGGAACAGAACGGGCTCGAGTTCGAGCGGTTGGGCAGCGTCATCATCGACCCTGAAACGGGGCGGCAGCCGGAAGGTGCTGACCAGGATGGCACTAGTACTCACGTGGTCGACCCCTACGGCGACGCGAAGCCGCCCAGCACCGCGCTGCCAAAGTTGTTGAGCCAGAACGCCAACCGCTTCTTCGCGAACGAACCGGAGAGGAACTTGCAGAGCCTCCTACAGATGACCTACCTCTATCTGGAGCTGCCGGGGGACAACACGGCAAAGGGGAAAAAGATCGATCGCTACGTGTGTTACGGCCCGGGGCGCATACCCATGAACTTCGCGCGCGACGTCATCTGCACGGGCCTGGACTGCATGGACCGGTCGGACTGGCGCGACTGTCAGCTCGACGGCCCGAGAGAAAAAGAAATCGCACAGGCACTAAAGAGCAAACTCGACAAATACCTCCCCGCAGGCGCAGCGAAATGAAAATGATAATGATGTTAGACGAAATAAATGATGAAGGCGACTAAATTTTATTTCAGCCCTTTTTTACGTGGTCGTGACAAAGGGAACACATAACCGCGAGCCGAGTTTCAGCTGCTCTGGGATGAATCTAGTTGCGGTGTAACTCAGCAGTAGTACCTGTTCAGGACAAACGAACTTGAACGGCATGTCGTCCGGCGGAAAAAGTATTACCAATTGTCACCTTCGGATGAAAATTCATCTTTAACACGATGGTAATCAAGTACAAGAAGATCCAAATGTGATCTCAATCGTGATCTTCGTGAAGGTGCGCATCGAAATATGTGGTGGGAAAATTCTATTGTTTGAATCGAGTGGTCCTTGCTTGATTGGGATCTGATGCTTGTTGGGCGTTTTATTTTCGTGATCCGGGTTTTTCCTTTTGCGCAGGAGCAGTTTCAACAGCTTCGGAATTTTTAGAAATTAAGCTCCAAATGATTTCTTCTCGTATTTGACGTCACAATGAACCACACGACTAGTTGACCTCTTTTTTCGCTTCTCTATGTATTAAATCTCGTCGAGATGGGAAAATAAGTGCTCAGCTCCTACGATCCCTGTGGGATTCATTGTGCACGACCACGATCGAAAAAAAACAAATGACGGTCTCGGCTTTCGTAGCGCCCGTATCATGGCGACGACGAAGGAAGGCCGCGAGGAGATGAAAATAATGACGCAGGAGGTTCCTCCAGCGCCCGAGTTTCGGCTCTTGGAAGGCGATCCGCCAGACGAGTTCGACCTCGCATTCGTCTTTGGCGAGGGCGCAAAGTCCTTTGCGGTGTGGCAGTTTCCCACCTTCAAAGTTTTGGATCTGAACAGCAGCGACTTCTTCACCGATGAGAATGACGTTGACGGCCCGCGTGCGATCGTTTCTCTCTTGGCCGACAAAATCCGAAGGGAAAAGCCCCCTCGTCCGTCTGATCATAGGCCCGAGGCGAGTGTTGTTGTCCACGAGGTGAGCGGCATGGCGGAGGCGAGCAGTAACTTTGAGGATTCCGTATCCGAGATTCTCGACGCAGCTGCTGATGCGGAAACACTGTTAGCTGCCGGGGCGCGAAAGAAGCAGCCGATGAAGCGGGGGCGACCACCGAAGGTCGAGAAGAAAGAAACTCCACCAAGCGGAATCGCGACCAACACCAAGCCGGAGGACGCAGAGGCAATAAAGCGGCTCGCTTCTGTCGGCTTGAATCGAATTCCCTCCTGGCTGCGGCCCTTTTCCTGCCTGTCCAATGGGGAACGTAGCCGGGCACAGCTTGCCGCTCGCTTGTGCAGCAGCTGCATCATCCCCAGTTTTGCGGCAACCGTGGACGAGCAGACGGCAAAAGCCATGGCGGCGGGGTTACGGAAGCTGGCTACTATGTTGCAGGTGAGGCGCGTCGTCGTTTGTTGCGATAGAAAAAGTTGCGCACAGTACCTACAGCCAGACTTCTGTGTGGAAGTAGTTGCGACCCCGTTGTGTAGTCCCATGAAGATCAGCGACGGCGACGCTACAATAACGTGTGCAGCTGCCCGGGTGATTCGCAGACACGATCCACATTTTTCCAGCATTCAGAAGCCCCAGTACAGGTTTGATGTAGCCTGTATGAAGCGAATGATCGCGACCGGGCCTGGTGGATGGGACGCAGTCGAGACTGACCACGCAGAAGATTTGCGCAAAGCCGGCAAAATGCAGCCGCACGGTCGGCAGTTCTACAAGGACGTTTTTTGGAAACCGACTGTCAGAGACGCCACTTTGCAGCACAAAGTGCTCACGGACAGCGCTACGGCCGCAGCTGCGTCCGCGTTTGAACTGACTTTTGACGGTGAAACCAGCACGAGCTTGAAGTACCTCAATGTGAGTCACGAGCTGCTGGAACCGACGACCAAGTGGAAGGACATCGCAGCAATTGTTGGGCCGAGCGGGTCCGGGAAGACCACGGCAGTCACCCAGCTTTTGAAGGACCTTCAGAATCCCAAAAACCAAACGAGCACAAAGAAGAGCGTAGCCGCGGTGTGGGGGGTGGTCGAGGAAAGCGCAGCCGTTATTTCTCCGCGCACTTCTTCCAGTGCAAAAATCTCTCCTGCGGCTTCTAGCGAACAGCTGCAAGACGATAAAGTGTCTGAAGTTGAACAGGACCGCCGCCCAGCACGAGGGCAACTTGTCCGTGACTTCTTTCCTACCGATGACGGGGGGTTCACGGAGAACCAGCGACAGTTTCTTCAGTCCGTTCTGGGTCTCTCCGACCGCGTACTGCAGTCTAGCGTAGCGTCAAGGTCCTTGTCTACAGCCGATCGCGAGTGCATCCGTTTGGCCAAGTGCCTCTTTCAGCACGTTCGTGACTGTCCGCGGACGCAAGAAGTGGACGAAACGCCCGCGTGCGACGGAGAACCGACCCCACTACTCGTGATCGACGAGTTTACCTCTCTGCTGAGTCGGACCCGCGCAGAACATGTTTGCAAACAACTCGCGCAGTGGTTTCGTGGGGGATTTTTTGGTAAACTGCGCCTGCTGGTTGTGGGTGTGCACGAAGACGTGGTCGATTGGCTGAGGCCCAGTTTTGCTCTGCATACGAACAGCGGGTGCGTTTCGGTTCCCAGCGCGGACTCGCAGAGGAAGAATCCTGTGCTAGCCGAAGCGAGTGCAAGGGCCTTCTCGGAAAAGAAATCTACAAACAAAATACAAGTCGCAAGAACTAAGAGCGCACAGAAGGTGCGCGAAGTGACCGGAGGTGGCACCCAAAGGTCTCTTGACTTTTATTGCAGCAGCCAAAAGAAAGCGCCATCAACTATTCGGTCCGATTTATCTCGCGCAAAGCGCGAGAAGGACTTCGAAGTGCTGCAGGATCCATTCTTTGCGGGGGAGAATCTCGCAAGTGCAAAAGCAGTTGTAAAGCACAACGCCAAGAAGCGCCCTGGGCCTGGTAATTCCGATGAAGACGTTGAAATCATAAAGCCAGTGGCTCAAGATCATGGACACCAATCTCCTCCGCGCAAATCCAGAAAACTTAGCTTTGGGGCCAAACAAGTCCCGGAGGACGGGGTAAACGTAACTCTCAACGGAGATCTCGCTGGTGACGCTCGCGATGGAAATAAAGCACGACATGAGTCTGGTGAGGTAGAAACTTCACACATACACGACCCGGAACAAGTGCGGCTGTTTGCCGCGCCGAAGCTAAGCTTCGTCGTCAAGCCGCTTCCGACAGAATTTGACAAAGTAGAGAAGATTTGGAAAGATCACTTTGAGAAGCACCATTACCTACGTCCTGGTCTCCCGAAGGGAATGCAGAGCTTTCTGGTTCGAGACGCTACATCCAACCAGAGCGTTGCCTTCTACGGCGCATCGGTGCAGTGCGGGAGGGGTCTCAACAAGGCGTGCTGTCGGGAGACGCGCATGGTAATATTGCCCGAGTTTCAGGGTCTTGGAATCGGCCCGCGCCTCTCCGACGCGATGGCGCAGCTGTACCTTGATCACGGATGTACGCGCTACTTCGGACACACCGGTCACCCGGGGCTCGGGGGATGGCGTAACAACTCTTCCTTGTGGCTGCGGTCCAAACAATCCGAAAAGCCGGAGCCGGTGAATAAGCCGAACACGAACTTCAATAAATCGAACAAGGCCTCTGCGGCACCGAAACAAAAGGCAAAAAGTATTCCGGCAAGCGGAGTCGGCCCCAGTGGAAGCAGCTGTAGCTCTTCAGTAGTACCTCCTACCCAGATGCGTGTCATGTTTCGCCACGAGTTTCTTGGAAGGGGCGGCGCGCAGAGCGAGCACGGAGCGGGATTAGAACAAGCGAAGAAGGGAAAACAAAAGGCTGGCAGCGTCCAGGCGGCGCAAAAGGCAAAGAAAGCCGGCGTTGCAATCGAAGACCTCCCGAGCGGCGCGCTAATGCTAAACTCAACTACATCCACTTCGATGCTAGATGACCCGAACATATTTCGCATCGAATGTGGCCCCGCTGTACCGCGCGACACGAGCGACACGACAGGGATAATCACCGACGAAAACGAAGAAGTAGAGACGGGGCACAGCTGCAATGTGGTGGCCGCTTTCGGACAAGAAGCAGCAACATCAGAAACGCCGATCGTTGCCAATCCCGGCCTTGACGAGGACAGAAAGCCGACGCGCGTCCAGCAGTCAGGGGCGCTATTTGACATCCGCGGCCCTGGTTCGGCCCTCGATCCCATTCCTGAAAACGATAGCGACATTCCCATGGACTTTTGTTCATCATCTGAGGATGATGCGATAAGGTTAAAGCACCCCCCGATAGACAGCGACTGATGTAAGTAAGTGCTCTTGATGTGCTATTTCGAGCCACTCGCAATCTGTGTGTTTTCGTTGAACAAACTTCCTGACACTTCCGAAACGATCATTCCACTACGGAAAGATTTAGCTGGTAGCTGGACCACCGCTTGGAAATCATCACAATACTGAGGCATCTTCACATTGCAAGACGAAGTGCGGCGGAGGCGCTTGTGTTCAACTACAAAATATTTCTGTCCGTAAGTTCTTGCTCATGCACTCGATCGCGCTACGTACAAGCTCAGCGTATTGAGAAGAATTGTCGAAGATGGAGTTAGTATGAACGAAGAACGATTTCTCTGCTCTTGGCGGCTGCACTGGTGGCGCAATATGGTAGGAAACCAATCTGGATCCTTCTTGGTCTCTATGGTCATCACACGAAAACTCCGATAGTGAGTCTACCTGGAAGTGAGAGTGACCCTAATCTTAGCTTACTCATCATAGTACTCTGAAGTCTCCTACAGGTGTCGTGCGTTCTTGCTTTTTTTACAACAAAATCAATGTCGCCGACGAGGCCTAAACGCAACACACGGGCGCACGGCGTATGATTTTTCCTCCAATCACACGGTCGCGGAGCAAATGGATTACGAAAAAGCGTTGTTGACGCCGCGGCTTCACTACGGAGGATGGCTCCTGGGCGTGCTCATAGTGGGTGCAGGGGTGATAGTGCCCTTCCTGTACATGGTATGGAGAGAAAAAAGTTTGTCACAGTCACTACCTTGGAAGTTTTGCATTACAAATTTTTTTAGCATCACAGCTTTTCCTTGCATTGCAGAAACACAAGGGAAATCCCTTATGAAGTTTGGCTGTGATGCATTTTTGCGCATGACAGGCATTTTTTGTATTGCAAAAATGCCCATGAGTGATCGCGACAAACTTTTTTCTTTCGATACATGGCATTTCGAGACAAGCACTCCATCCCACTCTTCGACCTGTTGAAAAGAAGGACGTGAAAAAAATCGAAATGTAGGAACCGTGCTACTTGCAAGAGAGTGTGTGTCTACTTGAAGCAATAGCCAGTATTGGGACATTTTTTGAGTGGAAAAAATCTACCGCGATGTAGTACCTTGTTCGCTGTACCGGACGTCAATTACTCGGCAGGAGTACATACATCAGAAATGTATCGTGCAATATCGGTCCATAGTTCTCGGTCCGTGACCGAAGCCATTCGTGGTGCGCATCCCTCACAGTCACCAGCCAGCTAAGTCGGTCAAGGACACATAATAACTGCATCATCGGTGAAAAAGTGTTATAGACAAATGTGAATGTCACATATGACAGCATCGGCACTTAGGCAGGTGAATAAAACATCGCGATTCATTTTGAAATCGGTGAGTTCATTCATCATCCGGATTCTCAAAATTGTCGGCGATGTCGCTACCAAATTCCAATTCTCAGCGCAGGTTCCAGTGTCGGAAAAACCTTCCACGCACAACCTCGTCGCTCTTGTTTCTTTTTGTGTGACATAAGTACAACGATAACCGAACTTACCGTCGAACATACCTGCATTCTCATTACCTCGTGTATCATATCATTCGCTGCATTGCATTCACAAACACAAAAAACCAATTCCTCAAAATGGCAGAAACGATGTTGCGAAACCAGGGCCAGATGCTCGGCCACGCTTACACGGTGGTGATGTACAAGCGCCGCGATAAGTACTCGCAAATGGGTGTCCCAGAAGACAAGCACCTGCACTTGGACGTCGTTTTGTTGATCCTCGGTTCCTACTTCCTTGTCCCGCTGCTGTACGGGATGATCTGGTGGCTCATCTTCCTCATCATCCTAGCGGTGGTCGGCACAGCAGGCGTGGCGGTATTAGCAACACAGTTTCTCTGCACTTCATATATATGAGTTACTCTTTCGTAATCGTAGAGCCGAGCGATTGCCTCTCGCGTAGCATTGACCCAAAATTTGTTTCAGGAGATGGAAAAGCACAACAAATGCATCTCACAGGTCTACGATCCGGAAAGGTTCGCGCAAGTTCGGGCACAGACGGTTCACGCAGCCGAGAGCGTGCCCACCGAGCAAGTTCTTGGTGCCGTGCAAAGCATCCGCGTTGGCTTCATGGAAGGCTGCCAGTCCGGCACTCGAGCGTCCCTTCGCGCGGAATAATTTTATCTAAGACTGATTGAAGTAAAACTAAAATGTCACATTTGTCTTTACACATCTTCATATGCCATCGCGATCTTTCTTAGGTTTCAATCCATGCTACCTGTGTGTTTTCATATGTAACGATCCGGAATCGTTTGATTTTGATAATATAATTTTTCTGCGAACCCAGGTGGGAATGTACCGTCTATTATGCGCGTAGTGCTGAACTTGTGCCCTTATGACCTTCTTGTTCAAGTGATCTTCCACCAACTTGCCCGGGCATACCTCGCGTGTGTGAACCCAAACAGACTTGGTGAGGTAGCATGCCACTTCGACAGCAACTCATTCTCATCCTCATGTTCCGCTTGAGTGTTTTTAATAAGGACGATTTCTGGAGTCAATGTTACTTAATGTGTTCTCCGGCATGCGAGAGTTGGATTGCGCCTGCTCCGTCATTTGGCAATGCATTGTAGTGGAAAGGAGAGAACAAGAGCGCACGTAGATGTCGACTGATTTTATGAAACACCTTGTCTCTGCATGGGGCTTCAGGCGAAGTGACCGAGTGGTTGAGGTCGTGTGTGCGAAAGAAAAGCGCTTTGTCATTGTTTCCGAAACTACTGCCGAAATCAACATCTTCTGTATGCGAACAGGAGGTGTGAAAAGCCGCAAGCAGCTTGCCAGCCTCCACCTAGCAACATTCATCATCAATCCACCGTCGTCTCCTACTACAAGTACAAGCGTGAGAAAGTAAGAACAAGACCCCAATCATCAGACGGCTGCTTTCCAACCGTAGCCATATTGATTGCTGCCTTAAGCAGCAGCGCCTCGCCAGTTACGGGCGGGGAAAGACCATGAGGTCCTCTTCGTGTCCGCCTTGCAATTCGAAGATGGTCCAGAAGTGGATTTTCTTCTTCCTCGTCCCTGCAGCTGGGTGATTTGGCAGATGACGATGAGATTCTTTTCTTGGTGGAGCTCGGCCAAGGTTTTTCTTCACTGCAGATGGCGGGGGCTCTGCATGGGAAATTCCTACCGTGCTCCCCGACGCGCTATCCATGCAGCCCTCTCCGGTCAAAGGTCTGCATCGAAATTGTGGAAGCGTGAGCGCGACACCGCACTTTGGTGCGTCATCGCAACTCTGGCAGTACATCTATCTTGTGTCCACCACCATCCCGTTGACCTCTTCGCGTGTGTGGATGCGTACACTTGGCGAGACAGCCGGGGGCGTCCAGACGTCGCGACAACCCGCCAACACCAAGCTGTACGCGACAGAAGCAGAACTATCGTCCTCGGTGATGTATACGATTTCCACCTTCCTTCCAATGTGCCGCTCAGTGGCCTCGAGTGGAAGCTTGTTGCGCGGAAGCGTGAAATGCAGAAGAAGAAGCACCGACAGTCGGCCCGATACTCGTATAGACGACTGCTATACCTATACCGCACTTGCAGCTGGGCCGCCAGACGTTTCAACGCTCGCACATGCACTTTGCCTGTTACTCCGTCGCGAGGTTTGCGCGGCATCTACCTGGAAAACCCCAACGATTACCCCATCACGGTCCACAGCACCGACTTTGACAAGCAGTACCGGCTTGAGGAGCAGATGCTGGAGATCTACGAGCACGACCCGCTCTACAAGTACTCCGAGTTTTCGTTGCGGTCCGACATGTCGGTGACGTGGCCCGACGTGATCGACACGTGGAACCAGGAGCAGAAGCGAAAAGAGCACCAGGACGCCCGATTGGCCCGGAAGCAGGAGCACGACGACGAGCTGCTGCAGAAGAAGCAGGACAACGACACGAACGCCATGAACACGACGGGCGGCAAGAAGGAGATCGCCATCGCGGAGCTGCAGAAGCAGTTCCTGACGAAGGTGCAGGAATTCTGGCACAGCGAGTGGCTGTTCTTGAAGGAGAGAATTTGGACCCGGAGGAGCTCGAGGAGGAACCGGACAAGCTCCCGTGGGCGTGGTTCCCGGACGAAATTTCCACCATGGAGGAGCAGAACGACTACTACCTGTGGCTGTGGGGGGGGGGGGTGGCTTTGGGAGGACCCGAAAAACATCAAGCCGCTGATGTGCCAGAAGCCTGTGATCAAGACGGAGCACGACTACAAGGTTTCGGCCATGCTGGATCTGGGTCTGGAGGAGGACAAGTTCCCGAACCGGGTGCCGCAGAAGTTCCGCGAGAACGTGGTGATCCACGGGCCGCAGCGCTCCGGGCGCACGATATCAGTATGCATAACTCCCCCTCTTCCTCATTTGTCATGCAAAATCCCAATTCCAGTTGGTTCCTTGTGGCACGGTTTGCATGTTGACAAAGTACGGAAGCTGAAACAGTACTACACTAGTCAGGAACTTGTCATGCACTGGCTCCACGTCTGCTGGTGTTTGTATTGCTATTCATTCCATGCAAATGAGGGGGAGAAGGAGTTGTGCACTCTCATACACGAAGTGGGCCAACCAGATTCGCGCGGCGGTCAACCAGCGGGGCTTTCTCTCCAACGACGAGTGCGTGGACTGGGCGGTGTCGAGCAGCGCGAAGGGCCTGCTGGACGAGGAGTTCGTGGACAAGGTGCGGGCCACGATGACGGAGCGGGAGCAACTGTGGCAGACGGATCCCGCGGCGAAAGCGGAGTACCAGGCGCAGATCGCGCACAAGAGCATCCTCCTGTCGCACGACATCAAACCCCCCGCCGACGACGACGTCGCGGCTGCGCTCCCGATCTACGACCTGGACCCGGAAGTGGTTGCAGAGATCGTCAAGAAGCGGCTCGCGCTGTGCGACTTCAACACCGGCTTCATCCTCGACTGCTTCGACGCGTCCATCGAATACCTCACTCCGGAGAGCGCTTTGCAGGTGATGTTCCTCCTCGACGAGCGGGTTCGGTTTTTCCTGATGGAACCGAGCCACCGCTCTCCCAAGCAGGACACCGGAGGCATGTCGGGAAACGAAGCAGACAACAACCCAGGAGATGTTGCGGGTGCCGCGGGCGGGGCGGATGTTCAAAACAAGGTCGCCGACCAGGAGCTGGACGAGGAAGCGAAGGAGGCGAAGCACATTGAGGTGTTTGAGACCGATTTCCACGCGTTTTTAGACTCGCGGCAGGTCGAGATCGAGAAGGACGCGGAGAGTTTGCAGGCCGAAATGACGGCTCTGGAAACGAAAGTGCAGACCAGCTTGGCGGATGAAGATCACGGGGACGAAGGCGATCTGGCGGTGCTGCAGCAGCGGCTGGAAGCCGGCAAGGCGGAGCTGGAGATTTTGAAGAACAAGATCAATGTGCCCGCGAATCCCAAGTGCTTCGACTTCCACAGGCAGCTGATTGCGGACACGATCCATCCAGTCAACGCCGTGAAGCACGCCGAGTTCCAGAAGCTGGCGCCCGAGCAGCAGAAGAGGCACGCCACGAAAGCGGGCGCGAAGGCTAGGAACAAGTCCCAAGGAGCGGAATCCAGCAACGGCAGCTCGCCCACGCACAGCCAGCATTCCGTGTTGTTAAACATGGAGTTTCAGCACTTCCACCTGGTTTCGGTGTACCCGCTTCCGTACGACAAGGAGAGTCGGGCTGCGCTGCTGGACCACGAGGACATGATGCCCGCACCACGCGTGCCCGAGGACCCGAGGCTGCCGCAGCCCTCGATGCGGCAAATTGTGTATTCGCCGCAGATCGTTCGTGATTTCGACCGCGACGAGGCGTACAAGCTGTCGAAGCACAATTTTTCGATTCGAGATTCCCTCGTCGAAGAGCAGTACGTCGCGCGCAACCTCGAGGACGCCTTTGCCACCGCCGGTCGGGTGGATATCCGCTGCTACGCGGAGGAGGATCAGGTCTTCAGCTTCGGTCCCTGTCTCGCCGGCGGGGCAGAACCGCAGAAGGAGCGGCTGCGAATCACGAATCCGCGCGGAATTCCATGTGAGGTCAATATCAGCGTGAAACCGCGATCCGCGGCAGGCGAAAAGGACTTTCCATTTGAAATCCATCCCGCGCAGCTGGTCATTCCGCCGCACGAGCACTGGTACGTCACCGTGTCGCTCACCCCACCGCAGTTGCAGACGTATTACGTAATATTCGAGGCGAAGTTCACCAAAGGAACTGGAACAGACCACCGAAGCAACTACTTGACGTTCGAGATGCGCGCTTTAACAGACGAACAGTTTGATTTTGGCAAGCTGCAGCTCGGTCGCGAGCATCAAATTCGGTTCCGCCTGCAGCAGAATGACGGGATCATACCCGCGACGGCACGCTGCGAGATCCTGGACGAGGAAGGCATCGCAGTCACTGACACTATTCCGCCCTTCTCCGTGATCTGTCCGCGCACGATAAATCTGGAGCCGGGCAAGCACTACCAGTTCACGACAAAGTTCCACCCGTGTGACATCAGCCTGCCGGATGACGGCGTACAGCTCCCCTACTTCTTGCAGAAGTTCCGGGTGTTCACAATCCACAACCCATTCGAAGACTTGACGCTTGCATTGAAGGGCGAGGGCTACGTGCAAGAGGTGTGTTGGGACCTAATGAACCAGTCCGGCCGCGACGACGAGCTTTTGGACTTGGATTTGTCGCCAGAAATTTCACCCTTTGACCCACCATATCCGTTGAAAGACGGCGGTCGTCAGGCCGGGGTGCGGCCACCCGCGCCCCCGGATGAGCTCGGGATCGGACAACTTCCGGTGGGTAGCCGCAAGCAGCAGATTATCTACCTCAAAAACGGGAGCAAGAAAACGGCGCAGCTCGAGTTTCCCGAGACACTACCTGCGCCGTTCGCGTTGTCCGCCGAGGCGGCCGAAAGCTCCAGTACTCCGAATTTGAAGTTTGTTCCGTCCTGCGGTCACGTGCCCCCGGGATCGAAGAAAAAGATCGTAGTGCACTTCCAGCCGGTGGAGAAGGTATCCGCAGACTTGGTGGAGATTCCGTGCAAGATCCAGGACATCGAGTTCTCCACGGCGGACTCCGGCAACGAGAATAGGAACGGCGCAGCAGCTGCGCTTCTTTCCGGAGGCGAAAGCCGGCCCACAACGCCGTTCTTGCGGCAGGCGTCGGATGGTCGATCGATCTCCCACGAGTCGACAGCCGGCGGGAGAAAGCCGTTGATCTCCCACGAGTCGACAGCCGGCGAGAAATCGCTCGCCATCTTTGGGATCGCGCATCCTCCATCCCCGCCAGGCATTCAGCTAGTTCTGTTGCTCATTGCGGGCGCGATCATTTTTTTCACAAGCACGAAACGACTACCAAAAACACAGCCCAACATAGGTAGTTGGGTTTGCCGCATGGGCCAAGTGTGTCCCTTCGTTATCCTCGGAGGTGCGGCTGTGGTGGTTGCCATAAACCGCGCGAACGGCGAAGCCTACGGGTTTGAGAGGGGAATGAGTTTCAGTTCCTCGTCGTCTTCCTCCAGGACTGCGAACTCCGGCGAGTGGTTCTCGTGGCTGATAGATTCGCAAGGAAAAAGCGATAACGGAGCGGGTGGGCGTGAATCTGTGGGAACTACGACCGAGACCGTTGCTCGCCCCAAGAAACAGCAAGAGGAAGCAACTTCGCAAGCCGGTCCCCGACACATGCCCTCCCTTTCCAACGACCCGAACAGCGACGATTCGTCTACAACCTCCACCGCTGCTTTTGCTCGTCCAGCGGCCGCTACTGCAAAGCCCAGCAGGCGGCAACGTCCCGCCGAGGATGAATTGACCGAAGAAGCCAGAGCCTTTGCAGCAGAAAACGCATTGGGAGCAGCAGCTACAGCAGCCAAAAATCACGCGGCACAGAGGACAGACGAGAAATTGTCGGACACTACTGCAGATGACGCGTCGCCACCACGACCATCCCCGGCTACCGAAAGTCTGGACAGGAGGAGCGGAGCTTCGGCTACAGCAAAGGCGTCGAGTGTTTCGACCGTGCGGCTTCGCTCCGGCACTTCCGCTGGCAAGGCTCTGGATGAACAGCAGCAGAAACTAGCGCAAATGGTAAAGAATAGCGGGGCCATTAACGACGGCGCCAGCAAAAGGGATGCCCAGAAGGAGCTTCACGGGGGCCGCGAACAAAGCCGGGTGTCGCTAACGGAACTCCAGGGGGACCATGCTGCGGGGCAAGAGGATTGCCAACAGTGCGACTTTCTCAAGGTCGCAGCAAAGCAGTGCAAGTTCCCTCCCGACTTAAGTAGTGAGGGCGTCGCGCATGCGCGCAAGATCTTCTTCGGGGATGAAAAGGTCGGGTTTACGCGCGCTGGCTTGGCGAGCTCCAAGACGAGTCCCCCAGCCAAAGACAGAAGCCGGAGTAGAATCTTGGAGCAGTCCAAGGTGAAGCCGCAGCCGGAGGAGCACCTTCAAAAAGCCGTGCCCGTGGAGGATGTCTTCCTCTACTTCACATATGTGGCATCGGGGAAAGTTGGCCCAACGCGTTTTGGTGGGCCGCCGCTGACCTTCCCGGTGAAGCGGAAGCCGGACGAGCGCAACAAGGCGGCGAGCGTCATGGAGAATCTGCTAGACGAGGACGGCGCCGGCGGGCCCAATTTGCTCCGCGATTTGCTAAAGCTTCTCGCACAAGATGCCAACAAGGACGGGAGTGAAAAAGGCCAAGGGGATGTGGGTGTCATCAAGCTACTGCAAGACCAACTGGCCGGTTTTTCGCCAGCAGGTTGGGCCGCGACCACAGAAACGCAATGCTCCGAGGAAGTTTTACACCGGTACAACGAGAAGAACGAAATCACTCCGTCGACGTGCACTGCTCGCGATTGTCGCCCTGTTTTCTTTGGTCGTGATTTCATCATCGAGAAGGAGGAGCAGGCAGACGAGGAGAAGAGGCTGGCAGACGTAGACGTACGGGCACGTGGCATGAGGTACATTCGATCGCTCGAGTATGAGGAGAAAGTCGCCCCCGCGTTCATATTCATCAAAGACCTTCTTGGCTGCGACACCGAGAACAGCAAAGCCAGGGCTAGCGCATCACGCGGCAAGATATGGCTTCCGCATGAGAGAAGCGTTTGGCGAAAGCTCTTGCCCAGAAAAAAAGGCGGCAGCCGTGAACACCAGGCCGACGCACAGCTGGCGAACGCGATGAAAAGGGCGGGCGATATCATGCGGACCGCTGTAAGCTCCGCCACCAGCACCACCGACAAGAAGAGCGCCGAAGCCATTGCACAAGACGTGATGAACACTGCAGGCGACATAACAGGGTTTGTGCAAGGACTTCTCCGTGCCCCCATGGTGCTAGCGGATCGCCTTCCGAACATATTTTCGGAACTGGTCGGAAGGAAAATACGAAGGCCAGTCCGCTACTTGTTCGAGAACAAGCTCCGACAGGAGGCTCTGGGCGGGACGAAGCGGATACTTTGCGCCGAGGAGCTCAGCAACATGGTGGCGCTAGAAGTCGAGCAGCTAATTTCGCAGGTTCCCGACCTGCTGGAATCCCTACAAATTCCTGCCCTGCCTGCCATTTTCCGTGCATTTTTTGGCGACAGGGTTTCTATCATGCAGAGTCTCTCACGCCAAGCAGACTGCGTCGCGAGATCGGCCCTGAGGGAACCCATCAAGACTTTACTACAAGACCTGCAGCAGACCGATGATCGCGACGATGGCGCACCCGAGCCGCGGTGCATCCCGGTAGAGCCCCCGTCCAGCGGGCCCGGGAGCGGAATCATCGCCCCCCTGTGGTTCGAGAGGGTCATGGGGATGGTGCTCGCACAACTGGTGGACAGAGTCATCCCGGCTAGCAAGATTGGAACGGCTATCTTTAGCGGCCTAGGAGAGTACGTGCGGGACCTCGCGGCCCCGGTGGGCCAAGTCTCGGATATCGGAGGTGGCGCTGCATCGTGGGTGGCCGACTCTGTTGTGAGCATTATTGTTAATCTCGCGAACCCCGAAAAGGCGGGGGACGCGTTGTTAGCTCGTGAAAAAAAAGCAGTGGAAGAGTATGGGGTAATTGGACAGTGGGTTGACAAGCCGTTTCTTGATGTCCTGAGTCTCGCTTCCACCGGCTTGGAGGCTGTCACCAGTTTGTCTATGGGGGGACAAACTAGCACCGCGGCAGTGAGAGCGGCCTTTTTTTATTGCCCACATATTCGAGGTGAGGGGCTTCCCACATATTCGAGGGGGGGTTTGGGTTTCGCGGATTTGTGAAAGCTAAAAACGCAAAATGTTACTGCTTGCGCTGGAGGTAGGGGCATGTGTCTCCCTGAGAAATGAACGCGCAACACTGCTGGCTCTGGATGTTTCGGCCGAAGCCGGGAGCCGCTAATGTAGTGGGTTTGCCAAACAATAACAAGCCCACGAAGAATATTTATTGGCGTCGGCAGCGGGCTCCTGCGGTGCCGGCCTTTCCGCTTTCTCACTCCACGCCCGTGCAAAGAACTGAGCGCCCATGGCGCTGCGTGGCTCCCGTCAGTTTCCCGGCGGCGACCTGCAATCACAGCCGAGTGCCCTTCGTGCGCCTCTAGCTCCTGGGGCGATTCCGTCGTGGCGGCTACGGCTTGCGGCGCCCGCGCGAAAAACAAAAGGGCGCCGGGCTTTTGTCGGCTTGGCCGGGGGCTAAAAGGAGGGCGGCCGCGCGACCTGTCATGCCCGTGCGTATACAGCCCCTGCCCTGATGCTGGTTTTTGCTCCGTCGGCCGCGCAGCTCGCCGCGCGTAGCATACTTGTGGCACTCTCGCTTTTTTGGAAAGCAGCCGGGCTTCGTGAGCCCCGTCCACAGGTTGGCTTCGTTTCGCTCGTCGGCTGCTGGCGCCGGCGCTGCTTTCCTTTTAGGGAATATGCGGGTCCCCCCCTCCCGCTCCCCAAATGCTCAGTATGCCGCACTGATTCCGAATATTTGGGCTGGTGTGACCCCACATATTTGCCATAGCCTCCCGCACATTCACTAAAAGGACCTGGCCCTATGTCTGTTTTTCATTCCTCCCCCCATGCATTCGGCGTCGGCTTTCGAGCCCGGAGTGGGAAGGTCTTTGCAAGCGCTTTCGTAAGCTAGCCGCGGCGCTTTTTGGGAGCTTGCCAACCACGGCGCCGTCGGTCGGTTGGGTTTTTTGGCCAGGAGCAGCCGCACTGTCGGCCCAAAGTGCAACAATACTCGCCCGCCATCGCTCTCTCTTCGAGTGGGCTATTTTCCCAAGCAAGGCTTTCGTGGGCCGGCCCTGGCGCGCACCCTCATGCCTGGTGATGTCCGCGAGTCGTGCATCTTTTCCCGCATTCGACATTTTCGGGAAAATGAAAAGGGGAGCCCAAATTCAGCTGTAGGGCGACCGCGCGGGTGTAGGGCGACCGCGCGGTTGGGTTGTCATTCAGGGGCAGCGCAGTAGCCGTCTTGTCTCCTTAGGTTCGCCCGTGTCGCAGCTTCCCATGCGTGTGGGCACTCTGTTGCAAGCGTAGCGCCGCGGCGCCTTTGTCAGGTTTGGAAGATAAAGCGGCGCCCAAAAACGGCCTGAAACGCCGAGACATGCCTTTTGTCTTGGCGCCCGCAACGAAGCGCCACAACGCAATCCAAAAATAGTGCCCAAATATGCGGCCCCAAAAAAAACGCCGCTCTCATTGCCAATGGCTTTCTTGTCCCCCCATAGTCGCTACCCGGCTGTTTTTAGGGCCACACGAAGAAGGCGAAGAAGGCGACACCGAGCAAGTAAAAGGGGACGACGACTACGTCGACTCTTCCGACGAGAGCTTGGGCTGCAAGCTTACATAGGAAAACTGTTCGCCATTACGCTGCCGGTAGCTGGGGTCGGAGGCTTTGAGCAATAAGGAGACTGAATCTTGGTGTTCAACGAAGGAAAGTAGCAATAAGTTGCCGGACCCCTGAGGCATAAAAAGAAGATCGTCATCAAGTAGAGCTGCGCTAGGACCGCAAACAGTTTGCTTTAACCATTGGGGCGGATTCGATGAAACGAATATAATCCACTCCCCACTGCGAGCAGGCGAAACACGTTCAGAAGCACCAACGTTAGCGAGAAAGAGAAGCAGCTTGATCTAGCGATAGCATTGCAGAATCTTATAAGGCTCAAAGTTTTCAGGGACATAAACAGAAATGCAGCGTGATTACATAGATGAGAAGTAAGTGTTTGGGAGCGACTTTTCGATTTATTTATGACGAAGAGAATGAAACAAGAAACTTGAATAGAACGCAAGCAGAACGAAAAAAACAAAACACTGGGAAAGGGAAAACAAAAAAGCCGCAAGCTGCGAAGGCGAATCGCCAAGGTGGGGCGGCTCTCAGTTCGTTCCGTTTACAGTTTAGAGAGCTCCGAAGAAAGCCGGCTCCATTTACTTGAGTGGCTATTTCTTTATTTTTTATTGACAAAAAAGCCCGGCCTTATTCAACGGCGTTACCCCTAGGGTATCAGGGCAGGCTATTCCTGCCGCGCGTCGGAGGAGGGAGCTGCGCCGAGCACCGCTCAAACTAATAAATCGCCATCATCATTGACCGTGGCACTGGAGAGTGGCAAGACAAGCGACGAAAGGGCGCCCGAGCATGAATTTGCGAAAAATGCATTATAGTGCTCGGGCCGAGACGTTCGCTTTTCCTTTTCGAATGTCTGCCGTGCGAGGGAAACGCTGCTCCTGTGGTGGCAAGCCGGGTAAATCTGAGCAGAATGCTCATCATCTGAGAGAAGACGCAATGTTGAAAGAGCGAAGATGCCACAAACTGTCGCGATTGTATTTTCTTGGTCAAGGAAGCGCATGCTGCAAGGCACAAATAGGTGAAAGATTCTTTCACCTATTTGTGCCTTGTCCCTTCTTAGAAGGGACAATCCGTCCAAGCGCTTGCGAGAGGTGACTGGGACTGGCCATGCGAGCATTTCTTGAATAAGATCTAAATCGTTTTCACCGCCTACACGGAGCAGAGCTGCGCAACAAGATGTCGTACCGCGAGCTCCGGAACTTCTGCGAGATGATGCGTAGTCTCGGCTACCATCGGCCCATCAGCATGGAAAATTTCCGCACGCCGAACTTCGAGCTGGTCGCGGATCTGCTGGATTGGCTGCTGCACAGGGTGGACTCCAGTTCGTCGATACCAGACGATATATCGACCGAGACCTGCAGAATACACTTTCTGACCACGTGTTGTCGCTTACTTTATGAAAAAGCAAATATAAAATGCAATCCAAGAAAACTCTACGGTGCGGACGGGTACGCTGTAAAAGAGCTGCTCAGGTACTTGCTGGATTGCAGCTTGCTGAAATTGAAGTGGTACTGCTAGAATAGAAGACTACTCTTCATCTGCATGCCAACGCTGTTTTTTTCTTCCGTTTCCCTACCTTCAAAAGCGCTGCAAAAATCTCCGTTTTGTTCTCTGCAGGGTGGCACAGATGCTGTATGAGGCACAGAAGTCGGTAACGCAGAATGGAAACCTTGCGAAAGAAGCCGACATGGACACGTCAGCGTTTTCACTATCGTCAAAGCTTCACGATTTGAAGTCCACAAGATCACTCTGCTCAGCCATAGTGGAATCCGGAGCAACCTTGCACGACCTGCTACAAAAGGAGCAGACAAACCGAGAAGACATAAACAAAGCGCTCAGGTACCTACTTACTTGTGACATGACAGCTGCAGAAGCTCCAGGTGCCCTCTATTACTTGCTCTCGTTCGTGGTCTACCTAGTGACACTCACGCAATCCCAATCCGATGCTGACTGAAAAAAGGTTTCTCGACGGGATATCGCGGAATTTGGATAGCAATTCGGAACAAGAGGTGGTGGAAAGGTCCGTAACAGCGCTCCTGAATACGAACATAGAGAGTTTGCAGCAGCGGAAACAGATGGTAGACGAACTTGCGAAAGACGAGAAAAATTTGGAAACGAAAATAAAAAAGAAGAAGCAGGAGCTGGACCGATGCACTGCTCGTCTCGCACAGCTCACGAGCGTGCGACCTGCATTCATGGACGAGTACGAGAAACTAGAAGAGGAGCTCGCAAAGGTAATTTTTTGTCCTTGTGCATGTCGTGGTGGTCGTAATGAACGTCAAAGACTTTTTTTCGTCTTCTTGAACCTCCTTCTTTCTCGTCAGGTCTACGAGAGCTACGTGGCCCGATTCCGAAATCTTGATTACTTGGAATACGAGCTGGATCAGCTGAATAAGGAAGAAGAGGAACGCATGGAGCAGAATGCGCGAGAGCTGAAACGCCTGCAGAAAAGGCTACGGGAAGAGGAATGGCGCATGCTCAGAGGTTCTTCTGACTGCCTGGTCTTGTTTTCCTCAAAAGATAAAGGAAGAAAATGCGCCGGCACCTATTCCTTAGGTCGTGATGCTGATCTTGAAATTGAAGTGCTGCGCATGCGCATCTTCTACAAAGTAGAATATCACCCCACTTTGCTCAGGCGACGAGGATGGGGACTTGAAGGGGCCCATGGAGAGGCCGCGAGCGAAGAGCCAAGTTGTAGGCAGCATGGTCGCTGTTTCAGAAGGTGGCAGCAGCGATTCAAAGAGCGACGATGGCAGCTCCGAAGCCATCTCCGTCGGGAAAAGCGAGTACAACAATTCACTTTTTTGCCATACGCCACATCATTCCATTGTGATTGACTGTTTATTGCGCTGGATGTGCATTTCGTAATTTGGATGCATTTGATACCTGTCCCGGTTGCATGCTATGCTTCGAACTTCACAGGGGCAGTGACCATCCGCTCAGCATATCTGGATCCGACGACATTGTGGAGCAGTCGGACGACAGCGATATTCCGCGCGATAACGACCACAATTTTTAGTCGCTTCGCGCCTCAGAGTCTCGCTCTATTCGGTTCTTTTTTTTCATATTAAAACTTGAGAACTTCTTCTCAGGCCCGTGCAAGCAAAAGCATGTTTTTGTTGAAGCAAGAAAACCACTTATATCAAACTCAAAACGGAAAACAGTGAACCTAAATTAATAGCCATGGCTAGCGCAAAATAGCCTCCTTGTAAAACTTTCCATATCAAAACTAGCAGCGAACAAGACAGCTCCACTCGCCGCGGTGGAGGCTGCTCTTGAATGAAAGAACATAGTTGACTTTGTTCATGACGCATAAGTACATGCCAAGAGTAGTAAGACATGACGCAGCAGAATATGTTAATTCTCAGAGCCCTGCCGTCCAGCGGGTTTTTGTAGCCTTCCTTGTGTCGCTCGTACTGTGTTCATCCCGAAAGTCCAAGAAAAAACGCTAGATCCCCAATAATATGGTGACATAGTTGCATTCGTTCGCGTAAAAGTAAAACTATATCGATAAGGCGGAGTCTTCCCAGAGAGATAACTACTTACGTGGACCGCGACTTGTTTGCCGCGGTCGTACAGTTTGTTACCATCGGTTCCCATGGACGTCCTCAATTTTTTCTTGGAGGAGAATAGCGATAATATTGAAGCCATAAGCATAAACTTTCTTAATAGTTAGCCGGCATGTCCAAGCTTCTGCACGGAGCGGGGGAGGTCTGCGCCCCTGACACCGACGCCAAGGCCGCGCAACATGTGGTGCCCCACATACGCCTCTAATCGCCTGGGTGTAGGTGCGGACTTAATTCGTTCACTCCGTGTACTGCAAGCCTCGTCTTCCTCGCCCCTTCGCACGATAAGTGGGTTGCAGCAGGATGGCGAGCGTATCCCTAGCGTCGCTGCTTCCGGTCCTCCTGCTCTTTCTATTGAGCGGGGCGGGGAATACACTCATAGCATCATGGATGGACAGCATACGAATTGACGGCAACAAATTCGACCATCCGTTTGTGCAGTGCTGGGTCATGTTTTTGGGTGAAGCGAGCTGTCTGGCGGTGTTTACACTAAAACATTTGATCACAAAATCGAGGAGAACTGGCGTCACGATCAGTCCATGGCGACGAGAAACCCTCCTGTTTGCGATACCATGTAAGCTTGCTGAAGTTTTCTTCTACATGACTACATACAATTTTTTTCTTGTCTGCCTTGCCATCTTTTGTTGGTTGCGCTCCGGTCGTGCCGGCACCGATTTGGAAGATAAAAATTCATTCTGCAGGTTGTTTCGACTGGGCGAGCAGTACCATGGTATACATTTCCTACACTTACCTGCCCGCTTCCGTCGTGCAAATGCTCCGGGGCAGCTTGATCATCTTCGTGTGTCTGATCTCGGTTTTCGTTTTGAAAAACAAGCTTTACGCCCACCACTTCGTCGGCGTCGGGAGTGTCTTAGTGGGTATTTTCCTGGTAGCGCTGTCCAGTATCCTGCAGGGCGGAAGCTCCACGACCGGGAAAGGCAAAAACCCACTAGTCGGCGTCTGCATCTGCATCACGGCACAAATGTTCGCGAGTGGGATCATGACCAGTGAGGAATTTATCTTCAAGCGAATCAAAAACATCGAGCCGCTGCAAGCTGTGGGAATAGAGGGGGGATGCGGTACAGCTCCTATTTTATTTGTGGCGGGTTATTTCTTCACTTATTCATTCTAGAACCTCCCACCTCCTGCTGCGTATCCTATGGACCCCCATAAATGAATCGCGAAAACAAAAAAGAACCTTTTCAGGGATCACCTTTGGCGTCGTAATTTTAACCGTCGCACAATTGCTCCGCGTGGATAATGTGAAAGACGCGATATACGACATTACGCACTCAAAGCAGGCAGCCTCCGCTTGCGTCTTGCTCGCCTGCTCCATCGCGGTCTTCAACGTTTGCGGGCAGAAAATCACGAAAAACATTTCGGCCATGGCCCGCTCGGCCCTGGATTCGAGTCGAACGATTCTCGTTTGGGGCGCCGAACTTGCGTTCGGGTGGCGCGTGTTCGCGTACGATACGCTGCCCTTCTGGGTCCAGCCCTTCGGATTCGTGTTCATCGTGTTGGGCCAGATGCTGTACTTCAACACCATAAAAATCCGGTCTCTGATGGGACCGGAAGAAATCGCGGAGATGGAGCAGAAGGCGGCGCTTGAAAAGGCCGAACAGACCACAATCTCGACGACCGCAGACTCTACGGGCAGCTATAACCTAGACTCGCTCGACCTAGAAATGGATAATCCAGTCGCGCCGTCGCGGGACGCCCGCAGGGTGCCACTCGTGGTATCAAGACCGGCGCAAGTAGCTGCTGTGCAATAGCTCCGTATAATTGCAGTTGCGTGGCGGTACCTAGCAGCACGTATTACTATCCAGTGCGAAGCTGAGGCGCCGGCGAGAACATTGACGGAATTGATTTCTCAGTGGGACCGCGACGCTTCGGCTGCAATTTGATTTTTTGAATGCAGAGCTGCAGCTTGAATTTACAGTGCCGGCACGAATGCTTCACAGCTTTCTGAGCAGACATTCGCATGACTAAGCTTTGACCTGCTCGCAGATCCGCACATGCGCATTCCTGATGTAGTGTAAAAAAGAATAGTAAGCTAAAAAAGCCTGCCACTGTAAGCGCATGAAAGCGCACACTTTTGATTGCTCAGTTGCTGTTGATGTGACATTAAAGAAAAAAGTTGCTGCAAGAGTGATACATACTACGACATCCGTGCTCCTTTCTGCAAAGTATTTTTTGTGTTTTTGTGCACCAGGAACGGTCTACAGAATTGCAAATTTTGAATCAGTAATGGTCTTGATGTGGAGTGTCACGACGGACACGGCTCACTCGGTCACAGATTTGAATACTCTTGTTGAGTGAAAGGCTCCACACGACAAGACTCAAGGATTGCGCAAAGACAAGAGCACGCTGTTCAGATTCAAATCAGAATAGACGGTTGTAGAATTACAAGAGATGCTGATGCTCACGATCAATAAATTTTGAATAACCAAAGCCATTTTGACAGCCAAGGTTCCATAAATTTAGGCAAGGCCCCGAACATTGATCTCAAAATTTTCTTTTGCAACAATTGAATTTGCGCACAAATAGAATGGAATTCCAACCCATGTTTCTGTCATTTTGGAGCTGATCAGCAATTGTTTGAGTTGACTTCCGTTGACGCGATTCACAGAAGGGTGAATTACAAACAACGTGAATATCGCATTCCTGACCTAATACCACGACCAACATATTCATCGAATTCTTCCCAAAAAAAACCTTTTTCAGCGCTGCTGCATCTGCTTTTTTGCCTACATTCATTTATACATAGGAAATTCCACCACATTTACTTCTCTTGCATTCCTTGCGTATATTTATCGACATCTACTTTGCAGCGTTTGCAGCCTGTGGTTGTTCTTTATTTGCTAGTGAGTTTGTTCATTATTTTCCGGGAAGTGTAGATCTAGACGAGTCGCCAATAATTTTTCGAAAATGGCGCCGAAAGTGAAGAATCTCTCCAAGAAGGCCAAGGAGCGCATGGCCAAACTGGAGGAGGAGAAAAAGAAAAACGCCGTCAACGAAGACAGTTCCAAGGACTTCAAATCAGCAGTACTTCAGCAGGCCGTCGTCACAGGAAACCTGGCGTCCCGCGCGGACAGCAGAGACTTGAAAATTTCCGAATTCTCGGTCGCCACTTTCGGAAAGCAGCTGGTAAAAAAATTCAATAGGATCTTGAAGGTGGCGCTTTCGACGTGTTTGTTGGCCATGATATCTATTGGCGGCCGGAAGTAGGGAATTTTAATTTCATAGGCCAACATCTACTTGTTCTTCTTGCTAAAGAGTACGGTTGCTGTCCTGTAGCTCAACATCAAAATTGCTGAATAAACAGGTTGCTGACACAACTTTGGAGTTGAACTTCGGCCGAAAGTACGGTCTAATTGGGCAGAACGGGAGCGGAAAGTCCACCATCCTAGCTGCGATCGCAGCAAAGGAAGTCCCCGTTCCGGATGTCATTGATATGTGGTTTCTCGACTGCGAGGCACCCCCAAGCGACATGAACGCCATTGAGGCGGTGACAGATAAAGCAAAAAAGGAACACGCCAGGTACAAGTTCTTTATATATTATTTTCGCTTTCGCCGTGTCCCGTGTCCGTGTCCGTCTAGTAAATGTAAATCTTCGCGTGCCCCGCTTTCCGATCAGAAGCTTGTTGCGAATTGTATCGATAATTGAGATTCAGTCTGTTGATGCATGAATCGGAATGAATATGATTCTGCTATATACGTTTTTCCTGAGGATTCGTGTTTCTCTCGATGCAGGCGTTCCACGACCCATCTTGATACGACATATTAAATCACAGGTTAGAAGCCTTGACCATGACGCTCCTGGAAGAGGATCCGGAGGGCAACGCGCACCTTCTGGATCAGATCGGAGAAAAGCTGGATAAGATGGACCCGCACACCTTTGATAGCAAAGCCGCGGAACTCTTGCACGGTCTGGGATTCACGAAATCCATGATGAGCCGCGCCACAAAGGATATGTCTGGTGGTTGGCGAATGCGCGTGTCGTTGGCACAGGCACTTTTCGTGGAACCGACGCTGTTGATCTTGGACGAACCCACAAACCACTTGGATTTAGGTATTAAAATGAGCTTCTGGAGATGATTGAACACAAAAAAAGCCCCGCCTTTAATCATGAAGATGCTCCGTGATCATGTTCATGACGTGCTACTTGTACGACTAAAAAAGGTGTGAAGACGAGAGATATTGCAATTCATTCCACTGTATCGATCAACAAAGCGAAAAAAAAAAACTTAGGTGCCTGCGTCTGGCTGGAAGACTACTTGGCAAATTATCCCAACACAATCCTTTTTGTGTCGCACTCAGAGGATTTCCTGGACAATGTCTGCACGAACATCATGCAACTTACACACGACGGCAAGCTTAAGGTAGAAATGTGCTATGTGATGAGTTAGCTCGTCCTTGTGCTCATCTTTCGTGCGGTTACGAACCATATCTATGCCGTTTTAGTAATACTGGTGTAATGGTGAAGATTCTTATGCTGATGCGGTATTCATCTGGTCCCAGCTGTAACAAGAAATATACGTGTATTGCTAATGAAAAAAATGAAAATGAAACACGATGATCGCAGGTGTGGGGCGGAAACTACAGCATGTACGTGAAAACGCGCACGGAGTTCGAGAAGAACCAGATGACAAAGTACAAGAAGGAGCAGGACGACATTAAGCACTTGCAGGATTTCATTCGGTCTTGCGGTACCTACGCGAACCTGCGCAAACAGGCGGATAGTAAGCAGAAGATCATTGACAAAATGACCGAGGCGGGACTCACCGAGAAGCCGGTTGCAGACCCGCAGTACGTCTTCCGCTTCCCGAATTCGGAAAAACTCCCACCCCCAGTCCTGGCGTTTGAAGACGTCTCGTTCTCATACTCCGGGAAGCGACAGGTATTTTTTAGCGGAACAACTGCTTGCTTATACTTAGGCTAGAAATTCTACTAAGCCGAAGGCGAAAAGGCCTGTGGTCGTTGTACTCGAAGACGACCAATTGTTCTTCGTGCAATTTGACCAATTGTTCTTGATTTGAGTTGTTCTTGTTTCCATGGGAAGATCGTCAATTATCACTTGATAGCTTGAACAGGTAGTATGTACTATGTAGCCAATAATCAAAGTGAATCATGAACCGAAACCAGGACTACCTGTATGACGGCCTAAACTTCGGGGTCGACTTGGATTCCCGCATCGCCCTGGTCGGGCCGAACGGTGCCGGAAAGTCCACCCTTCTCAAGCTGATGCGAAAGGAACTCGAGCCCTGCGAGGGTGACGTGAAGCGACACGGGCACCTGCGCATTGGTCAGTACAACCAGCACAGTGAGGAGATTTTGGACTTGGAAAAGTCGCCCCTCGACTTCTTCCAGGAGTTGTACCCGAACGGGATCATCAACGAAAAGGGCCTGGTCAAGCAGGACGTGGACGACTGGCGCCGCACGTTGGGCAAGTTCGGCATCACGGGGAACACGCAGACGCGGCAGATGAAGACGATGAGCCACGGGTACCGAACCCGGGTGGTGTTCGTGATGATCTCGCTGACCAACCCCCACATCCTGCTGTTGGACGAACCGACCAACCACTTGGACATGCAGTGCATCGACTCCTTGGCCGAGGCGATCAACGCCTACAGCGGGGGTCTGGTGCTCGTCAGTCACGACTTCCGCCTCATCGGCCAGGTGGCCAAGGCGATCTGGGTCTGCGACAACAAAACCGTCAAGCCCTGGGAGGGGGACATTCAGTCGTACAAGAAGTACTTGAAATCCCAAGTCACCAAAAAGATGGCGGCGGCGACAACGTAAATTGATTTTTACAGGAGGACACGGTGCAACAAGAAGGGGAAGTAGAATATGCAATAAAGAAAACTTAAACCAGAATTATAATAGAGAACGTCCAACGCCCCACTTGCACCCGCCGCTGATCTACTGGCTGCTTTTTTTTGTTTCCAATATACTTACTACCAGCAGCAGTAGATCTGTAGAGATTTTCCAAAAAAGGTTTTCTAGCCAACTAGCACCCACCAGATGTTGCTGAAAATATCAACGAACCAGGGCTGACACCCTCTGTCCCTGGCATTGATATTTCTCAAGTCTTTTTTATTTTTCTTACGTCTTACGCACTGAGCCTGTGCCTGTGGCATTGGCACGCAGGTGAGTCATTTCTTACGCAAATCGAGAGCGCGCCACGCTCTCCTAATGACCTCGAGAGAAGTTGAAGCAGTACCAAAAAAACAAATATTCAATGGGAAGGAGCCGGAACCTCTTCGCATATGCTAGATCTATCTTCCACGTGGCAGGTAAGAGATTTCTCTTCTTCGCCGCATTGTCAGCGCAATAAAAAATCCGTGCCAGAGAATTATATGAAAAACATTTTTGCAACATCTCATGATTTTCGTAGAGGCAGTAGAGCAAAGAAGTACAGAATGCATTCGCCGAATAGTCGTGTACAGGACCACATCGCAGCACAATGATCTCCGTAGCGACCACTTGCTGCGTGCTGACAGTCATTTTGTGGTTGAGAAAATTTGTAAGTACTAGCGGCAAGAATATGAGCTTCTTTTTCGACAACGAGCTGTGTGTGCTGCACGTGTGCTGCACTCTGATGAATATTGCACGAAATCAACCCTATCGATAGAATTACAAGATCTATCAATCTGTCAACATTTTCCATGCGGTGGCTGCAGCTGATCGGCCGCGAATCTGGGGGGCGTATCTGTGTGCCTGCAGCACCCAGTAGATGCTGTTAACCAAGACTCTAACCGTTTCGATTGAATTATTTTCCGGTTGCTGTACGAATTTTAGCACCAGCAGAGGTTCAAATTGTATTATTTTGGGTCGTACAGTAACGGAAAAAAGTTTTCGGAATTTCAAATGAACACTAGTAGCCAAGGGGTACAAATCACATTTCAAGGCGGTTTCTAGTCAAGCAAAACAAATTCAAATTCCTCTTCCCATAAGGGAGCGGATGCGGCACGGAGATGAACCAAGATAGCTGAGAAATATTTATATACTAAACGTATCCCATGCTACAACTAGCCTTCTCCCGCTTCCCGTGTTCAGTAACCTGCAGACTTAATAGTATTCCGCTAGATGAATAGTAGCACTCAGCGTCTCTCTGTGGAGAATCGTTGTCGGCGCTTCAGCACAGGCAGGCCCATCTGCCGGCGATTTTCAAAGCGCCGGAACGGCTTTGGCGCGATCGATCCGGCGCCGGCCGGCGCGGCGGGCAGGTTGCCCGCTGCCGTCATCTTGCATGCTGGCGCCGGCGGGGCCGCGATCTGGCGGCGGGGGGCGGGCATGGTCGGGCACCGGCGTGGCCAGGGCCCGACACCGGCGTGGCC